CCCCCCCCCCCCCCCCCCCCCCCCCCCCCCCTTCTCCCTCCTCTCCTCCTCCTCCTGCTTTGCTATTATTTTTCACACGTCGACACTGTGCTTCTACACCTGCGAGACATCTCCATCACAGTTCCTTGATCGTCTTGATATTCCGACCGCACATTTCTCCCTTTCCACCATGGCACCAATCGCCATCGAGACGCCCAACGTGGCGGAGAACTTCCATGACCACAAGGACGGCCTGGCCTTGGAGGCTACATCAGACGCCATCGATGAGGTCAACGTCCTCAAGGCCGCCATGCGTGTCAAGAACGGCACTGCGACGCAAGAAGAAGTCGACATTTACGAAAAGTCGCAATTCGACGCCGACAAGGACAAGACCCAGTTCCGACAGTACGAAGATGCATGCGACCGTGTCAAGAACTTCTACCGGGAGCAACACGAGAAGCAAACCGTTGCCTACAACCTCAAAGCACGCAACGACTTCAAATCCAAGACACGTGCCGAAATGACCATCTGGCAAGCCATGGAAAAACTCAACACCCTCATCGACGAATCCGACCCCGACACATCTCTCAGTCAAATCGAGCACCTGCTCCAATCCGCCGAGGCCATTCGCCGAGACGGAAAGCCCAAGTGGTTCCAACTCACCGGCCTGATCCACGATCTCGGCAAACTCCTCTTCTTCTACGACGCCCAAGGGCAATGGGACGTCGTCGGGGACACCTTCCCCGTCGGCTGCCGCTTCGACGACTCCATCATCTACCCGGGCACATTCGAGCACAACCCGGACAGCAAAGACCCCATTTACAGCACCGAACACGGCATCTACCGTCCGGGCTGCGGCATGGATAATGTCATGCTCAGCTGGGGCCACGACGAATACCTGTACCACATTTGCAAAGAACAGAGCACCCTTCCCGATGAGGCCTTGGCCATGATTCGTTACCATTCCTTCTACCCTTGGCACAGCGCCGGTGGCTACCGATGGATGATGGACGATGATAAAGACGAGAAGATGTTGCAGGCCGTCAAGGCGTTCAATCCTTATGATCTCTATAGCAAGAGTGATGGTATCCCCGATGAGAAGGAACTTAAGACATACTATATGGAGCTCATCAATACTTACTTTCCCCCGCGAGAGGGTGAGACGGAGAGGGTGATTCGATGGTAGAGGAGATGATGATCCATCATCATCATCTGGGGGAAAAGGATGAAATGCATTTTATAATGTCTTTTTCTTCTTGGCCCTTCTTCTTCTTCTTCTTCTTCATCTTCTTCTGCTGCTGCTGCGGCATTTAAGTTGGGGCTTTGTGGCGTTTTGGATGGGTTTCTTCTTATCTCCCCCCGCAAAAAAATAAAATTTCAGGGCGGTTGAGATGGATTATGGATGATGATGATGATGATGGGTTCGGCGTAAAAGAAGAGGAAGAGGAAGAGGAAGAGGAAATAAAGAAGAAGAGTTAGAAGCTTGAGAGCTTTCCTTCTATAATGAATTTACGAATTTTCTTTCTTCTTCACACAGCCCCTTTTACACATACCGTACCATGCCTCCCTCCCTCCATCTCTTCTCGTCTCCCTCTCTCTTCCCGTCTCCCTCTCTCTTCTTCTTTTCTCCCTCTCTCTTCTTCTTTTCTCGTCTCTCCCTCTCCCCCTCTCTCTATCTCTTCTCGTCTCTCCCTATCCATCTCCCTCTTTCCCCTCCTCATCTTTCATTCAACCCATTCCCCTTCCTGTCCATCATCTCACTCACTTAATGTACTTACCCTGCCGATAAGAAAAAAGAAAAAGAAAAGAACACACACAAAACTAACATATCTTACCTACCAATCTACCCACCTTGTCAGACATTGTTCTCGCTCCTCCCTGCTTCTTTTCTTTTTTTTCCCTTCTTTTCTTACCTATCTCTTTCTTTCTTGCCCACTTCTTACTTCTCTCAAATCGTAAATCGTAAATCGTAAATCGTAAATCCCATCCTCCTCCTCCTCCTCCTCCTCCTCCGAAGAACAAGAGAAAACTACTAAGATAAAATCATTAAGATAAAATACATACCTGAATATAAAGCTCAAAGCTCAGTATAGTATAGTAAAAGTTCATAAGTTCGTAAGTTACCTTAGTAATAGGATTTGCGATACCTACCTAGTGAATATTGGATCAGAATTACGACACGTTATATATAACGAACACATACATACCTTACACATACAGGTATACACACACACTCTCTCTCTCTTCCTTTATACATACCAAAGACCAAAAACACTAGGCACCTACCTGAACCTGATTTATCCCCCGCCCTCTTTCTTTTTACTCTACCTTCTTCATTATCTTCACTATAGTAGGTACCTGTACACTCTCAAGAACTGGGCGGACACTTACTCTTTTCTTGCCGATAAGAGGAAAAAAATCAGAGTCGGGAATTTCAAATTTGCTACGTACCTTCGTTTCACGTGCGTAACTACCTGTTATCTTCTTCTCCTAGTGCGCTACATGTACACTAATCATCATTTCTCCATTGATGAGAGGCAAGATGGGCTGCTGGATGTTTCTCAGGTATCCTGCTGCCTCAATCCCTCCTTATTCATACACATCATGGATAAAGGAAAAAAAAAGGAGCACTCCAACGTTGTTGCTTGGTGCGGACATCACAACAAGCTAAAGCTACACAGCAGCAACAAAAAGTCGCCAGCCCCAGGCCTCCTCGATTTCCGTCTTGGCCACAAGCACAGCGCCTGCGGGATGCATCGACTATTCCTCCTCGGATTCGCTCTCATCGCCAGAAGTGTCCGCGTCAGCCCGACCAGCTGCGAAGCCCATGTTGTTGGGACTGCCGCCGCTACCAGCACCGCCTTCACCTTGGAATCGAGCGAGTTGCTTCTCGATATTATCGATGACCTTTTGCTGCTCGTCTTTGCCCATGGGCTTGTGTTTCTTCCGCTTGCCACCGCCACTCTTGGCGCCACGCCGCTCTCCCGGCTCGAAATCATCGTCGTCTGCACCAGCGCCGTCGTCTGGGGTCACAGCGCGAGCCTTTTTGCGTGGGTTGCCAAAGATGCCCCGAACAAACGTCAAGAGCATGGCCTGAACATTGTTGGGTAGATCGTCAATCTCGAGTTCCATTTCTTCTTGCTCGGCATACTTTTGGCAATTGGACGTGATGATTTGTGTCAGCTGCTCGACTTGAGCCGCATTCATCTTACCGACCGCCTCGGATATCTCCTGCTTCTCCTCATACGTGACGTCCCTGGCTCCCTTTTTGGCCTTCGTCTTGGGCGCTGGTGCTGGCTTCGACTTGGGAGCAGGTGCTGCACTACTCTTCTTGCTGTGGCTCTTCGCTGCCTTTGCCTTCTTCGGCTTGGGCGGCTGACCTAACCCGGCAAGGGCGTTCTGCATATCTGCGAGTTGCTTCTGCAACGCCAATATAGTCTGAGCAGCATCTTGCGGCTGCTCTTCCTCCTCATCTTCTTCCTCCTCGGCACTCTCTTCGTCGTCAGAAGCAGAGGCGACACGTGCCTGGCGTTGCTTCTTCTCCCACTTCTCTTTCTCGCGCCACAAAGATTCAAATTCGCGCTGAAGCTGAATGCCCATATCGCGCACTGGATTTCCGTTGGGATTGAAGGCGAGGCAGTTGCTAATCATGAGGTCAAAGTCCTTCTTAACTTCCGAAGCTCGACTATATTGGCCGTTCTTGAGCTTTTGCGTCATGGTCCCCAGATCCATGGGGTTCTTGACGATCTGGCGATAGTGCGGAATATTCAACGCCACGGGATCCACGGGCGTCAAGAAAACGGTAGCAAGAGCCGCATACTTGGGTCCTCGAATCTTGTCCAAGACATCTTCGGCAAATTTCAACTCCAGTTGGTGCTCCTTGCGCTTGGGTTTGGCGTAAGCGAGCTCTCGCGCGGGCGGCGGCTTGATGACACGCGCAGGGCGATTCGTGGTGGACTCTCGACGGATCTGCGGTGTGCCGTCAGGCTGAAGGGCGAATGGTTCCGACGTTCCCGTTATCGCGGGCGTGGGTGCAGGATGTGCAGAGCGCGACTCTCGTCGGGCCAGAGCTGGTGGTTTGGGCGAAGCCTTCTTCGGCTGAGCCTTGGCTGGAGCCGGCTGATTGGCGCTTGGGACAGTTTCCATCATTTTCCTAAAATATGCTTCCATCGCCATACCAGCCTGGGTCACGGCGTGACCCGGACCATTGAACGTTTGCGTGTTGTGGATGATCAGGTTGAAATCGTCTGCAAAATCCTGAACGGTCCCATACTTTCCGCCCTTCAATTTCTGCTCCATCGTGCCTAGATCCATGGGATGTTTGATGATTTCTGTGTACGAAGGGATGTTAAGCGCTATCGGATCGACACGGTGAAGAAAGGGAAGGGAGTTTTTGGTCTTCTTCAGATTCTTCATCTTCTCTTGCAAGAAGCGTGATTGTGCCTGAGTCATGGGCTGAGTGCTATACTTTGTCGTCGATGCGGAGGCCAGTGATCGTGGTGCAACGGGAGGATCTGCAGCGGCCTTCACTTCTGTTCCGACCGGCTTGCTGCCGGAATCCGTGGCCTTTGGTTCGACGTCTGCAGCAGGATCGCTCGATGCCACAGGCGGGGCCTGTACATTTGCGCTTGTTACTTCTTCTGCAGGCTGCTTCACATCCACAACATCAGTCTTGGGTTCTGGGTCCAGTTCCACTTTGGTTTGTACGGGCGCAGGTGCTGGGTTGACATTTGCATCTGCGCTGGCCTCTACTGCAGCTGCACCAAGCTCTTCTTGTCCCGTCTCGTTGATTCTCGTCCGCTTCGCAGCGCGCTCTTCTTCCTCAGCATCACCATCCTCTTCCTCTCGTGGCCGTACAAGGCTCGACTCCGAGGTTGCAGACACCGGCGCAAGGTCTTCGTCAGGCTTGGATTGCGCAACGATTACATTGGTAGGCTCCACCACGGAGTCAGTCGCGGAATGTGACGCAGGCTGTGCAGTTTTGACGGGCTCAACAGGATCCTGGACCACATCCGGTGTCGCGTCCTGAACAATTGCAGTTGATTCTGGCAACACGACTTCCTCAACCGAAGTCATGACCACATCGCCATTGGAATCGGAGGTGACCGCTGGCTCATCGTCAGGTGGAGGAGTGGGATGCGAAGTCGGCGCATCTTTGGGCATGAAATCCGAGACGGGTGTGATGCCTGGCGCGACATGCTCTATTGGTTTGGGTTCAGTTGCGACGGTTTCGGTGTCCATCGTTTCCGTCGGCGCATCGGCTTTCTCGACCAGGTTCGAATCGACTTTTGATATCGCAGCGTTTCCTTCGAAGGCATCGGAGTTTGCGGTGTCGGTCATGGTATGGTCGCCATCACTGTGAGAAGTCAGAGGCATAAGCGGCGCGAAGTGAGACGACGATACAGCGATGCTAATACTACTACTGCTACTACTTCTTTCTTCACTTCTGCCATTTTTCATCTTCACTTTCTTTGCAATGACGCGCTGCTGCCACGGCGACGTGATGGGGACGATGAGGGGATGATTGACGACTTACCCATTGGTGAGTGACTTTTCATTGTGCGCGACGGTGTTGTCCACCGGCTGCGCGACCTCGGAAGCCATATTGGGAGCGACGCGATCAAGGTTCCAGTCGGATTGGCGCAAAGGATTGATACGCGTGCTACGTGTCCTGGCCGCGTCGCGTGATGTCGAGGAAGGCGCAAAGATAAAGAAACACGTCAATGATGCGATGCGCGCACGCGACAGTCAGGCAGCGGCAGGGGTGTGAGGTGGGGCGGGTTGTTTGGTTTTTTTTTTTCGATGGCGGGCGATGTTTCTTTCGAAGCTTGCGGCTCTGTGGCGCCTGCGGAACTTCGAAAGGCGATCAAGTTGTTTAGAAGAAATAGTAAAGAGGGTGATTCGAGAGGCCGCTAGGGTCGGTTCGGTCCGCCGAGCTGTTCCGCGCACCTGACTGGCTGAGCGCTTTTGGGCCGGAAGCCGCTGCCTGCTGGAGCCACAATAATGATGAGTAGTCGCCACCAGACAGGACGCGCGCGCGGTATGTACTAGATGGCGCCAGCGTTGGGGGGAATAGTCGTATTCGCGGTGTGTGCGGTTGGGCGTATGCAGGCAGACAGACAGGTGGCAGGAAAGCGGGCCCAGCGAGTAAAGAGGTGGTAGGAGGTGGTGGTAAGTAGGGTGGTTAGGTGGTCGTAGTGTTTACTCGCGCTATGCCCGCGAGGTGTCGATGTGGTGCAAAAGTGACTAGCGCCCGATGCATAGATGCCTGAGGAGAGGGTGTAGTAGAGGGTAAGGTAAGGTAGGTGGTAGTAGAGGGTAGAGGAGGTGGGAGGGTGCGGGGGTGCGACAGCGGAGGGAAGTTGATGTGGTCAGCACGTTCTGTCGGCGAAAAAAAGGACAAAAAGCAGTTCAGGTGCGGTGCAAGAATCAGGTAATCGTCCAAGTCCAGCTGGGCCAGGACTCAGGAGGAAGACGGAGGAGACGGAGCGGGAGGACAATCATTCTCAAGAGTCAGCAGCGCACGACGGCCCTTTTGAAAAGGCGTCCACGCAAGGTCCGGCCTCTCCCCGGCATGCGTCTTGATTGGGCCTGTGGACCCCCTGAACACCAGGCTACGGCTTCAAATTTCGCACACAGCTCCCAGCCACCGCCGTTCCCAGCAAAGAGCATGACGATCGGCGACGTGGTGGACGCTGGACAGCTGGATAAATGATGGACGCGGGATGGTGGACGCTGGACGCTGGACACCTGAACACTTGGGGAGGAGGCCGTGCTGTGAGATAGTCGTGTGTAAACGGCCACGAACGATGGTGGTGAGAACTTGCTTTGTCTCCGTTTCGTGCGTGAAACAGGTCCATGATGCACAATCGTGACATCGCACTACCTCTTGGCGTCGCAAGCAAATAGGTAATTCTGCTGATCTGATCGTGGTGGCCTCAGGTCCGAGAGTCCGAGGCCGGGGGACCTGTCACTTACATAATGTATCGAAAGGGTAAGGTGCCGTAGCCAAGATTTCGTCGATAACAGCACATAAAGAAAAAAAAAAAGCTTCGCGACTGGGAGCCGAATCAGCGAGCTCAACCACAGCAGCACTTCTCCGTCTGTATCATCCTGCGCGCACTGGAGAGACATGTCATCACTATGAGTACCACCACTAAGCGCCCACGACAACGGCAAGCAGGGCCTCGCTCTGCCTCCCCGCCGCCGCCCTCATCAAAGCGACTGAAGGCCTCTCACAATGTCGCCTCACCTGGACTCGCATTTTTGGTCGATGAGCAGACGAGGCCGGGTAAAAAGCTGGACGCCAAATTGACCAATGGCGTGCCGAGGTCAGGAGCCAACAGAGTGGACGAATCTCATGCCCTCGCTGCGGGAGAGAGCACCGAGGGCGTGGAGGACGAGCAGCAGCACAAGCAGAGTGAAGTAATCAGCATTTCCAGCGCAGACGAATCGAGCGACTTGGAGGATGAGGAGGAGCAGGAAGTAGACGCTGCTCCGCAAGATGGAGCACTCACCAATGGCCATGCGGATGACGAGCAGGCTGCCGCTGGGGACGAAGACATGGACATGGCCGACGCGGAACCCACAGATGAAACCACATTTGGTGACATGCTGCAGGCACGACACCCGATACCAATCGACGTTCAAAAGTCACTGCAATTGAATCACGGCCCTTCTGGAAGTCTCGTGCCCACGGATGGAAGGCAATTAATACAACCACCCACTGCCGGCTCTCTGGGCACAGTTTTGACACAGGCACTGAAGACCAATGACAAAGATTTGCTCGAAAGCTGTTTTGCTATGCCTGATGTAAGCGCCATCCGTGCCACCATCCAACGCCAGCAGTCGCCTCAAATCGCCACCCTTCTACAGCGCATCGCAGAGCGGATACACAAGAGACCGGGACGCGCGGGAAGACTCATGATCTGGATACAGTGGTCTCTGGTGACACATGGAGGCTACCTCGCAAACCAGCCGGAGCTCATGAAGAAGTTGAAAGCATTGGCTCAGGTCACCCGTGAGCGCGCAAACGGTCTGCAGCCACTTCTGCATCTCAAAGGGAAACTCGATCTGCTCAGTGCACAGCTCGAAGCGAGAAGGAACATGCAAGCACAGTCTCGTGCTGTCAATGCAGACGATATGGATGACGAGCAGGGCGTGCTCTACATCGATGGGCAAAACACTGCCTGGTCCAGTGATGACGAGGATGAAGCGGGAGATTTGGTGGGCAAGACGACTAAACGTCTGCCGGGAGCAAACCACGACACCGTATCAGGTGATTCGGATCTGCCCAATGGGTTCATCAACGGCGTGGAAGACGACACGTCCGCCGACGAAGACGAAGAGCGACATGGCGGTCTTGTCGACGACGAGGCCGAGGAAGGCACGAGCGACGAGGAAGATTCGGACGAGGAAGCACCTAGCGTTGCCTCTTCGGATGACGATGACGAAGACAGTTCCGAAGGCGATGAGAGCGAGGTCGAGGCTGTCCGGCCGAAAAATCTGAACCGCAAAAGATGAAGACGTCATCACGGGCGGTATCTGTCATTTCTCTCCGGGCGTTTCATGATGGTATTGGGGAACAACTACAAACTACTGTGCATGCATTAAGCTGAGGAGAAGACGAGGGAGGCAGAGGACTGTACAGCTCGTTTTGTATAGGATGCCCAAACACTGAGATATACTCACTACGTCTTTTGGAAAGCATAGCGAGGCGCACATAGGAAGAAGGGATCAATCCAATGTTGCTCTCGATGCCCAGATTCACACTTTCATGCCGTAGCAGAGTGAATATCTTGCTGATGAAGACAAAATAGAATCAATCACATGCACACAAGGGCTGTGTCTGTCCCAGTGCCACCTCTTCTGTAGAAAAATCAGCACAAACTGACCGTCGCGATACTGCTTGTCGAGGCTTCGGAGATGTGATGTTCCATCATCCAGAACATGTGAGATACCACAATAAATCAAGCAGTGCATACAGTACCATCGAGGCGGACTATGAAGAATAATGTAGGAGAAGGAAGAAGAACATCAGCTCATTGAATTTCGAAATCGACGAGAGGTAAAGACATCGTGACTGGAAAGGCCTCCATCCATGAAGACCGGTTAGTAAGTACAAGTACCTGGTATCTTGACACTAAACGCCTCGCCTTAGCATTAGGTAGACTTTCGAATTCCAAGACCAGGTTTTATTGTTGCTCATCAGCAAAGCAGGTGGATGTTTTATTTGCGTATATCTCATCTTCAAACTACCTACCTAGGTAGTCCTTGTCGCGTAGGAGGTAGTAAAATAGGCATCATCCGTTTTTGCGCATGTACATTGGGTTATCTTCAGGCGGGTACATGTACCTTTTCTTTGCATAAGGTAGGTATAGTGACATAGACGACAATTTAAGCTTGGGTCTTCGGTCCTCGGAGAACGGAGAAGATGCAACGACGACGCCCAAAAAAGACACATACATTGGATGGATCTGGTATAGCATCGAAGATGCTTGTTCTGCAGTCCTGCTTGCAGTGGTCAAGAAGAGTAACTACCTGGTAGATACATTACCTTCTTCTATTCTTGAAGCGGTGTGGGCATGTTGGCATCGCCATTTGCGTGCTTTGCTTTTTTTTCTGTTTTTTGGTTTGTTTTATGTGATTTTGCCTTCTTGATGTACATAACCTATCTGTAAGGTAGTGTGAGACTGTGAGTTGTTCTCGACCGATCGATCTACAAGGGCTGTCGACAATATACTTCTTCTACTACCAACCTACGCGGGCTTGCTGACGTCGAGTGCGTCCACGGCCCTCCGTTCATCCCCGACCAACGGACATCTCTGGGATACATGCTCATATGCATGTACTGGTCACATTCTTGCACACACTGCCCATATACCTTGCAGAGCGAGCGCTGTAGCAGTGGCTGGAGACGGGGTAGGTACCGATCATCATCATCATCATCATATCACTTACTGTTGACCGCGGGCGAGCATTCCCACCCACCACCATACACATACCTACTACACTCGCACACCACGTCGGGAGAAAGAGAGAGAGGGAAGCACAGCAGAAAGAAAGAAAGAAATATGACGTTACATCTGAATCTGCCAGGCTCGCACCACCGCAGCGCCGAACAGCAAGCGCAGCTCCGAGAGGCACGACGGTTGCTGCGAGATAAGATCCGAAATGACTGGGAATATCCGCCACTGCCGGCCTGGAAGTCGAGTGGGCGGCACGAGGCAGCGAACAGCGCAGCAACAGAGGAACTGAACGTCGAAGATCGCATCGCGGGCTTTCGATTCCACGCTCCGAGCACCCCGGACCGCGCGAATGGAGTGGTGGGCGAGGCATTGGGACTGGGCTTTGAGCCGATCGAGTGGAGGGAACGAGAGGATTCCGATGTCTCTGAAACCGAGTCGGAAGTGGCAGCGATGACACCTGCGCACACCACATCATCATCGAGCAAGAGCAAAGTGGAAACGTACAAATTCGACGCTCCGGATAGCGTGGGCCCACAGCTGCACAGCCGTCAGCAGGCGCGCAAGCGGAAACGATGGCAGGCTGTGCACGAAGAAATGGAATGGAATGACGGCTTGGCGCACTGGACCAGGCGGAGAGATGTGTGGTGCTGTGCTCGAGAGACACGAGACGTGCGACTCCTGGAAGGCAGCAGTGGTAGCGGACTTGCAGACCACGCGCCGCCAGCGAGAGGAATCGTGCATATTGAGGTCGATTCCGGGTCTGCCTCTGGGGGATCGACTCCACGAACGTCCACTTCTTCTTCTGTCGAAGCGCATGTGTCCAGTACGCCCGCTTCAACACCGTCCGGGTCGCCCGATGTCACCGGAGCAGCAGCAGGATCAACAGCAGGGACCTCACTGCGCTCGAGTCCCGCAACGATACCTTTGGACGTTCTAGTACCTATAGCACCAGCACTCCTACCCAAACGTAAGTCCAGTCATCCTTTCCACTGAAGAAAAACTCCCCCAAAATCACTACTAACTCTCCACCCTCAATTTAATTTCCAGACCCCATCCGCAAACGCATCAACCACGACATGTATCCCGAAATCTACAACAAAATCATTCTGCAATCCCGCACGCCCTCGGTTCCAATCAACTTGCTCACGCTGCTCCGTGCGCTGGTGCAAGGCTGGAAAGACGATGGCGAATGGCCGCCCAAACCGGGTGTGCTCGAAAAGTCGTTTACCACGCGGAGGAAACGAGGGGGTAGTGGAGGGGGAGGGGGAGAGGGGAGTTTGAAGTCGGGGGTGAAAGCGGTGGGGAGGGTGTTGAGATTGACGAGTAGTGGTGGTGGTGGTGGTGGTGTACCTTCTTGAACAAACATATCAAGGTTTGGAAGGTTCCATATGTAAATGAAAGGATGTGGATGGATGATGAGCATGGATTGGATTGGTTGGTTTGTTTGGCTGTACAGCGTTTACAGTCTGTTCTTGTTCATGAATTGAGGTTTCCCCTTTATGTTATGGCGATGCAGCTATTTGAGTCTTGTGATATACACTCAAAAAGAAATCTACGCAAATGGCTTTGTAGGTTTCCATCAACATTTCTTTCCTCTCCCCTCCACCCCTCTCTTGATTTCCAATTCTTATCCCACTTCATATGCCCAAAAAGAAATCTGTTCTTCAGATTTGTTCTCCTCTGGCTTTTGGCTTCTTCTTCTTCTTCTTCTTTGGTGGTCATGACATGTCGTGAAAATTAATAAAGGTACAAAGGCGTCGGTCTCGCCTCATCATGTTACAAAACATACGTGCATCTCAGTATATCAACTCGTCTCAACCGAGCTCGAGGAAACAAACACATATGAACTTCAAGTACGCAATGCCCGAGCAGCAGCCGCAGCCCTCTCTTCCGAACTACGTCGATACAGATCCAAAAGCTCGAGACCATCTTGCTCGATGAAAACCTGGATGGTGTGCGTAGTGCGCGCAGAGCCTTGCGTCATACTCCTCCCGACAGTTCTGGTGCTGGTGGTCATTTCTCGCAAGGAGTCCCGACGTGGTGGTGGCATTATGGGTACATCGTGTCCGTGTTCCTGTTCGTTTGCGTATCTCTCTCCAAAGGTGGTAGCGACTGGAGTGGGAGGGTTGGCCGCCAGCGGCGCTAAAATGGGGAGTTCCTTTTTCGGAGTCCCGCGGTATGGTATCATTGGTGTGAAGGGTTTAGGGAAACTCTCCAGTTGGGCAGTGAGGTCTGTGATGACTGGAGACCCTACATCGGCTATTGCCGTTGTTGACGTACCTGTAGGGTAGACTGGCAGAAGCGAAAGTGCTTTACCCGAAGCGGAATTGATCGGGCGAACTTCAACGTTGACGTTGGGAGCTCTTTGTTTTGTGGAGCTCACATCGGAGACGCCGATCGAGTGCGCAAATTTGGAAACCAGAGCAGGGAAATTGCTCTTGGGAGGGTCCGAGAGACCTTCATGGGACTCACGCTCGATCGCTGGCCGCTCTTCATTTTTCCTCCGCGCGCTACTTTCGTATGTGCCAGACTGCGGAGGAGTGTACGTGGTGGGCGCCAATATGAGCCCTTTATCGGCATCCTCATGCCGCTGCGAGAGAGCAGTTTCTCGTGGACGCACCCAATTTGCAGGAATCTCAATTCCTCCTGGAATGGTCTCTGAGGGCACATCCGCTGCGTCGTTCTGGAAAGATGATAAAGACAGTCGATGTTTCAGGCTTGCAGTCTCGCTCGTGAATGAGAGAGTTCTCAGGAAACTAGACTGAGTGGAGCGATCGGCGAAAAATGTCTCTCTCCTGCTGTCTGGCGTCGATTGACCTGTGAGAGCATATGGGCTCTCGCTCTCTGTTGAGGGGGCGACAGAGGACTTTCGGGGCTCCATTGCCATCGATGCGATCATGACAGCTATGTTGTCACCGGGCGGCTTGGTCTCGTGCGTCGTTTGAGCGATGAGAGCAGATATTGCCTCTTCCTTTCGACAATCCAAGGACTTCAATTTTGCAAAGCATATATCCATAGATGAGCCCACGGAAGCGAGCGACAGCTGATCGTTCAGGAGCGAGTTCCGATGTTCTGTGTCCGTCCTTTGCTCCTTCAGTTTTTCAATGATCCCACTTGACAACCTCTGGCGTTCCATTCGCAGACTAGCATAACGCGTGTGCAATGCATCGCACTGTTGGCTCAAATCTTTCAAAGTGGCAACTGGATCTGTGACTCCCATGGGGGAACCGCATGGGTCTAATGTCTCGGCTGGAATGGCTCCATGGAGCACTCCCGATTCGGAGCCTGATGAACGTTCTTTGGCTGATTGACCGAGATTGTCTGCAGACGGACTCGGATTCCGCAGCGCGGCAACCTTGGCTCTTGCAATGGCTAGCGCGGTCTTTGCGTCAGGTCTGATAAGCGACTCGGATGGGGCAGCCTCATCATTGGCATATCGCTTCTGGTTCCCCACGTTCTCGCGAGAGTGCTCGCGAATGGCATCGGCTATGCCCTGTCGATCGTCTGTTGGTGACACCCGCGCAGGGGATAGATTTTGAGCGGCAGGCGGGACCTGGAAACGAGAATGTGGCACTTTACTCGAAAAGCCGCGGTGGTCTGCCATGCTTGTTGACGGCATGGGAGGAGGACTTTCGGGCGTGCGTTCACTCCTCAAGCGGTCTGCACTTTTGTGCGACCTGAGCTCTACACTGGAAGCATTCAAAGGCGTATTGGCATATATATTTGGTACTCCAGGGAGCCGAGAAACCGCGGGCTCGGGCGAGACCGTAGAATGTATCGCTCCGGCGGTTTTCGGGCGCATTGGCGAAGAACCGTAGCTGTTGAGACTTCGTTTAGTAGATGATTCTTCTCGTGGAAAGATCTTGGGCCAGAAGTTGCGCCGTGTACGACTGGCAGGAGTGGCGTGTGATTCTGGCGCTCTGATAACTGGCATAGCTGGAGGCTCGAGCGGATGCTGCTGCGTGAGCGGTGACACCGGACAGTCGGACGCAAGATCAAGGCGAGGTTGATGGCCTTGAGTCACAGGGGACCTAGAAACATGATTTTCGCCCTTTTGGTGATGTCTTGCAGACTTCGGAGGCGGGGGAGGTGGACGCTCGATTGTGTCTTTTGTCACTGTTATGCGAAGATTAGGCCTGGATCGTCTCGAACCGAGGGCGCCGCCAGAGGACGATGAGGCCATTTCTGTAGGCTGGGGAGCAGGAGAGCGTACGACATGGTCAGGAGCTGAGGGGGAGTTGCCATTTCCATAGCGTGGATTGCCAATAGCTGCACGGCCAGGTCCATTTGCGGTGGGAGATGGTTCAGGAGCGCTAGTGGTTCGCATGTGGTCGCTTTCCGCCCCGACCGGTTGCTTGCATCCGAGAGAATTCGCGGCAGCACTATCGACTTCTCGCACACTCTGCAAAGTCTTGATGTCCGGCAAGCTCCCCTGCCGAAGCGCAGTGGTCGAAGAAGATCCGGTTGCGAGCAAGTTCGCGTGCGAAGGTGTCGCACCTGCCTTTTTGGGACCCTTCTCGATGGAGGATGATCGACCACGGCAGGCGCCGCTGGCTCTCCTTCGGTTGTCCCTTTGAAGGGTGACAGGCGACGCTGGCGGTGTTGGCTCGACGGTAGGAAATAATCGATAGGAGGGTGCTGCTTTCCGAGCTGGTCCCGGATCCCGTGAGCTGTGGGAGCTGGAGGGCGCGGGAGATTCCATGATACCTGTAGTGATGATGGATGAGGATGATGATAACGATGAGGTTGGTGGTAGTGGTGGTGGCGGTCGTGGTGGCGGTGGTTATGTTCATAGGTTGGTGGTGATTGGCAGTGCGACTGTTGCCTCCCTCGGTCGCTCAGATGATCCAGTGCATGGTGTGATGGTTGCAATCGAGAAGCCCTCAGCCCGCCGAGAGCAGAGAGCAGAGAGCAGCAGGCCAGCAGCAGGGGAGGTGGGACAGGCGGAGATAGGACAGGCGGAGGGAGGGAAGGACGGAGGGAGGGACTCGAGAGGTGTTTGTGAGTACGACGAACGTTTACCTCAGGTAATGGTCGGCAGTGGAGGGAAGTCAATCGTGGGCGTGGACATTGGGGAGGACCATGCTACATCTACCTTAGGTACTTGCTACTATCACTCGTGCGTAGGTGGGAGGCCCTCAGGGCATCGGCGTCTTGATTCTTAACAGTCTCGGCATGTCGCTGGGGCCGGAGTCTCCTGGCTGTCATGCACCAGCCCACAAGCCCAGAGGCACTACGGCCACTACCACACTACTATCTCCTACCTCCTAGACCACTTCACGTTCGCTTCCATGATTGCTTTTATTGGGGAACAGGGTGGTGGCACACCCATTGCCCTTCTGCCCTGTGCTTTTGTCGCGGCTAGCAGAAGCTTGTCGCTTGGCACCGCACCGAGGCCACCGAAGGCACACTAGTCGGCACCAGCGCCCATGACCGTCGTCGCCATCGGGAGACGGGCACCACGACGCTATTATCCTCAATTCCACTATGTATCTGATGTATAGGTTAGGTTGTACTGTGTAATGATCAATATACCTCCTGTCAGGGCAGGGAGAACCTGCTGTTGTTCTTGTCGCCCGTTCGAGCATCGCATCTTCTCTGTTTGCAAAAATCACATCTCGATCCCATCGGCCGCCGCATCATCATCATCATCCCCCCATCCTCATCATGAGACTGCCGTTTGCGATTTGACTTCTCGCCATCGGTGTGAGAAGCCGTCTCGCTGGACATGCACGAGTCTCCACCCCGGGCACCGGATGCCGCTCCGGCCCGTCGAGTCATGTTTGGCACAGGGACCCTGTCTATCACACGAGTCCTGATATACCACCTATTTTAGTGCCGAAATGAAGGCAGTCCTGCCCGAGCAACCACCTCCAGTACCTTACAGCTATCGGACCAGGATCTCGAGAGACTGCTATAATGGATGACCTTGCCAACGCCAGATCTCGACTACCGTCTCGCCCTGGCTCTCTCGGACTGGTGCTCGCTGCTTGGGGCTGGTCTGCCGGATGAAACCTGCCTCCTACACCCTTCCCTCCCTCCCCCCGAGAGGCAGCTCTCCAGCAGTGGCGGGCCGCACTGCATGAAAAAAACACCCCCAACTCCTGAACATCACATCAGATTCGACCCCTCCAGTGCCTCGCGTACCGCATTTTCTCTACCATTCTCATGGAGAAGTGTGCCAATCCAACGTGCTGTCAAACAGAGCTGTGTCTTCCGCGCCGGCTCTTGCTGCTGCCTCACAGGCTGGGGGGCGATGAGCCCTCATGCGGCATGTGATGTGATCGTGGTCCGGTTGTGGTCTCCGGAGGCCAGCCTCTGTACCACGCATTCGTTATGATCAGGGCATTCCCAGATTTGTCGCCATTCGATTGCCACTGTACTGCTGGCGTGCATGATATGATGTTGACACATGTCGCATCTGCTTACCGAGCAAGGCCGCATGTAGCCATCTCCTCTACATGTGCGTGAGTGTTCTCGATCCGGCCTCCACGCAGGCAGCGATGATCTCAAGTCGACTTAAAGGACTCTGTAAATGCGAGGCATACCTAGCTTATCGTCGCTGGTAAAAGAGGATCTCACTGTCTGAGGTGTAGTAGTGATTAGGTATTGAGTGAGGGGCCGAAGGCTAAAATAACACGAATACGAGTACGGCACTGCTATACAACTGACATCATTATCTACATGTACAGGTAGTGATCGAGCACCTATAGAACCATACAGGTACATACATGTAGATGAGCTATCTTGAGCTTGTAGGACATCTCATTTGCGCTTTTCGAGATTGATTGCAGACGGGAAGGTTTCCAAACAACCACGAACTTTTGCTTTTGACGAGTGACGAGTGACGAGGCCTACAGCACTCTGAAACCAATGAGGCTATTCTGGACTCTGGATGCAGTCAGGTAGTGAACTAGCGGCGTTACAGAGTGCAAGTTTCATAATAATAGCAGATAACGCGCCTGGTCCCCCGGGCGGCCGGGCCAGCCAGTAGACATACCTACACAAGAATCGCGGGCTCATTGTTCACGGTCGTCGGTCGTGCCCTTCCTCACATACATGTACTTGCACCCACAAGGCGAATACATACGAGACATCGAAAACCTTGAATACAGGCTACAGAATGTGATGAGGCTGATTTCTACCGCATGTCACAGTCACGGCAGTGGCTTGTTGATGAGGGTATTTGATCTCAGGTCCGAATACCTTGCGACGGCCAAGTACCTGGTAACAAACTGTCCCCATCGTTTGGATTGGCTAGCCTACTTGGAATCCTCAGTTGCCCATCCTGTTGGCTCCAGTCCCAATCCTCACAGTAGCAGGCACAATATCCGTCCTCTCCACCGCAGCCCAAATCGCAGTCACAGCACCGACAGCACTAATCACAGCCCGAGCCAAATTGACAGTAGCCCATTTGTCCACCAAGCCATGGACACTGTCCTCGCCGACCGACTTCTCCCTGACGTCTGCGCTGGTGAGCGTCCTCGCCTTCTCCTCCAGTTTCTTATTAATAGGCTCGCCGAGAAGGAAAGTGAACGGAAGCAGAGAGAGGAGCAGGCTGGAAGATGTGGTGTACATGATAGCAGGTTTCGTCCAGGTTTCATCTCTGTAGGCGAGAAAGGCAAAGATGCCGCTGGAGAAGACGCTGATCAAGGGCGCGACGAGCTTGTCAGAATCGTAGAGGGTCTTCCACTGCTTGGCCAGGAGGGAGGGGCTCTCGGCGCGCATGAGAGCTGGTACCGCGCTGAAGCTGGCGCTGAATGTCTTTCCTAGAGAGCAGAGGAGTCAGAGAGGTCTGACGAGTGTAGATGGTAAGTGTATTCTGTATGTCATAGGTACATGTACATACCAGCTAGGAAAGCAGATGCCGTCAGACCTAGGACCTGAGCAGTGCGCAGGCCTGCTGGTAGATCGTCTGTATAGAAGGGTCGGGTGGTCATCTTGGCGGTTTCTGGTCAAGTCTCTGATGCAGAGTCGGCACGCTGAAGTGTTTGGGAGAAGGTGAAGACGGGGGAAAGTCAAGATGGCACAGGTTCTGGGGGGTGTTGTTATGTATCACAACGTGAACGTACATGTACCTCCAGCTACCTCCTACCTCCTACCTCATACTGTCAGGTAGTACCTCCTACCTTACTCTTACCATTGAAGTGGCATCCGCTCTCTCCCTTGCGGGCAGTGTCACATGCAAGTGACATCACCCGAACCTGCTTTTGCGACCCATTCGAGCCTTACCTACATTACCTACCTCCTACCTGGGTACTTCACAAGGAGCGTTTGCTGAAGTGCTGTTGTTGTTCCAAGCGAGGTCGGGTATGCGCTAATGATAATGCGCTCCTTAAGGAGGTACCTGACCTACATATAGCTGACGGATGCTCTTGAGGGCCTGAGGTGTCTGTCGGCGAGATCATACATGTCGATCCTAACTCCCATCAGTGCTGCTTGCAGCATGCTTGGCCTAAGAAGGTTTCGACTAGACTACTGGTTGCCATAGCAAGACCTAGCTGCCCAGCCACTGTTTACGTGTTTACGCACCTCTCCAGTTTTCACCTGAAGCGCTGGCCCGGCCATGAGTCCCTACATGTACCTTACTGTCGCGTAGCGAGCAGCGCTGTCGGTGGGCAAGCAATAATAGGCATGTAGTCCTGCACACCATCTTCTAGCTGCAGCACAATTGATTGCCATTCATTGATTGAGGGAATCGAGGACGGTGAGGTACGCCCAGACAACATGTGTGATGGCGCGTACCCGACGTGTCAGCATTCAGTAAATGATGTTGGTGCCACCGGGGAATATCCCATAGGTTGAACAGAACAAGGAGTCAAAGTGTGCTGCTAGGCCCAGCAGTAGTCTGTTGATATGAAAAGAGACCAGCTTTCCTTCTTGTGAACATGTTGCTTGAAAGACTGCCATACCTTACCTATCCTGTTACGCGTGAACTGCTGTTCCTCCGTTCTACCTGTCATTGCTTCCCGCGTACCGTACTCGGCACTCATCGGTGGCGTCGAGTCTAGTCCACTTTTCTCGAGACCAGAAGACACACTGAACCCCTCTGAATACCTACCTCCTACCGTACTTTACCTTCTCTCGCCAGACGGGACGACATGTGTTGAGCGGCATTCTTCTGGTGCCCAGGTGTGATTGTGAATTTCGGTTGTGATTGTGATTGTTGTGAGGCTTGCAGGGTTTCGACACAGCAACCATAACCTTGCCGGCGTGACAACCGCAATTAGGTGTCAACGCACTTTCGTCAGGTCTGCAGCAACTGGCCTCACCGAGTCACCGACAGACACAACAACAACGACAACGCGGAGAGCACGGATGGAACACGCACGTCGCCAGCGAAGGACGCTTCCCACTCGCAACCATCACCGATAGCCCCAACTTCCATCGCGAACTGGACCACTGGTTCAAAGCAACGACAAAAACGGCCCAGGGTACCCTGTGTAAACAGTCCTACTCATGGACGAACCACCTCCACCACCGCCGCCACCTCATGGCGCAAACCCCCGGCCACCGGGCGGTGGCCTCCCAGATGGCAACTACGACATCTTCATCATCCCTCCGCACTCCGCCGGCTCCGGTTTTCTCTACTTACCTTCGATGCAACCTCATCGAAACAGCTTTCTTGCTGGCGTAGCATCCACTCTGCTGGCCGTCGGTCTCTACACGCTCGTCACTCCCGTCATCAAGCAGTGGCTACTCCTGATAGCAGCCGGCGGAGCGGGCGTGGGTGTGTCAGTCCTGGTGCTGGTCGTTGGCGTGATAGCATGGGCTCTGGGCAAGTCACAAGCAGGGAGCAGCTCCAGCTCGAATTCGGAAAATGGTGGAAGCGCTGGTGGTAATGGCCCCCATCAGCGCTCAAAGTACACGGGGCCGCCACCAAATAGCTGGCAACAAGCTCCTCCTCCTCCTCCTCCTCCTCCGCCGCCGCAGCCTGAGTACAACGCTCCGCCCCCGCCGAGGCCCGAGTATCATGCTCCGCCACCGCCACCGCCGAGGCCCGAGTATCATGCTCCACCACCGCCACAGCCGGAGTATCACGCTCCTCCACCGCCGCGGCCTGAGTATCATACCTCACCACCGCCACAGCCTGCGTATCAAGCTCCACCGCCACCAAAACCCGAATACCAGGCTCCACCGCCTCCTCCACCTCAGCCAGAGCCGCCCAAAGCAGCACCCAAACCGGAACTTAAACCGGAACCCAAACCGGAACCTAAGCCGGCACCCAAACCGATGCCTAAAGCGAATGAGACCAAAACCGCATGGGAGAAGGCTCGAGAGGAAACGCGGAAACGAGAGGAGGAGCGACGGCGAGCAGAGGAGCTCAAGAAGAAGCGAGAGGAGGCGCAGAAATTGCGTGAGGAAGCAGAGCGAGCAGCAAAAGCAAAAGCGGAAAAGGAGAAATGGGAGCAGGCGCGTGCTCGAGAGAAGGAAACACGAGAACGAGAAGCCCGAGAACGAATTGCGCGTGAGAGGGAGGCGCGTGTGAAGGAGCAGAGAGAGAAGGAGCAGAAGGAGCGTCAGGCGCGAGAAGAAGCCGAAAAGAAGAAGGCGGATTGGGAGAAGGCCAAGTTGGCCGAGAAGGAAAGAGCAGAACGCATACGAGCAGCTGCAGCGGCGGCGGCCAGTGTTCGCTCTACTCCCACCAAAACACCTACCGCGCCTTCGGTATACGAGAGGCCGACAGCGAAGTCGCACGCTGGTACAGAGACGACGTACTCGTATCGTCCATATGAAAAGGCCAAATCCGCTGCCTTTACTTCGTCGGCATCTTCCATATCTGGCTTGAGCGAGAGCAGCTATGCACAGAGTGTTAGTACCGCTCGTACGACTCCTCCGCCGTCCATGAGAGGGCCTTACACGACCACCGATCCCAACAAGATTCAGATCAGGGCTGTATACCTGTTCAGCGATAGCTCCCCGACAAAGCCACTATCTCAGCTCGTGGCCAATGAAGGACCCGTGACTGATGGGCTGATTCTTCATATCAAGACCGAGGGCTTGTTCATCGACGATGACGTTCGTGAAGTGCCCCAGCGCGAGTGGGATGTGAAGGCCTGGACATTGAAGGTGGTCGAAGATGGTGTGACCAAGGCTCAAGGCGGTGCTTTGCACGTCCTTCGAGCGACGACGAGAGATACCGAGAACAAGAGGTATACTTTTGTGTTGGATGAGACGGAAGCGTGGAAAGTGGCCGTGGGACTGCAGCGCCTCAAGGCTGGAAGTCAAGTGAGAGCACTGGATCTGCGTGGCATGAAGGAAGCCGAAGTCAGACGAGTGTTGGGAGGTCTCGGATGGGTTTGAAGGATGGACTCAATTCTGGATTGGAATGTGGGCTTTGTAGAATGATGCATGATGGAATGAAGCTGCGGCATTCAGCGGAGGGCGTTTACGTTATGGGTGAGCGATTTCTTGATTCCCCGGTGTGTTCATCGACTAGGACCAATCGTCCTTGGAAGAGAACACTTTGTGTATAGTGAGTGTTGTATATACCCGACGACGAAGCAACGTTTGAATCATTCAATCATCGAACACTTTCATGCCTTGAAACAGTGAAGAATAGCTCGTGCGCTAAATGTTGAGGAATGTAGTCTGTTCTACTTGATATAAATGAGTCTGTCTGAAGTGTCACTCACGTTGGGGGGTATCTCATCTCGAATCATCATCTTGTCATATATTTTTTTTTTAAATCACCCTGGAATTCTCGCTCTTTCGGATGTTCTATTCAGGCATCCCGGCACAAATAAGTACTGAAGCTCGAACTTTCCACCCTATAAGAAGTTTCCTGCCGAATAATCATCTGGTCTGAATCATCGCTTTTCTTGCGCGAAATGTATAAATCATGATGCGGGAATTTCTTTCTTCTGGTACTACTGTTGTTGTTCTTCCCTGTACTTTCGGGAGCGTCTCCGCGCACGTGCACGCTGTATTCGAATTGGGACTCGGGTCGTAATCGTGGGCGGTCGCTGTTAAGTGGCGGTGGTGGTGGTGGTTGTTGTTGTTGTTGCTGCTCGGTTTGGGATTTGGTCATGGATCGGAGCTGGAGACTGGCACCTTGTGATCTGCTCTCGGAGTGCGAGACTGTGGTGTTGCCGTACATGGTCAAGACCCCGCGAGACATGAAGGCCCAGAGGAAGGTGCGCAGGCAGGGGAAGCTGGCAGAGATTAGGGAAAAGCCGAGGTGGACTTCTTGCCATGCGACCACGGGCGAGATGGAGATGCTGTTGCCGCCGCCGTGAAGGAAGTTGAAGTACGAGACGGTCGTGGCAATGGAGAATGCGATGACAATCAGTCGGAACATGTACACGAATATCACGATTCGCTTCTTCGAGGCCTTGAGCTGGTTCTTGCTGATGAACCAGATGGGCATGGCGAGGATGATCAGCTCAGTCAGGCAGTCCCAGACGGTGATGACCGCCCAACGAGCCGTCTACCAGTACGATTAGTGAGTGTGTGCAACCAACTAACCCATCTTCCGCAGCGATTTTTGCATCTCACATTTGCATCGCAGACGGCGTCTACACGTGCGACCAAGGTCTCGTCTGGGCGACATCCTGCAGAGCTCAGAAGAATTCCGGCGATTCCATATAGCACTATCATGGCATATGCGATGCCGAAGAGAACTTTTTCCTTATAAATATCGCCAGAAAAGATTCGGCGGGTGAAGACGATGATGGACAGCTTCGATAGGCAGTGCGCCGCAAAGAATGCAATCCTCGAGCCAAAATACACCTGCAAATGGTGTGAATCCCAGTCAGTGCCTCGATCTCATGATATCGCCATGACCCGATATTTACGACTCGGTATGATGGTGGATCCCGTACCCTTGCAGCAAAGCTCAAATCAGAGGAGGATATGGCAATCGATGCGATACCCAAGCCCTTTGCGATGGCGTGGAACAGCATTCCCCAGTGCACGACGCTCGCCATGTACCCAGCTCCCAGGACCAGATCGTCCCACCACAGCATATCCCATTTTCCAACAAATCGCGCCGCCAGACACAGGACGCTGTAGACGAAGGACAGGAAGCTCGCTACCCACAGCCAAGCCCGCACATCGATCGCAGTCGGGGTGACAAAGCCGGAGTTCATCGTGCGATCAGCGGATCAGAGGACGGCATGAGGGTAGAGAGCGCAGAGCAGAAGAATAATGGGAGTGGATCAACGGCGGCGAGAACCACGCTCTCGCGGCGGCGGCGGCGGCGGTGGTGGTAATGGTCGTGACGGGGGGCGGCGATGCGATGTAAATCAAAAAGACTGTACGTACCGTACACGAGGTACGTAGAGGTACAGCGCGCGAGCAGCTGGTTATCGCTATATTGTACAAAGTACTTTTGGCTGTGTCTACCATCGACGTCGGCGGTGCATCGTTTTATGCAACATGCAGGAGGCCAGTCAGAAGTAACGGTACAGTAGGAGGTATAGTAGGATTCATGATTGCGCTGCCCACACGGAGGACATGATAGGGTTCACGCCTTCGCTGCAGGTCTCTCACGGAAACATTCCAAACTGTTGCTGGAGGTCCGACAAGTGGGAGCCACCGTATTATCATTTACACCCCTACTTAGGTACAGTGAGGGTGGTGGAGCGAGCCGTCGTGTACGTCTTCTGTCTGGGAGAACGTTAGGTTACCACAGCCAAGCCCATCCACCAATCAGAAGGGCGAAAAGTCCCCCGCCACCACAGCACGCCAAGCCCGTTGGTTCTATCGCATCCCGGACATATGTGGACATGACGATTGGCGAGCTTGAACTCCTCCAGACTACTCCCTCTCCGTACTAGGTAACTCCAACTTCCCCAACTGCACTGCACTGCACTGCAACTGCGTCCGACTGCACGCTCGCTCGCCGCTGGAGCAAGATCCAGTTGCAACTTCCGGGTCCAGCCACCCAGTCTACGCTATAGCTGCATATCGTGCCATACTGACGGAGAAGTTAGCCACCACCGCTTCATCCGCCGACTCCTCCCCTCTCCCTCCACCACGAACCACTGGACCCTCGGTGGCACAGCGTCAGCCGAGGCGTTGATGCCGCTCGCCCGCCGCGCGGACTCTGCCACTCGCAGCCACCCAAAGAGCCAGTCGTACCGCTAGCTGTTGTGATCTCTGACACTACACTCTATCCGCGATATTCGAACCGACAGGACTGGAGAGCACACCACAGCTGTTCGTACCACAGCGACTGATGACAAGTGGGCAGCGGCCCTGTGGATGTCAAGAGGAGCTGGCCGGCACACCGATACCTTATCCACGCGCGATTATGTGGGAAAAAGCAATGCACCCGTTGCTTTTTGATCAATTCATCCCCGAGGTTTGAAACGAGGCTAGAACCAGTGTAGATCTCCTGGACGTCCTTTTGGAATAGTCCATCGTTTATGCTTTGCGCGAATGGCAAACAGACACTGCGGGCGCACGGCGACCTGACCCTGGTTGTCGTGAAATGGCAGACTATTCGTCACTACCGACTGCAAGTGATTGTTCATCACCATGTGCCGCACCGAGATACGCCAGATAGTGAGCGGCTCGGCTCTCCTGATAGCCGCACGCACTGTTGGACCGTGGAGCCGTCGAGGTTCGGGCATGCCAAAATGTACAAATGCAAAAGCCAAGCTCGACGAGTCTGGGGAGTTTCTCATTGGCATTCGCATCCCACGAAACGTAAAAGTTGTGGCGACCTGAATGCGCACGTGGCGGACGAGAGGATGATCTCCTTGTCATGCCAGAAGGCACCGCTTCCCTCCTTCTGGCAGGAGCGTTCAACGTTACATTCTCTACCATTTAGAGCTTAGTCCCTGCTCGGAGACGTCTACCTCTTCGAAGGGTCTTTTTTGGTTCTTCATCTTCTGCTTCCAGCATCGCATCGTATCGCATTTTCTTTTCCTTTGCCTTGAGTGGCTTTTGTATCGTGAATCGGCATTATCAAGATGCAGAACGTACAGCTTGATGACTATCACAAGGACCATACGATCGCCGAGAGCAATGTCGATCTCGACGCGGACAGCGATTTCCAGCAGTTGCGAGCTCGACATTATGATCCTCACAGTGGTTAGCAAGCAAGCAATCCGCAATGCAAGAGCGTTCGTGAGAGTGGCATTGACATGATGTATAGATGAGCGGGACATGAGAAGATTGGGGAAGAAGCAAGAATTGAAGGTGAGCAGTAGCCGAACAATTGGACCTGTGGAAGCGCATTCGTACTGACAAGGTCAGCGTCGATTCCGCTTCTTCTCTGTCGTGGGCTTCGTGGTCGTCCTGGGACTCACGTGGGAATTCTCCCTCACTACCCTCGTCTTCAATCTCGGAAACGGTGGCACGGCTGGTGCGATATGGCTGGTGCTTGTGGTCTGCTGCTGCATGTTCTTCGTCATGTTGTCCATGGCGGAGTTGGCATCGATGGCACCTACGTCTGGAGGGTAGGAGTTTAATGAACATACCCGCAACGTGTCTGCGACCATCGCTAACTTCATCCCGCCGCAATGTAGGCAATACCGTGAGTACTTTGCGTGGGACAAGGCTAGGACGATTTGAGCGCGTTGCTGACTTGTGCAGACTGGGTGTCTGAATTCGCGCCTCCGCATCTACAACGAATTCTATCGTACGCAGTCGGCTGGCTTTGCGCGCTCGGGTGGCAATGCGCAATGCCTACTGTCGCCTACATTGGCGCTCAGCAGGTGCTTGCACTGATTGTCATCTGCACGGACGGAAGCTATGTGATCCAGGGATGGCACGGCTCGCTCATGACCATGGCATTTGTACTCTCGGCAATCTCGTTCAACACCTTTGCGATCGGCAAGCTACCGATCCTCGAGGGTCTGGCCGTTGTCCTTCACATCTTCGGCTTCTTCGCATTCATCGTCATCATGTGGGTTATGGGCCCACGAGCAGATGCAAAGATCACGTTTACCAATTTCACGGATGCGAATGGATGGGGCAGCGTGGGATTGGCGACGATGATTGGCATGGTCGGACCGACCACAACATATCTTGGAGCAGACAGCGCTGTACATTTGGCGGAAGAACTCAAAGATGCCAGCTACGTGCTGCCGCGCGCAATGTTCTCCGCAGCCATCATCAACTACATTCTCGGATTCGTGACTACCGTGACTTTCATGTTCAACCTGGGTGATCTCGACGCGATCCTGGAATCCTCCACTGGACAGCCCTGGGTCGCAACACTATACACCATCACAGGATCCAAGGCCGGCACGATTGTTCTGATTGTCATCATGACTGTCATGGTAAGAAGACTGTAGGTTGGCGACCATGTGAGCTGCGCGCTAACGTGAGATCAGTACTTTTTCTGTGCGGTCAACCAGGTCACCACAAGCTCCAGACAGGTCTTCGCCTTTGCTCGTGACAAGGGACTTCCGTTCCACGAGTTCCTATCTCGCGTGCGGTCCAACGGTGTTCCAGCAAATTCCGTCTACGTCACCCTGGCCTTCACATGCTTACTTGCCCTCATCATCATCGGATCGACGGCCGCCTTCAACATCATCTTGTCGGTATCTGCCACTGGACTCTTCACCAGCTATCTGATTGTCATCTTCACGGTCTTGATCAAGCGCTTAAAGGGAGAGAAATTTCCACCTTCGCAATTCAGTTTGGGACGATGGGGTGTTCCTGTCAACATCATCGCCATCTGCTTCCTCATTGTGGCCTATCTCTTCCTGTTCTTCCCCTCTGTACCGAACCCGGATGCAGCTACCATGAACTGGGCTGTCTTGGTGTAAGTAGCTTCCTTTCACATGGCTACCATGCAACCAACGTGCATCGCTGACACAGAATGATAGTTACGGAGTGGTTCTTGTCTTTGCCATTGGCTACTATTTCCTCGTGGGTCGTCACCAGTATGACGGACCCGTGAGCTACGTGAGAAAGGACTACGACGGGAGGTGAAATAGATAAGATAGATAGATCGATAGATAGCCCGATCATCTTGCTTCTCTCATCATCATCATCATCCAAACTCAAACAATCCGATCTTTGTACGTTTGCGCTTTGGGTTGCGTCGATGCAAACGAGTCTCGCGTCGTTTCCAAGTGTTCCCAAAACTCTCGTAATTGGGGATACTTTTGTTTCCACTCGTGCTCGGGAAACCGCACGCCCATGAAGCCCAACACGCTGCAGACGGCAATATCGGCGATTGTCAGGGTCTCTCCTATAATGTATTGTTGTCCTCGTGGGCGATTCTCGACCCTATTATTATATATAGACACACACAAAAGATGGAGAATCATTAGTATGGAATTGTTTTCTTTTCCTATTATCTTTTTTTTTCTTCTCTTTTTCTGTCGACATACCATTTATTCAAAGCTTGTAAACCTCCGTTGATTTTTCGCGTTTGTCGTGCTGCCCACGGCTCGGATTGTTTGTCTTTGTCTCTGTTTCTTTCCCTGGTGACGTGGGAGGTTAGGAGAGGTTCATGTTAGTGTTACGAGTGAGGGCGAAGTCGTAGGTAGGTAGGTAGGTAGGTAAGGAGGTAAGGAGGTAAGGTACATGTACTTACCATATGGCCAATACTAAAGCGTCACATATACCTGTTTTTTTTTATTGAAGAAGAAATCATGTTGCAATGTTAGCTTTTCTTTTTCTTTCTCTCTTCCTCTCTTTTTACATGTATCATTCAATGTGATTTATAATTCACCATGGATACAATCTCACGAGCAAGGCAATGTAACAAACGAAACGAAACGAAACGAAGCGAAACGAACCATCAGCAACAACCTCAATCTGCTTCGCCAACAGCCTCTGATCCGCATCCCGAGGAATCATAGACAGAGTATCCGGATGTTTGACTTCGAGCCATTCGAGAATAAAATGGCTCTCGTAAACAGCTTGGTCGGTCTCATTGTGGATGAGTACGGGCAGTTTCTCCAGAGGATTGTAGGTGGGAGTTTTGGTGTCGCTGTCCCAGGGGACTTCGGTTTGCAATGTGAAGGGTATGCCTTTTTCCGCGAGGACGATGCGGACTTTGCGTGCGTAGGGGGAGGGGGTGGCGCTGATGAGGGTGTAGACGGGTTTGGAGGACATGATGATGATGGTGGTGGTGGTGGTGATGGTGGGGAATTGGGGGAGTGGGCGAGGAGGAAGGGTGATTGTCTACCTACATGTTTAACAGGCGATATCATAGTAAAGCGATGATGGTGGTGGAGGTGATCGTCGTCTTCGTGAGGAGGCCGATCCGCGTTGCCGTGAAGCTCGGTAGAACAGTGTTTATTAGTTCTATCACTCATAATTCATTGTGCTGATGTAATTCCAACAGGTGAGGTCGAAAACTAGAACTACCTAGCTCCTACCTCCTACAGTAAGGTGCAGTTACCTACGGTAGTGAAAGACCCGACGACCAGGTAGAAATATTGATGTACCTTACTCAATACATTCATTACCTTAGGAGGTACTGACTTTACGGTATGCCCGCTCTCACCGACCTCGTGACGGTGATTCCACCCGACGGGGACGAACAACCCGAAGACATTTTCGCTTTCGCTGCCGGCCTGATCTTCCCCGACGACACGCGCAACCTCCACGGCGACGAACGCTGCCTCCTCGTCTACAAAAGTGCCTCCTTTGGCGACATTCACCTGCGCACCGCCGATCCTGTGCAGAACCATGACCGGCAGCTGTTTGCCCACTATCTCTGGAATGCGGGCATCAAAATGGCCGAATGCATTTCTGCTTTCCGTCGCAGCGACGAGCCCGAGGAGGAAGAGCTAGAGCCAGAGCCAGATGATGCCGCGCCGTGGAGCGTGAAGGGCCGGCGTGTATTGGAACTGGGAGCAGGTGGGGTTGCATCTCCCGTGAGTATTACAGCGAGAACAGAGAACTGGCTGACTGCCATCATACCGTAGGCGTGGGACTGGCCGGTATAGTGGCTGTCCTGGCGCGAGCGCGAGAAGTCGTCATCTCCGACTACCCAACCGACGTTGTGCTCGAGAACATCAGACAGAACGCAATGCGCGCCATACCAGCCGCATTGGCAAAGCGGTATCGAGTCGAGGGCTACGCCTGGGGCGACGTGACCTCCGACTTCGCGAGAGCGTATGCACACTCCTTCGACCGCATCATTGCTGCGGACTGCTACTGGATGTCGCATCAGCACGAGAATCTGGTGCAGTCCATGCTTCACATGCTCAGTCCTGCTCCAGATGCAAGAGTCCTTGCAATTGCTGGCTTTCACACCGGCCGAGCCAAGTTGACTGCCTTTTTCGAAGAAGCGGTGTCGCACGGTCTTGTGACTGAAGACATATACGAGGAAGATGTACAAGGCGTGAGAAGAGAGTGGGCGCCAGAACGAGACGGTGGCAGAGAGGACATGACTGGACGCAAGCGGTGGCTTCTCATTGCCGTACTCAAGAGACAACAACAGTGAGACGATATACTTACCGGAGTTGTGTTCCGAGGAGCCTTTGCTCTACAACTACAACTACTAAAACAACAACAACAACAACAACAACAACAACAACAACAACAATAGTCACAATCTTTCACTCCACATGCCACTACTGAATGCTGCACGCCACCGCTCTGGTACAGCCAAGGTCTTGCTCCGCTAAACAAAGATAGGTACTGGCGAGACTATGCTGTTCGCAGCCATGAGTGCCAGATATCGAAATGAGCACAAAGGCATTGGTGATGACTACATGCTGGATGCGGCCATGTCGCATGCGTATACACTATGGTGATCAAGACTTCCCATTCTTATCTGTCTGCCGTGTACCTACGCGTGAAGCTCTTCCAGACTCAGTACACGGGCGTGTACAGACGGCAGGATGACCTCTTCCACGCCTTCACAATATCTCTACCGCTCCCATGGAGGCGCCTGCTCCCCCAACCTTGGTTGTGCAACCTGTGACGACAATTATCTGCATGTAGCACCGCAGAGCAGCGATCCTGCTCAATGCGAACCCGTCGGGCAAAGTGAAGCACTGCTTACCATCAAAGGTCATATTGAGTCGATCAACAATGACTGGGCTACGATTTGCAGCTTGGTCGCAGCCAAGGGCGACAAGATCATGGGGCGCTGGTAAGCTAGCTCTTCTCACCTCTCAGCTTGAGTGCTTACTTTGTCCTTTGTAGGAAAAGGGCCAATTCTGCCAAAAGGGATGCCATGCTCCACGAAGCTTTTGGAAACGCACAAGAGAAGCAGTGGGCGTACCTGCGTGCCTTTTACGCGAACCCGGGGCCCACGAACCCCATTGATTCCCACAGGGACGCCTTGCTTCTGCCCTACCTCAGTCAACGCGGTCTTGCTCGAGATCCTTCGAAGCTACTAGTGCTACTAGAGCTTCGCAGGCAACATGCTCCTTGTCATTGGGCATGGACCGATCATCGGGTATAACGTCTAGCTCCTGATACTCGGCGACGCTAACACAGTGCTTCAGATCACTCGTTCTGGTCGTCGTATTGGTATGCTCGTAGTGAGATTCAGCGATACGGTCTTTTCTACTGGCGCAGACGACTACGGCAAACCTGTCGAGTTCGATCATGAGCTGTTCCACCAATGGCAACAAATTGGATTTCCGATCGCAGAGACATTGTTTGAAGCTCAACGCAAATTGTACAGCAGGCTAGCCAAGATGGTGTCTGCTATCTTGAAAGGTGCCGAAGACACGATTACTGGCGATATCGCCTGGAATGCTGCCGCTGCAGAAGGCTTCTCGGCCTTGCTTCCCAAAGCATACAACGAATCTGGAAAGTTTCTTCATGTTCCGGTCACTCCTTTCGAACCACCTCCTCGTACCGACGTAACAGAGCTACTGGCCTCGATATCGACTCGGCAAGTCGCTGCAGAGGAGGAGCTGTGGCTTTTGCAAACCGGTATGTACCGCTTTTGCACATGCTGTGATTTACACCGAAACTGATTGAAGACCGTCAGATATTAGATCCGTCTACGATAGGGTGGCTTACATTGAAAATGCCAAATTTTTGGCGAACTTGAAGGCAGATGAAAAGTGGGCAGCTATCGCACTCGAACTGACGCGGCCGCTTATAAGAAGAGTCCAGTTCTGGGCGACTTTGCGGACCTGCACCGAGGGTTGGCAAATGGTGATTACGTATCTGGCCCTCTTTCGTATGACTTTACTGATACATGATTGATAGGCCATGGACCATGGAATGGGTCATCATGAGACGCATTACAAACTCAGCAAGGCTAAGAAACTGCTCGAGGGCGCTGATCTGGTTCTGGCTTTTATTAAATTCCTGTTCCCCAAGGTCATTCGTAAAGAATTCCAAGACGTTATGACGGGCATTCTGGCTCAAGACTGCTATTTCGACCACGAGTTTGCGACCGTAGATCCTGCTTTGCCGGAGAAAAGCGATCTCCCATTCGTGAGAATTCCTGAAGAGTCCATCCGCATCATTAAAGAATCTGCTCCGAATGAGGCTCGGAAGCACCTGATAAAGTTGAGGGCCATGTTCTACAAGGTCATTCGTTTTTCGGATTTCTTCGAACGCGATCCACCCGTATGGGCAGCACTCCTATTCTCGAATTGTACGCGCACGATGGACCTCGCAATCGCCGAAGAGGTCTTCCCTGTCATGGACGAGTTGCTGGTTTTTCCAGAGGAGAACAACGTCAAACTGGACTTGTTAAAGCATTCACAACTGCTCCCTGCTCTCAAAGACTTTTCCGTGGCAATTTGGGTGCAAAAGCGTCTCGAATTACATGCTCCTGAGGTTCTGTCCCTGAACGATGAAGAGAGCGATGAGTATATCGAACAACCCGAGTGGCATCAACTTTTGCATGAACTGGTGAGCATGAAGGTCAAGAATGGTACCGATGGAGAGTGGTACCGGGATTGGGTGTACCGTGCCACCCCGGACGAGGAGGTGCGCCTGAAGCTGAGCAAAGCCGGAAAGCTCCTAGAACAGTTTAGCAAAATCAAATTGCCGGCTGAGAAGCGCGGAGTCAACTACCTGGTCAAGTCCAAGGAAGCGAAACTGGCACTTGATGCGTTCTGGGCAGAGGTCAGAGAAGTTCGGATCGATGCCGTGTCCACCGACCTCAGGGAATGCGGTCAAGAGAAGGACATTACCAGAGCCGAGGTTGAAGCACTCAAGGACATCCGAATCTTAGACTGCTACAAAGATCCCGGTCCCTTGGAGATAATCGAAGCGGATCTCGCTCCCAGATTAGCTGGAAAAGGGAAACGCAAAGTCGACGAACAGCAAGACTTGGAAATTCTAGCGGATCAGAAACATCTGCAAGTCTCGCCTCCGAAAAAGCCTCGATTAAGAAGAAAAGGTGAAGACGACGACGACGACGAAGACGACGACGACGACGATGATGCTAGCAGCAGCAAGAAACCCCTCAAACGAAAACACCTCCCAACTCCCGAAGAACCAGCAGTAACACCACCTCCCATCATCGACCGACCTCCCACTCCACCACCAATCATCATCCCAGCATCCGCCAAAAGCATCCGCATCTTCGCCCGTCTCTGGCCCGCCGAAAGCCGAACCGTCGAAGAAGGCGCCGTCACATGGAATGACCTGCGAGCTGCCATGGGAGATATCGGCTATCCCGGCGTATCAATCGGAGGATCTTGTTGGTCTTTTCAAGGGCCTCAAGGAAAAGTCGTCATGGATACTCCGCATGGCACGCCGCATAATCGGGTCGAAAGGGGGAAATTGATGTATTGTGGTAGAAGGCTGGCGAGGGCGTTTGGGTGGAATTTTGAGACGTTTGTTTTGAGGGAATGAGGGAATGAAGATTGAGATTTGAGATTTGAGATTTGATTGATTGATTTATGTTGATGATTAGGTAATATGTATATTTAAGGAGTTTGCTGTATATCGATAGATGAGAATGGATATATTTCTTTGGGAATTTGGTGTGTAATGTGTGAACTTATTGGCCCACGTTTGACTTTATTTGTTTTCAATGAATGAATGAATAGCTCTCTCCGAAGAAACTCCGATGCTATAAACGTAGAATAGGAGGTACATGCATAGTTGGCACGAGCAGCTACGGCGTACCCAGTAGTACCACGAAAAGAGTATACAAAGGTTTATGTACAGATACACATATCACACGATGTCATCACCATCATCATCATCAGTCGGTCGGTCGGTCGGTCTGCACTCCGCACACGGTTCCAAAGTCAGAGAGCCATGATCAACCATGATGAGATGTCCAGTCTGCTGCACAGCGAGAGCAAGTGTGAGGCTGTTGCTCGCAAAGCTTTTTTCCCCTGTCTCCTCCTCCTCCTCCTCCTCATGACGCCTGTCCAGGGTTCTCTGCAGCATGAGATTCGAGGTATTCTAGACCCTGTATCGAACATTGCGGTTGATGCTATCAAGCAATCGGCTGAAGAAGCTGGAGCCGTCGCTACTGGATTGAACAGACGAAGAAGAAGAAGAAGGATAGTTGCCTGTCGACGGGTGTGAGTACTAGGACCACCCAGAGCTGCTGAAATGGATGAGTCGAGATTTGACTTACCTTTTGACGCTTGATCAGCGACCAGCGCGATCAATGCAGCGCCCACACCAGATCCGTCTTTGGCAATGCCAATTCGAACCTTTCTTTCGCCTTGGGGACCAATCTCTGGAACTTCACGAAGTGCTTCGCGGATGTACTCTTCGAAGCGGGGATAGAACTCCACGAGAGACCCGTCCACACCGATATCGACAATGTCGTTCTCATTGACTTCCAGGGTGGCATTGTTCGTGGTACCAATATCCGTTGGGTTTTGTAGACGACCCGTCGAAATGATGATGGCTGCAATCGCCACTGCACTGAGACGCGCTGCACGCTTTCCGATAGCAGAAGCGATGAGCCGTACCGCTTCAGCATCTTCTGCGGATGCAGCAGAAACTCCATAATCCTGATCCAGAGTTTGGCGCGTCACCTTCAGCCCGTTGGAGCTATCTCCCGTCGTGATGGACAAGAAGCTGGAATCGAGACCCCATTGCTTGTACAGTGGGGAGTCGGGAGCGACATTCGTCGTGCTGTGGATGTCATTCTGGTTACTGTGCTCATCCGCAAAGAGTGGTACGTCAAAATCGCGAAGGAGGGACAACAGCGCTCGTCGCAGGATTTCGCCCAAAAACATGCCCGACACTCGCTTCTCAAACATTTGGATTCCGGGATTGACAGATTCCAGATCCAGGTCTGCATCGTACGGAGTTTGAGGCAGGACAGAAAGCTCATTATCGAAGCTGCCCCATTCCGTGTTGATGATCATCTCCCCCGTCGACTTGTCGATTTCGCCAGCTTCCTTGGCGCTCATGTTCGACAGCTTGGTGACCTTGTCCAGCTTTTCCACATATGCTCCATTCGTTCCCGTTCCGAAGATGGCACCGAGGAGGGTGCCTGTCTTGCCTGGGGACGTGTACGATCGTGCCATGAGTGTTCCAACAGTATCGTTGACCAATGCAGCGACCCGTACCGGCAACCCCAACGCATCAATCTCCGCCTGCAGTAGAGCGCACACGTCCTTGCCGATGGTATCGTGGATATCAAAGCCCTTGGTCCATCGAATCAGCGTACCCTTGTTGATGCCAAACTGCTGCACGGGGAAGGAAAAAGTGAAGCCGAGACTGAAGACATCTTGCTCAGAAGTGCCCTTTTTCTCTTTATGACTGGTATAATGTTCTTCGTGATGTGTCTGGAGGAACAGCTCGATTTGCTTTGCCAGAAAACCAAACAATTCGTGGCTCGTCTTGGCAACCATCAACTCTGAGGGAATCTTCACTTTACTCTGCGTGAGGCTGAAGGTGCTGTTGCCATGTAGCTGTATCGAACAGACTCGGAAATTCGTGCCTCCCAGATCCACAGCCATGTACAGTCCCTTCTCCGTCCCATTGGGCACAGCAGTCACATAGGTTGGGATTTGGCTCATGGTGGCTCCCGACTTGGCCAGCCCTTCGTCCATCTGACGGATGAACTCATGAACGCCCTTGTTCACATCTTCCTTGCTGTACTCGAACTCTGCGGCCACCCGCTCTGCTGCGGCAGCCAATGCCATGCTGGACGAACTCTTGCCGTATAAAGTTCCCGGAACGTGCGGAGGAGCTCTACAATAGAGCTCTTGGACAAATGCGTTGGGCGACGGACAGGTCGGCGGTGGTTGCGGAGGATCGCGAGGACGGAACAGGAAGAAGTCCCGGGGGAGGCTGAGTTGGACGAGAAGGATCAAGGCAATGGCCAAGAGGGTGAGAAGGGTCGCTGGCTCACGAGCTTTGGACCGTAGACGAGCTAGGAGCGGACGCTGGCCTCGAAGCTCGAGCAGGAAGGGAAGGTCGTCGTCCTTTACAGCGGTCGGGGGCGGTGAGGGAGCAGGCTTGGTTGAGAGGCTGCGGCGGAAGGCCTCTGAAGGGCGGGACGGGTTGCTGTAGGAGCGATGGTGGAGTGGTCGGCGCGCCAGTGTGGGCGATGGGGGGGTAAGGAAGAGAAAGGCGGAGACGGAGGAAGGTCAGGTCAGGTCAGGTCAGGTCAGCAGAGTCGGATAGGCGATCTAGTTACATTAGTGGTTGTGGAGACATTAAAAAGGCAGCATATGCATGCAGTGAGCAGACGCAGCTGTGGAGCTCTCGAGACAAGTCGAACTACCTCCGTACTTGGTTACTGTATACACACTATACAGTGTACCTCTTGGCGAGACAACAAGATGTCTACCCTTATGGCCGAAGCGTAGACTACCATCAGACTATTACTCCTTTTACTTGCTATCCCTTACTCCTTTTGACTCCTATCGACATCCCTATATCAGACTCTTCCCTGGACTCGAGCCTTGTGCAGTTCAACAATTATTATGCAGTATGCATCACTCACTTACTCCACTTCCACCCACTATTGCACTAGTCTCACCGCGTGAGCCCCACTGGAGAGCCTTGCTAGTCTCGGTCGTTCTGCGGATGTATCGAAGGCACGCTAGAACTTCGCAGCGTCTCTCCTCCGCCAATACACTATCCACTAATCCAGCCCTCGAGCACTACCAACTTCAGAAGTCTTGTCTATCCACCGCCTTCTAATAATCAGCCCTATGACAGAGTCGCGCATATAACAAGCCACGTGGAGCTGCTCAACCGAAGAGTCTCTTAGAGACTCTGTCGGTGAAAAACAAACAGGGTCACCAATCTGGAATTGTCCTCAAAAAGGACTTTATGACAAGCGCTAGTAGATGATGCGGGAATTTTGTGCAGCGTAACAAGTGGACTAGAGAAGGCATAGTCCTACTTTTGATAGTTTTACAATATCATGTAGAAGTCCAGGCAACTACCTCGTAGCAAAGAAAAAGAAAAAGAGGAACTGGATCAAGGAAAGGAGCAAGCAAGACTCCCTCTCGTTTCCCCCTCTCCCCTCCTCTCCCCTCCCCTCCTCTCCTCTCCCCTCCTCTTCCGACCAAACCAATCAAGTCCCGATCCAGCAGCAGGAGGATATAAGCTACAAGAGTACCTTACACAGAATCTTACAGGTTGCTGGTTGCTAGTCAGTGATTACAGGTTGCTAGTCACAAACATCCACAGCAAGCAAAATCCCTACCGCGGAAGTTTGGAAAATCAAAGCAAACTTGTACCAATGTAACAATACCTAGGCACCTAGCAACCTATGGACAGCAAAAAGAATAATGAGACCCCACATGTTAATCTCTCATCGCACTTTTCTCTCTCTCTTAATACTGCGCAATATTGATTCTAGTACTTACAAACAAGTAAATAATAGTATAGATAGAATACCTGCTCGATTGGGTGCACTTATAGACAATAATAGGCGAAAGGTGCAGTGTTAGAGTCGAGGTAGTGATAAAATCTCATTATTCTTTTTGCTTTCCGGCGGTAGCCTAGGTACCTAACTTTGTGGTTTTCTTATATAAGCTACACAGCTTACAGCATAACAGCCACACAGCTATACACAATGTATATATTAACAACTTGGTAGACGAGAATAGACCAAGAGGCTGTACGTAATACTTAGGTCTGTTGTTACCTGTAGCCTACTAAGCCTACCTCCCAGGTACTTTCAAAAGAACCAACAGGATTGGGGGGATGTGATTACGTTACAATGTACGTCAGATTGTTTTTTGGAGTCAGATACGGTATCTGTTAGGTCGTGTGATCTGTTCAGCCTCTTTCTCTCCTGTTCTGTGATACGAGGGCGTAATAGTGTACGTATGTGAATTGTACATTTGTGGTGGTTTGGGGATGTAGCTGAAGATGGTCAGTGTTGAAGGGTTGTTATTTGTCAATGTTGATGTTGTTGATGTGATATATGTCCAAAAGCCGAAGAAGAAGAAGAATGAAAAGAGAAAAAAAAAAAAAAAACAAATGAGGGAGGTAGATATATTCATGTAAAATGGATCCAGTCCATCATCATATCTCCTCATAAAAAAATTCTTTCGAATCTTTCAATCACATTTCCCTAGTCCCGTCTTCCTCACTACTGCTGCTACTGCTGCTGCAACCGTTGTCCTCTCAAAGGAACAAACTATCCAACTTTCCCATGTTTCGCAAACTGTTCCGCTTGGCCCGCCACAGCTCCATTTGCGTTAGCTGCTCCAGCTCCTACAACATCTCAATCAGCATCTAATCAGATCACATCAAAAGGAGCGAGGGAATACTAACCTTTCATCTTCGCGGATTCCTCTCGCTGCTCGCTCCGTTCGATTTCGTCGACGTGGTGGTCTGGCTGCGTTTCCGACTTGATGTTGTTGTTGTTGCTTGACTTGGATGAGAATGCCCCTGCGATCGCTCCGAATATGTTGAGATTGATTCCCGCCTAGATGGAAAGAGAGAACCAGTCAATAAAGATGATGGTCGATAGATGAGAAATGTTTGGGGGAGGAGAAGAGACATACCGAAGCGCTTGCTTTTGCCGACTGCTCTTGCTCTTCGATAACATAGTCGTTGTCGTCCCGTTGAAGAACATCTTGTTGGTGTGGTTGGGATTTGGATTGGGATTGGGACTGAGATTGAGATTGAGATAGTTCTTGTTCTTGCTGGCGTTTGGCTAATGTTGTCGAGTGCGTCGTTGTTTGTGATTGATGTGAAGACATTTTCCTCTTCGACGGAGAAGGGTCTAGACTTTATAGACTCGAGTACGTGAGACGTGAGAGAGAGACAAGGCCTGTAGGAGGTAATGCGCAGTAGTGGCAGGCCTGGGGATAGAGAGAGAGAGTTTCGAAAGGGGGCAGTGTTTCACTGCTTCTCACGCTCGGATTGGATGGTTCAGAAGACGAAATTGAGAGGTCAGATTGTTTGTTTGCGATGTGAGTGATCAGTGCGTACAAGGCTTGGCTCACTGTCGCGGAGGCTAGACGAATGTATGGTATATACTTGTAGCAGGGAGACGAGTGACGCAATGGTAAGTAAGGTACACTGACACTGAATCACTGATATCAGAGGATCCCCGTATTCTTGGCATGGTTGTAAAACCTGATTTGATGGGGTGACGCAGAGGAGGGAGGGAGGTCTGATAGGGCTGGCGGCAATACCCCTTGAAAATGAATATATTTAATCAAAACGTGACTTGACGTCGAACGCATGTTTGCGATCAGGAGGCATTTGTGGGGTCTCATACCCCGTGCTTGGACTTGGTTGGCCTCGCCTCGTTTGTACCTACGCAGCTACGCTCCATCTCCCTCGCCTGTCCTGGTCCTGATGACGATGTGCAACAAACATCCGTGAAGAAACAACCTCTACAGGGCTGGCTGGGGTGTGTAGTGGTCGGCATCGTATATCATCAAAGCCTGTGTCATGCTTTACGTGCGTCGCGACGCTTTGATTGGTACAGACAGATACGAACTGCTGTATGGACCGAGAAGACATCGTACCCGAGGCTCTCCATCATCGATGTCCCACACTGCGATCAGTAGGACAATCCGAAGCTGAGATCAGGACTGGCAGAGACGTCCGTAGGTTGGTCGATGGCTTCTAGCCTTCTAGGCTCCCACTTCCCCGCCACGACCCTCGTCAGGCCTCAGTTCCGAGCATTCCCCCAGCCCAGCTTTCCCTGTACAATGTTGTAAGGCAACGGCATTGGTAGTAGGAGGTAGACTGCCGCCGCTTCACACATCTCCAACATACAGTATGGCCCCGCCACGTTACGCCATGGCAATGGGCAGTGGCTATCAGATTTCCTACGCTCGATGATCCCACCACCCATCAATTTTGCAGTCTCTGTTCCATAATACCGGTCGCCAAGATCATCGATTCCTCTACACATTCAGCCTTGACACAGCGCCACCCAGTAATCTCGGAAGTTGGTTGTATCAAAGCACAGCCACATTCATGAGCAGATGACCACTTGTTCTAGGTAGAAGCCAGTCGCGATATCCGGCAATTATGAGAGAGGACACCTAGCAGGTCCTCTCAGCGCCTCCCGCAGTAGTAGCAATAGTGGCAGTGGCAGTGGCAGTGACGCATATTCCTCATGACACTTTTCAGCCCATCTCAGCCTCCAGCATCTGCCACGCCGCACTCCGTCTCCCTTTCTTCCTTGCCGCCACCAGATTCCGCTCTCCCACCTTCTTCCCATTCACAGCAATGACATCAGGCGCATAGTCGGCATGCTGCTTCATGCCTTCGAGCAATTTCGCAACCTTCTCCCTCCCTTCCTCAATGGCCCTAGTCTCAGCTCTCATCTTCTCGACACGATCTTCCATGAGCATGATCAGACTCTCTCGGGCCTGATGTGGTCGGTACTGATTGATCAGAGAGTGCATGTTAAACACGATAGCCTGCAGATCAAGGACTCGCTCTTCGTAGAGTTCGGGATTGGCGGCGAGGATACCTGTGAGGCTGAGGAAGGTGGTGAGGAGGGAGCGTGAGAGAGCGATGAGGTGCGGTTGGGGGGTGGTGGTGACGGATGGGTGGTCGGGGTAGAGTTGCTCGATGCCAGCTTCCGCGAGGGTAGGTTGTGGGGCCTCGAGGTCGATTTCATGACCGAAGACGGTGAACTTCGTGGTTGAGGGTGGTGGCGGAGGGACGAGGCAGCCGAGTTCCGGTGGGAGAGTTGTGGTGTCTATGTCGTGCTCTTTCGCGCCATCGTTCTGCGACGCACCGGCTTCTCTGCGCAGTTGTTGCACGCGATCGCGATTCTGCTTAGTGAAGTGCTTGTAAAAGGGCGGCGGCGCTGGGAACGGCGAGATGAGTTGCTGCTGCTGTTCTTCCGCCATCTTCACAGTCTTCCTCTCATGTCGTTGTGGTTCGTGAACTCGTTGTCGCTGTCATTGTCATTGTCATGAAAGGAGATACACGAGAATGGTGATGGTGGTGATGGGAGAAGTGAGTCGAAAGGCGCACTTCAATCCATTCCATGGAATTCACTCCACACTCCACCACACGCCGAACAGAGTTTCGGTCCCTGCGTAATGCATAGCCTGTCTGTCCAACACCAATGTATACTATACACTTTGCGATACCATACATAATACCTAGAGAGCCAGAGGAAGCGTGCTCGTCGAAATGCCTGGCAGCATCTCTGGCAAAGCAAAGGCGGCTGGCAATGACGGTGGACTTTGGGAGACATCCAAGCGCTTCTATCAACGAAGCTATGCTGGCGACTATCTCGGCGTCGCTCTCCTCGTCGCTGCTTACATCCTGATCAAGCTATTCGGCGAACCCTTTCACTCGCAATTCCGCCTCGACGATCCACGACTCCAGCATCCTCATGCCGAAGTGGAACGAGTCGACGTCAGTATGTCCTCCTCCCTCCTCCTCTCTAGGTACATGTATCTGAGAGAGAGAGAAACACGCTGACCTCCCCCTAGCATGGCTCCTCATCTACGCCCTCCTCGTTCCTCTCGTCCTCCTCATACTCTGGGCCGCCGTGACTCGCCCTTCGACTCATAAGATCCACATCACCATCCTCGGCCTGATCATCTCCATCCTCCTCGCCACCTTCATCACCGATATCCTCAAAGATGCCATCGGCCGACCACGCCCCGACTTGATCGCGCGCTGTAAGCCTGCCAAAGGCACCCCGGGCAACAAGATGGTCTCGGTGGAAGTATGCACCGAGACGGCCCATCACACTCTACATGACGGCTGGAGGAGTTATCCCAGTGGACATTCGTCTCTCGCCTTTGCTGGGCTCGGATGGATATCCTTGGTGCTGGCCAGTCAATTGCATGTGCTGAGGCCGAGAGCGAGTCTAATGGTCGTGTTGAGCTGTCTGGCACCATTGCTCGGAGCGGCATTGATTGCCGTGAGCAGATTGGAGGATTATAGACATGATGTGTTTGATGTGGTCAGTGGGAGTATACTGGGATTTATGGTGACTTATTTCAACTGGAGGAGGTATTACCCCAGTCTGATGGCACCGGGCTGTGAAGAGCCGCATGCGCAGATGAATGAGAAGACGCATAGTGGCTTCCACCGCGTGAGAGATGAGGAGGAAGCATTGGGGAGGGATACAGAACGATACGTGGTTGGCGGCGATTAGAGGCAGTTTTTAAAACAGTACTCGGGTCGAGCGCAGGCTCGAGCGTGTGTCTGTATAGATATTTGTACAAAGACTGTCAAAGCACCATTGCCATCTGCTCCAGCGAACAGAAGTACCTTTATATGCTTGCGCCGTTTTAGAACGATGCAGCATAGCAGTAGCATATATCTGTAATCTGCACCTGGGTCATACCGTAGGAACCCCTGGTCCAATTCCCTTTTCGTACATTGCAAGCGACCCAACATAAGTAAAAGTGTGAAAGGTCAATTCAACCAGGTATGTACCTAGGGAAGAAGCACCAGACTTCAGGCTGTTTCGGCCGCGATTTGCCACGCGAGGTTTGTCTCGCGGCTCCACTTCTGTGCATCTTCACTCAACTCTTTTTCCTCTGCTCCATAGCGTAGTTTAATAATCAGACAGACCACCCACAGGCGCCACAGAACACAGCAACCCCATCCCAAAAAATGCCCAAACGACAATCTCTCCAATCTCTGCCCCCGGAACCCATCAACGAAACCACTCCTCTCCTCCACCCCAATCAAGATGGCTCCAACACAGGCTCTCTCCCCGCCGAAAACATCTCCGAATTAGAAGCTCAAGCCGAACAAGAACGTCGCGAATATGAATCCGGTCACATCCCGCTCGCCACCACGCCATCCACGAAAAGGCTCTTGGCCACCATGAGTTCCCTGTGGACAGTGACCTTCTTCGCCGCATTAGACACCACCGTCGTGGCGACCTTGTCCAATCCCATCAGTGCGGCCTTTCACAGCGGGACGTCATTTTCGTGGATTGCAACGGGGTATTTGATTGCCAATGCGGCATTTCAACCGCTGTCGGGCAAATTGACAGACATTTATGGACGACGGGCCGGGTTGATTTTTGCGTTTACGTTCTTTTCTGCGGGCACGTTGATCTGTGGGTTGGCGCAGAGTGCGACGGTGATGATTGTGGGGAGGGTGATTGCGGGTGCGGGTGGAGGGTGTTTGAATACGATTTCGGTGTTTGTGGCGAGTGATCTGATTCCGTTAAGAAGAAGGGGCGTGTGGCAGGGAATTGGAAATATTGTGTTTGGCCTCGGGATGGGTTTGGGAGGGGTGTTTGGGGGATGGATTAATGATACGCCCGGACTGGGATGGAGATGGGCCTTTTACATTCAGATTCCCTTTGCGGTGATAGGAGGCATTTTCGGAAGTTATATGCTCGACATACCCGTCCGCGAATCCGACAAGTCGAAGATCCAGAGGGTGGACTTTTTGGGGGCGGGAACTCTGGTCACGGCTCTTGTGCTCCTCCTCCTGGGGCTCAACAGCGGTGGCAACATTGTTCCGTGGAATCACCCTCTGGTCTACGTCTCCATCCCACTCAGCTTCCTCATGCTCCTCGCATTCATCTACATCGAAGATCGTATCGCCGCGGAACCCATCATTCCCGTCCGACTCCTTGCGAACCGGAGCGTCGCAGCAGCCTGTCTCACCAACTGGTTCATGACCATGTCCGTCTTCAGCCTCATCTACTACGGTCCCATCTTCTTTCAAGTCGTCCGACACGTCTCGCCCACTCGGGCCGGAACGCTCTTCATCCCCCAGGCAATTGGCACTTCCCTGGGGTCTCTTGCATCGGGCATCGTAATGCGTCTGACCGGTAAATACTGGCAGCTCAACATTCTCATGCAAATCCTCGCACTGCTCTCTACAAGTCTGATCCTATGGCAATTCGACGAAAACGTGCCTGCCGTCTCACCGTTCATCTTTCTCTTCATGGAGGGCACGGCATATGGAAGTATGCTCACCATCACCTTGATCGCGCTCATCTCGGCCGTCGATCACAAATACCAAGCAGTCATCACGTCTGCCTCGTACGCCTTTCGAAGCACAGGATCATCCATCGGCATCACCATTGCGGGCGCGGTGTTCCAAAACTTGCTCAAATCGGGACTCTATGACCGGTTTGGCTCGGAAGCCGGCGCGGCTGATCGGATTCAGAGAATCAGAGAGAGTACGGATGAACTGGATCATCTGCCTGAAGGCTGGTATCCTGGCGTCATCGCTTCGTATGTGGATGCGTTGCGAGGCGTGTGGGTGGTGGTGGTGGGATTTGCGGCTCTGACGGCGATTGTGAGTGGGTTTATCAAGCAGCATAAATTGTATAACAATCTCGATCGGAAGTGAGCATTCCCGATTGAATATCTGGCCTTGGTATACTACATAGGTACCGATGTAGAATTCAACCATACATAGAAGAGGACAGGACGCCTGTTCTTGTGCCAGCAAAAGTGCCTTCTACTAGAGATTTGAAAATTTGACACCAGAGAATTTGCTACGCATTGGAAGAAGTTTCATCAATACGATGCTGAGTGGGACCTGTTCTTACGCCGTCGTGAAAGACCACATGGGATCGATCGAGCCAAGCACGGGGAGAACGATGTCGACCTCGATCTACCTGACCTGCTGGGGTGCCTCCTCTCCACTACAGTAGTCTACCAGATCTAAATAACAAGCATTCACATCAATTCATAAGGTACCTAGGTATCAATCCACACCAACATCCTCTCCCACACAAGCCATCCAACAGTGTCATGAAGGTAGGTGGTGCTTGATGGATGGATGAATGGCACAGGATGACCGGTCAGCTCAGACAGCCACCACTTTCATCGTTCACTCTCACTCTGACTCTCACTCTCACTCTCACTCAGCTGTCGAGGAGGTTGGCTCCTGTACTTCCCTCGTAGCCATCGTAGAGGCTGATTCTCTCAGACTGCGCCACGTCGTACATACGTATCGGTGTTAATGTGTATTATGTGAGCAAGACACCGACCGGCGCCGACCAGAGTCGATTCTCCGTGAATCCGACTTCCGAGAGGCGAGAGAGAGAGAGACACTGACAGAGAACTTAAGCCTTGTGGAGATCGACATTGTGCATTTAATTCATTCGGTCCTATTGGCTTGGTCTACCCTGCTACCGGGCTAACTTGGCTTCGTTCCTGAACGAACGCTACGAAGCCACGTAGGACACGCAACGGCTGGGAAGAACCGCCATTCCTTCCGGCCACCACTGGTGAAAGCAGTCTGTATGATTCTTCGTTCTCCTTCGCATCGTTCGTGAATAATATCGTGATCCTGATCCTGTGCATCCTTATACTTCGGCCTCGTCGTACTCCTCCGAGGCTCGTTCAGCCACACTGTCCAGTCTGTCCTCATCTCGCCCCCTTTCATAGGTCTGTGCCACGAAACAGAGGCACGCAAGGTCCACTCTCCTTTCGTCATGATTGTTGACCTTTTGACACGCCCATCCGACTTCTCCGACGCGGGTTTCGCCATGAATACGCCGGCCGTTGATTGCTTCTTCCAGCCTATTATTGATGGTACTCTTATATCATAGTGCTCCGACCACCCCGTCACCACCGTGTGCTAGGAGGTACATCTCGTTTCTCATTATTGTTGTCGTTGTCGTCGTTGTTGTCGTTGTTCCTCATCTTGGCCATTATCGATTCTTCAGCATGAAATCATCGACAGCATGGCTAGCCTTGGGCGCGTTTGCTCCCGCTTCAGGTAGGTAGTAGCCACACCTTCCGTTGGCCGGCTGACACGGACTGAACTTCAGTCTCCCCCCATTGCTACCGCGGTACCTGTCGGCTTCACAACAACGAGTATTGACATCACCACAGCCTCTCCACTTGAATCCACCGACGATAGCCATGCCGCAGCACTCGAAGCCGCCGTGCTGTTGGCTCGCGCCGCTCCCGCAAATCAGCCCCATGGCTACACACCGCAGAAGGTCAATTGTCCGAGCACGACGCCCTCTGTCCGCGCGGCAGGCCAGTTGGGCTCAGAAGAGACGCAATGGCTCGAGGTTAGGAGGAATGCGACCATCGAGCCCATGAGGGATTTGCTGGGCCGTTTGAACATTACCGGATTGGATACCACCCAATATATCAATACCCACCAAAATAACGCCTCAGCCTTGCCGAACATTGGCATTGCTGCGTCGGGAGGTGGCTACCGAGCCATGTTGAACTCTGCTGGTGTCGTGCAGGCATTCGATAGTAGGACACCGGGCTCCACGGGCTCTGGTCAGCTGGGTGGTCTCTTACAGGCTTCGACATATCTCGCGGGTCTGTCAGGCGGCAGCTGGATGGTCTCGACCCTGTATGCGAACAATTACACCTCCGTCGATGCCATTCTCGCTCAAGACACTTCAGCAGACGACTCGGGTAACCTGTGGCAGCTGGATAACAGCATCTTTGAAGGTCCAGACGGGAGAGGCCCCCAATTGCTAGACTCTGTGGGATACTACGCTGCGCTACTGAATTCTGTTTCGAATAAGAACGATGCAGGCTTCAATACCACCATCACCGACTACTGGGGTCGTGCTCTGAGCTATCAAATGATCAACGCGACAGATGGAGGCCCAGCCTACACGTGGTCATCGATTGCGGATCAGGACTGGTTCACTCAAGGAACTGCCCCCATGCCGTTGATCGTAACGGACAGCCGCAACCCAGGCGAGGTCATCATTTCCACCAACTCTACCGTCTTCACGATTACGCCGTGGGAGCTGGGATCAGATGACCCCACACTGTACGCATTTGCTCCACTGAAGTATATCGGCACGAACTTCACAGACGGAGTACCGAGAGAGAATGAGCAGTGCGTGGTCGGGTTTGACAATGTCGGCTATGTGTTTGGAACCAGCTCATCTCTTTTCAATGCCATCCTGACCACTGTCAACGGGACGCAGACGTCTGGATTTTTGAACACCGCTCTGCAAGATGCTGTGGAAGGCGTCCTCACTGCTCTCGGCAGAGACCAGGAAGATATTGCAGACTGGGTCAACCCTTTCTATGGATACCAAAACTCGACCAATGTCAATTCCATGGATGAACAGCTCACTCTGGTCGATGGCGGACTCGACGGCCAAAACATCCCCCTCCACCCGCTCATTCAGCCCGTGCGCAACGTGGATGTGATTTTCGCCATTGATTCGTCTGCAGACACGAACGGTACCGCAAACGGCACTTGGCCCACGCCCGAATCCGCCGCCAACTGGCCCGATGGAACGTCCATCTTGACCACCTACCAGCGCTCGCAAAGCGACATTGGAAACGGGACCGCATTCCCCGAAATCCCGTCCCGAAACACCCTCATCAACCTCGGTCTTGCCTCGAAGCCCACCATGTTCGGCTGCGACTCCTCCAAGTTCACCGACCAGATCCCTCCTCTGTTGGTCTACATGCCCAACGGCCCTTACGTCTACCTTTCCAACACGTCCACCTTTGGCAAACTCAGCTACAACGACAGCGAGCGCAACGGCATGGTGCGCAACGGCTACAACATGGCTACGCAAGGCAACGGCACCGTCCCCGGGTTCGAAGACTGGCCGACGTGCGTGGGCTGCGCCATCTTGAGCAGATCTCTCGATCGCACGGGAACGACTGTGCCCGACGTGTGCTCGCAGTGCTTCACCAAGTATTGCTGGAATGGAACCGTGGATGATAGTACTCCGGGCACATATATCCCGGCACTGAAGCTGGCGGATGACGAATTCAAAGTCAAAAGTGGCGCCGTCCGATTCACTGGTAGTGTTGTGACTGCGGTCCTGGGTGCTGTCGTTGTAAGTCTAACGGTTTAGTAGTAGGTCGTTAGTAGCAAGGAGGCTATAATGAATATTTATTGCATGTTTTTGTGAGGAAAGGGCGGGGAGGGGGTGTGGTTGTTCATGGTTTGGATGGAGATTGGGGGGCACGCTCATGATACCCCCGTTCGTTCTTGTGATTTTATACGGCATCGGCAGGCAGCATTGGAAAATGGAATAAGTAACAAAACGAAAGGGATAAGTCCGAAGAAAAAAAAAACTCAACCGAAACTTGGTATCAAGACTATATTATGAATAGTTGTATTTTTTCTTTCCCTCTCTGTACCTCCCTCCATACAGCGAGCTTGAAAGCCAATTGACCCAACGCGAGGCGCTACGTACAATCATACCCGGCCGGGAGAGAGCTCTGTCTGTAACACCTTATTATACGGGGCATTCGAGGCCGAGCACGCGTGATATATCCCTCTTCATTCTCACAAATACAATCTCTAAGATTCTAGAGCGGAGTACCCAGGAGGGTAAGACATAGTAAGGAGGTACAATGTATTTCATTATCGAAGTCGTAATATAGCGCTGATTGAATGATACTCATGAGAACTATGGTTCAGTTCGAGTTCGGATGGCCACTTCATTATCGCCTCAAGTTCAACTCTGCAAAAAGGAAACGCAGCAGGGTGGATTTCCAAGTTATCAAAAACAACCCCATTTTTTCGGGATCCACTTTATATATATCAAAAAGGCAGATATGAGTGGATTGGATGCCTTTCCATGCATGGGTCCTTTTTTACCACTGGGGACTAAATTTATATAATAGCAAAAGTTGAGAGGCTTTGCTCGCTCGATACACCACTGGCAGGTTTTCTTCAATTGGGTGTCCCTTTCTTCAGCCTTCCAGTTCTTGTTTCAGTCTGTGGTTGCCCGTTGAGGAGTCCCTTGCTTGGCACCAGATTAACAATAAACACATACTACCCACATTCCTCAGGCAAAGGACCTATCATGGTGACGATGCAGCCCTCATCATCATGCTCTGCTCACTCTGCTGGACCCGCTTCTTCGTCGTCGGCGTCGTCTTGTTCTTCTTCTTCGGTCTGTGCCTCTGGCATGAAGCAGAGGTACAAAATGTCCTTCTCTCCTCCTCCTCCTCTTCCCGGTTCGAGTCCCGCGTTGTATCTTTCATCATGGCTCCCGTGGGCTATACTTCTATCCTTCTGAGCTTCGTCTGGAGCCTGCTCTTCTCGATATCTCCCCAGTCGACTCATGCTGCTGTAGTCGGCCTTCCATCTTACCCTTTGGCAGTAAAATCCCCCTACCTCTCGACCTGGCTGCCAAGTAAGCAGGCCCTGGATGTAGCCGGTGGACAGCCGGAATTCTGGGCGGGACAGGGTCTGAACTGGCCGGTGCTCGCACGCGTCGATGGCACGCTGTACGCATTGCTCAATGGCGGCTCGGCAAGCAACGCTGTCAAGGCCGTTACCAAAGGCATCACCTACTCTTCCACGCACACCATCATCAGCTTGTATGGGGGAGACGTGAACTTTACTCTGGACTTTTTCACTCCCGTCTACCCAGCATCGGCAGACTATCTCCTCCAGTCGCTGCCATATTCGTATCTCACGGTGAACGCGTCCGTCGCGGATGGAAGGGCCAAAAACGTGCAAGTCTTCAGCGGTATCGACCATACGTGGACGGCGCAGGCAGGCGCGGCACAAATCAACTTGACGACGTCGGGCGATGCGCAATTCTTCTGGTTCTACAACCCAAGACAGTCGTATTACACCGAAAAAGCGGACCAGGCGACATACGGATCCGTGTTGTACGGGAGCCTCAGCAGCGATGGAGAAACGTCGCACGGCATCGGACCGGCTACCGATCTGTACTCCGAGTTTGCCGCATCCGGCTCGCTGACCGGCTCAACGTCGCCGACCTCCGGCACCGGCCTCGTGGCTATTGTTCAAGATCTGGGTGCCGTGAGCGACACTCCCGTCGGCACAACCGTTGCTGTCGGCTTGCAGCGCGACATCGCAGTGCAGTATCTGGGCCGAGACCAGACATCATATCACCGCAAGAAGTGGCCCTTCATTCCCGATGCCATTGAGTTCTTCTTGAACAACTACAACCGGGCGCGGGAATACTCCGCCATTCTCGACGACCTGGTCCGCTCCAACAGCGAGGCGGTGTCATGTGACTGGGGCAGTGCGTATGCGGACATCAACGAGGCCAGCGTGCGGCAATCGTTTGCCTCGCTGGAACTGACTGTGCCCAATGACGATCGCTCGGCCGAGGTGTCGGCATTCCTCAAGGAGATTTCCAGTAATGGCAATATGAACACCGTCGACCTCATCTTCCAGTCATGGCCCATTTTTGTCAGCCTGAACCCGGAATGGATCAAGCTGCAGTTCAAGCCCATCTTGTCCTACCTCGCCTCCGGTCGCTGGCCGAAGCCATATGTCATCCACGACATCGGCCTCCACTATCCGATCGCCACCGGCCATGACGACGGCATTGCGGAAGAAATGCCTCTGTTTGAGACGGCTACCATGTTCATTTTGCTGCTCGCCTACCAAAAGTTTTCCGGTGATACCACATTCGCCGCGCAATACCGGTCGCTGTTTGACGGCTGGGCGAACTATCTCGCCGAAAATGGTCTGTACCCGGCCAACCAGCTCATCAGCGTCGACGCCATTCCTCCCTCCGCCAACCAGACCGGTCTCGCCGTACAATCTGCCATTGGTCTCAAAGCCGCCGCAGTGCTGACGGGCAATGACACCTACGCCACCATTGCCGACACCTTTGTCACGAAACTCTACGACGATGCACTCGGCCTAGACGGACCCGACTTGGCCTCTAGCACACATTTCACATACAACTACGACAAACCCACCACCTGGAACGTCCTCTTCACCGCCTACTCCGACGTCATTCTCGACCTCCACACGTTCCCACCAGAAGCCTGGGATCTCCAATCTACATTCTACTCCTCCGTTTTCCAACCCTACGGCCTCGCCTTCGCCGGCCCCGTCTCGGACCGCGGAATCCAATGGGGCATCACCGATTGGAATCTCGAATGGGCAGCCATCGCCACGGAAGAACTTCAGAAATCTATTGTGCAAACTACGCATATGTTTATGACGAATGGGAAAAATACGATTCCGTTTGGGACAAAGTATTTTGTGCAAGGGACTGAGGCTGGTGTGTGGATTGGGAATAAGGCGAGAGGGAGTGTGGGGACCCATTTTGCTATTGTGGCGCTTCAGCAGGGGGTTTGGGACTATGAGAGTGCTAGTTAGCTGGTAGTAGTAGGGCGTGAATTGGATAGTGGGGGATTCAATGGTATACAGATGGATGTATTAACGAAAGACTGTTCACAGCTGAGTCTTCTTCTTCTTCATTTGCCTATATAGGTAGAATTATTGCATGCAATCTATAACAACAGAAGGCAGAGCCCAATTCTCGCATAGAAGAAGTCTTGAAAATAAAGGGGTGACATAGGAGAGTTGTTTCTTGGCGTTTTTCTCTTTCCCCCCTAAAAAGAGAACAAAGAACAAAGAACCACCCCCTGCCTGCCCGCCTGTATCAGTAATATACCTTGCTTGCTTTGGGTGAGTCTTGCTGGCTTCATATTGTTCCATGCTGGAAGACAATCACAACCATTTTTTTCCGCAACTTTGACCCCCCTTCTCTCTCCCCGGATGCGGATACGGATCTCACAATGAAATCTTGAAGTTCAAATAAGAAGAAGCATGATGGCCTTCTGTTCAAATCGACTTGCATCCTACTGTTCTCTCCCTCATTTTTACTTTTCAAGCCCCCCTTTTCCCATTTCACGATAGAAGTAAAAGCAGTTTTAGAAAAAAAAAAAAAGGAAATGTCGAAACAAACCACCCCCTCCACAACCTACATCCCTCCCCCCTCCCACATCCTCTCCACCACACACCTCTCGACTCAAATCCGCCAATTCCACGACACACGTACGCCCTTCCGCATAAACCACAACAGCACAAACTCCACCCGAGCCCGATCCGCCTCAACGCCCCAACTCCACATCGGCCATTTGAACGCCATTCTGCACATTGACGCCAAAGAAAAATTCGCCTGGGTCGAACCGAATGTGGCTTTGGATGCTCTCGTGCAGGAAACGGTGCGGGAATTCGGGTTGATGCCGAAGGTTGTGATGGAATTTCCGGGGATTACGGTTGGAGGAGGGTTTAGTGGGGCGAGTGGGGAGAGTACGTGTTGGAGGGAAGGGTTGTTTGATTGTTGTGTGGAAGAGGTGGAGATGATTTTGGGGGATGGGGAGGTGGTTTTTGCAAAGGCTGGTGGGGATGGGGATGATGGGAGAAATGCGGAATTGTTTGATGCTGCGAGGTGTAGTTTGGGGACTATGGGGGTGGTGACGTTGCTCAAGGTGAAATTGGTCGAGGCGCCTGGGGCGGTCATGTTGCGGTATCGCCATGTGAGCAGTTTTGGGGAGATGAAGGAAGGTTTGGTGGGGCTTTGTTGCGGGGATGGAAAGAAGAAGAAGACTGATGATGATGAAGAAAAGTATGACTTTGTCGAAGGCTTCATGTATAGTCGAGACTCTGGAGTCATCGTCACCGGCCGCCATGTCAATCCCACTTCGGCCACGGTCGCCGAACTTCCTCGAGTACGCTTCGATCGAGCCCAGGATCCGTGGTTCTATTTGCACGCCAAAGAAACCCCCAACTTGCATGCTGATCTTGCTCCCATCCAAACCTACCTCTTCCGACATGATCGCGGCGCCTTCTGGAGTGGAGAAAGTGTCCTGAATTACTGGCGTGTACCGCACAATCGCTTCACGAGATGGCTGTTCAATCCCATGATGACCGCCCGGGCCATTTACAAAGCCATGTTAGCCGCAGATTCGGGAGACAGCGCCATTGTGCAAGACCTCCTGGTCCCCGTCGATACGTGCGAAGACTTTTTCAACTATGTGGCCGACGAGCTCGAAATCTGGCCGCTGTGGCTCTGTCCCGTTCGGAAGCGTGCAGAGGACAAGGACAGGAACGTCGTCGCCCACCCCTTTTACAAGGATACTGGAGATATGACTATCAACTTCGGAGTCTGGGGTCCTTTGCCCGTAGAGGAAATGAATAACAAGTCGATTCGAAGAATCAATCGCCGTATGGAGGAGAAGTTGGTTGAGGTTCGTGGTCTCAAGGTGCCGTATGCTGCGAATCACTATACGGAAAGTGAGTTTTGGAACTTGTGTTATGATCGGAACGAGTATGAGAGATTGAGGAAGAAATGGCGTGCCGAGGCCCTGCCGTCGATTTATGACAAGGTTGCTAGGCATCACAATGAATCGGAGGATGACGATGGAATTGGACATGATTGGCCTTTGTGGTTGAAGATCTTGTTTAACATCTGGCCCTTTGCGAACTTGTGGCCGCTTGGAGGTCTGTTCCAGATGTATGTTGTCTTGTTCAAATAGATGCGCGTAAGATTGTCCGATTCGTACTGTACTTTCCGTGTTGAGAGAGGCAGGCAGATGTTCCATTTCGACTTGTTCCCACTCCTTGACGAGCTGCGCAGCGCTTGTCTCTACTGCTTACACTTGTACGGGTTCAGGCGCAATCTCTCAATGTTGTCTGGCCACCATCGAGGCCGCATTTCCCGGCGCGACAACATGTCTGCATTCTTTTGAAAGCGACCACTCATGACTGTAGCACCTTGGGCTCAGCTGGCCATACTCAATTTTAATGGAGTCTGGGAAACGAATCGCAGGCCACAACCTGAAATGCATGGGAGCTAGTAGATTCCTCTGCAGCTTTGTCAAAATAGGTAAAGTATTTGCCACTGCTGGAGACAGTGTTCCCTCCCCAGCAGGCGGCAGATACCGAGGTTGCGTCTCCCCAGTGCATCGCTGTCTTGAGGCGCGTCGTTGATGCTTGCACCTTCTTCATGATTCCCGCTTTGTGCTTCGAGGAGGTGATATATCGACGTAACTTGTCCTGAATGAATTTGATCTCGATCTTGCGACGTTCGCGTCCGGGCTTGTTGTTATCGTAGTCGTCGTCGTCAGCGGCGGCAGAGGTGCGCTGTTGCTTGATACCACGAGTCTCGGAAGCGCCATTCTCTTTTTGAGAGGCCTGCTGCATGGCTGCTTACACGACTGGCTCAGAGAGGTTATGACATCGGGCGTTGCGAAGGCATTCGAGTTCGGCTGCTGGGCGGTTGAGCTGCACTGACTGGTGCAAGGCATAATCTTGCTCTTCCAGCAGGCGGCTCCGTGTCGACAGAAGCCTCATCCTAGAGCAGACCTTGAAGCGTAATGTAGGTGAAACTACTTCTCACTACCTCCGTCTTGGGTCCCCGCAGTACCGCCACCTTGTACGGTCTCCTCTCCAAGCACTTTACTGGCAGCCATGAACCTACACGACCATGCATCAGTGATACGCGACAAATTTCATAGCTGTGCAGCGGATGACTCACATTCCTCCGGCATACCCACCCAGCCCTCTCATGCCATCGGCCTGTACAGCCGTCATGCGTAGCAAGTTCTCCAGATCAGACATGTTGGCTGTCAATTGCGCAAGCTGAGAGTGCAGGTGCGAAAGCTGACGAGATTTCGAAGCTGAAGTCGGGACAGTAGACAGGCGAGAAGTGGATTGAGTCCGAGTGTGGCCAGGCGTTCTTGAAGGATGAGAGGAAGACATTTTGGCTGTAATTGTTTGGCAAAGTTGAGTCAACCTTATGTTGTTGTTGGTTGGTGTTTATGGAGAACGTGATGTCCACAAACGCGAAATTTCCACGCCAGCGGCAAAACTGCCGACTCGCCAAGCCATACCTGAGTTCTACTGACATGGGAGACACTCCTCTTGACATCACACACAATCTCCCCTTCGACTCCTCATCCGCACCCAAGATGGCAACAAACAAAGTGCGCCTCTATGCCCTCACAGGCGCCGTAGCGGCCATCACAGCCACCGGAGCCTGGTATGGCGCCGGTCTTAACATGCGCCAAGAATTGAAAGAAGTCTGTCATCTCTCCCCCTCTCAGTCCATAATGTATACCTACCTACCTATTAACCACATGTGTATGCCTACAGGAAAAAGCAAAAACCCATGGAGCGACACATGAAGAGAAGATTGCCCAACTCCAATCCATGCGTCAGCATCTCGTCCGTTCGAAAGAAGAATTGCAGGCCAAAATTGACAAATTGTCTGGGAAAAATGTCCCGCCAGGATCAACAACGACAGTAGGAATGCAAGGGACTCTGGAAGGACGTACGAGGACTTCATGATGTTGAAGAAGAATGGTGATGACGATGAAGAAAATATTTCATCCTCCCAGAAGAAAACAATTACCGTCTCCAGCTCCAGCTGCAGCTCCCTCTTCCCTCGCCTACCACCACCGGAACAATCCAACATTATCACCTACCAGCCAGCCAATCAACCAACCAACCAACCAACCAACCATCCAACCAGCCAACCGACCAACCAACCAACCAACAACCAAATCAAACCCATCCTCAACAGAAAAAGAAAAAAAGAAAGAAAAAAGGAAACCCTGCATCCACATGGAAGAAAAGCAAACCAAACCAAACCTCTTTTCCCAAGGCTTTTTATTTTCCAAGCTACTTGCGCGCTCACGAAACCAACAAAAAGGTCAATGAAGGTCAATAAGGTATCTAGTTAAGCTGCTGAGTTTGAGTGAAGAGGAATGGATGGAATGGATGTGCAAGATCGATCAGTTTGTGGTTGGTGCCGACGAGCACGTGAAGACTTCCAAGGCCGGCTGCACAGGTCGGGCAATGGATAGGTGGTACCTAGAGGTACATACTTGTGGTTCACAGCGTCTGATGACGGCGGCCGCCGGGTGGCAAGTCCGCCGCGGAGCGAACGGGCAAATCAATGGGTGATGCAATACCAGATGGCGAATACCACCAGTACGAGCATGGGCGAACCGACATGAGCTCGATCGAGTGGAGCTGGACAAAGTCACGGCGTAATGGAGTGGAGAAGTTACTTGGAAAGGAGAGATGATCAGACTGCGTTGCATATACTCTACATTTCTTGCGAATGTCTGTCTGTCTCGGCTCACGCACAGTAAGAAGTCTTGACCACTCCATAAGTGCCGGTAGCTTTTGGTTAAGGATTCGGAACCAATGTAGCAGGCGTAGCAAAAGAGTTTTCGGAAAGGTCAGAACCCATCAGTACACCGTCCGCCATTGACACCTGTATGCACCCCGCCCCTAATAACACCGCACCCGCAATTGCAGACTTCATAACTGTCGCCGGTATTCATGTCCATGATATTCTTGTCCCATGTCACGCTGCGACACCAATATATTGTGTCTTGGTCCTTTCGTGATCTTTCTTGCTCTGCCGATTGTATGCTCATCTTGTCTGCAGAAGACCATCTCGGAACACGCGGTTATCAACTCTGTCTCCACGATATTCGAGTGCTCAGCCAGCGTATGTCTTGCACTCAACTGGCTTCTGTGGTGGAAGTACTGGTATTGCTGCGTATCTCGTATGCCTCAGCTCTTCTATCCCCGAGATTGCATATGCTGCTGTGGCGGCATGGGATACCCGCCGCCTTGCTGCGCGGCTTGCTGTTGTTGGAGGTAAGCTTGGTATTGCATTGCCTGCTGCTGGTCGGCGGTCATGTATGGCGCCTGCGGTTGTCGTTGTTGCATGCCTTGCGGAGGCATGGCCTGCGGCATCGGCGGCGGCGCAGATTGTTGCTCTTCTGGCGAGTCGACAGCGGACTCTCCATCGACGCCATTAGAGTCGCCGGGATCAGGAGCATTCAAGCACGCCTGCCATCGTTAGCACGATTCGATCAATGTGAAGTGAGTGTGTGCATAGATGTAGCATACCTGGATCAGATTCTTGCCTTCTGGCTTCGTGACAAGTGGCTGAAGCTTGGGTGTCGTGAATGTGTAGACCAGACCAGTCTCTGAGACGACGAGGAGTAGTACCTGTGTGCCAGTGAGAACTGACAACTCGTAAGCCTAGCATCACATGTCAGTATACCTAATAGGCTTTTGGTGATGGACGCGACGCGTCGTTGATGGGCTTTCCGAGACGGGAGTGTCGTCGCACCTTTTTCATGATTCCCGCTTTGCGCTTCGAGAAGGTGATGTGTCGACGCGACTTGTCCTGAATGAATTTGATCTCGATCTTGCGACGTTCGCGTCCGGGCTTGTCGTCATCGTCGTCGTCGTCGTCGGCGGCGGCAGAGGTGCGCTGTCGCTTGATACCACGAGTCTCGGACGCGCCATTCTCGAGCTCCTCCTGCTCGTGATCGTTGGTGTTGCTGAGGTCCACTCCTTCGGCCGACATGGTGAAGTCACGTCTTGTGCGTGGTCACTACGCTCCTTTGGGTTGCAGGCGGGGCGCGATTACCCAGAGAGGTGTTAGGTGTTCGGCTGGCGAGAGTTTTGTCCGAAGTAGTCGACTCGTTGTTTGTGGAGGTGCCAAGCGGGCGGGTAGTCGGCAGTGACGACTTGGGCCAGTATGCGACGGGGGTGGTAGCAGGCTGGCAGCTGGTCGATAGGAAACAATGGATCCGATGAATGCGAGGGGTCCGATCAGCAACGCGACGCGATGCGATGCAAACGGGAATGGGATGTGCCAAGTGGGTGGTGAGTGGCAGGCTGGAATGTGTGTTTAGCTGTTGTGTGCTGCGGGCGAAACTGACTTCGCCCCCAGTGCAGCGACCGGTGCGGTGCGTGCGTGCGTGCGTGCAGAGCGGTTAATCCTCACCTTTTTGAATTCTCGCGGGTGCGACAGGAGGAGATGATCGCACCGAGCTGGGCAGACAGGCGGGCGTGGCGAGGGCGCTGTCTGTACCTGGGCTGACGGGCGTGTGGTGAGTGGTGTGAGCTGCTGCTGCTGGTGGTATTGTTGTTGGTGGTGGTGGTGGTGTGGATGGAAAGGCTAAGCTTCTTGTGTTTTGCGTGTTCTGCAAAGAGGTTAGGTAGAGCTGAATGGGGAAAATCGAGGGAGCGGGCAGCACCACGTTAAGTTAAGAACAACGCAAGGTGGAGCACGGTCCACGGAGAGAGCAGGCACGCTTGGCGGGCGGGAGCAGCTGGAGCACGAAGGCGCCGGCTACAGGCTACCAGCGAGAAGCTACAGGGCATTGAGGGCAAGCAGCTCCTACCCTGCCCTGCCTGACCTCTACAGTAGTCTGTGCCCGTCTGCGTCTGTGCCCTTCCCTTCCCTTCCCGCCGCCCGCAATCCTCGAATTCGCCGTCTCCCGTCCCCGTCCCCGTCCCCGTCCCCGTCCCCCCATTCAGCTTGGCGTGCACGCGCTGTGAGTGCGGTGCCACCCATCACTGGCAGCCGAGCGTCTTCTGGAAGCCTGCCTGCCGCTTCCGTCTGCGGAATCTCTGGAATGCACTGTGTTGGTCACTGTGGTGCGACCCAGCCGAGGCCCTGCGTGTCACCGCAACCACGACTTTTCTGTCTGTGGCGGCGCGTCGACTAGTGCGAAGCTAATGGAGAAGCACGGAGCGCCCGCTGTCTCAGCTAGATGACAGCTTCATCTGATCTGAACCACACCTTGGCCTCGAGTTCGACACTCATTCATAAGGAGGACGTAGCCATTGTGCACATCCGAGCCGCAGCGGTGCGAAGCGAGGCGAGGCGGAGAGAGATATGGAAGATACAGGTACAGTCCATGACGAGTGCCTCATATGATAGCACAATGCACTCCCTCAACAAGACGGGATTGTCGGAGTGATGACAGTCCCCACGATCAATCCTCCACTTCACGCGAGAACAACTGGTATGCTGCGATAGTACTTGTTTGATGAGAATATGCCAGACTCAGTCTCAAGCATGGGAGGAATTGTCGCGAGAAGCCTCCCACGCGGCCCGACCTCTGACACTCGTCTTACCTCTGGGTCGCAGTGTTTTGACCCTGCCGAATACATGTATCTCGAGTATGTACAGTACATCACCTTGCCAAGTGTAGCAATGCCTCGCAGGCGGAGATGGATATGTAGTGCTGAAACTCCAGTTCTGTTCGACGTTTCAACCATATGCGTGACAGCACGGGATAGAGGTCGAAATAAGGTCGAAATGATCCCGGCCCCACTGAAGAAAGGAAAGAACGATGCGCACCTTAGGATGTACTCTCGACTACACGGCATGTAACTGTTGTTCGGAAGTCGGAAGCTCCCGTCCTCTTGTGCATTGGGATCCTCACTGAAGCTTGATAGGGTCGACATACAATGCGATATCGCTGGTTTGCATCTGGTTCCACGAGGATACTGCTCATTTCCGCGCGGTTTCCATCGCATCAGTCGTTGGTAATCGCCATGGCCTGAGAAGTCTTGCAGCTTCAGCCCAGCTATGGGCTTACTGGATAAGGTATTGATTCATCTTCGCAACTCCTGCTTGGGACATTTCACACTACAGCCTCAGCCAGCGTCTCCTCCTGCCTGCTTGGCCACATCCACTTCTTGAAATCCTGGTAGCTCCATCTGCTCACAGCTTCCTTGACACTCTCTTCCACCCTTTCCAATTCAGATCGCGGCGCGAACTTTGCCGTGGCCTTGACGCAGGCCTTCCCGTCCATAGTCTCCAACACAGCAAAGTACTCGTGTCCCTGCACCGGCAGCCTCACATCATCCTTGCTCGTCCACGCTGGCTGCACACGTATAACATAAAAGCTGTTGGCAAAAGTCGGCTTCATATAATCCATGCTCAACTCCACTGGCTCTTCAGGAATAGCCTCGACAGCCTGTAATGTAGCATGCTTCCCTGTCCCAGGCAGCCTTTGAGGTTTCGCGGCAGAGGTGATGTCGCCATCTCCTCCAGATGCCAGACTCCCTGCTAGAGCAATCTTTTCCACCAAAGCGGTTGCCAGCAGGCCGCCGTGTGTGACGCCTGGCCATCCAGAAAGCGCACCGCCAAACCATACAATGGCGACCAACTTTTGATCGTCTCGATCCCAAAATACTCGTTCCACGCCGAGCCCTTTCGCGCCTTGCAGAGCATCGATGAGTCGATCGTGGAATGGCAGTAAAGCTCCCACGCCAGCAGCGGTCCCATCAGCGCCAGGAGCACTAATCGGCGGTACGATTTCGACCCATCCGCTTTCTTGTCCTTTGAGCTGTTTGGAAACTCCCAAGCATCTCCCTCGCAGTACCTTTACCTTGAACTCCTCGTCGATGCGTTTGTTCAGGTCGGCAATCAACACATTATCTTCGTGTGTGCCGACTTGGGGCATAGGAGGGGGGGCGATGAAGTTTGTGGCGACGCCGCCGAGGACCAGACCGAGTCCTAGACCGAGACTGACCGTGGTGATGCGATAGCGCCGGAAGAAGGATGGTTTGGACGGTGATGGCCCGGGTGACGGTGATGGCCTGGGAGACGTCGTTGACTCATGGCGGCGGGAGAGATGCTGGTAGCGGAGTGAGAGGTGCGGACGAAAAGCCCGTGGGCGGAGGATGCGACCGGTCGACATGGTTCGGGAGACCGAGGTGTGAGTGTTGCAGAGAGAAAAGGTCCGTCAAGCTTCTACAGAGGTGACTAAGGTAGACGGGGCTTTGAGCCGCGCAGAGCCACACCGCCGAGGCGCCCACGCGGCCCGCTTCATGGCCGGTACATGACAATAGACTTCGGCATTCGTCCGACTTCGACATACGTAGACTCCGACCTTCAGACTCCCTCCCTCCATTGCAAACTACTTCTCTCTACATGGACCTCAAAGTGCTGCATGCAGAGAATGGAGCAGAGTCCACTCACGCAACAATCGAGGCCAGACACCTTCGAGCCTAAAGTGGTCGGCTTGTATAGATATCTATTCAGAGTGAGAATGGTATCAGATACAGCCAAAGGAGTACACTGATCCGCTTCCAGGACCACGAGGACGATGAGAAGGACGATGCTTTCTGGACAACTTTGTTCCTGCTCAAGCCAGACGTGACCTCGCTGAAAGCGATCCTCGAAAATACCGATGTGGATTTCCTGTTGCTTCACCAGGTATGTATGCGTGCACGAGAGAATCAGGGTGGAGCTAATTCTTAGAAGCATCTACCGCAACAATTCATTTTGAATGCCTTGGATGTAGTCAAGGCTGGGAAAGGTCCTGCCGATGAGAATGCACTAGAGGTTGGTATACGACTGTCTTTCGCGATGAATCTTCAGTTGATGACTTAGACATTGACAGTGTTCTTCGCTGTTGTGCTATCGAAGCGATTCACCAATCCCAGCTCGGACGTGATCGAAGTGCTGGCAGGTCTCGACAACGTCGATACCGTCTTCTTCGAACTCGTTGGAACTCTGGACCATGCTATCAAAGATGGGCGAACCAGTGAGTATTGGACATCTGAAGCTGAGGGGACCCCAAGCTGATAGACATCAGCCGAGCTGCGGCAAAAGGCCGTTCGGATGGCGATTGCAATCGTCGCCGGTGGCTATCAGACTGCGTTGGTGTCTTACTTCGTGCAAAAGGACTTCTTTCCGGCACTCATGAAGCTTCTTCACCAGCTGGACAATCCTCTGCAGGCCTCCGAACCACTCTTGTTGACTGGTCTACTGGCCAATTACAACAAGTTCGAGTCAAACAACCAGTACCGAACCCGCTTCGCCGACTTCGTCAACGAAGAGACCATGGTCAGAGTTATCGAAAGCGTGGCGTGGACTACTACTGTGCTTCGAGAGCGTTATATTGCCATTCAGGACGACACGCCCGTCGGATGGAGCATAGGCAGCACACTATCCTACGTGGGCCTTGGGGCGTTGGCGGGTGCGAAACCGGCCCCGATTGCGTTGACTGAAGAGCAGCAAAAAGAAGCATTCGCTAAACAGTAAGTTATTCGACGGCTGAATGCGCTATCCAGACTAACGCGTGCAGGCCTGCCAGCGAGGCGGCGACATTGCTCGCGATTTACGATTTTGCTCTCTCGAACAAGCTGTTCTGCCATCACCTCATCTCACTCCCTCCCGCTGCAAAAAGTCAAGATGCATCATTCAGCAGTTTCCTGTCATTGTCATCATATCTCGGGAATCATGCGTACAGAAGTGCTCGAGCTAGCTCCTACGCGTACTTGACGCTGTTGGTCATCTTAAATCTGGTCGAAGATCCCGTACTGGCTAAGCTACTCTGCGAAACGACGACATCCGTGCGGCTGTGCAGACAACGGGCCCCTTTGCTTCCTCCACCCAAGCATGACCGGCCATACATTGCTACCATACTCGACTTGATGATGGACAATGTCAATCACAACCTGCGCAAGAATCTCGACACAAGCTTCTACCGTCAAAGCTTTGCAGTGCTATCGAGAGTAGTGGCCTTTTTAGCGAAATCGCACACCAAGCTCTCGTATCACTGGTCTGAGCTCTGGCGATCAACTCTGTCGTTCGTACGCTTCTTGACGACATATGCAGACGACCTACAAAGGTTGCCGGCCATCCTGGGACTTGTCGATGACTCCGTAGAGTTGCTATCTATCGCCCTCTCTAATGGTGAAGCATTCCTGCCAGATGCTGGCGCTTATGATGACCTCTTCTACAAGCTTGTCGAGTCTGGCGATGCTTTGACAAAACTTCGGAATGCGTATGGCCTGGCTAAGCCCAAGGAGAACAAGCCGATCAACACACTGATCGGCGTGTCGAAGCACTACCAGGAGCTTATTGAATCGCACAAGAGCAAGAGCATCATCCTGACGCCCAGAGAAGTCAACAAGATTATCAAACAAGGTTACGATACTCTCACAATTGAGACAAGGGACAGTCCTGAGCAACCGACCGAGAAGTATCGAGAGGCCGATCATAAGGTTGCACTGAAAAAGATGGCTCGAGTTGCTGTTCTGGATGCAGCTTCGTTGGTATCATAGCGAGCCCTCAGGCTGTGCAGTCTTCCAGAGTGATCCCACATCTGTCCAACAATGCTTGGTAGCACATCAAGCAGCTTTCAATTCCCTCTCGTCGTAAACTGCTCCAGCGCGTCTTCCAGAACATCATAAGCCCACTCTAGACATTTCGTCATATTCCCTTGCGCACTTTCCGGCATAGCCTTGATGCCTAATCCCCTCACCACATCCTCCTTCAACTTACCTTCCACATCGCCCTGCTCAAACAGGAAAGCATGGTCTTTGACATAGTTCGGCCACACAATTTTATCAACATACCCCGGCGGATCTTCCCAAAAGCCTTCTAACGTCACATACCCACTGCGCCCTTCTCGTCTCGCCTTGGCGGTTTGGTAATCTGTTCGCAAAAAGAGTTTCACATCGAAAAAATCTCGAATCTCCTTCATGCCTTCTGAGTATAGTAGAAAACCGTCGCAGAGCAGGATCGGGGGTGCGTCGGCATACATCCATTTACTCGCTTTCCATTTCAAATCCTCGATGAACGCGTGATCGACGTCGACTTTGCCCACGGAGTTTTGGTCTTCTTTGGATATGAAATCTGGAGGTGAGACGCCGTGTGCACGAATGTATTGCAATGCTGAAGAGAAAGCGGGAAGGTTGATGGACTCGAGACAGTCCCAGTCTGCGATGGAATGGTCTGGATGTAGGGGAATTTGGTCATCGGTCTTGTAGAAGTCGTCTTCGTGGAGGATAAAGGCTCGAGGGAAAATGTCTCGCAGGATTCGAGCGAGCGTAGTTTTTCCTGAAGATGAGACTCCGGATATGCCGACAAGGAGGGCCTTGGTGTCTTCTCTGGATGCCATAGCAGGGGCAAAGGGGTGTTCGTTTCACAACGGGGCAGCAGGTGAAGTGTACGGCATATACATGTAGCTACAGGTATGTAACTGGGAGGTAATGTACTCAGGCAACTCAGGTACCCAAGGTGGAGGTAAGCTCAGGTTAGTGAAGTGAGCTAAACAATGGAGCTAGAACTCTAGTGGCTGGCGGCTGTCGGCTGCGCTTGTAATTTGCCCTTCTCCAAGTTCCATCCTGCTGCTGCTGCTTGCTGTCCAACTTGACTTCTTCCTCTCCTCTTCTTCATCAACACCACCACCATCGCGAAATCGTCTCACTTCGTGACACTACACACCACACCGTCCGCCTCCCTCAATCTACGACGAGAACTAGAGGTCCGCATCGCGTGCGACACGCTCGACACCGCGTGCCAACATGGCGCAACAAGCTGCCCCCGACATCTCCCAAATTCTCGCCGCATTGGGTATGCATCTCTGTCGCAGGCACAGAGACGACGATAACGACGTTTACTGACAGTTACCTAGCCCAGTCGCAACCCGCAGCTCCAGCTGCACCGACGCCGCAGGGCCTTCCTCCCCACCAACCGCCGCCAGGATATGGTCAGCCTGGAGTGGGCGCTCCACCGCAGCAGCCCTACTTGCCTCAGCCTTCGAGCACCGGCAGTGTTGATCTGCGCCAGATCCATCCTGTGAACAGTGGTTCCGTCAGCATTCAAGACGCCATCGCCAAAGCGCGCAACATTGCCGAGAACCGTGGCATATCTTCATTCGACCCCCGTCAACAGTCAGCAACACCGCGCGAGGACCCCAGAATTTCCCGTATGGGCTATCCGCTCTCGCGTTCCCGATCTCGCTCCCCATCTCGACGCGACAATTTCAGCGCGAACCCCTACCGCGACGAGCGTCGAGAGGATCCCCGACGAGGCAGCTACCGCCGCTCTCCGAGTCCAGATCGTTCGGGAGGGAGAGGTGGAGGTCGCAGCAGCGATAACGGAACTGAGGCAGAGACCATCCGCGTGAAGTCTGGCTTAGTGGGACTGATCATCGGGCGCAATGGAGAAAATCTCCGCAAGGTAGAAGCTGAGAGCGGCGCGAGAGTTCAATTCGTTCAGGCAAAGGACTCGCATGTCGCGGAGCGTCAGTGCACCATCACTGGAAGTCAGCGGTCCCGAGAGGCAGCAAAGAACGCTATTTTCCAGATCATCGAGGAGAACGGCGGCACTCCTGTCGCGCAGGAGAAGGGCGCGTACACCCCAGGTATGCCCGGCCGCGCCAAAGTCAACCTTCCAGCGTTGCGCGACGGCGAGGCAAGCACACAGCTCATGGTCCCTGACAAGACTGTTGGCCTCATCATCGGACGAGGAGGTGAGACGATCAAGGACCTTCAGGAGAAGAGCGGCTGCCACGTCAACATTGTTGGCGAGAACAAGAGCGTTAACGGATTTCGCCCCATCAATCTCATTGGCAGCGAGCGGGCTACCGCGACGGCTCGAGAGCTCATTCTGGACATTGTGGAAAGCGACAGCCGCAACGCGAGCTCTGGTCCTTCTCGCGACCGAGGTTTCGAACAGAATCCACGCAATGGAGGCGGTGGAGGCCGAGGCGGCCTTGGCGGTGCTGATCATTTTGAGAAGACGATTCGCGTCCCTTCCGAAGCTGTTGGTATGATTATCGGTAAAGGCGGCGAGACCATCAAGGACATGCAGCGCACCAGTGGCTGCAAGATCAACGTGAACCAACCGCAGCCCCCAGATGTGGAACGCAGCATCGACCTGGCAGGCGACGCTCGTTCCATGGAGGCGGCTGAGCGTATCATTTGGGAGAAGGTCGAAACCGTGCGCCAACGTGATGCCGCAGGTGGCCGAGGCGGCAAAGGTGGCGGTGGAGGTGGACGTGACCAAGGCCCACCGCGTGCCTACGATGCATACTCACAAGCGCAAGCTGTGCCAAGCTACGGACAGTACAGTACACCAGCACCCCAGATGCCACCCCAGGTGCCGGCATTCCAGATGCCATCCGTGCAACAGCAGCAGCAGCAGCAGCAGTCTGTTAGTGGCCAGTCTGCCGTGGACCCAGTTGCGTACGCTGCCTGGTATGCGCAGTGGTATTCGCAGCAGTACCAGCAAAACGGCGCTGCTCACCCCGGAACACAGTGATACGTTGAGCCGAACGCAATGCTCGTGACGCCGATGAGATGATAACGTGATGGGGAGCCAGTCGACTTACGATTCTCCCTGCACTCAGCAGTTGACTGATCTTCTACGATGATACCCGTGTGTGGTGGTAACACATGCGCATGATGTCGCCCGTCTATGAGCCCGACATGATGCCTTTTGTTGCCGGAATGATGCGCCTGTCGTACGCTGAACGCTTTTCGCCCGGTGCCTTCAATCGAAATTGACTGGTGAATGATGAGGTCGACGTCTACTGAAGCTCACTGGACATGATCATGTCTGCTATGGTATGCATGCCTTGTTTCGGGCGCTCGTCTGTGGTGAAGCGCAATCGCTGACGTTTTTTGATGTCGATGAAGCCTCGTCGCAATGACTTGAGGTTGGTAACCTGGCCTGCTCCGCTCGCGTTTCAGCAGAGGTGCTTCTGCTGGCACAATGTAATCCGTACTGCGCTCCATTCGCCCGCGTGGGAGTTCTCGCAGCTCCCCGGTACCAGTTCACTTGTGTGGCAATGGATAAGATGGCATTATGCGATCGTGGGAACTGCATCTGTTCGCTGCTAGAGAGCACTGATGCCTTGATGTATTCTATGCGATGCAACAAAAATGCAAATCCTCTTCTCATACCGTACTGGCTCTCCGTCGTGCTTGTTATATATCTGATACCTCGTCTGCTCTCACAATGCATGCACTGGCCTGAATTGCCATCGCCATCGCCATTGTCATTGTCAAGTCTGCTGTTTGCTTCCCATCCCCCATCCATTCTATCTGTCCCTGTGCTGTCTTGATGTCTCCATGTCCTGATGTCCTGATATCTCAAAGAGGCTGAAGTCTTGATATCCCAATCGGCGCCAAGAAAAGAAACGGTTGGATGCGTTGCTGCAGCAACAGCCGTGCCGCGTTAGGGACACGCGCCGAGGACGTGACTTTCAATCGTCCTGTCCTGTCCTGTCCAGTCGACCACCTGATGAACAATCACGAAGCCTTTGGTACGCCGGCATTCTCCACCAGCGCATCGCATCTGTGCCTCCTCGTGCGCATGTAGCCATCGTCTGGCCACGGCGTCTGCGACATACTGGAGCATACTTAGCGCTACGACATGGCAGAGATCGGAACCATAGCGACAGCGACGACCATAGACTCACTACTACCCACGAACAACGCTCTTTGACTCGAGAGGAGCATCTTGGATCTTTTGGAATAGCGACCCATCAGGAGACACATACAAGGGGAGACCGTGTCAAAGACACTGTCAGGCGCATCATGGCTGCGGTCGCACATCCTTCGCGACCAGCTTTCCGCAGAAACTCGCCCTTGTCGGGATTTGGACCCAATGGCTTCTCTGCCGATGCGCCCATGATCAAGCGCATTGACGTGGGAGACGACAGCGATTCCGACGACGAGCCTCCGCCTGCGATCAAGTTTTCCAAAGTCACGCAGGCACTACTGGCAGATGCAGGCGTGCCATCTTCTCCACCGCGCCAGGCGCCAGCAGGTGCGATGCCGCGCTACAACCGATCCACAAGCGCTGGAACAGCCGGACTGGACACTCCTAGTAGGGTGCCTGGTCTCAAGGTCGTACGGCGCAGCCCTCCTCCTGGTAGTCACGATCAAAAGGATCGAGGCACGCCACTGCGAGTGGTGCATCTGGGCGCGAAAGGGCCGGCCTCTGCGAAAAGATCTATCAGCATTTCAGGACCATATCCCAATCGTGGGATGAAACGAGATCCCACGCCCGAGACGAACGTCAGGCCGGAAGTTGTGACACCTGCCCCCGCACCGCGTGCCATCCGCGTGGTGACCCGATCTCGAGCGGGGAGCAACGCTTCGCAGGACGAGCCTGCACATATGGTATCCTCTTATAGCAGACCTGGTTCACGTAATGACACGAGAGCGGCGCCGGACACGAACGAAAGAACGAATTATAGATCAGAGCTAGCACGCAGCACTTCTGCACAATATGTGCCCGAAACTGTATCCAGATATGGGACCTCTACAGCGGCTAGATCACGGAATGCGTCCGCTGAGAGCGCAGCCCCTCCTGGGTCGCAACGGGTGAAAAGGGCGCCCATGACGGGCTCTTTCCTGAAGAGTGGCCCAATCCGGCGGGGCTTCAAACGAAGGGACAGCGAAGAGAACAACTCCGCCAACGATGAAGGACCGCACGGCTCGTCCTCCCAACCAAGCGCTTCCTCATATACGCCGCAGGACAGGAGCATGTCTCAGCTCGATGGTGCGCGAAGTCGAAGTGGGAGCGTGAACACCCGCGCAACCTCAGTGGAACCAGTGTCGATACATGACTTTGCGCATCGGAGTCAATCATCGCAGCATTCACGGCCACCATCACGACAAGCAGAATCTCGTCTCTCCAGGAGCCAGACGCGTAGCGACTCGAAGCCTCCCTCGCGTCAGACGAGCCGAGAACCATCGCATAATCGGCAACCTAGCGCTGAGCGACACCAAGTACGACGGCAACCCAGTAGCCAACAAATGACTGGTTCTGCACTGGCCAGTCAGCAGCAACGACGACCAAGTATTGGACAGGGCCACATGGACTCAGCAGCGGAGCAGAGCCACCACCAACGCATGGCCAGCTATGCGCGTACCAATTATCGATACGATCCGCCCAAAGTACACACTGATGCATACGAGGACCAAGAGAACATGCCACCTCCCACTTTCCGACGCAACAAAGACCAGGAGTTCAAATATCTGGGCAAACCTACAATGTCAGTGATGTCAGACGACGAGAAGTTGGATCGCCGACATGTTGAAGAAACGCCTGTCATTGTGTCTCAGCAGGAGCCTCGGAGAGCTTTGGGCGCTATCAGTGGCAACACACCGCATCGAGCAGCTCCTGCACCTCCACCGAAAATGAGTGTTCTCGATGCTGCTACTGCCAGGGCGGGTGCCAGCACGACCAAGACTCGCAAGAAGCGCACTCACATTGTTGTCAAAGGCAAAATTTTCACGCAAATGGGCAGGATTGGTAAGGGCGGTTCCAGCGAAGTTTACTGCGTAATGGCAGAAAACTACAAGACGTTTGCGTTGAAGCGTGTGAAGCTTGAAGATTGTGACGAGACGGCGGTTCGAGGCTACAAAGGCGAGATCGACTTACTGAAGAAACTGACCGATGTTGAACGCGTGGTCCGACTCTACGATTGGGAGCTGAATGACGAGAAGAAGGAGCTCCTGGTCCTCATGGAGAAAGGCGACACTGACTTTAATCGCATCTTGACGCTTCGGCTGAATGGCACGGACGCTCGATTCGATAGTGTCTTCACGAGATACCACTGGAAGGAGATGTTGGAGTGCGTTCAGGCCGTTCACGACTACGACATTGTCCATTCCGATCTTAAGCCCGCCAACTTCCTGCTAGTACAAGGACGTCTCAAATTGATCGACTTTGGCATAGCGAATGCAATCGACACTGACAATACCGTCAATGTACACAGAGACTCCCACGTGGGCACACCGAATTACATGTCGCCCGAAAGCATCACGGACACCAACGCGACTGGTAAAGACGACGCTGGACGACCCCTGAAGAAGGATATGCGCATTGGTAAAGCATCCGATGTCTGGAGTCTCGGCTGCATTCTCTACCAAATGGCTTATGGCCGGCCCCCTTTCGCCCACATTGGGAACCAAATTTCCCGAATCATGGCGATTACGAATCCTCGACATGTCATCGAATTTCCCGAAATCGGTGTCGGTGACGTTCCCATCCCATCGACGTTACGAGGTATCTTACGGAGGTGCTTGAATCGCGACCCCGACAAGAGGCCTTTGATTAAGGATATGCTTGGAGAAGCTGATAGTTACCTGAACCCCGAGGGCATGGGCAATGCAGTCTTGATGGACGAGGCCCTGTTGGGACAGATTATCAACAAAGTCTTGGATCGTTGTCGGGATCCTGGGAGGGGAGTTCCTAGCCCGGATGAGGCCATGTTGTATCCGAAAAGTTTCATGATGAAAATCAGGGAGATGCAGGAAGGGAGGTAATTCAGATGGATTGTCGAGATGCGTGAAAGGGGGATATAATATTGGAATGAGCATTCTTTGTGGGGACTTTTTTTTGAAACTTGTTAAACCAACCAAGCACAACACGCTTTTTTTACATTGGGGCATTGTGTTTTTCGTTTTTTTCTTCCACCTGTTTTTTTGGCTTTTTGGATAGATGATGGGACGCCGCGACTGCATTTACAATAGCGTAGGAGCTTTGTGGAGTTTTTTCCCTTTTTTTTGCTGTAGAAAACACGCTGTTTACCCGGTTTCTATAGACTACCTAGGTATACATGTACCTTTATATACTTACTTGTATAAGTACGAGAAAGAATGGGAACAGAGAGAGAGAGAGAGCGCTTGCCTTTTCTTTTCTTTTTCTTTTTCAATTTTTCAATTTTTCTTGTGCATAAGATAAGGTTAGGCATGCACGATTCTTTCCTTTCCTTCCAGGTTCTTTTTTCTCTTTTCTCGTCAGGATATAGGTATCTATCCCCAACAGAAGTTCTCCAGAGAAGTGTAATTTTTTTTCTTTCTTTATTATGTATTTGGGAGGATTGCAAGTATATGGCTAGCACGGTTCCCCGTTGTTTTTGGTAGGTAGCTACATATAATAAGTACAGGTACCTAGTATATATAGTACAGTGCACTTCTCTGAGACCATTTCGTTCGTAGTAGACAGACAGAGACACCAAGCAAGCAAGGACATGCAACTACGACTCCGTCAATTTTCACTCAAACGAGCTAGCTCTGTTCTCTCTCAGATAGGATCAAGGCGCTAACAAGATACGTGCACTCGTCTTTCTCCCACCTTCCACATGTACCAAAAAAATCCCGTTCGTCCATCCGAGGTTTCTACGTCCAAGGCATTGGTTATGACTGGTTCCCGAAGTGTGGCACACTAGACGATGTTCGCGGAGTTAGCTCCAGGTTGTTGACTCGCTCCTCACAGCTTTGGTATGGTGGTAGGGTCCGGGGTAGGCTCGGATTCTCCGATCATCGACATGACCACTCAGGAGCAAGTGAGCTACCTCCTACTAAGGTAGATGTTTGAGTTCTTGGCAGCGGTGGCGCGCGCGGATCTGTGATAATCCCTCGCGCTATTGCATTCATTGCAGAGCATATTTGTAGAAGATGGACGGAAGAATTCATAAGTCCAGAGAGTGTCTGTTTCCAGTTTTGTGCAGGTCAAGGCACACTTGCTTGTTGTTGGCGAGACTCGGAGCATCCCAGCATTTGCGTGCATTTCGGCAGCAGCAATGTGACACAGACTCACGTTCTCACAATCTGGCCTGCACTCTATCGCGCAATTATTGCTGAGTGTGATGCAAGGCCTCCTCACCCGTTCGCAGCACCGCCCTCCACCTTCACATCCTTTTTGTTCCCAGCCTCCTCACTGCTCGTGGCCAAGTCACTCGAGCTATCCGACCACAGACTCCTGCTTTGCGCCTCAACTCCCCTCATAGCCTGTGCAACAATCTCCAATTTTTGCACGACCTCCCTAACACCTCCGTCCACCTTTCTGAAATACGCCTCATTCGCCGCTCGCCTCTCGCTCGCCAATTTGATATCTTGCTTCGTCTCATCCTCCAGCTGCGACCTCCCGCTCTTGCTCGTGACATCCGGACCACTCTGCGCACTCTCATCGCTTAACGCGGTACTTGCCATCGTGGAAACGGAAGCATCTGTATCTCCTCTATTCCTTTCTGCGACCACACGATCTTTAGCGAGGGAATCAGCGCCTTTGAATCGATCGGACATGTTCTTTTCGATGCTCTGTGCTTTAGTGGGATCTGTGTCTTTTTCATCTTGATTGCCCCGACCCCAAGCTCGCGCTAACTCGACTTGTGCTTTCCTCAAATCCTCCAAAGCACGAGCGTGTGATTCTCCAAAAACATGAGTGGAGCTTTGGGCAGTGAGTTCGACTTCGTTCAGGGTGTTCTGCATTTCTTTCCATCTCGTCTCGAGGCTTCGTTCTGAGGCTTTCTTGACGCTAGATTTTTGCGTATGGGGGCTGTTCTCGGAATCATCCTCGGATATGGGCTGCTGTTGTTGAGCGTTATCGATGGCGTTTCGGGAGCGGGGGAGACCTGATTTGTGGCGCGAGATGGGATCGCGTTCGAGGTTCAGAGTTGCTTCCGCAGGTTGCTGGCGACTAAGGGACAAGTTTGAGGCGTTGCGTGACGGAGGCGCGATGAAGAGTGTCGGAGCGGGGAGTCGGTTGGGTTTCGTGTTAGCAGTCGGCGATGGTTTCTGTGACGACAACGCGCCGGACTGGGTGGTGGTGGCCATGCTGTCTTCTGGCCCAGTCTCGGAGACTTTGTTACCTAGGTACGTTAGATCACATGGTGTGTACAGGCAAGTGTTGCTGTTGAGGTTAAGTTGTTCCAGCAATAACCTTAGACTTTGCCAAGAACTCGTATGCCAGGCACGCTTGAAGTTGTTCGAGCCGCCTACCGCCGCTTGCGCCGGAAAGCAGAAAGAATAAATGGAAATTTATCACCACCTCGGTAATAGAGTCAACACTGCGTAGTACTGAGAGGGAGAGAAGATTGTGACGAGATTGACGTGGAGAAAGCCGTGAACTATGATTTAAGGACTATATACAGCTATAGTCCCAACCCTTCATCCATTACAAGCGGTTCCTTAGCTCAGTTGGTTAGAGCGTGGTGCTAATACGGCTGCAATGCCTTCAAACGCCAAGGTCGAGGGTTCGACCCCCTTAGGGACCATCAAGCATGGTGCTCTACCACTTCGACTTCAATGTCGTCGGCCAGTCTTTTTGTCTTTTGTTGCCTGTCGATGGCAGATCTCCCGCTTGATCTGATATGATGAGAAGTCCTGCTTTTTTTGTTCTCAAGCGATGCAAAATGCAATTGTCCTTGGGTGGAGAGAGCGGAGGAAGCTGCTGACATGGTGCTTCCGTGTGCCTCTCCCACACGGTGGCATAGTGCAGAAGGTCCAAACACGGTTGGAAACTAAGGTACTGGACTGTGCACTTAGGTAGAGCACAATGTGCTATGTACCTACAGGTACCTAGGTACAGTCAGTAGGTAGATAGGTTCCAGAACAACAGACATTAACCCCGATCTACTTGTACCCCCCTGCCTACTGCAGCTGTTATCTGGCGGGCAGTCGGTAGATAAAAGACTTCTGAGGCTTTTCCAAAGGATCTGAGTCAATCTACCGGAGCTTATGTGAGGGCAGCAGGGCGAGCGTGCACTGTCAGGCAATGTGTGAAAGACGAACGGCATGCTTTTTGAGGCTTCTCGCCATCTACATCGTAACTCTAGTATCTTACATTGCGCAATGCAGCTCTACGCGTATTCTGTGTCTGCCCGCTGGTCTCATTCCACACCGTTCCCGTAACTGTCATAATTCATGAGAAGTATCACTTCAAATTCGTTCCGAGAGCTCTTTCAATCAAATCTTGAAATGCTTGTCGGTCGTAGGCTTGCCATCCTTCTTTCCCCTGCCACCAAAGCCCCAGCGAATCTGGTTGGGCATGTTAACATGGATCTTCAGATCATCGGCCCACTTGAACACCAGGCCGGGATTCTTCTGGAAGGCACGTCCGACAATAACAAGATCGAGCCCTTCCTTTTCGAGAAGCTCATTCGCAAGCTCAGCAGTATCGATGCTTCCAACAGAGCCGACAGCCATCTTGTCTCCGACAGCTTTCTTGGCCTTGATTGCAAAAGGCGCCTGGTATGCTGGCTTAGCATGTGGGTGCTGTCTTGGGTGATTACCACCAGATGAGACATCAAGCAAGTCCACACCACGCTCTGCAAGCAGTGGAGCGAGTCTAGCAGTGTCATCGGCTGTCCATGACTCTGGGATATCTTTTTGCTCCTCAAGCCAGTCGGTTGCCGAGATGCGCAAGAACAGAGGCATATCCTCTGGAATGGTGGCGCGGGTCTCCTCAACGAGCTCGAGTGTAAGTCGAGTTCTGTTCTCGAAGCTGCCTCCATACTTGTCTGTTCTCGTATTGCTCACAGGGCTGAGGAATGAGTGCAAGAGGTACCCATGGGCGTTATGGATCTCAATGGCATCGAAGCCAGCCTTGAGCGCACGCTTGACGGCGTCGTTGAAATCTTTTTTGAACTCAGCAATTTCATCCAGCGTCATCTCTCTTGGCTGGGCATGCTTCTCGTTCCAGGCAATGGCGGACGGTGCAATGACATCATCTGGCCAGCCGTTCTTGTCTTTTCCAGCAATGTCTCCTGCACTCAACCATGGCGCAACCGTGCTGGCTTTGCGTCCAGCATGGGCGAGCTGAATCATGATCTTCTGGTTCTGCGAATGAATAAACTCGACAACCTTCTTCATCGGTTCGATCTGAGAGTCTTTCCAAAGTCCAACGTCTTCTGGCGTGATGCGACCTCTGGCCTGGACTCCAGTTGCCTCAACGCAAGCCAGACCTGTGCCGCGTGATCTAGAAGTGACAATGCCAGGTTAGACGCCGTCTCTCGCGTGAAACGAGGAAGGAGATGTTCTGCTTACACAATGCCACCAAGATGAGCCATGTGCCACTGCCATGACAGTTAGCTTGAGATCGTGATGTGAAAGAGCTTGAGCTTTCACTTACCGGTGTCATGTGGCCGTCCTGAGCGGAATATTGGCACAACGGACTAAGCATGATGCGGTTCTGGAGCGTCTGTGAAGTGTCAATCCAACGTCACTTGACAGCATTCTGTCGACCTTACCAGACCACGAAGCTTGAGTGGCTTGAACAGCTTGGGCACATCTTCCCCCTCGCCGACAATTGCTGTTCCAGCAGGTGGATTTTGCAGCGGAGTGAAGAATGAGACGCCTGGTGCGGCATGGTTGACGAGATCGTCAGCTTGTTGTGGTGCCTTATCGGTGGTGTTGTGGTGTGAAGTCGACATTGTGGTTGTTGCTGGTGACTAGCAGGTGAAGTGGAAGATCGATTGGATTTTCGAGGACGAAGGAAGGTGATCAACTTATACTGAAGGCGGAAGAGGGACGGGTCATCGCACCAGTGAGGTCGCAAGTCAATAAGGTCACCACAGGTACCTAGAAGGTACCTTAGCTTCTGATGATTTCTAAGGCGGCAATCTCTCGGCTTGTCTCGCCCATGGCGTCATCGCACCGTCCACGACAAAAATTGCACGCAGCAGCACCTCACCTCTGGCAGTCTTCCAGTTGTATGCCTACCTGGTACCTAACGTGTAGGAGAGGTAGTGCTTACCCGGCCACGATCAGCACATGTAGGTAGATTGGTAGATAAGGTAACTACAGTATCTACCTGCCTTAGGTGGTACCTGTAGTCACCCCAGAGTTCTCCCCGAGCTTCAGTAGTGTGGTCATCGTAGCACTACAGAAATGATACATGTATTGGTGCTGCACACGTACCTCCTACAGCCCACAATGCTCCCCGCGCACGATGACGAGCAACTCTCCCGTATGGTGCCAGTCTATAAAGGCCCAGGACGTACGAGTGGAACTCTTAGAGTCTTCTAGACGCGATCGACTGAGCTCGACGATTCTTCCGATGTTGAGGCGGAAGGTGTATTCGGACTTCGCTGCGATCTCCTCTCGTATCAGGTACGCAGCGGAGATGTCAATCATGACTACCCATGATGCATGTGTCGTAACATATGGAGTTTGTGGTCTCGGCAGCCTTCTTCGCCTGATGCTTTTGGTGCAGCTCACAGAATTCCTGGTGTACGCATTGTAGCCTTGTGCGAGACGAGGAGACCCCATCTTCAGTGCGTCAACGTCGTCTAGATCATTGCTACAGCCTATCTGTAGCTTAGCGTTTGTGTCCTTACCACAGTCTCAAAGCAATCCTGTCAGGAGCGGCTCTTCAAGCATCGAGCCATTCCAGACTTGGGCGTAGAGAAGCGACAGTGCAAGTCATCAGTCGAACTCCAAGCGTAACCTCCTGCACGAAAAAGATAGTCCGTGGAAGTTTACACTTCGCATTGATTGCAGGACATCTTTATCGGAAGTGAATCGCGCTGGACTCCGTCGACGCCGAGGCCTGTCGTTACAGAGGACAGTCTCCATGCGCGCGCCATTGCCCTACGCATACCTACCTATGAGAGTGCATCATATGCGTCGCGCGGCCGCTGGCCAGAGGTTACAGTGATGACTCCACCGGACTAATGGCGTCTGTCTTGCCTCCAGCGTCAGGCCTGATCTTTGCGAGACGAATGCCAGTCTTTCTGTCTCGAAGGTGCTCATAGTGGAAGTCCTGAACGCCTTGTCCGGAGAGCGTGCGGCTCGTGTGTCGCCCAGCGCTTATGGTTCATCGTGATCTCGACGTGGCAGATGGAAACTACACCGGCGCACTGATTCGAAGGATAACATTCTCAAGAGTGATGCTTGAACGTGAACAGCCCGACGTGCTGAGTCCACCCATGCCTCCCCCGGGCCCCGCCGTCACCCACGCGCCGATGCATGGCGGAAGTAGTGGTGGTACCAGGTATCCATCTGCCATAGCCTCGAAGCGAGGAGTTCAACCTCCGACCATGTTGTTCTCGACCCCCGTCGACAAGTGACACACGATGCCATTGCATCTGCAGATACATGGCAAGCACGGCTGGATCGACTATCAGAGAGGAGTTGTGACGCCTTTCATGCTTGAGATACCCAATGACCTCAGGCACACACGTCCTTTCGACCTCCCTGCTTGGCAGTCGATCTGGAAGACGTTCCACTTCCACAGTCATTCAGGACTGTGGCTTCATCAGGTCCAGTCTGACAACGGACCGATGTTCGATTTCATGGATACCGTCCTTCCCAGTCACTACCTATCACGATACTAGGTACTATCAATCGCTGACCACGCCACTGGAGGCGAGCTTAGAGTTCGTAAATGTAGCTGTTCTACGGGACCCGGTAAAAGGTAAAAGCGTCTTCCAGGTTACCAACACAGAGGCTAGTCAAAGTATCCATTGACGTTTCAGCTGTTCGCTCTGCGAAGACAGTCCATCGCTCTGCGTACACAACCGAATATGCCGGAACAGAGAATGTGAGCGGTGGCTACCTCCATTGCCTCGAGCCTTGAGAGTGCAAGACGAGCACCAATACTTGCCGCGCAGCGCCTACAGCATCCCGAACATCCACCTACCTGCTGGACCTCGAACGCCTCCTTCCGCTCGCTACCTACACGTCACGTCTCGCTGCATACCTTGCGTACATACTTGAGCTTTTGCTGCTCGCGCTCCCACCATGAAGCTCTTCACTCGTGCGAAGACAGCGCCGTCAACATATCCACGAGTCGTATTCCATGGCATACGATTCGGCCAGCTGCTCGCCAGCTCAGTCGTAGGAGGGATCATGTCATATTTCATATACCAACTCACACATGATCGATGGGACACACCATGGACATTCATATGGGTATGCCTGAACTTGAGTTGGAAGAGTGGGGCTCTACGGACAAATGCTGATGATGGTACTCAGTTGACAACTGCTTCACTATTCTCCATCGCTGCGCTTTTGGTCACGATCATCCTTCACTGTTGTGTAGGCTTGACCTCGCGCCTGAACCTAGCCGTGAATGGCTTCCTCTTGGTGCTATGGGCAGTGAGCTGGAGCCTTCTGACATGGTTCATGAGTCCCACGCTGGCCAATATGTGCGATGTCGAGCACTGGCACGAAGATACCGGCATCATGATATGTCGAATATATAAGGCGCTCTTCGCATTCACGCTGCTCGGGCTGTGAGTAAATGCCGCTTATCGTTTTCGAACCTTCCTGACCAAACGTTACAGTGTCTCTACAGTCGCTGCCTTTGCCCTCGATATCTACGTGTACAGGATGACCACCTCACGCGGCATTTATAAGCTCCACGATCTAGATCACACGGATGGATCACACGCTGCAGCTGGGGCATTCACAGAGATGGAACAGCGTCGGAAGAGTGAGGCTTGGGAAATGCCACGAACCTCATGGGAATTACCACGAACCTCAATGAGCCCATATGGTGAGCAGGCAGACCCAGGGCCGGCTTCGCACGGCTATGCTCTGCCCGAGGCTCAATTCAAATACGATACTGGATACAGCAATGGGCGCCATCACATGCAGCCCTAGATATGGAAATATCGGGTGACAGATGTTGATCTGACGAATCTTCTTACATTCGGCATGAGTTTTAGCGCTGGGCGTTGGGTGGAAATGTTCGGTCATGATATAATAGCACCAGCATAGAGATGTTCTGATCACGCATTGCGACGGCTTCGAGGATTACACTATCTGCTCAACGGAGGATATTTAGGCAAGCCCTCGTTAGATCAAAAAACCCCGAAGAAAAAAAAAAGAAGGTGGCTAAGGTACTAACTCGTCAGATGCGAACACAGAGGTGAGTCTGTGTGACTTGGCCATTGTGATCACATGGCACGCTTACTCCAAGCATTGTTTGCCGGCAGCCACGAACAACACTCCTTCATCAATTGCAAGCGAACATCAAGCCTGGATGTCCGTGATGAGCTATCGTATCGCCAACTCTGCTGGTGTATATTATCAATTTTGTGTTGGGGCTGTGCAGAGGGAGGGATACCTATTTATATCGTCTCGCTTAATAGAGTGCCTAGCGCCTACCTGGAAGTTAGTGCCATCCCTTGTGATCGTCGAGGGTTCAATTTCTCGACCTTTTTCATGCTCCATCTTTTTCTTGTCACCCCATCGCAAGCCAGGGCTCTCCTGAGCGCACGACACCGCCGTCATCTCGCATCTGCACCCTATAGTGCAGTTGAAGGAGTTTGCAGAAAGGCGCAGGCTCCGACCGGAGAAATGGCAATACTAGTAGAACTATTCTTGAATCTTGGCTGGCCAACGCAAACATACCTAGGTGCCTAGGTAAGGCATCTAACAGAAGCATCTAACGCTCTAGTGACTGGCCAACGAACACACTTGTGCTCACACCCTGGTCATGACAAGCACAGGTGACAGGCTGCAGTGTACTTCAGGAATCAGGAGGTAGATAGTACCCCCGAAGCAAGCGTGATCCACTTCCTCCAGCACACTGAGCACAGGCTCACAGCGGATGCCTTTGCCGCGTCGCGGATACCTGACCATTCAGCCGCGGCCGCCGCCACCAGAAAAATTCCAGGCACCGTGCAGATATACCATCGCACAGCATGTGGGAAGGACAACCACCCAAGAACCCAGCCGCTCAAGATGTCTAAGAACACTACACCATTGTCGTGACGACGCTACGCAGCGTACGCTGTGTATCCGCGCCCAAGCCACCGTAGGTACTTATGCATTGAAACGCTACGCACCCTTGACACGCATTAGTCTTGACTGGAGCACTGCATGAACCCGCTTGGCCCATCCACTTTCGGATGTCCCAGGCACAAACAACGAAAGAATTTATCTGTTACAGCTGGCCTAGACGCCTCTGTGGGCGCGATTCCATATTGATGGCGGAAATTCGGCGGTACGCTCTCTCTAAAGGGACGAACAACCCATCACCGCGCTCCTGGGAATCCTGTCTATTCGTTCTTGCATCACTCGTTTGCAGACAGTATTCCTTCATCACACTCTTTGCGCTGTTGATTCATTGGTTGCTCGGTCGATACCTTACTGTGCACTCGACCGTTCCACTCTTCTGCTTGGCCGTCTTAGGCGCGTCAGTGACAAGGATACCACAGAATCCCCACCACCAGCCTTCTACTTCTACGGACCCCCTTGTGGCTCCCCGGGTCAAAATAACACGGCTGGAGTACAGTCTTCGAGAAGACTATCTTTCGACAGCTCTCTCTTTCTCTCTTTCTCTCGCTCTTCGAAAGTGGCTCGTCTCCCAGTCGTTTCCCTTCAATACCACAACAACCAGGCAAGAATCTACCTGGACGTTAATCCAAGGGCATCTACTTCACCGACAAGGATTCTCACAGACTCACATCACGTACAACGACTACTAAAGCTACTTGTTCGTCCACAAAAGCCTCTGCTCCTGCGCGAATCTTATCCTTCCGGCTCAATCTGAAACTTCAATCTCGACGGTCACTTCCCCAATCCAATCAACATCGTTACTGGTTGACCTCACCTCGTCGATCAGCGCAGCAGCAACTTCATACACGACTTCAGTAACTGAATCTGTGGTAATCACAGCCTCAGAGTTGCTTATGGGGATCATAATCTCCACCCCCGATAGTCCGATGGCTACGCCCTCCAGCTGCGCGAGCCTTTGCTCGTCACTCTCGTTCACAGAGCTTGGCTTGCCCGTGGCGCCAGTTTCTTGTGTATCTTATGCGGCCAACGAGACAATTACCATCACTGGGGGCCAAGCAGATGTGGGATGTGGTTCAACAGTCCAACCTAGCGTTGACTTATGCCGAGTCGTACTGAATGTCGAGACCAGTCAGGCTTCCGAGACATACATGGAAGTTTGGCTGCCAGAGAATGACGAGTGGAATGGTCGTACGATGAACACCGATAACGGTGGTGTCAACGGATGCGTCCACTATGTTGACATGAACTACGTCGTTGGTCGTGGCTTTGCTGCTATCGGTGACAATGCGGGCCACAATGGTTCGTCCTTCGATGGATCCTGGTTCGCAAGCGACAACGAAGTCATTATCGATTGGGTTTACCGCGCTCGTCACTCTGCTGTGGTTGCTGGCAAAGAAGTAGTCAGCCAATTTTACGACCAGCAACCCGACTATTCGTACTATATTGGTTGCTCTGCGGGTGGTGCTCAAGGCATGAAGTCGGCGCAAATGTACCCTGACGACTTTGACGGCATCATTGCTGGCTCTTCTGCAGCCGACTTCAATCACCTTCAGGCATGGAGCGGCCGTTTTGTGCAGCTCACTGGTACCTCTGCTTCCGATGGCAGGTTTCTGACTGAAGACGACTGGATCACCGTTCAAGCTGCCATCTTTGATCAATGCGACGCCAAAATCGATGGCGTCGACGATGGTATTCTCGAAGATCCCACCCTGTGCGTCTTCGATTCCTCTGTCCTCTCTTGCACCAACAACGCCACCCTTTCCGGCTGCCTTACAGACACTCAAGTCAGCACTGTCGACCAAGTCTTTACCGAGCTCTACAACACCGAAGGCGAACTCCTCTTCCCGGCCCTCCTCTACGGCTCCCAAGTGGATGCATTCCGCCTGGGTCAGCTCTCTGGCAGTGTCCAAGCCATCTCTGAAGACTGGTACAAATACGCCGTACTCGACGACGACAGCTTCAACGCGCTTGACATGGATCAGTCCGACTACGCCGCCGCCGACGCCCTGGACGCATATCACGGCAATGTCTCCTCGTTCAACGGAGACCTCAGCGGCTTCCAGAACTCCGGCGGCAAGATGATCGCATACCACGGCATGGCCGATCCTCTCGTCAGTGGCAGCAACAGTCAAAGATACTATCTCAAAGTCGCTAAAACCATGGGTCTCGACCACACTGCGCTCGACAACTTTTACCGATACTTTCGCATCTCCGGCATGGCCCATTGCGGTGTTGGCGGAATTTCTGGAGCGGGCGCGTGGATGTTTGGACAGAATGGCGCTGCCAGTGTTGCAACGCATAACATCATCGACGATCTCCAAAGTTGGGTGGAAGATGGTGTTGCACCGGACACGCTTACCGGCACCAAATTCTGGTACGATACTCCATCTCTGGGAGTTCAGTATGAGCGCGCTCATTGCCGTTTCCCCTATCGAAACACCTACGTCGGGGGCGATTCTGCGACTCCGGGTGCTTGGAGCTGTGTTCTCATTGACAACTGGTCCGAGTGTGGGGTTGGTGCGCAGCCTCGCTTGTGTAATGTCGACGGCAGCTTCAATTAGGTAGATCAGGTAGATCGACAGTACAGAAGAGAAGGCTTTCAGCAAACCTTGATACCTAGGTAGGTAGAGACGAAAAAAAAAGTTCGACAGAGACAGCAGTAATGTGATTGATGGTAGGACGTCGGATGGATGGTCAACAGGCTCTTGTACATAAGGTAGAATGTGTTTTCTTTCCTTTGATGAAGATATCGATAATGTTTAGAGAATACAGTACTTAGGTATAGACAGATAAGGAAAGGTGCCAGGTGGCAGACACACATTTGCTCCCGTCGTCAACCTGAAGTGAATCTTGGAATCTTGGTGAGTGCCGAGTGCACTGCAGGTTCCGAGGTCAGGTTCAGGTTCCCGTCCGCCATAGGTATTCGAGAGCGCAGTAGTGACGTCGTTGGTGGTCTTGTGGGAGCAGGCGCGACCGAATAGAGCACACCCTCCTTCCTTCCTTCCTCCTCCCTTCCTTCCTCACAGTTGCGCTGTAGTTGTAAGGAAGGTAGGGTAGTCACCCGCACCTTCCACTTCTGTTCCACTGCCTGCTCGCTCTGGCCGCAACATAGGTAGGTCTTGGTCACCACTGCTCACCGCACTTCACCTCACTTCACCTCACTTCACCTCACACTGCACCACCTCACCTCACATCCCGCAGTCGGGTTACCTTATCCTTCCAAAGCCCCTTGTCCCAGTACAGCAGAGCACAGCACAGCACAGCACACTCACGGACACCTCTCTTGCACAACCACGCCACGCCACGCCACACCGTCAGCGCCACCGCCAGCAACGTCGTCGCATCAGCAGAAATAGCGTTGTCGAGCACTTCCAGACTGCAGCGACATCCTCGCGAGCTTGCAGCCTTTCAAACTACACGCACCAGCCATGTCCATGTTGCTGTGTTGATACCCGACATATGTGGATCCGCACACCTGCACCACGATCGCATCGTCTCAGCGTAGCGCGTCTTGATCGCGTCTTGACCGCGTCGAAGAAGACACCTGGAAAGTGCGAGCCGCACCTTTCGGACAATAGGAAATCATATGGAGAAGCTCATTCTACGAGGTGAGCAAGAGCCAGGACGAGAACACTATAACAACCAGGTTGGAGTTGGACCCACGAATCGTGCCCATGCTAATCTGCCGCCTCCCTACAGGTGTCATGTGGGGCGTGAGTCAAACCCCCCAGAACCCGGTTGATGGTGTCACATTGCATTGCCTTCGCTTTGCTAACTTGGCGTCAAAAACAGACTGACAAGGTTCCCGATGCGTGGTTCGACAAGATTCCTGGAGGCTTCTATAAGGCCAAAGAGCAGCAACTAGAACACGACCTGGAAAAGGAGAAGAGTAGGAATGCTGACATGAGCAAACGACGCTCGCGGCGCTACAGCGAAGACGAGTACGACGACGATCGTGACTCTCACGACGACCGAGACGCTGGATACCGATCCGAAGGTCACAGATCTAAGCGGTCGGATGCAAAGCCTCACCACAGGGCTGACGACTTCGACGAGATTAACAATCGACCGCGTCGGAAGCGTAGCAGAGCACGGCGCCGGGACGATGACGACAAGTACGGCAAGGACGATGGCCATCATCGATCCTCGCGCAGGTCTCGAAACAGTGGAGTCGAATATGGAAAAGGAGCGGTTCCTACAACAGAGCAAGGCCCTCCGTCTACATCGTATACCGATCCTGTAGCAGGTGCTGCAGCCATGGGCGGCGCGGCGGCAGCGGCTCAGCAGTTTCAACATAATGGTGCTTTTGGATCTCCGCTGCCTTCGAATGGCGCTTATGGTTCTCCTCCTCCATCAAACAGCGCGTACGGCTCTCCAATGCCCTCGAATGGAGCTTATGGCTCGCCGCAGCCGTTTGCAGCACAACCCAATGTGCCTGGTAGCATTAACTCTGGTGGACAAGATCCGAACCAGCACCCAGCACGGTCGACATCGACACTGCGCGGAGGCATGTCTACTGGATATGTTCCTTATGCGCACATCTATGGAGGACCGAGTCACCCACAAGGACAACCTGGCTTCCCTCCATCGCAGTCAGATGTGGGGTCTGTACAGCCGACCTACATGAATCAGGTTGCTGCACCTGCGCCGAGAGTGGCACCAGTACCAGGGCACTACCAGCAGAACCCGTACGCTCAGGAAGCGGCGCCTGGCACACAGCCGGGATATATGCCTGACCCGTATTCACAGCAGAATAGACAGCACGATGGACGGTATGACGATCGGAGCAGAGGTAGTGGCTATGATTCTGATGATACCGCTCGCGAATCGCACCGAAGCCGAGATCGAGGTCGAGACCGAAGACGTTCGAGAAGGTCACGACGAGACCGCACGCCATCTGAAGACAGCTATTCCGACGACTCGCGCGACGATCGAGACCGACGACGACGATCACGCCCTCCTCCACGAGACGAAGCACCGCCCTCAGTAGCTTCCCGAAGTAAGTCAGCAGCGAAAGGTGCTCTCGATACCTCCCAGCGAGGACTAGGGTACAGCGCAATCGGTGCACTCGCTGGCGGACTCATCGGTAGCGAATTTGGGAAGGGGCCCATACCACGAGTGGTGGCTACGGCAGTAGGAGCATTAGCAGCTAACGTTCTACAAGCTAGGGAGAGGTATGTTGATCAACGTGCATCATCACAGCATCATCACCATCAGCATCGTCATAGTCACACGCACGAGAAGAGCGAGAACAAAAAGCCACCGCCACAACCCTCGAATTCGAGGTAAGAACAGTACTCGATGAGATGGTGTGGTCGGAATGAAGAAAATGAGAGTGGATGAGCCACGACTTTGCGGAAAGCCGGGCGGGCCATCCAAAGCTGCGCTCTGCCATGATCCCAATCACATCTTCGCGACCAGTAGAATTGCGAAGCGCATGCTCGTTTTGCATGCGGCATGAATCGAGAGTATAAGGCTGACACCACATGTGATGTAGACGCAAAGAGGAGAATCGCGAGAAGGAATACCACCTTAGAAAGGCGGGCTATTATTCGAATTAGGAGGTAAGGACTCCACCCAGTCGTCCCTTGCGTCGACGTCTGCTGACGCTGTACACAGACCGAACCACAGCCACATCTACATCGCAGCAACAGCGTATCAAGCCTCACCAAGCGAGACAAAATACAGGCCCCCTTGTCCCCTTGATGGACGACTTCCACCGAATCAAGCTTTGTGCCATAACCCGGGCGAGTCATCATAATGCTTTCTACTAGCCTCCATCAACAAAGTCTGCCTCTCTGCCTCTGGCGACCTAGTGAATGAGGATTGATACTTAGTCGGGAACTCCATAATTTCTGGATACCTAACCTTGACCTGAGACGATCGGTTGGTCGGTCCAACATTCCTCCAATCCATTGATCCGTCCATAAATCAATCAGTGGCCACTACTCGGCTTCTTCATCAGTTTCTCTGCCCTTTCGATCCACTCTTCCGCGACACTCTTGATGTCCTTCTTCAATTCTCTCGCCACCAGTTCTGCAACCTTGTGGAAGCGCTCTTCCAGATGGTCTTCCGTTTCGTTCTTCTGCCATTTACCCAAAATACACGTGTTCCTCGTACTGGGTATCCTCAAAACATCACTTTCCGTCTCGAACCCCATTTCTTCTGCCAGACTATTCACATATGCACACAGCGTCGAATATGCAGAGGCCATCTTCTTCTGCACCAGAGTCTTTTTCAGAGAACCGGTCTCTGCGGCTTGTGTGAGAGTGATGTCGTTTTTCCGCTGAAGCTTTTCTGCTCCCGCCACAGTATCTTCTTGTTCTTCTTCGTCATTTCCTGCCGCTCCTCCTCCTGCTGCTTGTTGTTGAGGTAACCTTTCTTGTTGGACAAAAGCCAGAGAAGAATCCCCTTCTTTACCATTATCATCATTGCAGTCATGAAGATTACGATTCACATTATTACTACATGCATCACTATTGTTTTTGTTCGTCGTCGTCATTGTCCTCGTCGTCGTCGTCGTCGTCGTCCCCTTCTTCTCCCCTCGTTTCGCAGCTACTTCCGCTCGTCTTCGTGCCATGCAAGTAGCTGTAGCTTCCGGCGCGCGAAATCTCGCACCGCTCAAGTCGTGAGAACAACAGGGGATTGCGATGAAGGAGGATTTGTTCAGATAGGCTAGGAGGGGAGTCCATGCGGTGAGTTCGTCGGCGTGGTTGGAGATGATGAATTTTCCTCCTTTTCCTTCTTCTTCTTCTTCTCCTCTTTGGCGGGTTGGGGTTGGGTTGGTTTCTTGTGGTGGTGGTGATGGGGATGGGGATGAGGGTGAGGAGGAGGAAGGAAAGATACCGGAATGCCAGTGGGGGTTGTTGGGATGGTTATTACTAGGTTTGAGGACTTCATCATCGGTGTTGTCGGTATTGTCGATATCGTTGTTGTTGTTAATTTGCTGCTGCTGCTGCTGCTGCTGATAAACAGTTTGAAAGATTCTCGGAACGAGAATCTGTTGGTGAAGTTGTGATTGAATGTCCGGGGGAAAAATTGTCCAAGTTTTGCGTTGACGCGCATCGAAACCTGAACCCTCGTAGCCTTCTGAGAGGAGGATATACGTGAGAAGACCGTTTCCGCAGCCAATGTCGATGAAGCCTGGGAATGGCGGTAAGTTTGTTGAGTTGCTGCTGCTGCTGGTTTCCTGTGTGCTGATGTTGGTGGGTTGTAGTAGTGTCTGCTGCTGCTGCTGTTGTTGTAGTGGTGGTGATGGAGCAGCGTACATGTCTCTCCAGAGCTCGATGAGAAAAGCTGCAATGGCAATATCTTCGAAGACGTGTTTTCCAGGATCTGTGACTTCGACCCAATTCTCACTCAGATATCTCCCATATGTGGTTTTCAAGCGTGTATATGTGTCTTGGTAGCGCTTTTGAGGGATCAGTTGGTCATGATGGACTCGTTTTTCGTAGCCTGTCAATTGCCCCTGACCATGCTTGTGAATGGTTTGAAGGAGCTTGAGAGCTGTGCGTTCGAGTTTGGTGGATAGTTGCTCGTTGGGGAAGAGGCGATAGAGAAGTGTGAGTGTGCCCGGTGACTTCTCCGGTTCGTCCAGTGTGGGCGTGCCAGGACTGGTCGATGAGTTGCTCCGCCACGTGTGCAGGAACGCAAGCTGCGAGACGGTCGGATGATAGAATGGCATATCCTCAAGCTTGAGAACATGTGGAATATAGAGGACGAGCGTTCGTTCTAGAGTCCGATTACCATCGCAGCTGTACTGCCGGAAGATGTGGCAAGTCTGTACGAGGGGCTTGTCGAGTTGAGGATTTCTCGGTATCAGCTGCCGCACTATTGTACGCTCCAGGAGGAAGTCTGGCCATGTTGCCTTTGTTGGTTGAAGATCTGTCTTGAGATGTTTGACAAGCCCTTCTCGGTAAGGATCCGCGGCGTCGTCTGGATTGAATGAGTGATCGTTTTCGCTGTCGTAGAAGATGTCGGCTCGGAAGAGGTGACTGGAAGTGATGTTTGGATTCTTGATCAGATTCAACATGACCGTGTTGAAGGCACTTGTTGGGAATGTGCAGGGGCATTCTAGTACAGCCAGCCATAGCTCGTCCGGAAGTACGATCGATTGCTTGATCTTTGTGCTATCATTGGGTTCGAAGGCGGGCTTTTTGGGTAATGCTACAACCGTTCCATTTGTCTTTGCCATGGTCTTCTGGGGCCGTCACTGCGAAAGTGAGCTTGGAGGAGTCGATGTTGTCTGGGAGCAAGCGTCACTCTAGTCAGAACTCTGTTCAAAGTCTGTCCAATGCCGAGCCTCGACAGAACTAAAACTACTGGGTCTACGGCATGAAGTCGTGGCGAAGGATAAGTACAGTTTACTAACATCTAATAAACATCAAGCGAAAACTACGTTGTTGGAAGAACCATCAAAGCGATATAGCAACTCTGCTAATCGGCTTGGCGGGCCCGCAAAACAGTGCGAAATGGTCATCGATTTGCACATGACAGAGCCACTCGCCCGACGTGCCTGAACTTCCATCACGTCCTTGATATAGGTATCTAAGCTGAATGTGCTCAAGACTCTATCGCTGCCTCTTCATTGAACTTCTAGTCTCTTCACTGTGCTGAACAGTGGACTGTACAGCTCTTCTGTAGTGTTCGTCTATCCCAAATGCATACTGTTCCATCGTCCTGCTTACGATTTCTGGTCATAATAGTGCGCCATCTGCAAGCCTGCCCTCTTGTAACCACACTTGACATAGAATCCCTCGTTCGCTTCTGAACAGTCCAAGATCGTCTTGTAGCAGCCCACCTTCTCAGCTAAGTGATCTAAGGCCTGAATAATCCTCAGCCCTAGCTTCTTGCCCTGCTGATCCTTTGTGACCGCAATGTCCTCGATATGTCCCACAAGTCCCAAATGGTGAATACTATAAATGCCACAGTCAGCCTCGCACGTGCGTATATCGGGAGCATACAGCTTTCTCCGAATACACAAGCTCCATCAGCTCATCGCTTGTATATCCACTCCCCCCAAGAACGCAGAAACACCCATTAAAGGCAGGGGTTCCTAGGAATAAAATGGAACGATATCACTCACAACTTCCTCTCCACAATCAACGCTCCCGTCCCCACAATCTTCTTCTCCGCATCCAATATCACCAAAATGTGATATCCACCAGCATTGGGTCGCGAAGAACCTGCCACTGTCGCGCTTTGCACATCACTCGTACTACCCTTCATTTCATCGAATCGCTTCTCAAACTCCTCTTGAGTGATGTCTCCCACTTGCGTCAGAACTCGGAGCACATCGAGGAAGCCTTGTTCGAAGTCGGTTCGTTCGAGCGGGCGGATGGAGTAGTTTTCGGGGAGAGCGGAGAGCACTTGGGGAGAAATGAGGGCGGAGGAGAAGAGGGAATTGGAAGTGGAGGAATTGCCGTTCGGAGTGGGCGACATTGTGGGCGTGTTCGCGTCCTGCGTTCCTGGTGCTTGTGCCTGTTGTTGTAGTCGCGTTGAGGAGGGCTGTTGGCGATGGTGTACGGACGAAACTAGAAAGTCCCTAGTGGGTTGGTGGTAACTTGTAGCTGAATGTCGCTCGCGCGCGGACTTGACCCCAGGGCGGAGGATGACGTTGGAAGCAAGGGAATCGTTTCAGAGAGGAAAAAGCAAAGAGAGCGGTACCTACCTACCTCCTAGTACTCCTCGTGGGTCTGGTTTCTGCTGCTGAAACGTGATAATAATAGAGACGGCACAGCTGTGATGTGGTGTCCCGTGTACTTTCCATCTCGAGGCATCGCGTTCTGTTGGAACCACACACCACACTAGTGCCCAATTAAGAAGATTGATGGAATACCAATTAATAAGTGGATTAATTAAGGTCCGAGGTCTGACCTCTTAAGAAGAGAAAAGAGGGGGGTAGGTATCCCTAACTCTATATACATATACTAAGGAATCAGTAGCCCCTGTTATCTTATATAACTTATATTATATAATACTAGGGTATCTATATCCTTCTGTCTAAATATACCTCCCTTAGCTTAATTATATAAGGAAAGCTGAAAAAATAGATATAGTAACCGTCTATTTTAATCTAATAATTAACTATATCTATATCCTTACCTATCTAAGCCCTAGGCTCGTCCGGAATAACTGGAATAACCCCTTTAGAAGGTTCTTTATAAAGCTATTAGCTCGTTGCTTAGCAGTCCTAATCTATTCTACGGTTAATCGTCCTACTATAGTTTCCTGCCTTACCTAGTGCTAATAGATATCTATATATCTTAAAGCCGTATTAAGAGAGCTATACTTGTAATTAGCGATATCTACTATACGTTAGTTGTTATAGAAAACCTTAGTTCTATCCTTAATAGGTTCCTTATTTCCTAGGGGAAATACCTTGTTAAATTCCGAGAAAAGTCGAGTCTACTAGTATCTATTACTAGCAATTAATAAGAGTACTAACAACTCTGCCTCTACGGTTAATTTAGTAACTATCTTCTACTTAGTTGCTTGCTAATTAATAGTACTACTATACATTATTATTAAGAATCCCTATAAACTCTTCCTGTCTAGGTTGTTACTAAATAAGGCATCTATATATAGTTCTATCTTAGGCTTTTCTCTATAGAAGTGTAGCTTTATATCCTTAGTACTATAGAGGTAGGCAATTAGGTAATTAGTAGCTTCTATATAAGCTTAGCTTAGATTCTTTAGAAATTAAGAAAGAGTAGTATATACCTTTACTACATTAGGCCTTACTAGAACAGCTGTATAACTAATTGAACTAACCTTTATCTAATATCCTTTAATAAAGTCAGATCTAGTAGTATTACTAGTAGGTACTAGTATAAGTCTAGTAGGAAGTAGAGTATCCGGAAATCGAGCCCTCTTATAAATACTAAATTTGATACTAATTTTCGTTAAGTAGGCAGTCTAGCTCAGAGTTAGGATATTAGGTAATTCCTCTACCTCTGTACCTAGGAAGAAATTAGGGTCTTTCTAAGTAACCTTAAAGTTAGAAAGTAGGTACTAGTTAAACAAGATAGCTTAATCCTCCCTGTCCCTCTTATAAATCAACCTAATATTATCTATATAGAAAACTATAAGTAGACGAAGGTCTATATTTACTATTAGGCAGTCAATTCTAGGAACTAACTTAAAGCTATAGTCTTCTATTCTTATAACAAATAGGTTATACTATAAGCAAGGTAACTTAGCTAATCTATAGAGAGCCTTCTTAAGGATAAAGCAGGTATCTAGTCTAAATCTATACTCCTCTATTCCTTCTAGGATAGAACAGTATACTATATATAGGATAGTAGTATTTAGGAAGGCATTTACTATATCCTATTACCTAGTTTTCAGATTCCTTATAAAGGCTAGGATAGTAATAGCCCTAAATACCTTGTAACTAAGTATAGTAGTATAGGTTTTATAGGTTAATAGTAATTAAAGATCCCTACGGATACAGAGCCTAGCTTTGTACCTAAGAATCTTACTAGTTAAGGGGTCTGTTTTGTAAGCAAATACCTAGACTAATAGTACCTTATAGCCTTTATAACTAAAGAATACCCTGAATGTCCTCTTACCTATAAGCTTTCTAGCTTTATCAAATACCGCTTGTCTGAATTGCTAATAATAAATATACCTTTCTATCTCTCTCTAATTAGTAGGGGGTAATAGTAAACTAGTTACTTAGTAAGGATCCTTAAGAGTAGGTAGAGTATAGACTTAGAGGGACGTAGTAGCTGTACAACTTAACTTATTTAGATACTCTTCTAACCGTCTAGTTCTATAGTCGATCTATCGTCTATAGTTGTCTATACTATACTAATAAGTACTCTCTTCTACCTCCCTATCTAAGGTAGGGTACTAATAAGAGACCGAAAAAGCGGAGAGTAATAAAGAAGCGGGTATACCCGGTAAGGCCTCCGGGGCCTAACTAACTTAGTTAGTAGCTATATTATCTTTATCTCTAGCGGGTGTTTCTAGTAGTATTAGGTATAATAGTTCCTGTTCTAGTATCTTACCTCCCTACTGTTTACTACCTCCCTAAGGTTAGATAGCAAAGACCGGAATATTGTTAGCTAGAAAGGGGTTATCTATGCCCTTAGAGGTTAATAATTCCTTAGGTATTAAGATAGAGTCAATTACAGTCTAGTAAATAGTAGTAGGAACTAGTTCTCCTAAGGTTTGTCTATTAATATCTAGAGGATTGTACCTCTTATTATCCTTAAATACTATATCTCTTATCCTAATTACCTTATTTAGGGGTAAAGGTATCTAAATCCAGAAAATATTAGTAGAGGCATACCTAATTAGGTAACTAATATAAGCTCTCTCCTCTATCTTGTCTCTCTTAGTAATGTCTCTACGGAGAGTAAAGGCCTTATAACCAATCGGGTAGAGATAGCTAAGGAAGGGCTTCTTAGTTGTAACTTTCTTAAATAGAGTTATCTAATTAAGCTTAGTAGTAGGGGTCCTATTAAGAAGGTATACTGCTAAATCTATAAGCTATAGCTAAAGGTTCTTAGGCAAATAGCTATTAATCCTAAGAGTTCTAGATTTAGTAACAATCTCTCTTCTAGCAACCTTACTTGCTCTATTCTAAGTAGGGGTATTAGTAGTAGTAGGCAAAGTAGTGATACCTAACCTAGAGATAGCCTTTCTAGTATCCTTCCTAATAGTAGCCTCTATATCAGAGCGAACTAGAATAGTTTTAGTATTAAATAATACTTCTATCCTTTTGAAATATCCTCTAAACTTAGTAACTGCTTATAGCTTAGTTACTATAGGTTTACTAATATAATAGCCCTCCTAGTTATAGTACTAGTAGCTATAAAACTTAAAGACTAATCTATTTAGTTTAGGGAGAGAAGGGGGTATATTAATTAGGTCCTATAAATAGATAGCTATCTTAGTATTCTCTATCTTAGGTAGTACCTCTCTATACTTGTCCTTCCTTCTCGAAATTACTACTTTAGCCTTAGCTAGTAAGCAGGTATTACAATTAACCCTATTTAGAGTCTCTTTCTCTAACTTAATTACCTAGTAACCCTTAGATATAGGTTCTAAGTACTTAATAGCCCTTATAGATAGGTAGCCTAGTAACTAATACTATTAATTAGCCGTTACTATTAAAGGTAGGAGTAGTTTATAACTAGACTATATAGTAGCAGCAGTTTAAGTTACCTCTTCTATTCTAGAAGGTAACGTTAAAGTAGGTAAGGTTGACTTCCCCGTATTCTTAGAGTATAGGGTATATATAGACTTTACCTCCTTAATTCTAGTACTAATTCTAGATAAACTAGTAGTTCTAGCAACACTTCTTAGTATAGGCAACCGTTTAATAATCTAGTAACTATATCTGTTACTGTATTTAGGGGTAAGGTATGCCTAGAGCCTAGGCTCCTTATATAATTAGCTAGTAATCAACCTATCTAGCTAGTTTCTAGTATTATAGTAAATACCCTTCTTATTAAGGATCTGTAGTAAGACCAAACTTATAAAGAATCCCGGAATAAGCCTTGCCTTAAGAAGAGTAAGCTTCCTAGTAACTCTATTACCTATATTAAGATTAATAGTAGTATCTACAATTACCTTAGGTTAGTATCTCTTGTCCCTAGAGATTACTATATTAGAGGAGGTTAGTAACTCGGACTTAACGATCCTTGCCCTTATAGCCTCGTTAATAATATAAACATTAGTACTACTATCTAGAATTATAGCGTTATAAAGGCGGGTATAGTAGCTAATTAAACTAACAGATGCCTTAGAGGTTAAGGTCGATTCTAGAGTAGTAGTAGCAGTAGTGTCCTCGACCTCTACGGCTATACCTAACTTATTCTTAGTATCTTTATCCCTCGACCCTTAACCTTAAGCGGTATTATAAGCTTGAATCGCTTTGTCTACTCTTTCCTTTAAGCCCTTGTCTTCTTTAAATCTCTTCTTAATCTTCCTCTTAGTATTATCTCTTAGCTTCTATACCTTAGGCCTCGGATACTCGGTATTAAGGTAATAGTATTCCTTTTATATATAGTTCCTACTACAGAGGTAGGGCTTTCTTAAAGAGGAGGATAATCGAGTTAAGGACGAAGATTCGGCTATAGTAGTAGATAAGATACTAGTAATAGTAGTTCTGTACTTACTCTTAAATTTAGTATTACTATTATACTAAAAGTAGGACTACTAGGCTCTTAATTCTGAATAGAGAGATATTATCTCTCTATTATTTTGCTTATTAAGCAGCCTGCCTATCCTTATAGCTATATAGTCTCTATATATTAGAGCTATAGAAGACAACTATACCTAGGTAGATTTATTGTCTACTTGCTTACTAACAGTATCTCTCTTTCTATACTAAACGAACTAAAGGTATATATAGTTATAAATAGACTTTCTATATAGTAGGTAAGAAAGGGTTTCTAACTCTTTCTTTAATAACTAAGTAGTAGCAAGGGTATTAGATTTAGTATATTCTAAGAGAATCTTGAGTATCTGCCTAATTGTCTTACAATTAATTACCCTATATTAAAGGTCTATAGAGAGAGACTAGTTAATAATTAATTCAATCTTCTAATACCCCCTTTGCTTAAGTTCCTATATATCCTTGTTATACCTATACTTGAATTAAGCTAGACTAAGAGCTATTAGGGTAATATTAGTAGGTAGAGACGCAAAGTTAAAGACAGGTTGTCCTTTAAGCTATATTAGGTTTTCTAGATCTAGCTTAGCAGCCTTAGCTATCTCTAGGTTAATATTAGCCTATATCTAGAGCTTTACTGCCTCCCTCTTAATATAGGTAATCTATATATTCCAGTCCTGCTAGGTGCGTAGCTTAGTAATCGACGTCGTCGTTAATAATAAGGGTTTAGGAGAATTAGCTATAGTGTCTTCGTTAAATTCGTTAAACTACTCTTAATACCTAGGATACGAGCTACTAGGTATTTCTTTAACCTCTTAAAACTTAGGACTCGGGGATCGGTCGATTGTAAGCTAATCTAATAGGCTCGGGCTTTCTTCTCTTCTTCTAGATAAACGGGTTTAGGTAGGTATAAAGTAATAGTATACGGTCCTCGGGTTTTTCTTAATATAGCGGATTTTGGCTAATCTTAGGTACTTAATTAGGTCAAATAGAGCAAGCCGGGCTTATAACTATTAGAACTATACACTATACTAGTGCCTAATTAAGAAGATTAATAGAATACTAATCAATAAGTAGATTAATTAAGGTCCGAGGTCTAACCTCTTAAGAAGAGAAAAGAGGGGGGTAGGTATCCCTAACTCTATATATATATACTAAGGAATTAGTAGCCCCTATTATCTTATATAACTTATGTCATATAATGCCAGGGCACCCATGTCCTTCTGTCCAAACACGTTCCTGCATTCGATTGCGTGGGACATTGATCGGCCCGCACCGATCCTCAAGCCTTACTGCCTCAGGCCTCAGGGCCCATCTATGCTCACATGCTGATTCAGCCCTTCATTGTGCACTGTGTGCATTATAAAAGGGACTGATATGCCTTTGACAAATGGATGATATGTATCTGAGTGTGATCTACACAACGATCCCGCAGCATGCCCACTCGCACCTAGCGACGTCACGCATCTTCCCACTTCATTCACCCTCTCAAGAAACTGTCAGAGCACTAACGGCCCCGTTGCTCAACACTTCAAACGTCAGTCCAGGGAAATTATGCAACTTGCTGTTATCGATAAAGCTCTCACTTCCTGCTCCCTCAATCAACTCCTGCCCACTTTCAAGCAAGAAGAAACTGCTATCACTGGGCCCAGCACCCCAAGTTCTGTTAATCACCTTTCCCCTTCCCATTTCAGACTCGGGCCACACCCCTTGGAAAGCTTGCATGAGGTCAGGCTTGATATCATCAAAGTGGTACTCGGAATTAAACCCTTTGCTGGCTTTGGGTAGGTACATTTCCCATCTCAAGCGACGATGACGGTTGAAAGCATAAGATCCAGGGACGTTCCCTTGGATGACGACCTTGAGCACGACGAGGCGAGGACTCGTTGAAAGCGGCGTTTGTGGAAGGTGGGCGAACTCTTCTGGTAAGGAAATCTGGTCGTTGTAAGGTCCTACCAGTATGTCCATGCCGTGGCTGAAGTAGCTCCAGAAAGTCTCACGAGTGGCTCTCTCGACTGCGTCGTCTTCTGCACTTCCGGAATCAAAGTCTGTATCGTAAGTATCTGTGCCCGTGGACGAGTAGCTCGATGGAGGTGTTGGACGCGCTCTACCATTCGATCTAGAGCTGCTCCGTGGTCTTTGATGAGTGGTTTGTTCCGGCATTGTTTGTGGGTCCCGTTTGTGGTAGGCATCTGGCGGACCTAGCTCAGTGAGCAGATCTTGTGGCGTTGTTTGGCCTAATAGAATGTGGAACGGCAGCGCTGGAGCACGCCTGATAAGCTCGACTTGCCCAGAGCCGGTGATGTGAGCTTCTTCAATCTCCGCTGGCAGCATATCGCGAGGTTGCAAAGTGAGAGCTGATGTCCGTGGTCCGTCAGGCGTCTTCACGAACAGCATATCGCGAGCTTCAGGCCAGCTGTTGCCCTCGAACACAGCCATGGAGGTTGCTGATGACGCCGCCTGTGAGCCTAGGAGGGACACATGGTCCTTGTCTGCTGCCCAAGCAGAGTGCTGTAAGGGAAATGTAAAAGCGACTCCCGGCCATGAAAGTGTGTATGTCCCCGTCCTCCCCGATCTTGGAGCAAGGTATTCCCCTGGATACGACGCTCCGAAGAGCTGATAGATTCGTTTAAATGTCGCAGTAGAGCCCTCCTTCACCAGCTCGCTACCCTTGTATGCCACCCGTGCCTTGTCAAAGTCCATGACTTCGATCAGCCGTAAGCGCTGGTCGCGTCCATCGAAGCGCAGCCGAAGTCCTCTCTCTGGTAGCGACACTACAACAGGTGTCTGCAACGGCGAATGTTGTGAGATAGTCAAGTCGACCTTGGAAAAGCCGTGGGGCTCCTCTTTGATGGCGGTGAGGATTGCATGGAGGGAGGAGCCCAAGGCCATGAAGCCCAGAGAGTAGCCAGGAAGGACCGAAAGCATTTCCGCCGCCGCAGCCATATTGAGAGATCAAGTGAAAGGAGAATACGGGTTAAGGCGGTCGTATGGGAAAGACAGCGCAGTCATGATGCTGCGGCCACATGCCTGCGGAAGGTCATGTGGGAGCCATGCTGGAGTGGAGAAGACGATGTGCTTTTGTTGGCGATGGTGGTGGTGGTGGTGGTGGTATTGGTGTTGTGGGAGAGGTGGGAGTTCAGTCTTTGGCCTTGACCAGAACACGATGATCGATCACTGGTCTTTGAATGGATGTACGTGTGAGTAGTAACTGAGTATACTGATGAACTGTGCTGGTGACGAGTCATGAGGGGAGGGAGGGGTGACGCAGCGTCGCAGCATGCCGAGCGATAACAGCCAGCTCCGAAGCTCTGATCACTTTGCGAACCGTGGCATTGTTTACACGCACAAACATTCGCTTGACGACCAGGATCAAGCGTCTGTCACTTGTCACACCCTTCACCACCACCGAAAGTGTCCTACGACGCGTACAGCAAGGAGGAGGAAGCAGTGATAACATGGCATCTTCTGGTCCAGGACGAGGCTCGAGCCAGACGCGCAAAGTGCCTACGATGCGACCGGGACTGGGAGTCGGAGGCAGGCCAGGCGTCAACAGAGCAGCCACTGCCACGCCCGTCATGAATGGCCGTATATCACCAGCCGACAGCATTGCATCGTCGCGGAATAGGACTCCGAAGCGCAAAGCACCGCCGGGACTGGACAGCGAGGTTGCGGAGGAGACCAACATCAATGTCGTGGTACGGTGTCGGGGGCGCAATGACAGAGAGGTCAAGGAAAACAGCGGCGTGGTGGTCTCAACCGATGGCATCAAGGGCAAGAAGGTGCAATTATCCATGGGTCCCAATGCGCTGAGCAATAAGGCCTATGAGTTTGACAAAGTCTTTTCGCCAGCATCAGATCAGGGCATGGTGTTTGAGGAAGTCGTGGCTCCGATTCTCGATGAAGTCCTCAATGGCTTCAACTGCACCATTTTCGCCTACGGACAGACGGGAACTGGCAAGACGTACACCATGTCAGGCGATATCAGCGACACTCTGCCTATTCCCGAGGCAGCAGGCATCATTCCTCGAGTATTACATACTCTATTCGCAAGACTTGGCGAGGACGAGGAGGAAAAGATCGAGCACAGTGTCAAGTGTTCATTTATTGAGCTTTACAATGAAGAATTACGCGATTTACTTGCTGCTGATGACCACACAAAATTGAAAATCTTTGACGACGCCAACAAGAATGGCAGGACTACGACAATGGTACAAGGAATGGAGGAAAGCCACATCGAAACTGCATCCAAGGGAATCAAGCTGCTGCGAGATGGGAGTCACAAGAGACAAGTTGCTGCCACTAAGTGCAACGACCTATCTTCGCGCTCACATACCGTCTTTACCATTACTGTATATCAGAAGCGCACGTCAGATGCGGGAGAGGACTACGTCTCAGCGGGTAAGCTGAACCTAGTAGATCTGGCTGGATCTGAAAATATTCAGCGTTCTGGAGCAGAGAACAAGCGTGCTGCTGAGGCGGGTCTGATCAACAAGTCCCTACTCACACTTGGGCGCGTTATCAATGCATTGGTTGACAAAAGCAGCCATATTCCCTACCGAGAGTCTAAGCTTACCAGACTCCTTCAAGATTCGCTCGGTGGCAGGACGAAGACGTGCATTATAGCAACGCTATCGCCTGCAAAGAGCAACCTTGAAGAGACAATCAGTACGCTAGACTATGCTTTCCGCGCGAAGAACATTCGCAACAAGCCGCAAGTCAACCAGATGGTGTCCAAGAAGACGTTACTTAGGGAGTTCACTTCAGAGATCGAGAAGCTCAAGTCGGAGCTTATCGCAACCAGGCAGCGGAACGGTGTATACCTGACGGCAGAGGCATACGAGGATATTACAACCGAGTCAGAGTCTCGAAGGATCTTGAGCGTAGAGCAGCGAGACAAGATTGAGACGATGGAAGTCAACCTGCGTAACAAAGTCAATGAGCTATTTCTATTGACCAGTAGTTTTCAAATGATGAAGAAAGGGAATGAAGAAACCAAAGCAGTGCTCGAACAGACGAAGGGTGTGCTCGCTAAGACTGAGCTGGTCCTGGAACACACCAAATCTGTGCTGGCCGAGGAGGAACTCCTACGAAAAGCTCATGAAGAAACTGAAGAACGACTAGCTGAGGTTGGAGGCGATCTCTTGGGTACTCTGGAAACAACCACGAATCATGTTGACAAGCTGCACTCCAAGCTACGAAGACGATCGGATTTGCAAGATGTGAATCGCATGAGGTGGGCAGACTCTCAAGGACAAGTCGCAACAGCTACCATGAGCGTAGAGGATCGCATCGAAAGCTTGCGCGCTCAACAAGAGAGCTTGCTCTCATCCCTATCGGGTCGGATGCAGACATTTGTGTCTGATGAGATGAAAGAACTCAGATCATCACAGGACTTGTTGCAGCAGAAGGCCGCGGCTTTTGAGGCCTCTCACGCCGAGGTAAACGCACAGACGAGCAAGTCCCGAGATGGCATGAATGAAGTGCTGCAAGAAATTGGCACTCTGCGCGAGGAAGTCAAGCAAAAGGTCGGCGCTGGCTTGGACGATCTTTCGACAGCTGGGCAACGCATCAGCGAGGGCATTGCGACAGAACTCGATGCCTTCCACGGGCAATTGCAAGACGCATATGTGAGCCTTGGTCGTGACTTCAAGGCACTATTCGAAGATCTGATCCGCCGCATGACTGAGCAACAAGCAGAAGCGCAGCGTCTCCGCCAGGATATCACAGAAGCCAACGCAGGATTCGTGGAGTCCAGTCAAGCGTCACAAGACCACCTCCGTCAAGCTGTAGAGAAAGAGCGCGAAGTTGCATCGAGAGAACGCGAGGCTCTTCTAGTGCAGATCGGGTCACTCGTCAGCAATTCCGCGGCAGCACAAGAAGCACGCATGGCAGGTTATCTAGAAAGCGCCAACAAGCGTATCAAGACATCGGCAGACGAGTATGCCATGGCGCAGCAAACATACGGCAGTGGCATGGATGCGTGGACTAGCACTGGCCAGGGACTCATCGACTCGTCTGTTCAGGCCAGAGAGTCTATCAAGACGAAGCTCAAGGCTGACTGGACGAACGCGAACGAGAATACCATCAAGATCACCGAGACGACCAAAGCAGTGCACGGCGAGACCATCCGTATCGTTAATGGTCAGAAGGCTCAAATGGACAACCAACTCGTTGCTTTGGACGAGATCGTCTCCAGAGTGCGCTCGCAGAACGAAGAGCACCACGACGCTCACACAGCCAGCCTCAGCCAGCTTGCAAGTAATGTTCAAGATAGCTACCGCAACCTCGGCGAACACTTCGGGACCTCATACAGCCGCACACAAGCCCTCGACGTCGACATGCAAGAACGCGCCGAAGTTCTCGTGCAAACACTGCCGGAGCTGGCTGAAGAAGGTGAAATCCGACGATCACTTCGCGTCTTACGCGAAGAAAACGGTTCTGCTGCGATGGCCGAATACTCCATCACAGGCGACACTCCTGCCCGAATGCAATACACTTACCCAACAGTGCTACCACGCACAGAAAACCATGAAACCCTCCTCAATCGTATGAGAGGCATCGTACCAAGAGAGCCCCTGGCTTCGCCGCTCAAGTCGCCTAAGAAGCGTCTGTCACCATCGAAGGCGCGGAACAGTCCTTCAAAGAGTAGTCCCAGCAAACCTCAGACTAGCCCTACGAAGACGACGAATGTCTTCACTGACACACCGCCGGTCTTGACCTTCTCAGTGGCACCTGCTTCGGCGCCTACTTCCAGACCTCAGACTGCAAGTTCGCTGAGTAGTTTGAGTAGTCTGAGAGAACTTGACGCTAATGTGGCCCCTAACATAGGCTCTCTTGCGCCACCAACAACAACTTTCACCATTGACGAAGGTGTTGATGAGGAGGGAATCATCGATGCTTCCTCGATTTGCAAGGTTTCTGAACCGAAGTTGAGAAGACATCAGACTGATAGTGCTATTGCCAAACAGGGAGAAACCAAGTTGCCCACGAAACGGAGCACTAGGATGACTGTCGCGGGAGGAGCGGGACTTCTTGGGGCCGAGAGCGAGAAGGAGAATGTCAATTTGAGCGCGAGTGTCGGTGCTGGCGGGAGAAGATTGAGAAGTAGAGGAAGTGATTGATTAGTGAGCAGAGAATGGAAGACAAAAAAGAATTGTACATTGTCGCTTGAATATATATTCTCTCCTACCCCGTAGGAAAAATCTTTACATCTGACATTTCAGAATATGCCTATTTACCCAAAGCAAGCTAACTCCACTTCAACGACCGCCTAGACTCGTCCATCCATTCCATTCCATCCAATCAATCATCTCGTCCATTCCGGCTCAACCACCCTCGTCTCATAATAATACCCTCCTATCGGTTCAACGGCTGTTGCAACTGTCCCTCTTCCCATAATTACTCCTCCTCCCCTGGATACAGATGGTGATGGTGATGGTGGTAACCATCTATTCCCGTTCTTCTCCTCTTCCTCTTCCTCTCCCCATCTTGTTCGAGTTCGAGTTCGTCCTCGTCTTGGTTCTTCTTCTACCTCCTCCTCCTCCTCTTCTTCAACTTCAACTTCTTCTTCTCCAAAGGTAGTTATATCATTTATATTACTATGATTATAATTACTACTACTATAACCACCATGAGTAGAATTGATTTGAGAAAAGGTCGAATGGAGGTCATCATAATTATCGTTGTAGAGGGGTTGTTGCTGCTGTTCTTCTTTTCGTGGATGATGATTCCTTCTCCTTCTTCTTCTTCTTCTGGTAGTAGTCATCGGGGCATATGTATCTAATTGGGGGTAGTGGAAAAGAGGGTTGGTGGAGGGATTTTGAGATGTCGAATGTAGTAGGAGTGGTGGTGGGTGTTGTTGTTGATAATGATGATGATGATGATGATATCTTCGTGCTTGTTCACTTTGTTGGTTTTGTTCCAGAAGAGGATATGTAACCGATCTCCTCACAGCTCCAGCTCCAGCTCCTACTCCTGCGCCTTCGGCTCGTGCAGTTCTTGCTGCTGCCACTGCTGCTCCTCCTGAATAAAACGACGATGAAGCAGCATATTGATCTTGTATTCGACCATCTCGCAACACCCCTGGGCGGAAGTAGCAGTGACGAGCAGTAGTTTCCTCGAGCGCGCGAGACGTAGGAGGTCTGACAGGAGGAGGGATATACGGCAATGGATGTTGTAAATTTCTTCCCAGATTCATCGAAGCCATTTCTTCCCAAGATGGATCGATTCTCATATCTTCTTCTGGTGGAGGGTGCAAGAAGATTGTATTGCAGGAGTAGCTGTAGTGGGATGTTGTTCTATCTGGGAGGCGACCGGATCGAGAAAAGGAGGTAGAGTGAAACATTTTCGCCCTTTTTTCGTTCCCCGTGTGTGTCACTCAGTGGTGCAGATTTTTTTTTTTTTCGAGAAGAAGAGAACTGTTGGTGGAGGACTTGACTGCGCGCAAAAGCAGGTCGAGTGGCTACGTTAACAATGTGACGGACTGACCGACGGACTGACGAGTTGTTTGCTCTGGGACGTAATGTGCTCTGCGCATCGTATAATTCGTATTCATTTATCTACCTACCTACTATGCAGGTTCCCGCAAAAGGCCATGCGTGTGATGATAGTCGCAGTGGGTAGCACAGAGCAGAAAGCATCTCGTGGACACCATGCTCTCGAGAGGGCCACCAATGGACGACTCCTCATAAGCGCCAGAAGCAAACCAGGCGAGAAGGCTGCCTCATCATGTGGCCTCAACCTACATAGGGTGGTGGATGTGGAGGCAAGGCAAATCGTGATAGCCGATGAGGTCGCCACAGTTGCGCTGTCGAGTCAAATGTTTAGAAAAGAAAACTGCCGAGCAATGGCACTCGAGGGACTGAGTGGGTGGTGCGGCCTCTTTGCAGTGAGCGATGGATGCTAGCTAGTGAGCTAGCGCCATGGAACGCGGAAGGAATCGTTGCCTTGCTACATATGCAGTGTACTAATACAGCATACGCCCGAGCATCCGAGTCTCAAACTTGTACAAGCTAGTCATCTGATGAAGTTGTCACTGTCGACTTGGCTTATGGTTGAAGAAGTTACATACAATTACAATAAATGTTGTGGCTCCAAGCTGGTGTGGTCGTACCTATCTTAACCTCTTCGCCCTACAACTCACCATGGCTTATGTCTGGCGTGGCCTCGTACTTGCTCGAAATGCTCTGGATAGCCTCCTGGCCCTTGGGTGGGAATACATTGCCATCCTTCAATGCACTGAAAGCGAGGTCAAATCGGGCTCCGAAGAACCATGCAGCACCGATCTGTCGAAAAAGGGTCAGACTCTGTTTCGTCATAATTTTGGACTTGTCTCCTTCGAGAGATTCACTTACCATGCACACACTCACGAAACTCAACGTCGCAATGACAGCGAGCACGAGGTAGAAGACATCCTTCTTCGATTCCGCCTCCTCTTGCTTCCTCTTCGCCTCTTCCGCCGAGTCAACAGCCACGGCTTGTCCAGCAGCTCCCGCGCTCGGCAATGTCCTGGACGTCTGGGATGGGAAGATAGTCTCGATGAATCTCTCAATCTTTGCGCAAGCAATACTGATTTCGAGAAAATTTGGATCGGTGGGCTTATTCTTCTTGTGAATCTTCCTCGCGAACCTTCTGAAAATGTCGCAAACCAATTGCAAGTTCTGTGTGCTCTCCATCATCAACTGACATGCGCAACCTTTGGTGATCTTGATGTTCCTGTCAAACACTGCTGGATTTTGGAAAACGAGCTCTAATGTTGCAATAGCCATCGATTGAGGTATCGCGACGAAGTTGAAAACACTTTGCTCTTTGATACCGGCCATGTAGAATAGGCATTCGTCCGCTCTCTGCAATGCAAGGAGAACCATTTCGCTGCTGCAGTTGAGGGCCTTCTCCCGATTCTGTGGTTCGAAGAGATCGGAGAATTTGTCTACGTGCTTCGACCAGACTTCTTTGGGCCAGAAGTACCTCTTGTCCTCGTGGTCTTCTCTGATGTCGCGAATGATGTTGGTCTGTTGCAAGAACTGTCCCATACTCTCCATCAACTCTGGTCTTTGCAAAAGCGCCGGGTTGGCAAGCTTGGCTTCGACGAACAGTCTCGTCAAGCCCTCTCCTACAAGTCCGGCTACGTAGTGGCAGTACAGCTCGTAGTCTTTGATGGTTTGTACCCCGTGCGCGTTGTGGTCTGCATTTTTCGCGTAGTCGGCCATGCCATTGCCCATCCTTTTCGTGATGTCTTTGATAATGAGCTTGTATGCGTCCTTTTGCTTGTTGAACTCCTTGGCCACGACATCGAACTTGACCAGCAGTTCTCTGTCCTTCTCGTTCGGCCCGTTCTCATGGAACGTCCAGGCCTCATCCTCAATGAGCTCGTCGAACTTGCGCAACAGAGGCTCCTTCTTTTCAATGGGAATGGTCATATCGTCTTCGATGGTGTCCAGGCCGCGCAGGATCAAGTAGAAGAGACATACAGGCACCAGCAGTTCCGGGTGAAGCTCCTGAATGACAGCGGCAAAGGAGCGCGAGGTGAGATTCAGGAAGCGGAAGCATTCTTTCAGGTTGGGCGTTTCTTGCGACTCGTCTCGCTCGTGGACCGGGTTGTGCCACGTCTTCCATTGGACGATGGAGCGCAGTTCAGAAAGGTGGAAGAGGTAGTAGGCGACTGACTTGGCGGAAGGCATCGTGGGTTGCGGAAAGGGTGTGTCGTAAAGGGAGTGTGTGTCGTTGGAGTACAAAGTCTCGCGCGCTCGCTCGCCGGGGAAAAACAGTAACTATTGGGTGCTGACAATGCAATCGGAGGTACTTTCGGGATGGTGGTTGTGCCGCGACTGGCGATCTGAGGGTCTGCTACCTGACCATTGGCTCGTTGGTATACGTCGATGTGATGTTGCAGTAGCGAAAGTGGGAATGTAGGCTGAAAGGCGACAGTAGCAGGAGGATGTAGTGCCGAGCGTACCTAGCATCAGGTAGGAAAATATGCATGGACCCTGACTACCTTGACCGCGGCACAAAATAATGGCCTGATGTTTTCCGAGATTCCCAGTTGCCGCCGGGATCTCGCTAATTACTGCCAGTGCCAGGCCCATCAATATTCAATGAAATAAATTAACAAGCGTTAACAATGCTCATACAGTACATGTATCGACCTCAATCACATCAATGCATGTGTCATGATGAGAATCTGAAGAATGCTTCAAGGGATCCCACTCGGCAGTCGTCACTCGTCAGATCCGCTAGGTGGTAAGGATGGCCACACATCCAGGATGAAAGGTAGATGCCAAGGCGGGTATATGCATGGTTGTCACGACTTACCATCGATACCCGTCAACGTCGAATATTGCGAGACCAGGATTGCCATCGAGAGAGTATGGAAAGCAGTGAGCTGCCGTACAAAATCCTTCTTTCTTGATACAGAGGACGAGCTGGTCACCTGAGATCCGCACATGTTTAAGAAACCCAGTGTCGTTCCCAGTTTCCAGACGCCTCCTTCACATCAATTGCGTTCATTCCAAACAAGTCGCGGTGAGCGCAAGCAGGTGGTGCTGCGCTTCAGGGGTATCTCAACAGTGTATCCGTACAATCGTCTTTCATGATATCATTCTTCGTCCTGCTCCACGATTAGTCGGGATTGTCAATTTCTTTTGGTACTGGTCTGACTCACTTCTTTCCCCAAATCGCACTCGATGAGGTCCCGGATGCAGATAATCTGGTCATGTTAATCACGCCAATAGGGATGAGACGAGTTCCAAGATTTTCGAATTCGGCCGAGGGATATTTCCGCCCGCGAACGCCTCATCAACGCGACACGGTGGATGCGCCGCCATTGCGCTGCTGAGCGCCGTCAGAGCCTGGAGTGCGAGGCAACGGCTTGCCCTCGGCGACTTTCTCGCGGTATGGCTGGCGACACATTGGGCAGCGACCCTGGGAGGAGTCTGATGCGAGCCAGCCGGAGATGCAGTGCATGTGAAAGGTGTGCTTGCATTCGCCGATCACTGCGCACACGTCAGTCGCGGGACATGTTGATGACGAGCTTCGAGCCGGTTCTCGTACTGATGGGGCACTCGTCGCCTGGAAACTTGCACTTGGTGCAGGTTGCGTCGAACTCGTTGCGGCAGATACCACACTTGTCGTCGGAACCTTCTGGCAGATCCCACTTCCAGTTGGCGACGGCTTGGTAGGACTTGATTTTGATCTTCATTTTCGCGTTCTGCTGGTGCCCTGCGGGGCCGGAGGTTGGGAGGCCGGGTGATTCGTCCTATAGCGCCTTCTGGCAAGAGTGTTCGGAGTCATCAGTAGGTACGTTCGAGTTGCGACAAAACAAACAAATGAGTCAGCCTAGTCAGGTCGGCGCGCGCATGTCACACGTGCGACGCGTCTGGGGTTACCTCCGGTCCTCCGTAGAATCGGCAAGATGGACCCTGCTTTCGGAAGCTCCCCTCCACCCTCTTTGGTAGCTCCCAACTGGCGGGAACGGTGTATGTGTTGTGTTTGTACACAAACAGGATACCAGCGCAAGGAAGCTGTGTGAGGTGAGTTCTCTGTGTGCTTCCCTCGTAGCCTCTCCACTTTCAATCTCCACCCGTACGATGACTGCTCGATGCAAGTAGTCTGAACATTCGCGGAACGTGTGGAGACCATCCATCCCACCGACCATCCGATGGCGGCCACACTGCTGCTTCGACGTTCAACCTTCTCCTCCTCCATCTCCATCCCCGCCATGAGTCGATCCGGACGCACGTTCAGCTCGTACTTCGTCACGCCGAAAGAGCTGTATCAGGCACTGCTCAGAGATCCTCCATCCACGCTGTCCACCGAGCCGAGAACGATTGCAGTATGTGGCTCCTGGTTCCTGCCAAACGATCCGGAGAAGAGGACGGGACTGCAGGTGTTCAAAAAGGCGCATATCCACAAAGCCCGGTTTTTCGATCTTGACAAGATCGCCGATACGTCCTCTCCATATCCACATATGTTGCCCAGTCCGGAAGTATTCAAAAATGCTATCTCTGAGCTCGGCATTAAGCGGGACGATACTGTTGTGGTATACGACTCTGCTGAGCAAGGTATCTTCTCGGCTCCTCGCGTCGCGTGGACGTTCAAGACATTTGGGCACCCAAGCGTTCACATCCTCAACAACTTCAAGCTGTGGATAGAGGAAGAATACCCAACGGAAGAGGGCGAGCCGCAGCAGTTTCAAAAGACCGATTATCCCGTACCGGAGCTGGACAAGAGCAAGGTTGCAGCATTTGAAGAGATCAGGGATATTGCTCGGGACCACAACAAAGAGGGGCATGAAGAAGTTCAGATACTTGACGCTCGTTCAGAGGGCCGGTGGAAAGGTATTGACCCAGAACCGCGACCTGGGTTGTCCTCTGGCCACATGCCGGGCAGTCTTTCCGTACCTGTGCCATCGTTGCTTGACCCAAAGACGAAGACATTGCTGCCAGGACCGGAGCTCCGCAAGGTCTTCGAGTCCAAGGGTGTTGATCCCAGCAAGCCGATCATCTCGAGCTGTGGCACCGGAGTGACGGCGAGTGTGATTGATGCGGCACTAATCGAGGCTGGCTACGCCGATGGCAGCCGTAAGATATACGACGGCTCTTGGACAGAGTGGGCCCAGAGAGTCAAACCGAGTGACAACCTTATTGTGAAGGAGACCAAGTAATTCGGTGCGGAAGAGTCAGAGTATCGACGTTGTCTTTTGTTGTGACTGCGATTTCATTGGCACGGTTGACAGGCATCCTCAAGGCGATTGCTGATGATATGGCCACCTAAATTGAAGTCTGTAAGAGGTATTTTCTGTATGTTTTACGACTGCGTGGCTTCAACAAGCTCGGTTGTGGACGTGAGAGCGATCAGGATGCGGTGTCCAAGCAAAAAGTTTGCTTCGAACAATGCGATTGTTGACTGTTTCATAGGAGTGGCTGTAGCTACCTACATGTACCTCCTCTCCCACCATGGCTCTGCTCCACTCCGCGCACTCTGTCCAAGCTCCCCACGGCAGCGTGCATCAGGTATGGTGTAACGGTAAGACCCCTTTGAGCCCTCCTGGCGGTATCCAGCGGTAGGCCTGGCGCGCCTCTCCATCGGACGGCGGGCATGATGAAGTGAGCGTGATTGCGTTGAAGAATGGAGGCACTGTGAGATCAAACATACCTACCTAAGGTACATGTAGGTATTCGCTCGGAGCCAAGAATGGAGGTGACTGGTTGACGCGTGGGTCTTGAGCGCGTTAATTGCTCTTGCCTTCCAGGTAGAGGCCAAGACAAAGTTGAACGTTGCACAAAGACACGCTGCACCTGCATGACTTCACCTTGCTCGGAGTCCTTCTTCACTAAAAGCGGCGTCTCCCCTTCTTCTGCTGTTTTATCCTACCTAGACACCGCATCTTCATCAGCGCCAGGACAATACAGCAGACACCACCTCACGCAACAGCCGACACAGCCAACATGCTCTTCCTCGCCGCACTCGTCGTCCTCGTGCAGCTCGCCCTTGCAGTGCCGACTTCCAACACCAAGAATTCTCGCCGTCTCGCCGTCCACCTCACGAATGCCATCACTGGCGACTGTGACTCGCTCGTCGAGGAGAGTGCCTGGGTCATCACCAACCTGACCTCCTTCCAGGCCTACCCTTCGGCGAACAGTATCAGCTACTTGTAAGCCAGCGCAGAATGGTCAATGATGGACGGTTGAGCAGTCACTGACCGTCTCGTCACTAGCGCCTTCAGCTTCGAAGACATCAACCCAGGCCTCGGCTTGAAGACCAGCTGCTCCAACTACCTTCCTCGCGGATCCAACGCCACTGTCGAAAATGACAGATACCACCTTTGCGACAGCCACGACGTTCAATTCAAGTACAATGGCCAGATCCTGCAGGTCGAGCGTTGGTACCAAGATCCATGTAAGTGCTTGCGAGTGAAGCCTCAAAGTTGAGAGGGAGACGAGAGCTGATGAGCGCCAAATTCAGGCCTGGGAAAGCCTCCGTACGATAGTGCTATCGCTCATGGCCGCGCGAACGTGACCTTCACAAAGACGCGGGCACAGGATGGCGTGCTGGCCACTCAGGTCCGGATGGAGATGCCCATCACGTCTCTTTCATAAGATCTCGACCTCCTTTGCAGCCTTATGGCGCAGACCGCTGTATCTGTAATGCGGAAGGGGCAAGAACGGAATCAGCATCGACTATCGCTCACACACCGCAGCTTCACTTGAGGTAAGACGATAAAGACTATCAGAAGCACCGCACGCAGAAGAACTCCTGGCATGGTCATGTCCAGTTCGTAGAGTACACGATATGTGCCGCCTCAAAAACTCTACTCACACAGCGGGACATCGTCAAACTCCTTCCTCATGTACACTCTCAGCGCCTCAAGTGCATCCTTCAACACTTGTGTATCACACACAAACCCAAACCTCACATATCCTTTGAACTCTTCTCCAAACCCCACGTCACCAGGCAACAGCATCACGCCCGTCTTCTCCTGCACATCTCGACAAAACGCCTGCGCATCAATCCTCTTTCCATCTCTCTCAAACTTTACAAAACCCGTCGTCCCCGCCACCGGCTTCTCCCAGCTCGCAAACTCATCATGTTTAATAATCCACTTCTCCAACAAGGCCACATTTGTTTTGGCCAGTTGAATATTCCTCCCCAACAACGCATGAATCGTCTCGGGAGACAACGCAAACGCCGCAATCTCCTGATCCATTCGCGACACACTAATCGTCGTATAATGGCGGGTCTGCGCAAACTGTTCCACCAGCTCGGGATTCCTCGATGCAATCCATCCCACGCGGATCCCTGCCAACGAGTACGCTTTGGACAAACTCCCCGTGACAATGGTATTTTTATAACCGAGCGATAGGAGCGAAGGAGGAAACTCGGAGTCCACAGGCCCAATACCGTGAAAAATGGGCCGATAGACTTCATCCGCCATGATGGTAAGATTTCTCGATTCCGCAAAATCGACCAATTTGTGCAAAAACGATTTGGGCAAAATCTGGCCCGTGGGATTTTGCGGAGTATTGATAATTATGAGTTTGGTCGATTCCTTGACCAATTCCCCAAGATCTTCGAGATTTGGAAGCCATTTATTTTGCGGGTCAGATTTCCACAATGACACTTCTGCTCCCAAGGATTCCGGGATCGTGTACAATTGTTGATAAGTCGGATAATGACAAATCACATGATCGCCAGGATGCAAGAGAGAGTAGAATACGAGATGGTTTGCAGCGATTGCTCCGGGAGTGATGAGGATTGCTTCGGGGGATAAAGGGGTTCCGACTTTGCCGGAGTAGAGGCGCGAGAGGTGTGAGCGGAGAGTAGAAATTCCGCGGATTTCGCCATAGGTTTGTGGAGAGGAGAGGTCGAGGAGAGAGGAGGGGCTTTGTTGGATGGATTTGTTTTCGGAGAGGGAAGCGAGTTCGTTGATGGAGAGGCTTTGGCAGCACGTTTCGGCGATGTTGTACTTGCAGGTGGTTTCGTGGTCGTCCATCCACTAGGAGGTACGTACGTACATGGGTCAGTTACTGTTGGTGAGTATACTGATTGATGGATTGATGGATTGATTGGCATTTTCTCAATGTGGATCAGTCGGGACTTACTTGCTCGACTGCAAAGGGAATTGGAGGTGGCATTGTGCTAAGGTAGGTAAGGTATGTTATGCTTCCTCGCAAAAGTCCAGTCACTTGTTCGTCGATGATTCAACGTGTACGAAGCGTGCGAGAGTTGTCTTTTCTTTGAGCTGCCCAGAGAGTAGGTAGGTAGCTAGCAATCCAGCGAAGAAGTTCCCAACTCTAGCTAGCTCTGCGTCTGGGAGAGCCCCGATCAATCAGTAAGGTACGTAGACGAAGAGTACATGTACCTGGTAAGTAGTGATCTGGTCCAATGCAATACCTACATGTAGGATTGTAGGTATCACACCAAGAGGCTGACTGACTAGAACCTTTTCTTTACCTTGGCCCAGAGGTGGAGATGGATGTGGAGTCTCCACCTTTCCTTTGCAAAGCGTAAGTGTATATAACTCCACTTCCACGTTTGGCTACAATGAGTGCAACTTACACTCGAGATGTCACGCTGAGCTCGAGAGGATTGATTCCCTAGTTAAAATGATATATATATATTGCGTGTTGAAGGCCCTTGATACGACGACGATGTGAGAGCTGGCAATCAATCACTACTTCGGCGATGTCGTCACGTGCTCGGTTCCACATGCCATTTTGCGTTTGGTAGCGGGGCTCAAGTCTCGGCTAAAGTATACGCAGCTCTATTACCTCCTAGGAGATACAATTTTACATCCTTCAAACAACTGTATACTACCTATCTGATTAACCTGCTTTTGCTGTTAATAGAGGTTGTTAGTCCTCATCAGAGAACCAATGCGACGACAACAACCTATTGTATATGTAGCGTGCGAGCTGCGTCTGTTGCTGCCTTTAGTACGAATCAGTTCTACACTACGACGACCAACAGGCTCCTCGCCTACAACGACCTCTCCTAGGTAGCAATTCCGAACTTGCTCTATAGAATACCTCAGTAGCAGAATCTTCTTCAAACTACTTGTGAGCACGCAACCAAAACATTCCAGACCAGAAGGTATCAACACCGTTATAAAATACCTAACACACATAACCTAGACCACAACACCCCCTTTTTTTCTTTTTAAATACGAGCGACGTTGTCCGCATGAGACCGTATCGGAGCATGTAAGGTATTGTTACAGATATTATTATACTCGAGCAGGTAGATGGGCTGCCCTGTTCTATTTCTCGTACAAAAGAGAGAGAGGGAAAAAAAAAAACTTTACGGTGATGGTACCTATGTAACCCTCTCCTTGAGGTTCGGCTCTTGAACCCCAGCAGCTACGTGGTACGTGTCGTGTCGCAAAGTACTTGATGAATGGAAGTGAGGCATTCATCGTCAAGGGCGTAATTTGATAAGTAGTTCTAGGCATTACTGGTTTGAAGTACATACCTCTTCCTCTTCCTCCTCTTCCTCCTCCTCCTCCACGCCGCGTTCGTCAACCAATCATCAAGCCAATTCCGCGACACGAAAATTTGCGCGGAATAAAGATCTTGAGTCATAGCGGCGGCGGTGGCGGAGGCATTACGATTCGGAAGAGGAGCCCAGTCATGATAAATTAGGGGAAAGAGAAAAAAGAAGGTGGCTGTAAGAGATGCCGCCGCGTATGCTTCGCAAGCACGCACGCGTGGAAAGAGCACTTTCGGAGCGGAGAAATCTCCGAAGCGATTGTGGCGAGTCTTGTCGTCTGCTGTCTTGGGTTCTATTCTCCTCTCTTTCTCTCTAGCTTTTGGTGCATGAATGTCATGTCGCCTCGGCTCGGTCGGAGAAACGCGGCGCGTGGCTTGCTTATAGCTGCTGTATTAATATAACAGGAAGGAGGGGAAGAAGAAGAAGAAGAAGAAGAAGAACAAAAAGTAAAAAGAGTGTTCTTCTTAGCGAGCGTGGTGCATGATTGGATATGCGGGCTGTTTGAGGCGAACTGTATGAAGGCCAAGAATAAAAAAACGTGGCTTGTGAGAGGCGTAAAATGATGCATTTGTGCTACAGCACATGAGAGGGCTTCTTCAGCCTATAGAGTCGTGGCGTGCATGGATGGACAGTTTCGGTACTTGTGGCAAGTTCCCAGAACATGCTCTTTCTGGGCTGTGATACGCGTTTCTCTCGGGATGTTCGTTGTATGTAGACGACTTTTTCGGGCTTTCGTATCGGATTCGGCAGACTTTTCGTTGTGGCTGAAACGATATTTGTTGCGTGGGAGAATTGGTGGAGGTGAGCACGACGCCGCACGAGAGCGTGCAGATGCTATCGGCGAAGACTGTTCTGGGTTTTGCTGGGATCATGGGATGGACTCTTTTTTTTCTTCTTGCAGCCTTACTCCAGCTTTTATCTCATGGTCTGGAGCTCCAATTTGTCAGAGAGTCATAGGTAGAGGCTTGGCTTATCATGTGCTTGCAAGTTGATGGAAGAGGGGAGGGTGAGCTCAGTCAATTTCAGACACGAATCATCATGGCAGAAGTGTGGGCGTTTGTCGGATCAGGTATACCTTAGGAGGTAGTAGTAAAAAAGTGAAGGACCTCGTGGAGCAGCGCAGCGACGACATGCATCTGGCATCGAGATCAAGCATACCATGTTGTTGCTACCACAAATGAGAGTGGTCCCGTGGCACATATCCAACATGTTTCCGATACATACTTTTAGGGCTTCCACCAGGTAGAACTTGTCATATTACTCTCCCCAGGACATGGAGGGAGGGGAGCTATGAACACACCAAAGGGGTCGCCTGTGTAGGTTCCGAGCGAGAGTTCGATAGCTGTGCAATACTAGTAACATGTACTGCCATGAGGGCGCACTCGCGAAGTTGCGGCGAAAGCGTGGAAGATGAGAAAATGAGGAGAAACACCTTGCTGTCGTGGGGAGCGAGCGGCACTTGCGCTGCTCACGCCGCGCGAACATGCATCTCTTCTCGATCGAACTGATGATGATGATGATGGTGATGATGATGAAGACGCGTCGCGCGGTGGTGAACGCGCTCGCGTGTGGTTTGGGACGTGATTCGAACTAGGTAGGACCCCAGAGTAGTGCAGGAGGCATTATCCATCCCATCCCATCCGTACGAGCAGCCCACTGCAGTGTCTGTCTCGCCAGAGTTAGAACTAGGAGGTAGTGGTGTCACGCAGAATTTCCAACGGCGACGGCGTGACCGGTCTGACATTTTATTTTTCTGCCACCGCGGCCAAAAAGGCAATTATAACACGCCGGCATACATGTATACAGTAGTAGTTGTTATACTAACTTAATCAAATGCGCACTTGCTGCTGACTTGGCGTTCGTCCGAGTGGCAGGCATTTCGCGTTTCTCGTGAACAGGGCACTGAGGGCAGAACAACGCGAATGACTGGACCGCGGCGCAGCGCACAGACGAATGCGAATCCTAAGCGAAAGTGAAATATCCGGACGAGTCCGTGGGAGTTTTTCACTAGTCGGTACATGTACCTCGTAGCGCGTCCTACTGGAAACACTGGAAAGGCATTTCACTCATCATACCTCCTAGCAGACAGGCCAGATGTGGTTGATGATGGACATGCAAGACATATAGACGCCGGTGTCGTCCAATCGTGGAATGTCCTCCTTCTGTGTTCGAGGCCTGGATGATGTTGGCGCGCTTACAGTAGACTCAGTACATGAGGTAGTCAGTCGAGCTTGTGGTCATTTCTTGTAATTGCGATAAGAGCAGAGCCGTTGAATGACATCTTGTTGATGCCCAGAGCTGACGCGACCCAGAGCACGCGATCTGGCAAAGCTAAACCCACTTAAACCTCACCATGTGCACGGGGAGATGGGAAGTGTCTGAGGAACGTCTCCAGGTGGTGCTCGTCCACCGCAAGCTGGTAACATTTGCGGCACAAGGAGACACGAATACGTGGATTTGCAACCTCCTCTGCCAGTGCCAGTGCCAGTGCCAGATCGTCGTGAAGTATCTGAAATTGCTTGGCCAACACATCCTCGTGCTGGATCACTGGTGAGCGTGGTCCCCTGCTGAGCTGCCCGAGCACGAACTCAAACCGGCAACGGCCATAAAAGAGGCAAGTCATGGCTGATCTGGTCTGCATTATAGTTATTATTGTTCCTCATAGAGGGCTAGAAGCAAAGAAGCCTGCCTCAAGGCTCATCGTCGATAGCGTCTGTCTCTTGTTGTCTACAGGTACATCCAAAAAATCTTCTTTTGCAGTAACGAACGCCGGAAGATCTTCATACGTTTCCATTCTCAGGTATGTACAGTTTAGTAGTTGTCTACCATGTCAGAAAGAATGGGACTTGAATAGTCCGCAAGTTGCCCCAGCGGCACATCTCCCGTCTGCAGAAGTTGCTCCTGTAATATCCCAATCTTGACAAGCGTGGTTCACGAGGAGAGTTGGAGGGTTAGCCTGATTCGCGGATTCCTAGGAGGTAATGGATTGCTCGGCAGTGCGTGCCTCTCTGAGTCTGCGCTACCTTACCAATCAATCAGGTACATCCGATGTACCTAATGAAAGGGCCGTGGACATCTTCCATCCTTCCGTGCCGTTGCTACCACTCTGTGATGCGAGCAATCGTCGCTGTCTTGATTTAATGGGGTAAATACATACCTCCTAGGTAGGGTGATATAAGACAAGCGCGTTATAGTGGCGACAACGGCGCGCAACATTTCGTGCTTGAAATCGAGATCTGGTTGTCAGCAAAAAGAAGTTCTTTCGAAGCCGCGAAGGATCTAGGATCATTCAGGAGCGAAACACTGGACCCTCGTCCGATGCCAGCCAGCCAGCTCCCACAGCGGCACAGCCTACAAGCCTACAACCTACCTACCTCCTACATACAGGGCCTGCGCTGTGCAGCTCCTGAATGAGAACATTCTGACATGTGAAGATCACACATTATTATTCTGTGAGAAGCAAGGTCAGGTCTGCTGAGCTGACGTTGAGTACATGTACCTACCTACGTACAGTACGTGCCTACATGTAGGTAATATGATGATGATGATGATGATGATATGTTGCAACTGAGACCCGATGCGGGTGTAATGTCCACTCATACTAGCCCATCGCCTGCAGCTGGCAGGTTGTGCACAGCGACGAGCAACGGGATCTTGCTCCGACCCGCACGTCACGGTCTCGCGTTCTTTGTATAGCACGCGACACAAATATACACGCGTAGATTGCTTTGCGAAATTTTCTGCCGGCTTAGTCGCGTTGTAGCGTGGGGACAAACGATGCTGTGTCTCAAAAAGCGTGGAGTCTGGTCGCCTCACCTCGCGGCTATGCTGCGGGTGCTCGGAAAATATTACATACAGCGTACGTACAACGAGGTCAGCGGCGCAAGGAGAAAAGTGAAAAGTGAAAAAAAAAGAAAGCCCCCCCAGCACATGTATGTTACTAGTGATGAGGATGCTGTAGCACTTGTTGGATCCGCTCAAAAGCGCGCTGGATTTGCGTTTCATGGTCGCGGTCGTACACGCCGCCGAGTGACGGACGGAAGCAATATACAAGTGCAACGAAACTAAATACATTTCGGCTTGATGCAAGTCGTGGACCGCGGGCACCATCAGGCGCCTTCGTCAGGCTCGTTGCAGCCGCGAGGAGAGGTACATCATATTATTGTAAGCATCACCAGGTACGGAGATCGATTATGAGTATCAGGCAAATGTGGTAGTCTAAAGCAGATGCATCTGCATCTTCGTATCAAGCTCTCCCCGGCGAGTCGAACAGGAGGCCAAGGTGCTCCACTCTGGACGACGACGTCCCGGTGTTACAATAGGCGTTTGTCTGCAGGAACGGTGAGCGAATGTCTGCCCGCAGAGCGCTTCAGGTGCTGCAATGAGCAAACAACGATGCGACATGTGTGTGTATCTCGAAGCTGGCCACGCTGCGTTTCGATGGCTCGCTTCAGACCGCTGCAAGCAATTCGACGTAGGAGGTATTACCTTGGGTACCAGGGGAGGGGGGGTGGCTGCAAATAGCCGCTCCAAATGGCAGTTGGAGACACTAGACGCGGCTTTGAAGCTGGTTGTGATGCCAATGGCTGCGCTGATTATGATGAGATGCGTTGCGCGCGTCAATGCTCAGGCGCCAGTTGCAAATGTCCTGACTCTTTTCGTGTCTAATGATGGACGCGTCTCAGAGAGGACACGCGGGTAAAGTGCATGCAGCTCTCGATGCGGACGAGAGCCGGCCAACCAACTGGGCGGACTCAGGACTGCTGCGTGGCAGCGGCCTGCGAGTGCCAGGTTTGGCGCAGGAGGCGAGGGAGGAGGACGGGCTAGCAGCCTAGCAGCGGCTCGGAACCTAGCAGGTGCAGACGAGGTTGCAGCTTGTGATTCGACGTGAACGAATGGGTACATTGTGGACCTAGGAGGTAGTTTGATGCGCGTAGCTGAAGGAACGTCTGTTCCGGGCCACAAAAACAATAATTATCATCGTTATCATCATCCTCGTGGACCTCCTCTTTGAGGGCGAAGGCGAGGGCGAGGGCGAGAGGTGGCGTAGGCCGGTATGCAGCAGCTCGCGGTGAATAACACCTCCAACAGTCTGATGAGCAGACGGAACGAGCAGCGAAAGCGTAGGAGGTACCTCCTAGGCGTGAGCGTGAGCGTGAGCGTGAGCGTTGAGCATCGTCGCGGCCGTGCTGGCCGACTGTCTCACCAGCACGCAGGCAGGACAGCGACGAGCCAGCCAAACGCCGGATTTCAGGCTCTGGGCGAGGTTGTTGCTGGGTGCTGCCATGTACGCCCCACAGGCTGACACGCACAATGCGGCTCTGGTACAGAATAAGTCGCCGTAACGTTAATTCAACACGACCGCCAGTGGTGGCAGCCAGCCAGGAGAGAGAGCCAGCCAACTACTGTACCTCCTAGCCAGCCAGCCAGCCCGCCCGTCCGCCCAGCCCGCCAGCAGCAGCGGGAAGGACATTGCATGATGATGGGAAGGGGGCCGTGAGCATAGTTTCGCCTTGCACGATCCATGCAAAACCAAAGCCGGCCAAGCGTCGACGAGCGGGTCCCAGGCCCAAGGATTATGGTGCTTTGCAGGTCTCCCATACAGTAATTCACACTGCACCGACGGACCACCTCCCTCTTTGCTCCTCAGGTCATCATATTACTCTCTTCTCTCAACCCGCCTGCAATGGAGTCTGTGAGCAGCAGCAGCGCCCGGGAGTAACCATCTGCCGCGGATTCGGCAAGACACCCACTGGCCTGTGCTCGTAAAGCAGAACCTCCTTGCTCTTTTCTCTTGTCAACGGTCTGTGACCGCTGCAGAGACTACTGACGGTGGTCCGCCTCGACCATCACCTCCTCTTCGCCCTCATCATAACACCACCTCACCTCACCTCCACCTCGTCGACCTCTCATCTTCGTTGATCGAAAGAGCTCACGACCGCCGCCTCGCCCTTCGACCTCGCCATCGCCCTCGCCCTCGCCCTTGACCTCACCGACGACGCCGCGTCTTGCGTGTCCGCCTGCTCGCCCGCCAGCATCCTCGACCGGCCCATGTGCTTCGATCAGCAAGGTAAGCCCTCACCCCTCACGACGTGCGTGCGTGCGTGACCGCCAGAGACGACTGGCAGCAGAGTGGACGAGAGGCGGAATGGCATGAAGTGCAGTATGCTGGTGGACACAATGGCGGGATGGTGGTGATGGGCTTTCATCGTGGCTTCCCATGTCTCCAACATTTGAATCCGTACAACCTTCCTGCCGCAGACGACAGTGACGGGCTTCGGAACTGGACCTGTCAGTGTCAGTTCCAGTGTCACTGCTGGACACCATCACCTCATCTCTCAACTTCGAATCTCGAATCTTGAATCTCGACCTGCAGCTGCCTACCAATCCCGAATCCATCTGGCACATTTCCTCTTCACCACCACCAGGACCACTCCTGATATCCAGCACTTCTTTCAAATCTGCACTGTACAACCCCTTCGTTGCATCGGAATCCATCAAATAGAAGCATGCTGTCCGGCATTCGTGGCGCTCGCCTTCTCCCTTGCCAGAACACACCACTACCACACCACCATTCCTTTTGGACAATATGTGGGACAGTTGGGGAAGTCGAAGCGGTCCATTGGCTTTTGCATTCCTCTCCTATTGGGAAAATGCGGCAATTCCAACGAGAAATTTGCCTACACTAGATCGGGCAGTCTGGACCTCAGAGCAGCCATCCATGCATCGCACCAGCACTCGTCCGTGCCTCTAGACATACATACACTGCACCGTGCAGTGCGAATGTTGACGAAAATGTCCTGTCCTGTTCATATGCTAATCGTATATTCTTGCAGCAATCCCAATTTCTGTACATCCCTGGGATCGACCTGAATCGCGAACACATCACTCTCGTGCTTATCAAGGACAGGACCACTGAATTGGCCAGGTATGTTCATATCATCTCATTGAAGACCATTTCTCGGCTACATTACTCCTTGCCTCATCGTACATTGCTGGCTCCAGACAGGGCAACGCTAATTGGCATTCCCCAGATTCTTCACGATCTCTTCAATCCATTCAAACAACTGCGGAGTCGTTAGCTCGTTCTCTGCACTTCAACGGCCATCCCAGGACCGATTCGTTGGGAACTTCATCCAATCGGTAGCTTCACCGTGGCTCGCAAGGAGACAACTTGTTCGGTCCAGTTCACTGTGTGCGCGCGCTCAGCACACTACCGCACTGTAATCTAATTCTCAAGGTATGCACCCTGGTCGCGCTGTCAGTCGTGTCTACGTAAGGTACAGCGTACCGAACATCGACAAGGCTGCAAGCTCAACGCGCGAGTAAAGCTGACACGTCCTAGGCCTCACCAGCCGCTGTCTATAACAACGTCTCACGACCTGCGTCGAACGAGCTCTGTTCCAGACTTTAAGCCTGTTCATTCTCTCGGTTCTACAATACCGGCTAATCACGATCTTTTTAACTCGACCCAAGATCAGGGACACACTCTTTAATTTAGTTCAACTACTGGACATTCACTCCTTTGCAACCCCAGAACATCTCGAACTTGCAACAACTTGTCAATCCTGGAGACCTGGCAACACGTTCACAACAACATATGAGCCTTGTCGACAATATGGCTTACCAATCTCAAACATCCCAGCCGCTGGCTGCCCCAAGGACCTTTCCAGCTTTTGGATACTGTGACTCGTACTTTGTGGAGAGTCACGACGACGACAATGGCGTCTATGCGCGCGCGGCCCTCGAGCGTGAGCGAGCACGCAACGTGGCAAAGCTAAGGCAGAAGGCTCTTGCGCAGGAGCTTTCGAGGTTGACTGCCGATGAATACCAGGAGGATGTGCTTGACCACATGGAGTACATGGAGGGCGAGACCATGCCCGACATTCATTCCATTGAGATCCAGACCGAGATTCAGTGGTTCATGAGACCATACTTGCTGGACTTTCTCCTGGAAGCTCATCACGCCTTTCAACTCCTGCCTGAGACTCTTCACCTTGCCGTCAACCTACTCGATCGATACTGCTCAAGGCGTGTTGTGTACAAACGTCACTACCAACTTGTCGGCTGTGCAGCGCTCCTCGTCGCTGCCAAGTACGGGGACCGAAAAGAACGCGTACCAACGATCAGAGAACTGAAGTCGATGTGCTGCTCATTGTACGACGATGACATGTTCACTCAGATGGAATGGCACGTACTACAAACTCTGAACTGGGTTGTCGGTCACCCTACTGTTACCAGCTTTCTGCAGCTGGCTCTCCCCGTTGCAGGAACCTTCGACTTGGAATTGGAGCATATGACTTGGTACATATCTGAGCTCGCTTTATATCACAAGGAGTTCATCCCAGTCCGACCATCCGTCATGGCCCGGTCATGCCTTGCTCTCGCCCGTTGCATTCTGGGCAGGCTTCAGTCAACATCTGACGATTGGGCTGCGAGATACGATGCGCAGGTGGTATTGAACCTATCCAATCACCTGTCTCATCCATCGCAAGCATTGCTACGCAAATATGCTTCGCCGCACCTCTCTGAAGTGTCCTCGACCATACAGCGGTTCCTTGAGCATCAAGCAAGGCTTGTCTCAGCACAGCGAGCTGCTCAGAACCAGACCCCTATCAACGAGACCCTCATGGATATCGATTCGCAGCCAATGGTCAATTCGCACCTTATGCCTCAGACGCCCCAGAAGGTTGGGTACGCTGCCCATCCATTCGGCATGCTCACACCACCCATCACCCCTGACAAAGACCAAATGGCCGTCGTGAGCTATGGCACGAAGCCGGGCTTTGTGAGTCGAGCAGCCCATTGCGTACCAACGCCGCCTTCTGTTGGTGAACAAATGCACCACAACTCTTATGTGGTGCAGCAACAACCACAACCACAGCCACAACCACAACAACAACAATACATGCCGCAGCCTCAGTTCGTGCAATAGCGAAATGTGCACGTACATCACACGGCTCTCCCTTCTAGGTCCGGCATCGTCGTACGTCGGCACTTGTTGTTACAACTGTACAAGGAACCCTCTCACGACCCGTGGGATCTACTGTACGTGTACGAACGTCATAGCATTCAGCACAGCATTCCAAGCGAGCGTTGCATTTTCTAGCATTTTCTTTGTGTACAAACTCCGCCCCGGTCCCACATGAAGTCAGCAACATACAAGCTGGACGTGGGCTGGAAAGGCAAGGAGATCGGTCAGCATGTGTGGGTAGATTGTCAGAAGTGATACGTGGAATAGGGAAGTTCACACGAAAAGCAGAACGCATAATCACTCGAGGAATTCAGACTGCAAGGAAAGGAAAGGAAATTGGGAAAAAGAACAACGAGATTCTTCGACGAGAGGAAGATTGTCCAACAATGGATTCTGGCGTCGGCGCCTCCAAAAAAAAACAACTAAAAGACTCGATTTGCTATCTGTTCTCAATTCTTTCTGAGAACAACGACTGATACCCGAATATACCCATGTTCATACCAAAAGCTCGTTCGCCAGAAAGAGGCCCGAAATTTCCCCTTCGTCTCTCCTTTTTATGCGTGCTCGTGCACGACATGCGGAATTTAAGTGACACAACAACGCAGCAACCGCCGTTTCCCACCGTCTCAGCGATCTCTGTAGGTGACGGTGCAACGGCATTTTCTGGCTAGCGTCGAACACAGGCGAGATCACCTTCTGCGTGACCAAGCGGTGTTTCTTACAATTAGTTCCATGTGCATTATAATCAATTGTACATTTATATACTGCTAACAGCCGACAACGGTACCTCCCGAATGCGCACCACACACTACAGGCATCTATCGTACCTCGTAGGCGGTAGTATCCGTATTGCTTACACATACAGACACACGTACTCGCATCACTAGGTATTCACTCAGGCACAAGACTGTACTGTATTGTAATTGAAGCAAGGCCATTATTTAAATTTTACATCGTTGTTGTTATTATTGTTCTTGTTCTTGTTCCCGGACTTGTTAGAAAAGTAAAAAAGGGAATTCAGGTACCAATACAACAAACCCTAGGGTTACTCCCAACAACCCCTAGGGTTACTCCCAACAACCCCTAGGGTTACTCCTAAATCAAATCCTTGTTCCAACTTTACAACATATAAGGTACATACCTGCTAGCTGAGCTGGAAATGTTGTTGGTCCTTAAAGCCCTTAGTTCTGCTGCCGCCGATACAGAGAGTCTGCATTCATTACAAGTAAGTACAAGCAAGTGTGGACGGGATAGAGAGGGATTGTACAGGTACCCAGGAATGTAGGATAAAATGCCCCCTGTACAGCATCAAAGGGATGGGGAAAGCCTAAGATCAAAGGGAGAAACATGTGTAAGAGATCTTGAAGCCTTTCTTCTTTCTCGGGAAAGCAAAAGTACGCTTCTTCACTACCCAAGACGTGCATACAATGCATATCTATTCAACAGGAACCTCCACGATCAATCAAATCCATCCTTCTCGCTCTCGATCTCTCTCCTTGTTGCGACGCTGTTCCCACCAGTTGATTCCCCTCTCCTTGAGACCGCCACTCGCCTTTCTGCGCACCGCGTTGAACTCGAAGCGACTTCGGTCTAGCTTGTCTCGAAAGTTCATGGCGGAAGCAGATCGCTCGCTGGGCACCTCGATGCTGACTTTTCGTGTGGCGTTCTTCAGCCCGAGCGTGAATGGCGGCAGGTCCGACTGGCTCGATGGGCTGTATCTCCGTGGCCGAAGATTCTGGTCGGTGGTCTTTTGGACAGATTTCATACTGCGCAGTGTCTCGAAGCTGCTGATGTTTCGGATTCGACCTCTCAGATTGTCCCATTCTCCCGTCAGACCTCCAGCAGTCTGACCTGGAGGAGTCGAGTAGGACATGGCTCCATATGCACCAAGAGTCTCCGTACTCCTGTTTCCAAATGCCATTCTGGCTAAGCTGGAATTACTTGCTACCTGGACCATAGCGGCTCCTTTCCTGAGTTTCGGAGCGTTCTTGCGTGGCGAAGCGTCAATGATACTACGTAAGTCCTCCATCTCCGCTCTGCGCTCAAATTGGTTGTCCAGTGATTGCATTCTTGGAGCTGCGAATGCTCGGCCTTGCGCGTACGATGGCTTCCTTTGTATGTCTATCGTAGCGGCAGGCGAAGAGAATGATCGTTGGCGATGATGACCAGCATCCTGTCGCCTCGATCGAGAACGAGCCATCTGAGTGCAAGCACGCTTCTCTTCGATGGCAGCAGCTACTTGGGCCACTGAATTCGGCACCACATCCAGGGAGTTCATGTGTATCAGTATGATCGGCAGTTGCACAGACACCAGCTTCGAACTGGCCACTGAAGCTGCGACATTCAAGAAGTATCGCACTTCGAACCACTTACCACACCGGACAGTCCCATGTCCACGGGGAAGTTCGAGCTCGCACGTTCGCGTATCGGACATGTATGGTTCGATGCCGTGCCACCCCGCAGTACCGGGCTTCAGAAGCGATTTGGCCAGGACTGTCTGCTCGTTGCTCTCAAATATGCGAGCTTGACCTGCTGACATTTCCAAGGTGGCCGCTGCTGCATGTTTGTAGAACAGGATGTCGCGTTCCAGAGTGAGCTCCAACTTCTTCACGGGCTTTCGACACCTGTTGACAACGTGTACATCGACAAAGATACTACTGCCACTGACCCAGACCTGCCGGTGAAGTCCTGCTGTGATCTTGAGCGTCTCAGCTGTAATCGAGCGAGGCATTGATAGCTCGTCCGAAGCTGTGAGTGGGCTAGGAAGGGAAGTGAGAGCCTTCTCCGGGTCGTACGTGGGAAGCACGTGTACATCCTGAGAAGTCCGTACTCGATAGTGTTTTCCGGCCTCTCGAATGACTGCTGTCACGGCCAGCATGAAACGGATAGCAGCATGTCTGGAATGGAATGGCGGTGGGCCAGTGTCGAGAGGCAGACTGATCATGAATGGTAATGCTGAGCAAGAAGGTACCAAACACCAAAACTTGTCATCGACGATAAAGGCACTTGATTGTTGCACCATCTTCGCTGGCGGAGGATGCTTTTTGTCAATCAACTCAGTGCCCAAGGCGAGAAACGTGGCTTTGCGATTGTTGCTCATCTGCTCGATGCCAACAAGGTCCACGGCAAGCCCACCAATACTGAGTGGACGTCTACCGCTAACACGTTCATTGTCGTCTACTGTGACCTTGACAAACCCCTCTACACTGCCACCTCCCACAAACACAGGCGCCGATACTTGAAGCTCAAGCTTGACCCGTGGATGCTTGTGCAAGGGAAAGTCTACAATCTCGGTAGGATGTAATGCTCGAATCTGAGTCCGCGAAGGTACACGACGGGCGGCATCTGACGTGATCGGATCCAGCTTCAAACCAGCTTGTTTTACGGGTGACTGGCTTGTGCCATGGTTCGGTACTAGGAAGTGCTGAGTGGGCCCGACGCCTGTTGAAGCATGCGTGTGTACAGACGGCTTTCTCGAATGGCCCGGAACTTGGCGATGGAAGGATGACGAGCGTCGAGGTATGCTGGATTGAGGTATACTGAAGAAGCTGCCCTGCTCAGGCGTACTGCTATACGATGACGAGCCCCCTTCTTGTTGCGGCGGCGCCACTGCCAGAGGTGGCTTCGTTGGTGCAGACGCTGTGGTTTTCAACGAGCGCGAGCGCTTCAGGGACAGACTTTGCTTGGCCGTGTTGGTTTGTGATGCGCTACGCTTGTGTTGATGCGGGTTCCGAACGGCCACGTGGTCCATCAGACTCGGCTCACTCAGCTCGCGGATGTCGGACAACGGCCGCGGAATCAAGGAAGACCATGGCGCAGGATCTGTCAGATGGTACACGATTGGGGCGGAATGCGCTTCCAGTTCTACTGCTGGCGCTGGAGCAGGTGGTGGAGGAGGGGCAGGCAGTATCGGATCGGGCTTCTTAAATGGAGGCGGCGGCAGTGAGAGCTCGTAGATCGGCTGTGGTTTCGAGATCTCATATCGTCGTGGGCGTCTCTCCATCGCGTTCGACGTGAGCAAGTCTCCTCATGGCCGACTGTATCTCCATCATCTCATGCATAGCAGTTCATCGACCGACCACATTGCGATCGAGGGCAGGGGCGAGACCCAGCACGCACAGTCACGAACAGGCGCACACATGATGGGAAAGTCCAGGGCTCGGTTTCATGAATACAGGTCAGGTAGCTGCTGCTCGATGTATTTCCATTGCGCGCAGTCTACATACTTCCATTACTCCCGTCGTGTTCTCGGGTCCCTGGATTCCCTCTCGTCCACCCGATGCAACGCTCCTTGTTTACATCTCGACAGTGGACCACCTACATGTGCCTGATCAGTGCGAGATCACTCCGAGGAGCGCCTCCTGCTCTCGCTCTCGCTCTCGCTCTGAAGGCAGTGTGTACAGCGACTGTTCATAGCCGCCGTTCTCCGTTCGGAGCACTTCGTCCGGTCAGACACGCGAGTCTATTCGATCCTGTCGGGCAGTTCTCGCTCAGCGCTCGGATACTGTTGGATGGCTACGACGGCACTGTCTGGGAGTGGTCAAGGCATCCACCATCGGCTGGAGGCGATGATGATGATGATGATGATGATGGTGATGGTGATGATGTGGATGACGATGATGAGACGGCCGCATCCTCATGCAGGCCGAGGAGGAAATCCCAGTCGACCCTCCCCTGTCGGCTGACCTCTTTCCCGATAATCTCCACTCCACGCACTGCGGAAAAGTCAAAGCGGGCAAATTGGCGCATCCTGTTCCATTGCTGTCGTGGTATCATGGAGAGGAAGTGCACCTCGTCAGGCCATCCGGCAATGTCTGCACCAAGAGAGAAAGAGGAAAAGAGAGAGACAGCAGGCCTCGAAAGACGACTCGCAAGACGAGCGAGGTGACGTGACGTCCAGGGCCTCGAGGCAGTTCAGTGTGCAATAATAGACTTCTATGGAGCTTCTGGAACCCGTCTTTGCCGGGAAGAGCGGCGACACGTGACAGCTGCCCTCAGTCTAGGCCTGAGCCGAGGAGAAGCATGGTTTTGGAGCATTCACGTGTGACCCAGTCCAGCAGTCGTAACCTGGCAGCGCGTGCAAGCGAACCAATCGAGTCGATTCCGGACCATGTTGATGTCGCATCATGCTTGGCTGGGCACGATGCTACATATTCACAGGAGTGGTAGCCTCCAGCGGGCAAACGGGCAGCAACCTAATTCATCACACGACGGGAGGGGTTGCGCACCATAATGCTGCTTCTGCACCCAGAGCGACGACGGGAGGCAACAGCAGCCCTGTCGGTGCTGCAGCCGCGACGGCATCCTTTGCGAGCGCATCACCCCTCCGCGCCGCCGCCTTCCACCGTTGGCCTTGGCTAAGCAAAAAAACTGGTGCCAGGTGAGCAGGACGGGAGCTGTAGTGGGATGGATGGATGCAGCTGCAAAATTTTCATCCAACTTGCTGGTTGCTTCTTGCGCGCGCCGACCTCGCTAGCTGTCGGCTCGCTCTCCATGTGACCGGCCGCTTTTCTCCTCGTTGATCAGTTTCTCTTATGCAACGACTTACACATCTCTTCTCCCCCCCAAACGCAAGGTTATCTATACTCTGTGCTAAGGTTATTTGTCTGCTCTGTAAGCTGGGCCCGTCCGCCTGGGTGTGCAAAGCCTTAGCGCGACCTGTACTGGCTTCTGACTGGCTTTGCGCTTTTTCCTGAATCGGGTACCTGCGTCAGATGGGTGATAACAGTCGCGTGGAATGCGATATGGCTGTTGCCTCGAAGGTCGAAGACGATGCGCCTGGCGACGCTACGCCCAGCTCGATAGAATCAACACCGGAGCCAGAGGCAGGACCCGATCCACCCCAGGAGCCCGCACAACCCCAGAAGCGCAAAGGTGGAAGGAAGCCTGTAAGCATTCGCCCGGCCTGACTCGTGGTCTCGTCCGTCCGTCTGCTTTCATCGTCGCTGACGGGCTCTACTAGATTTACGCAACATCAGAGGAGCGTAAGCAGCGCAACCGGCAGGCGCAGGCTGCATTTCGCGAGCGCCGAACAGAATACATCAAGCAACTGGAGGCCACCATCAAGACCAATGAAGAGACTCTGGGTGGTCTGCAGCAGCAGCACAGGCAAGCCGCCGATGAGTGTCTGATGCTGAGGTACAAGAACTCGTTGTTAGAACGCATCCTCCTGGAGAAAGGTATGCTGTAGACATGTCACTCCACTCTGGCCTACGTGCACTAACGCGGTGGTCAGGAATTAATGTCCAAGCTGAGCTTCAAATGAAGACGGGCAGTCCGGTGCTGGGACCTGGCTTCATGCACAGTACGACTCCTATGCCCCAGCAGCCTCAGCTGCAACGAACGACTCTGCAGCGAGCGCAAGCTCGTCGATCTGGCCTCCCCAAACTCGCGCCTGGGCACTCAAACTCGGACCTGGGATTCTCAACGACATCTCCACTTGCCCACCCCACACCATCGTCGCATGGCTCTTCCCCGAGCCAGATGTCCATGCGATCTCCAGCTATTCAACAAATGGGGATGACCTCGCCCGCGTCTGCAGTCCTCGGTCAGCCACAGGCACAGCCATACCAGAGCTTTGCCGGCTCTTCTCAACAACAGCCTAGCCAAGCCTTCTATCAACCCCAACAGCATGCCACAAACGCGCCGCGTTACCGGCAGCACCGAGCCACAGCATCGTCAACGTACCAAGGCAGCACGAGCGGCATCTCGAACATGACATCAGGGTTGCCATATCCTGGCAGCTCCAGTGGAAGTGCACCACCCTCGGCTAGTGCATTTTATCCTAGTCCGTTTCAAAAGCACTTTGAACAGCTTGGTAAGTCTACCTCCGTCCTAAGTGCTGATCTTTGTTTGTTCTCGACTGATGGGTGAATTATAGATCAAGAGTATGACTCCCAACAGCATCGAACGGCTTTCGATGATGCAGAAGATGCTTCCCAAGCGGGCACCGAAGAGCAGTTTTCGCCGCAGTTCGACCAACCCCAAGCACAGCAGCATGGGGATCACCATCAGCAATCACAAAGTATCGCGGCCACCCAGCAGCAGGTGTCGGCGCAGTCTCAGTATGAGCCGCAACAGGTAATTCCACCCACTAGTCATCCTGGCACGGGTCACTATGATTCGAGCGACCCCATGCTAGACGCAGATCCGTTTGGGCTAAGTGCTTCGATGCACTACCCTCAGACCTATCTAAATCAGCAGTATCACGGCCAGCGTTAACAGGAAATAAATGTTTTAATAGCAGTTGGGGGGTGGGGGGTCTTTCAAAAGTAGCATAGGAGGACTTACAGCTCCGCACAGGGACTGCGGGCTATGATTGGGATTCAGCGAGAAAAGCATGAGTTTTGGCGCTTTGGCCTTTATGTGGTGCACATAGCGACGGTGTTGGAACGAAAGATATTGTTTGAAGATCACATTCGAGAAGGGGGCGGATGTGTACCTTATTTGCATATCAAAAAATCGGATTGGACAAAGATGATGGAATGATGGATGCACGGGTGATGTGGCCTGATCACTAATGCAAAAGGTAAGAAGGACTATAGTCCAAACAGGACAGATGATGTATACCAGGACGTCCCCAACTATACGCTGCAAGTAAGGGATTTCAAGCTTGACAGTTCCACGGACTCCATGTAGTACTGTCAAACGTGCATGATCATTGCATGCTTTCCCGCCTCGACGTGATGAGTCCTTTCTTTGTTACATGTAGTTGATCTGCAACCGAGCTTGAAGTGAGGTCAAGTGCTTTGTTTGAGAAATCCCGCCAAGCCCACGGCAGTCTGTGCTTTTCAATTTCAAACGCCAGGCTCTCAGCGCCGACAGAAACACACTCTCACGATGTCTCGCTGCTCGTGACCGCACAACCAAGATGAGCGACGCCATTGTTTCCAAGGTATGTGCCAAATGCCTTTGATGAGACGACGAGACGATGGAATGCTTCTGCCATGCAATCCATTGGTGATGCGCGCCGAAGCAAAAACACAAACATGCATTGGAGAATTTGCCAACTAACATTCATTTGCACAGAACCTCTACGAGCTCCTGGGTACGCCGCCAACATCACCACCGTGATCCATCAACCCCACGCTCGAATGCAATACTGACTTCCCGCCCAGGCAACGACCCGGAGCTCGACCCTGAGCGGGCGACTCCACAGGTGCCAACCAAGGTCATTGACAAGCCAGTCGCAAGAACCGGCAAGCGCAATGCTCCAGCCGAAGGAAACGCTGCCGTTCGGGATGACACACGACAAGGTGGACGTGGTGGTGCCATAAAGGGTGATGGAGGTACGATACACAGTTGCGCCTGCCATTTGCGGTCAGACTCCATGGACAACGTCTCCACGTTCTCGCTCGACTTGCAGGCTCCACAGTTGTGAGATGTGTGTGTCAGCTCTTGGCAGTGTTGGCGAGAATGTCGGGATGGTTTCATTGGAAGAAATGCACGCGACTAGCAGTGCACGGCGGGAAAATTCGCCAACGCAAAGATTTGCTAACAATTCATCCAGATGGCCTCCGCAGCGACCGCCAACCTCGTTCAGATAGGAGTAAGATAATCTGAGCATCAGCGTCTGCAACGCCATGCTAACTAAAGCGCAGACTACGAGCGTCGTGGTGGTGAGGGACGTGGCCGTGGTGACAGGCGCGGACGCGGTGGTTACGAAGGACGCGGACGTGGTGGCCGAGGAGGTGCGCCACGCGATGACCGTCACAGCCACACCGGTGTCGGGTAAGCCGAGTATATTGGATGGGCATGTTGGGGATACTGGCTGACATTGGGTGCAGTGACTCTGAGAAGCAGGCCGCGCATGGCTGGGGCGGTAACAACGGCCAAGCCGAGTGGGCAGATGAATCAGCCGGTGATGCCATTGCCAAGGCTGAAGTCAACAACGAGCCTGGCTTCGCCGCAGACACTGGTGCTGGTGATCCTGCCTTCTCGAACGGCCCAGATGGCCCGGTCGGTGGAGATGCAGAGGCTGAACCAGAAGACAAGACCAAGTCATACGATGAATACCTGAAGGAGCTTGCCGAAAAGAAGCTTGCTCTGTCCAGCGAGGCACCAGCTATCCGCAAGCCAAACGAGGGCTCGAAGACCAAGTTCCCAGAAGGTCAAGCCGTCAGCCGCGAACAGGAGGATTTCTTCATCGGCGGTGGTGGAAAGACCAAGAAGACCAAGGAGGTCAAGGAGAAGGAACGCATCAACTTGGACGGCCAGTACTACGCTGCACCAGACGCTGGCGATCGTGGTGGACGAGGCGGCTCACGTGGTGGCCGTGGCCGTGGCGAGGGTCGTGGATCATTCCGCGGCGAGGGTCGTGGTGGTCGCGGTGGACGTGGCCGTGGTGATCGTGGTGACTTTAGAGGAGCACCTCGCGGTGACCGGGCCCCACGCGGCGGCGGCAGCGCCTTCAACGCCAACGACTCGAGTGCATTCCCTGCTCTCGGGGCATAGAATGCACGCCTGCATCTCCCACCACAACATTCTCGGGTGTTTTGAGCTGTAGCACAACGGCGAAAACACAGAGATGGCGCAGAACCGCCTCAATGTAGTGAAGAAGGCTCGAGACGACTGAATTGTCCCCTGTTCAGCACAGTTAGTCGCAGAACAAAAACGTTAATCAAACGATGTACTCACTATCTTCCTTGCATCATGCAGTTCAGTCAGTGCTCCCTCTGGCCCTCTTGGCAGAACATCGAGGGTAGACATGGCTAGTACACTGCTTGGAGCCTCCAGAAGCTGCTGCTGACAAGACTACACAGACGTGGACTCAAACAGTGCACCATGCCTAGGTACCGTAAGGTTGTACCTGACATAGTAGTTCGTGGGCATGCCACCGGGTTACCTAGGAGGTAGGTACCTTAGTGAACCAAGAAGAGCGGCCCCACTCCATGTCTGAAAGTCCCTTACCGTGACGTGTACGAGTCCGATAGCATGCCTTACATGTCGGTGTATGTACACCTATGTACATGTACCTTATTAGAGTACATGTAGGTAAGGCAGGTTTGTCTGTTTTATTACATCTTTCTACATCGAACAAGAATATTTCACTCTACGGCAAGGTAATAATCTTTTTCCTAGCGTCTAGATGCTTATCGATCGTATGTGTTACTTAGGTACTTACTTGCTGCTCTACTATAGTACCTAGGTACTGTACCTACCTATCTTAGGCAAAGCCTTCGCCCGGGGGGAGTTTTCTTTTCTTTTTCTTTTTCTTTTTTATAGAAAGGCCTACCTATATACCTTACCTATCGCTTTTAGCTCCTGTGTTATATTACAGTTCGATAAGATATCTAGGCTAGTAGCTGACCTCGGTACGCTTTACACTTTATACTTGGACAGAGGTACTACTAATAGGTAATATTCAAAGTTTTTTTCGGTCTTGCGATATTATATCAGCTTGGGATTCACTTATCAGAATCCATAGGTAATCCTGGAATCTGGATGAGGATGATGATGATGATGCCCCGAGGGTATCTTTAGACCACCAGACTCACTCAGCCTCGGAGAATATTCATTCGGCTACAGGTCGACAACTGCTGATGTGATATTGAGGCGTCCGGAAAGGCAATCAGCCGTGTAAGTTCAAGATTGGGCAGATCTCTGCTGAGGGCTGTGGCTTTCCCGTGGACTTGGCTTAAGTGATCTGGCTTGGGGATTGAAACAAGATATTCCACTCGTGGTTTGTCGAGATTCCACAACCACCTAATCACGCTAGCATCGAAACATCTTCTCCACGTCTTGACTTCTCGCCCGAAGAACCTTTTGCTGTTATTAGCAATGGACAACGTTCTTGTGCGTTCCTCCTGGGAGGCGCAAGCGACGCGTATGAGACGCTCCTCGACGAGACCCATTCATTCTGACAGCGTACAAAGATCCACACTGTGAGTCGTCCTGAGGGTACCTGACGCGTCTCCGTCGGCTCTCCAACCACGGCAAGTTCTTGTACTGCTGCGGCTCAAAAATGCTGCCCACAAGCGGACGAAAGGGCGGTTTTGTACCCTCTACGCCTCTTCTCTGCTGTACGTACGTACGTTGGATACTAACTTTAATCTACACTTGGACTGGATGAAAGGGGATTGGCGTGGTGGTGACATTCCCAGGAACGCCACTAGCCAGTGGTCAGCTACCCCATTGTAATTGCACTCTATTTCAAGAGGTCGTGCCTCCCTTGACAACCATTCCTGATAAACTTCTCGATCGATTCTTTCCACTGGAACGAACGGTACACGATTCAAGCGCTGGAGACGAGAGCATCTGCTGCATACCTATAGTAGTAGGTCGACTTGCATTTTCACGCAGCGACCACCAGGCCGCGTGAGTAGGCAACGCAAATCCCACGCTATTAGACTGCTATGAGATCCTCGACAACACTCGCCACGGTGCTGGGCCTCGGTATGTTCAAACCACGCAGATCTTGTTTGCGAGTAACGGGCATTCGGATAGCACAACGATCGTAGAGAACGGATACAACCCAGCTGAGAGCATGACTGACCATCCTCAGGCTCTACTGTGATAGCACAGTCATCGATAGCGAGAACGTGTCCAGAGTCCGATGTCTGTTATAGCCTCAATATACCGCAGTCGACAGTGCAGTCCAATTCTCAAGGCGACATATACTTCCAACTATCCGCACCGATCAAATATCAATGGGTCGCACTGGGACAAGGGTCAAGAATGTCTGGTTCGAACATCTTCGTCATGTACACCTCGGCAGATGGTCAGAATGTTACCGTCTCTCCTCGTCTGGGAACAGGACATGTGCAGCCACAGCATGCTACGGATGCTCAGGTTGAACTACTAGCAGGCTCGGGCGTTGCAGATGGAATGATGACTGCAAATGTGAAGTATGTTTCCAGCATTGCTATCGTACACCACCAGGCATCTGCTGATTGTTGAATTTTCGGCTCTTAGGTGTAGTAATTGTAACTCGTGGTCGGGTGGCACGATGGACTTCACCGCTCAGTCTGCAAACTGGATATACGCCTACAGGACTGGTGATGCGCTCGATTCCGATGATCTTGAGGAGAATATATCGCAACATCAGAAGTATGCATCCTTCAGGTGGTCGCTTGCCGATGCGCAAGGCGGCGACAATACCAACCCTTTCGTTGCAGCTGCAGTAGCAGACTCTCCGACAGCATCTGTCGGATCCAGCGCCAGTCCTACTGCATCAACAACGACTCGACCTACCAGCAGTGGTGACATGGGCTCATCCTCTGATACGACGTTCCTCGGCGCAAGCGCTCCCTTTGGTGGAAACTCAAACTACGGCGACACGCTCACCACCGCTCATGGTACACTAGCTTCACTTGCTTTCGTAGCTCTCTTTCCTGCAGGAGCGATTTTGATCCGGGTAGCAAACTTCGCGGGACTGGTCTGGCTTCATGCCGCCATACAGACAGTGGGCTTCTTGCTGTTCATCGCCGCATTCGGACTCGGCATCTACATTGCCACCCAGCTGAGTCTGCTGGGCAGCTATCACCCCATCATCGGGATTGTACTCTTTGTCGTCTTGTTCTCTCAGCCTGTGACCGGACTTCTCCACCACAAGATGTTCAAGACACATGGCGGCAGGGGAATCTTCAGCTTCGTGCATTTGGGCATCGGACGTGTTGTCATCTTGCTCGGACTCATCAACGGAGGTCTGGGACTGATGCTTGCAGACGCTACGACGGGCGAGAAGACTGCTTACGCGGTATGCGCGGCAGTGGTCGGTGTGATGTATATTGCTGCCGCAGTGTTTGGAGAGGTGAGAATGTCCAAGAGGAAAGCAGCGGGCAGCGCTGGAGGGTCGACGTTTAGCGAGAGTAAGAAGGGACACCAACAGCTGGGAAGCGCAGCTGATGGAGGAGATGGCATTCATATGTCGCAGGTTCCCAAGGGAAGATGAGATTGTGAAGGATCAATGACATCAATCCGGAGCGCTGCTCATACTAGGTAGGATCAGAAATAATTAATCATACAGTAATGATGATGAGTCTGAGACCATAGTTTTTGTACGCGCGTACCTCGGGATACGACGACGCAAGACGAGTACGTACAACTGTCACTGTGGAGGTCCATGTATGATGTATGATGTAGGTATCTTGGTAGTGAGGCAGAGATTCTTCTCTCAGACGCCTCACTCCGAAGACAAACCCCCCTGTCAGTGAGGCTGTAGCAGTTCTAACAACTCGTCCTCATTGGACTGTGTCCAAACCCACCTAGTCCTCGTCCTAGTCAACCACCCGGACACACGGGCGCGCGCGGGGCGGGGCGAAGCGAAGCGCGTCGCTCTTTTTCTCGCGTGGCTACAGTACCTACCTAAATCCTCGTGTAGGTAGTTTCCCACGCAGACACCAGACCTGACAGGTTCTTCTTCTTCTTCTTCTTCTTCCTCTTGCAGCCCAACATGTAAGATTGGTGAATATGAAACAAAGGCAACCAACACAGTACGTACACTGGAAACTCACTGGCGGCCCTTTTTTTTTTCAAGAAATTCGAAACATGTGCTGACGGACGGACACGGAGGGGGACGCAAAGCCACTTTTGGGTCGCAATCATCAAGACAGACAGACTACCAGGTAGGTAGGTAAGGTAGGTAGGTAAGCGAAATGTGTATGAGGTAGGATGTACATACATAGTGGATAGGCCGGCCTTGTGATGAAACATACCTTAGGTAAGGTAAGGTAGGTCGATTGTACCTGCGCAAGGAAAAGAGCTGTATGCTGCAGTCTGCAGGCCAAGGCGAAAAGAAAAACAATGGTTCGCATCAAGGCATTCTAGTTCCATAGGAGCGAATTTGGGAGCGAATTGGAGGAGGCGTTACAGATGATTGTTGGGAGGCCGCCAACGCTAGATACCATCCTACCATCCTACCATCCAACAAGCCTATAGATGATGAAAGGACACGAGGGTGAGTCACATTTCTTACGACCTGGAATGATTCCACTGTATGATGATGAGGCGCTGCGCTGCCTTCATCAGCCTTGTTGTCTCTGGCTGGTCGCCCTGGTGCCTATAATCCCTACATACCTGACCTAGTGGCTGCCTGGGCTGGTGCCTGTTGATTTTTAGCGTGGAAACTAAAATTCAGGTACCTATGACAAGGCTTGTAACCAGGTCCATCATGTTCAGTCAGAGAGAGAGAGGATGTAGTACTGTATGGTATTTATGTGTGTATATATCGTCGCCTCCCTTTTTCTTTCGGTTTGTTATTAGACTTCTGTCAAGTGTTTCGTATACAAACAACCAACTGACCTGACCTACCTCCTACTCCTATTGTATTGAGGAACTGGACTGGATATATTCACTACCTCAACCTACCTAGCGAACGCCACATACACACACACACACACACCTACATATATACATTATCGCAACTGCTCCATCATCTACACCACGATCGAAGAGACTCACTGATCTTGGACACTTCTACAACACCACACACCTCAACTCAATTCAAGAGTTACCTCCACATCCCTCACTATGGCTCGACAAGAAAATCACAAACTAGTCGATTCTTACAACTACTCCTACCGAGGAGAGCGAAACCCTTCATCCTCTTCTTCTTCTGCATCATCATCGAAGGAATCAAGCAGAACTTCTAGCCCCAAACAGCCGGTGGTGGTGGTCGTGCATAAACCGAGTGGGTTGGTCCCGACTGATGAGCCTTCGTCGAGGGAGGCTTTGTATGGGAGGAGGAGGAGATGAGATGAGATGAGATGGTTTGAGGGTGTGAGTGTGAGTGGTTAGTAGTCGTTGGGTAGGATGGGATGGGACGGGATGGGATTGTTTATGGAAGGATGGATGGGTGATGACGGCGTTGGCTCGAGCGAGAAGCAAGGAATCCGGATTTTTTCTTTTGGTGGCGTTCGTTTTATTTTCTTGGGCTGGAATATTCCTGGTTGGTGTTGGGTTCGGTTGGCTTGGCTTGGCTTTTGGGAGGCGAAGCAGTACCTAGGAAAGAAGATTGAAGGATGAGATTATGACACAGCAAGAGAGCCTGGCGAACAGAGACCACGGGTAGAAACACACACAGCATCCAACAAAGAGATACCCCCGCTTCTTCCCTCTTCCTAGGAGGGATGCAATGCAAAATGTCATTTGAGGCTTTTGAGCTCAATTACAACCCTACCTTAACCTATGTAATTGTCAAATGATACTTTCTTTTCAAGAACAAATAGTTCCAGATACGTCATGTATGTCAACGTACCAGTCGAAACCCGGACGGTGATAGAACTATAGTATCTTTCTGCAAGGAGATGCTTGCGAAGATGCTTGTCTTGTGATCGGAGGTATACTACGCCGAAAAGCTTCAGTCATGTCACGCGAGAGTGTCCGAGGCAGACCTTTCGAGATTTTTTACTTACCTCCACCATTCGCACACCACAACACATCATAAAGGTCCAGCAATAGCAGTAATGGTCCTTTTCGGGCTTGATAGTCAAGTATTTATGTGTTGATTTCATTGGTATCATACCATTATTATCCTACACATAGGTAAGGTAGTCATCTCCCGTATGTTGGGAGAGCAAACTATATTCATCATCATTTGGGGGGTATCTTTGAAATCCTCGCCTATGTCAGATCAGATCAGATTCCGTGAACATTAAACATTCCATGTTCTTCTTTTCGTCCGTTCCTCTCTAGACATGTTGTCCTTGCCTCTCGCGCTCGGAGCTGTTATCGACCTTGCCACGTCGCTCACGTCCCTTCTCGGACCAGGGGAAGTGCACGACAGGGAGGATGAAGAAGGAGTTGCTGGTGTCTGCCATACCCGCGAGAGCGTTGTACCTGTGAGGGAGGTGTGGTTAGTACGGAGGTACACACTGAGAGGAACACGAAGTGAATAGACGTACCAAGCAGCGAAAGCAGCAACGATGCCAAAGGCTCCACCGGCGCGCAACAGGTGCGTGTGTGGAGCGCCGTTGGAGTGCAAGAGATATGCCAAGGCCAAGAAGAGGAAGGCCAGCATGAGGGTGAAGAACAGCAGACTGAAGGCCACCGTCGAGCGCAGCGTCAAGATCCAGAGCAGGAAGGTGAAGATGAACCAGCCAAAGAGGTAGAGGGAGAACGAGTTCAGGAAGGGATCGGGGCTCTCGGCTTCGAGGGTTTCCATGATTTCAAATCCACCGGGTGTCAGAATAATCGCAGTCCCGATCCAGAAACCTCCGTAGGAGGAAAGAGCAGCTAAGATCATGATCGGTTAGGACTTTCCTCATCTCTGCAGCGAAATAGAAGGAAAGACGACCACTTACTAGCACCAAAGGTATTTCCAATAGCCATCTCCCACATTCCCGCCAACAGCTGTACCAAACCACCATACGCAAACGCCGCACCAATCACCAAATTCGGCTCCGACAGACCTCGCGTACCCAAGTTAATCAACGAGAGCAGGAAGGTCGTCAACGCGAACCCACACAGCCCCAGAGGAGCTGGGTTCGCAATCTTTCGGTTGGTATCGACTTTGTAAAGACCCGGCTGCAATTCTCCACCAAACGAAGCCAAGCGCGCAGATTCGCCGCTGTTGGTGTGCGCGTGATAGAGAGGGTTTCCGCCGTAGTCGTAGGGTTTGCGCGCTTTGGCTCCGTCGAGTCCATTGGCGTGGTCGATGCCGTTGGAGCCGTACGACTTTTCGGCTTCGCCCATTCGGACGTCGTTTTGCTCTTGCGCGGTAGACATGATTGATGTATTTCACAATCCCAAAGAAGTGGAACTATGGGTATAGAAAAATTGGAGAAGAGGGCAAGCAGGGAGCAGAAGTGAGAGGGAGGAGGGATTAGAGTCTCTATATGGATGATGGGAGGGAACTCACTCTCGTCTATCTGGCAACGCGGTCCACAAAAGAAGAGGCGTAGCCGCTCGTTCGTTCGTCGAACGACAACCTAACTCCATACCCTCCATGCTCTCCAGTCGTCTCCTCCACAGCACAGACACCAAGCCACCCGTTGTGGAGTGGAGAAGTAGCTTCCGTTTCTCCACAAGACCGAGTAAGTCAATAATACAAAGAGCGGGCGGTGGAGAAGGGGAAACTGGAGAGATGACATTTTTTCCTCCATATGAACCAATGACGGCTCGAAGTGCCTCCAGATTCGGGAAGGATGAGCACGTGCAACAGAAAAGGGTATATGCTGGTGTCGATCGGTATGATCTACGAGTTCGCTCCTGTTGTGCCTCCTACTATGTCGGCAAGATACAAGCACAATTCGCTCGGACCATGACCATAAGGATGGGATGGCCAGACGTGCAGGCAGCACACACACTGACATTCACATAAGCAGGATAGTAGACGGAGTTCTGTCGCGTCGCAGCCTTTCCCTCTTTCTGGTAGCGTAGCGTACGTTGGATTGGAAAACATTGAACGAATTATTATTGTACACGCGTCTGGGAGGTACTGCATTTCACATGTATCCGTAGTCATGTGGAGGGAGTGACTCTTGTTGCAGCAGACGGTGGATCGTGGGTGGTGGCAACAGACTACGTAGAGAGTCGGTGTACTACACCGGCAACAAAGTATCCGGAAGCGAGTAGACACGGAGAGAAGGAGAGAAAGGAGAGAAGGAGAGGAGGAGATGCACAGAGCGAGGAGATAGATGCGTTGTGATCGGCATTCGGCATTCGGCAATGATGGAATCTTCTGCTGCTGTTGGTGCTGCTGCTGTGTGACTATCGTGATGAATCGTGCACGATCTTCTGTCTGTGTGTGTGTCTGTCTGCGAGAGAGGGAGAGAGAGAGAGAGAGAGAAAGAGACAGCAGCGCTGACGTCGTTCCCACCCTCCTCATCAGGTCCCCAGTCTCCAAGAATTGCACAAGCTTTTTTTACACAGTCAAGCTCCAGAGTTTCGATCCATGACAAATTTTCTTTCTTCGCATTTCCCCTTGCCGGCGCTAACTCGCTGAGGTGCAGCTGCCCCATGGGCTATGGGCTTCCTTTCTCTCTTATTAATTCTGATGATTTATAATATTAAATTTTGTTCGTATACCGAGGGAAGCGCAAACAATAACATGGGGGAGATCACCAGGAGATGAATAGTATAGATGAACTGTTATGGTGGCTCAGAATTACTGTACCTAAGGTATCTACCCACCTGCTACTCCCGTACGGTAGGACGTACCTTAGGTAAGTTGTAGAGTAATCCGAGGTCGCTGCAACGGACGGCGGAGCGGAAGCGGAAGAGGTTTTCCCTCTCTCAGCCTATCTCTCTGCTTACAACACACTGACCTTGCCTCTGTGCTTGTTCTCGGGGCTTGTTGCCATTCGACGTCTTCTCTCATCGCTTGTTCCTACGTGTGCGCATCGCACAGTATGTCTGGCCACTGCAAGACGCGGCATAGGGCAGCGGGCATAGTCAACAAAGAATACTGTATTCGCTTCTAGGACGCTGTTGTGATAGATGTCGCGATACATGGCCTCCGTCGTGGATGAGCAGAGACTCATAGAGCCATGATACGCTGCTGAAGTGGCGATGGCGATGGTGATGGTGATGGTGATGGTGATGGCGATGGTGATGGTTACGGCGATCCTCGTGTCGCTGTTGGTTTTGGTGCCAAGTATTCTAGAACCAGAACGGCAATGCCCTCCTACCATCCAGCCTATACCACCTTCTTCCTACACCTCAAGTCCTATGACGAGCATCGGTCGCTTCTTCATGATGTGACTCTCGTATTCAACACAAGACATCGCCTACGCGAACCTGGCCGACGCGTGACACAGAGAATGATACATTTTTCCGGGGGGAAGAATATCGCCTCAGCCATCGATGAGAGAAGGATGCATGCCTACTCGTACGATCGTACATTGGTTCGACAGGCCAAGGGTCAGAGCAACGATTGTTTGATCCTTGCTCTCGGCAGATGTGCAGGCTCGCATTCATGTCGCTCCAACAAAAGCGCTCTCCGCCGCAAAAGCTAGCTGCGGTGGTAGATGTCTTCGTTTTTCCACAAACTCGGCAGGAATCTAATCAGATCCGGGTCAAGATGAAGTGGAAACTGATCGTTCTTTTAGGCCTCCTCCCTTCATATGCTATAGCGTTTGCTCAGGTGTATTCGAAAGCATGGCTCTGTGCGGCAGGCTGTCGCCGAGCGGTGGACAAAACCGTCTTCGACGTGCCCAAAGCCGTCAAAAACAAATGTCATCCTCTCTACGCCCAGTCTCTGTTCGCCTGCATCGCCCAGTACTGCACTCGGCATCAGACTAAAGTGGGATTGCCTTCCATCAATGAGACCTACTGCAGCAGTCATGGATCTCCGCTGCCGCCCTACGACTTCACAGCAGCACATCAACTGCTTTCGGATAATGTCACTTGGGTCTCATATCCTGAGGTTCGCCATGGGAACTATACCACCCAAGTCGTTCCCGATCAGAACTTCTATCAACTCGCCTATGATACAGAGGTATGGAGCGACCGCCCTTCGAGTCCTGTGGCGTATGCATGTCGAAGGAAAGGTTTGCTAATGACACCGATTTATAGAATGCGAGCAATACCGCAACGACGTTCGATTGGGCCCTCGCGCATGTTCTCACCACCACATTCAGATGGGTGTGCAGCCGCTAACGTTTGCCATAGCATGAGCAACATCGGATTTTGGGCCCTCGTTCTCCTGATTGCCGCTAGTCTGCATCAACTGTCGTTACTTCGAGAATCTGCACGGAAATCACCAGATTTCGATGGGACCAAGTCTCCCGCATCGAAGAAGACCGGCAGCTGGCTCCAGCGGAATCTGTTGGTTGCATCAGCTTTGCCTCATTCCAGTGCCATGGTCCCGAACCGACTCGAGGCTCTCCTCGTGCTCGCGTACATACTCATGAACTTCGTATTCTGCTTCTTGGGATACAACTACATGGAGGTCAGCCTCCTGGAGTAAGTGCTACCTGAGGCTTTGTCGAAAGTAGGGATGGTGTAGCTGATAACACAACTCTCTTAGCTGGCACGCTGTTCAGTACGAACGCTTCATTGGCAACCGATGTGGCTTCCTGGTACTGAGTAACTTTCCTCTCGTCTGGTTGTTTGCGTCCAAGAACAATCCTTTCATCTGGCTCACACATTGGTCCTTTGACACATTCAACTTCTTCCACCGATGGATTGCACGGCTCGCAGTAGTGCTGGCGGTATGTCTTGGGAAGTTCCTCCATTTCTTGGTAGTAATCCATACTGACACTGCTCGTCCAGCTCGTTCATGCCATCTGTTACACCACGGGAGATTCTAAACAAGGCATATATATCAGATCGTGGAAGAGAGATCTATGGTATCGCTGCGGCATCTTTGTAAGTGCATGCATCTCAACCTGACTCTGGAGTGGCATGTCTGACGTTGCTGGTCGAAGGGTCTCATCACGATGAGCTTCATGGTATTCCTTTCCAGTCGATACTTTCGCAGACGCGCTTACGACTTGTTTCTGGCCCTCCACATCGGCATGGCTGCGGCGATATTGATTTTGATCAAAAAGCACTTGTCTCTGTGGAAGGGTAACACCAGGAGAGATTTTTGGGCATTTATCTGGACATGTGTCGCTTTCTGGGCCATCGACAGACTGGTACGATTCTTCAAAATCTTTTACACAATGCTGCGAACGGGCGGCCGGAGGATCAAAACCACTGCGACTTTTGACCAAGATGCAGGCATTATCAGGCTTGATGTGTCGTCCCTGTTTCACGAACAATCGGTTCCTCGACCTGGTGCCTACTATCATATCTACGAACCGAAGCAATGGCGCGGATACGAGAACCATCCATTCTCGTTGTGTTCCTGGAGTGAGAGTCCCACACCCCCGAGCACGATCCTCGCATTGGAGGATGAGAAGCACAAGTCCGAACCAACAGTGATGGATGTCACTGAAGACGCCTCCACAGATTCCAGGACAGCCACATCCGGAGCGGAGAGGAAAGTCTCGCGAAAACACACTTTCCTGATCCGCCCACAAGCCGGCTGGACACAGAGACTGGCAAAGAAGCTCTCTTCCTCCGGTATAAACTCCACGCAACTCACCCTCCTCTACGAAGGTCCCTATGGCCAACAAATAACCTTGAATCGCCACTCCGACACCCTCATGATCCTCGGCGGAAGCGGCATCACCGCTGCCATCTCACACATCTCCCATCTCCTCGAAACTTCTCCCCACCACCAGACAGTCCGCATCCTCTGGGTCGCTCGTACTTGGTCTTTTTGCCATGCCATTCTCCAAAACGAACTCGCCCATCTTCTCCAATCTCATCATGATACTCATAAACTCCAGCTCGAAATCTACCTCACGGCAGACGACGAGAAGTTACCATCACCTCCCTCAGCAACAGCCAACTACAAAGTCTTCGCCGGCCGACCGGATATCGAAAAAGCAATTTTCGAATGTCGTGACCACGCTGCGAGAGACCTGGGAGTGTTTTGCTGTGGTCCGACTTCCATGGGGCTGGCTTGTCGGGATGCTGTAGGAAGAGTGTTGAAAGATAATGGCCAGCAGCAGGGTAACAAGGATGTGAGGTTGTATTATGAGAGTTTTTCGTGGTGAGTGAGGGGAGGGTGAAGTCAGTAAGGTGCTAGATGGGTAGGTAGTTGAGAAATTTGGTGAGTCTGTGAGAGAGGAAGAGGGAGATTTTTGAGGTGGAGGGTTGATGTGTTTGTGCGGTATATGTATGCGTAGGGTAGGTACCTAAGGTGTCTTTGCCAATTTATCCTCATGTTGGTTCGATACCTTACCCTTACCTACCGACCTGACCTACCTACCTTGCTTACCATCCATTGATCCATCCATTCAATCATATCTGATGCGATTTTCGAAACAAAAAAGAAAAAAAAAACCAACTTCCTTCCCCCCATAGAAAACATGACCGAAGAGAGAAAAAAAAAGAAAATCCGGATTTTTTGAAAGGAGACTTTTTTGCCCCATGTTCGTTCTTTCCAACTAGGAGGTACATGTACCTTCTATGTCAACCTTACCTACCTTACCTACATTGGGTACATACCTGGCTGTGTTGGTGTTGTTGGAGTTGGAGTTGGAGTTTTTCTTTTTGGTATATAAGGTATCTTCTCTAAAGTAAGTTACCAGGTACTTGACGAGATGTATGCAAAATCGAGGCAAGATCGGGTCAAAATCGGGTTCTGAAGAGGTTCGCAGCAGCAGCAGCAGCAGCAAGGTTGGCAGGATCTTTCTCACTGCCCACAAGTCCACAGGTATACACACAGGTACACACACCCACACCCACACACACACACTCTCTCTCTCTCTCACACACTCTCACACTCTCTCAGACACACACTCTCTCACTCGCTCACTCACTCACTCACTCACTCGGACAGCTTTTCTACGAGATAAGGAGGTCGATAATCCTTCATCTCACCTTTCCATTCCGGAAAGCCAAAGACACCCATGGCACTGTCTTCTTCGACCCAGGGCTTGCCCTCTCGCTCTTCGTACTCGGCGATGAGTTGTTTGGTTCGGTTTTGTCGCACGTCCAGGAATTTGCCTATATATATATATATTTGTCATTTCACGTGGTCAGCTTATTTGTTTGTCTTTTTCTTTCTTTTTCTTTCTTTTTCGGTGTTTGTGGTTGAGGAAGGATCATCATCATCATCATCATCATCAAGATCTCGGTTGTCAAAGAAGAAATGTTTTCGACTTACGCAAGGTCCATATGTTCCGGCAGACGTGTTTTTGATCCGAGTCGATGAAATGATGCTCAGTGGTGTGCCATCTGCGTTCGGGTATGGGAGTCAGGTCCATATTGCATTGGACTGATTGTCGAATAATGTCTAGGCAGTGGTCTGGACGACGTGATCAGCTATGTGTTCATCTATGTGTGTATGAATACATGTCGTCGACCCTTCTCTCTCCCTACCTTCGTGATAACGTTGATACTCGCTGTCCTCGGCCTTTCCAGATCTGGCCTGGTCGAGTGCTTTGCCCACTACCCACTATAGAAAGATTGTTAGGAACAAGACGCGGCGCAGTCTCATGATTATGGTCATCATTATCAACAACAACAACAACAACACATCAGATCATGGTTGTATGTGGTACTTACAACGCAGTGCAGGATATGAAATCCATCAAGTCCAATCCACCACCCCAGCGCGGTGTGATAGTACTCCTTATAGTTGTTCGGATAGATGGCTTTCATTTCGTCTTCAGTGACCAGAAAGTATCGATCACGCAGTAGTTCATGCCAATTGTCCCGGGCTTCGGTAGAATTTCCAAGGTATTGCTTGTAATCTCGGTTGTACTCTCTGTATACGATATCTTGTGTCTCAAAGATGGGTGTGCCGGTGAATTTGACAATGTCTCGCTCAATCCAGCTTTCAGCGGCCTCTGCAAAACGCCATTTTCAGCCAAATGATTACTGGCTGGCCTCGATGCCTTCGTGGCTGGACTTACTGAATTCGAGATCCTTCAGTTCAATCCCTCTGAGGTCAGAAGGATTGACAAGCGCATTCAGCCACAGGCTTGCCAATGAAGCTGTCAAGACCCAAGCTATGAGGAGGTATGCTGCTCGGCACCACGTCAGCAGCACGCCCGATCGTCCATGACGTATCCGGGCCTCGAGTTCCTGTGGTTCTAACAGTTTCTCCATGGAGTCTGAGGCTTGTGAGTCTTGGGTGAGCGAGACATATCGGTGTGGTTTGAGGAATGAGGAGAACTTTTCCATGGTGCACAGCTTGTTCGAGAGCACGAGTGAGTAGAAACAGCAGAAGGGAAGCTCGAGAATTCATTCACTCATGGCTGCTGCTGCTGTCGATGTTGTATCATTGGGGCAGCGGTTAGACCTCACCTCCCCCGTCCTTCTCCCCATGAGGTCTCGCTAGAAGTCGGAGCTTGAAATGCTGCTCAGGTGAGTCTGCCGATTGCCGTAGGGGTGGATGTGTGTAGGATGAATGCATAGGGTTTGCCATAGCAGCAAGGACCAGCCTTGGTCCAGCTCGCAAACGCATCATCAGACAGCTTTTGAGCCTGGTCGTGCCTTCGTGCTCCCCTGATTAGTCGATGTCATGATTTCAGCAGCAACATGTTGGTGTCAGGGTGGGGGGAGGTGGGAGGTGGGAGGTGGGAGAGTAAGGTAGAGGTATGGGAGGTAAGGTACCTAGGTACGGAGGTAGCTTAGACCGTGGAGGCTCGCTAAATTACTGGCCGAACATCGGAAGTGGTTGCCCACGCTTATCAGATCCGTCTATGGACGGGAAAAACTCGGCTGACCGGGTGCATCTAATCAGATTACCCCATCCCATCTGATAAGATTCTCCTCCACCCTTGAACGCCGCAGGGGCATGGAAATCTTCGCCATCCTGGCGCCGGAGCTTGTCTCGATCGCACGCTTCAACAATGCCATATCATACCATACCATCAGCTGTCTGCAACGCTAGCAGAAACGCACACCAAGGGCCATACCATACCATACCATCGTACTTGTGACGCTGACGGCTCTTGACCCTCCCCGCATCCGTCAGCTGCTCGTCGTGTTGCACCCAGAGCCATGTCGGCAATGTAGCTCCCATGCAATGAAGCAGCGTGGGAGAGCCATTCATGGTGGGAGCGAATGCCTCGAACTTCCGCAGTGGACAATGCAACTCTCCAGACCTCATGACAATAGGGACAGGACAGCACAGGCATGCTGCTGCTTAGGGCTCAACATGGCAAGCCGTCCGAAGAAGGCCATGGATGAAGACCCAAGTCGCCAGGAGTGAGTCTCTCGTTTGCCAGCTACATTACTCAGGGCATGAATATGATCACACTGCTGTGATGCTACTAATGCTGCTACTCCAGAGCTGCCCTGAGGCCTTGTGGTCTCTCCAAACACGCGAAACAAGCCGCCAAAGCACTAATGGTCCGCAGACCTCGTTGAGAATTTGTACCTCCTACCCTCAGCAGACAGATGGACTCAACTACTTGCCTCAGAGCACGAAACCTCAGCTTTCCACATCCAATGCACCTTCCCATGTTGTACCGCCGCATTCGGCGTAATCCAGGCCGCAACACATCATAGGCTTGCAAGGGGTATGGCCTCTTGAATCGCATGTTGCATACTATTATCCTTACTCGCTGAAGCAAGAGACAGCAAAATGTAGTCTAGCCATCAGCATCGGCACTTGCCGTACGAGCACATTCGTATGCGGATCAAGTCACTGAGAGCGAGGCCCGAAGGTCGGCGCATCGATCATGGACGAAAGCATCGATCACCGACGCCAATGCAAAGAGAATAAGTCGTCAGCCTGCACGTGGCCATCGATATTTCCAAAAAGGGCGTAGCTGTTGAGATGACTGGGTTGAGCTACAAGCGACCAAGTTTGTTCGTAGCACGCTCAACGGACCACTGAGCTCGACATCGCCCTAGTATCGATCACTGCCTCCAGAGGTGACCCGAGGAGAGATGGCAGAGCTCTCCATCTTGCCGAGAGCGCCGCCGCCGCCGCCCCTTCGTACCGTTCGTTTCTCTTAGCAAACATTGAGGGGAAAACCGAGGCCACAGGCTCATCTGGTAGATGTAAGACTACCTCATTCAGGGAATCCTGCCCAAGCGTACTCTCCTTGACCATGACCCAACACTCCAGAGGGTTGATTCACCCGAGACCGACCTCCTTGCCAAAGCGTCCCGAGCTCTGCCATGCTCCAAGTTGACTGCGTTGTCGTCGACTATGGTCTACAGGGTACACCAGAACTCTGCTCGGCCAGGAGCAATATATAAACGCCCTATGAAGACAGCGCACTGTCGAAGATTGTCTCTCTCTCAAGTCCACATCGGGGCACAACAAACCGCTTCTAGTATCCTTTGCTCAACTTTCCTTCGAACTACCTTCACCATGAAAGCAGCGACTCTATTCGCAGGGCTCTTTGCCATTGCTTACGCCGCTCCGTTAATGTCAATATTCTGAATCCTCCTCATTTGTCGACCTCGGCTAATTATTTACAGGGCCCCGGAGCTCAATGCTCGCAATGAAGGTAAGTGCAAGATCTACTGTTCGAACCAAATTCAACAAGAGACAACTGACTGGCTCAACAGTATCGCCTACCGAATTCGCCAAGCGCGGTGATGGACGTGACGGTGGACGCGACGGTGACGGACAATACATCGCCAAGCGTGGCGATGGACGCGATGGTGGACGCGACGGTGATGGACAATACATCGCCAAGCGCGGTGACGGACGCGATGGTGGACGCGACGGTGATGGACAATACATCGCCAAGCGTGGTGATGGACGCGATGGCGGACGCGACGGTGACGGACAATACATCGCCAAGCGCGGTGATGGACGCGATGGCGGACGCGACGGTGACGGACAATACATCGCCAAGCGCGGTGATGGACGCGATGGCGGACGCGACGGTGATGGACAATACATCGCCAAGCGCGGTGATGGACGTGACGGTGGACGCGACGGTGACGGACAATACATCGCCAAGCGCGGCGATGGACGCGATGGTGGACGCGACGGTGACGGACAATACATCGCCAAGCGTGGTGATGGACGCGATGGCGGACGTGACGGTGACGGACAATAGAGAGGTATCCACGAGCAACTTTCGCTCCACGACGGCGAAGGCTGGGAAAAGCAAGTACCGCGTACTGGAGGAGGTCATGAGTTGGGGGGCCTTGAGTCTTGAAGAGGAAAAGTGGGCTAAAATACATGTATGGCAATGTCATGACGTATGGCGATAGTGATATGCCTATAGCTCAACCTGTAGGCTGTAGGCTTTGTAGTAGGAATGATGATGATGATGATGATGATGATGATGAAGCAGAGGAAAAAGATGTGATGTTGGTTGTATTTTGCCATAATCTTTCCCTCAATTCTCAGAGCACTCACTCATTCACTCAACTGACCAATCGCGCTCCAAGCTAAACACGTGAAGTTCTTGGTTTTTTTTCTCCTTCTCCACGTGATTTACCCTGGACTCGGTTTTTCTTTTCATCTCGAAAGTAAGTCAGTGAAGTCCATCATCATGCATGATAAACCTACCTTACCTTATGTAAGGAACCTGGGGACTTGAAAACCTTTATACAATAAGCCAGCTAGCTAGCTAGTTGGTCGGAAAAATAAATCCATCCAATCGATTAGGTAGGTAAGGTAGGTAGGTAGGTAGGTAGGTAGGTAGGTAGGTAGGTAGGTAGGTAGGTAGGACAAAACTTTTTCTATTCGGCAACTAGAATTTTCTTCGTATAGGCTGATTTTTCTTTTATTATCGATATATGTTAATCAGGAATCAGTCGGTTGTTTATGTATATACGTATGAAGATAAGAGGAGGAGGAGAAGGTTAGTCTGTCTCTGTCTAGATAGATCGATCAGTTTGAATTTTGTTATGGCCTGAATTGCGTCTCATCGAAATTCTGCTCCGTATCTGGCCGATAGGTTTGATATCGGCGGCAATGTCAGTCAGTCAGTCAGTCAGTCAGTCAGTCAGTCAGTCAGTCAGTCAGCATCAGTATTATAGTATGTCTTAGTAGCGGGAGTTTATGGTTCTATGCTGATCATTGAGAAGGGAACGAAGGCGGAGCCGAAGCCGAAAAAAAGGCATATGTACCTAGGTAGTAGGTACCTTTGTCATCACTACCCTGTCGACGAGAGGCAAACGTGTGGTGTGATGTGTACCTATACATGCAACCAAGGGTTTGGGAGGGGGATTTTTTTTTGCTCAAATGCACTCACGAGGTACCTCCTAGTTGGGGGGTTGGGAGACATGTGTCTCTCTCGCTCTCTCTTTCTTTCTCTCTTACTCGAAGCTGCTCGTCATTTACGGCTGGTCCTGGAGTTTTGCTCAGATGCACGCACGCACCAACTTGGTCCTCCACATTCGACAATGATACCACAGCCGGCATGACTCGCGTATCGTAATGTCGCATGTATCTGGCGGATTTCGATGCAGGATCAGGGTTGCAGATGAGTTGGCTTGCCCTACAGACTGTCGTAAGTTCGAAATGCTGTCTTATCGAAGTAAAATAATTATGGCAATAGTGTGTTGATCCCGCGAGCGGTGATCGAAGGCAGAGCCTGGTGAATATTTCTTGTGTAGTCCAAGAAACAGTACTGCTCGTGAGCAGGAGAGCCATCACGCTCTCACAGTCGCAACGCATCCATTCTCGCCAGTCCACTAGACTATAGTCTTGCCGAGCGCTAGCGAATTCGATTTATCACAAGACTCAACGTCGGCAGAGTCCACGATACGGATCTGGTGGCGAGAGCCGCATTCGATGTTTATCAAGTATGTCTGATCCGTACTGACTCGACGCGGACCTAATCCTATCGTCCAGTGACCAAGGACGCTTCCTGCGTGTCGAATCCCTTTGCATATTGCAATCCCATCCTTGTTAGGTTCCTCCCATACTTCGAAATCGCCTCTTAGTGTCAAAGAGAAACTGTAGGCAGTGAAAGAAGGGCAAGAAGGCTCAGGTAGTAGCTTCCGATGTGGCAGAATATACTTCCGAGTGCAGAAATCTGTACTGTTACTGTAGCTTCGTGATATGGCATCGCTGAATGCCTCAACGGCAAGTATCAAGGGCTCCAGTTTGGTCGTGCGACGATTGAGCCAGATATGCTGGATATTCTTGAAGACACTCATTATCGAGTAGTTTGCCTGATGGGTTTATGGTATAGAAGGTAGTAGTATAATGCATAAGGTGAAGATGCGTCTTCCTTGTTGTATAAGGCACGAGAAGTTTGTTATAGCAACAACATCCCTGCAAAAGTGCATCAGGCATAAACTACACCCAAAAATTGGATTGCACATTCACTTACTTAGAGGACTAGACCTTACTTGTTTCCATACGACCAACTCCTCCTATCTTACTTGCTACATTCTCCGTATGTGTATCACAGAAGTAGCGAGTTTCTGCAAGGGGCTGGTAGCTCAAACTCAAGAACTTGGCTCGTTCAGATTCTCTTCAAGCATTCCTAATTTACGCGCTATCTATGAAGCAAGTAGTTGTGGCCTTAGCTGCGGTATATAGGGCCTGAATGCTACTTTCCGTACGGCGTGATGCCTTTAGAGACTGGAAACATGTTCAAGATAACGGAAACGTTCGGGGTTCCACTCTGAATCCACCTGTTCGTGTTCCATTCCAACGCAACAACTTCGGGAGTTTCGAGGTATCATGTTGTACAAGACGCACTCCAAACGCAATAAGGATCAGTACCTAGACTCTAGTCATCGTGTTCCTTCCAACGGGGGAAACGGAATGTCTTTCGTTGCATGAACAGAGAACAACAGGAACACAAGTAGTGAGCTGTCCTGCTGTCAGAACCTCACCACGACCGGAATACTTGCAGCCTTTTACCTTCAAATATGCACTCTGAACTCATTGACACAGCCGCCGCACTCATTGCCTTTCTTGATGGCTTGGGAGAGTGCAAAGGTCAGCCACCAAGCCTTTACGTCGACCTTGAGGGTAACAACCTCTCTCGAAACGGCACGCTGTCTCTAATCACAATACTGGTCGAACCTCAACAAAAAGTGTACTTTGTCGATGTCACCACTCTGAAGGAGGACGCGTTCGACGCTACAGGATCTAAGAAGCGTAGCATCAGAAGCATCCTGGAGTCGAAGGAGATTATCAAGGTCTTTTTTGATATCCGAAACGATTCGGACGCACTCTTCAGCCTATACGGTGTGCGTGTTGACGGTATTGAGGATCTCCAGCTTATAGAGCTGGCCTCGAGGGATTTCTCGAAGAGGTGTGTTAGCGGCCTGGCTAAGTGTATCGAGAAAGACTCTGCAATTGGATACGTCGAGAAACGAGACTGGCAGCGGGTCAAAGAGAGAGGTCGTACGCTGTTCGACCCCGCTCGCGGTGGCAGTTATGCTGTGTTTGACCAACGTCCGATGGACCCAGAAGTGATAGAGTATTGTACTCAGGATGTCAGTCTGATGCCACATCTGCGTGAGATCTACTGCAGAAAGCTCTGCGATGCATGGTGGAAAGAGGTCGCAAGCCAGACTAGAATACGCATTGAGCAATCGCAGATGCCAGATTACAACGCGAAAGGACCCGATAGGGCGATTGGGCCAGTGAAATGGATGCATTGGCGGCCAACACTCGCTGAAAAGAACGTACGGACCTTATTCAAGATCAGTCGTCCTTGAAGGGACGCAGAAGCAGTAGCAGAGGCTCAGACAGAGTTTTCGTCGACTGGAGTGGCGCTCACATCCAGTTTCCAGGTGTGCTTAGATGATTGTGGACTAGTAGTGGTTCTAAGTAGTGAGATGAAAAACAATGTTTCGTACGACTATTCAACTAACTTATAACTTACACTTCCTACCACTTCGGAATTTCAACGATCTGCTGGTATAGGATCATCCGTGACCAGTCGACCGCTAGTGTCATCAAGAGAGTCGATGCTGCCATGTCGGTCTAGAAACCAAGGATGCTGTAACGCCTGGTAGGCAGAAATTCGTCTCGCGGGGTCCAAATTCATGAGGCCTTTTATGAGGTCTATGAATTGCTCGTCGCAAAGTTCTGACCACTCCGAAAACGGTTTGTATGGAATACCATCCTGGTCTCGATCTTCCCAGAGCATTGAGAGGACTTGGCAGTTCACTTCCTCATCACCAACATGAGTCATAAGCCCATTGAGACCTTCCGAGTCTCCAAAGTAGGATACTTGACGCTGCAGCCGTATCATAGCTGGTAAAGCTCCTTGCGTTTCGTGGTGTGCGAAATCTTCGTCTGGCCCGCATATGACACGGCCAAGGATAGCATAGATGCACTTAGCAGGATCAGCACGAGCAGTATGATCTATGTCTGCACGCTCAAAACAACTTACTACCAGACCAAAAGAAAACATGTCCGATGGCTTGTTCAATTCCCCTTTGAAGTGGGCCTCTGGGCTGCGCCAGTTGTCGTTCCCAGCGAGCATTCCTTTAATGCATCTGCCCTTGGGCAAGTACGCTGCGTTCTCCAGATCGGTCAGCTGAACCTGCTCGATAGTTGTGGTATGAGCGGTCCGTCGACATTGAACCATGATATTGTCGGGTTTGATGTCTGATAAAAGAAATCAGTTCTAGATCGGAATGAGAGGAGACAGTTGTGTACCTAGATGGACAACATCCCTTCCGTGTAAGTGGGATATAGCCTGGAGAGTAGCTCGCAGGACTTTTCGGCAGGCTTGTATCGGTAGTCCCTTTCGAACCAAATGCAAAAAGTCATCAGAGAGGTATTTGTATACAAACACGCGCTGATCTGGTATGGTATCGAGCGGCACCCGCAGTGATGTGGTTGACATCTTGCTCAATTGCGGCAGTATTCGTGCGTTGAAGTTGCTGAAGATGTTGACAGGAATGTCCTTCAGGACGAAGATATCCTGTCCAGACCTACCTCGCAAAAAATCTCAGTCGGCAAAATGCAAGGCAGATGTGCGGTGAGCTGCCTACGAAGCTGTCCAAACGCGACCAATATGTGGTCGCTCCTGGAGAATATTCATGAAGCGATAGCGACGTCCCGTCGCGCCAATGAGCTCGCTGGGCAAGGATGCCATTCTGACAGTTGTAGGAAGCATGTCGGTGCTGCGTAGGTAATGAAGGATAAAAAGACGAAGGATAAAAAGACGCAGGATGTTAATGTAGCATACAGTATACAGGCACCCGCAGCAAACGGGGAGGTGGATGGGGAGGTTGATGCCTGAGGCCAACATCTTACGGCTATGCTGATAGCTACTCAATTGACAATTATGGATCTCAATTTTACACTTCAACACGTTTGAGAACTCAGACACTGCATCAATTCAATTCTGTATCTCTACTAGCATCAACTACGAGCGAGCTTATTCAGCTCTTCTTCTACTACAGATGGTCGTATCGCGAGTACCGTCTAAGGAAGACTTCGTCAAGCCTCTGGTCGAACTTGCTAGACCGAGGAAGCAATACTACCTGAGCATTACTGTACCTATACGAACATGCCACTCCGGTAGCAGACGACCCATGTGGTAGATGTCGGTGCTTCTTTCCGGGTGGCCGGTCCTCTCCGTCGAAGATACCAGGTAAACAAGCACTTGCTTGCCTGCTATCTGGCAATACGCCGGAAGAACTCTTTACAAGGCTCGAGTCGGCGAAGACTCTTCGCGATCCAGTCGATAGCGCGGAACATGGAATAAAGCAAGAAAGGCAGCTAAGACTACAAGACATAGCAGGATTAAGAAGAAATCTTCACCTCCTAGAAGAAGGTTATCCCTAGACAAGGATGAACTGAAGCAATAGTAAAGAAACTCAACCTCAAGGTCTAGGCTCTAGAGAAACAAAGGCTAAGAAAGGCAGGCAAGAAGGCATTTGCTACCTCAGAGGAAAAAGGATCCCCTACAACTTCAGAAGCATCTTATCCAAGTTCTGATAAGGATGTTGATGAAGTTGCCGATGCAAATGTAGAATCAAAAGGCAAGTTTCTATTATTAGAATGGTTGCTTGATGCCTGTGCTTCATAATACATAAATGACTAGAAGTCTCTCTTTAGGGAACTAAGTCCCCTCTAGAGAAAGATTTGGGTCTAGGTAGGTAGAGGGTACCTCTAATATAGGAACTGCAGTAATAGAAGGAAAGACAGGGAAGCAAACCAGGCTCAACTAACCTAGCTAAGCACCAGTTAGGAAACCATTCGGAAGGCCTCCTAGGAAGCAAGATCCCCTACCTGCAAGACCCCTGTTTGTGCAAATCCCTTCTCTACTAAAGGACAAAGGAGAGTACCAGAGCGTAGAGGGTCCAGAGAAAGAGAAAGATAAGGGACCAGCCTAGGAGGGGACTCCTAACTAGCGTAGGAGGATGGCTTCCAATAGGAACAGAAGGCCTAAACAGTCCAGGACTAGGGGGGAACATCCTAGGGTCTGAAGAGGAGGAGGTCCACTTCAGCATGCTCTGGAGTCCATATACATGCCTTGTAGCAGAGAATATTGCCTGTCCCCAAAGCTTCGCCAGCCTGGTTCGACCTAGAAGCGTCGGCTATCCTTATTGGGGCGAGCTTTGCAACTCGTACCCTTAGCATACTCGGAGGATGTGCCGATGCATTCAATGACCTTATGGTCAGATCGGGCTTGCCGACTGCGACTACTTCATGTTATAAGAAGCAGTCCCTCACCTCGTAGACAATCCTTTCCCTCTCTACCTACTCAAGCTAGCACAATCGACATCACTTTCGAGCGCAACAATCAACAGTGTCTCTACTACTTCCTTCACTCTATCCAAACATAGTCCTCCGAACGGGCTAAGCAATTACCGTAGAGATGCGTTTCTCTCTCATCGTCTTCCTCGCGGCCGCCGTGTCTGGTCTCTCGAGTGACCCGAAGGGAAAATACGGAGAACTTTTCGCTCGGGATTGCCAAGATCCACGTAAGTAGCCCACGTGCATAACTTCGGCTGAGGTGGTCCTATACAACAAACGGCTGACTTGGGAATAGCCGTCTGCTACAATAACGGCGACTGCTGCTCCAGCTGTTGCGACAAGAACGCTGGAGTTTGTTGCAAATATGGGTGCACTGAGTTCAACACCTGCAAGACCTAATGGAACCTTGCTACGGGTGGTGGTAAGAAGCACTTCACTTTCTACTCGTCAAACTGAATCTAGGTCCTCTGTTCTGATAGGGATACAGGTAGATCGCAAAGAACTGCATCAACATCGACTTCGAGACGAGGAAGGACCGATCTAGCGCACTTACGAAACTGCGCACATATTCGAGCGGGCAATGAGACTTGTGGCGGATATTTATGCTCCATATTGTTGTACTTAAGTGCTCGAAAATACACTCATTTGACTCCAGTTGATGTGAACGTGTCGTTGATTACCTTTGTACGGAAGGAGAGGTAGAAACAAAAGGTAACCGTGCCAAGCGGCCGCACTACTGAACGGTGTTCCGCTCCGCATATGCATTTGACGCCTCGGACACAGGAACGACAGCTACTCCTACGTGCTAGCCGTGAACATCATCAGTTTATTGGCGTCATGTGGCCAGATTGGATCCCACGCTGAGCACTCAGTTTCCCACCTCGCCGCTAGTTGCCATGCGCAGCCATCGTTCCATGCACCCTATAAGCCTCTTGCATGCTGCGCGCCGGCAATTCGTAGATCGGGAGAGAGTACAGTCTACTGTCCAGAATCCAACCGTACCATCCGCGTATCATAGCCAGCAGCGAGCTCCGAAACTCACTTCCGTCCTCTCTCCCCCGTCATTCAACTACTGCTCGAACCGCAACGTCTGGATCCTATCAGTTCCTCCAGATGATACGCCGTGCTAAGCCCTGTTCGCACCCGCGCCTACGCACTGGCCAACTGTTGCTTTTGTAGTTGTTTAGTGAAAGTGTAATGCATGCGCTCCTAAGAAACCCCTGCAACAGACTATGAACCGTGAAGTCGGCGTGAACGCCGAACGTAACGATGCATTGGTCGCTCCCATTCGACATCGACAAGGGAGACCGCAAGCCGTAAGCCGTAAGCATTTTGTTGCTCGTATACGATAGAATGGCAGGCAGACGCGGCAATGCCTGTATATTGTCCGAACTGACTCCGATGGTATTGTGTAAGTCACGGTCGACTCTACCGCGGATAAGCATTGATGTCCATCCACATTGAGCGATTCTGGATTTCTAATGACCTGTGCGAGGCCATCGATACGATTCAAGTCCTACGTTTCCAGGCGCTTCCTCAACTCCTCGTCTATGATATTGTTCAGCTTCTTGCGGTTTTTCAGATTGAGGGCACCTTTACTTACGCCAGGCCTGGCACAATTGTTCGAGCCCCTAACCCTGTAACGTCGCTGGCTCGGCCTCGACCGACAAAGAGGGACGCTAGCGAGCGTCTACTCTATGCTTCTAGTCGAAAGGTATAAATATCCGCTTAGTAGTACGGGCCAAATTGGTACAGGACGACTTCGCTTCGGAAGGGAAGAAGGGAGTGAAGTGGACGTCAATCTATGAAAGAGGGCTGGAAATCCTAGAGAGCGCACGTTCTAATTGGCGCATCGTTTGTAGTGGGGCGCGCTAAAGCAACTAGACCTAATGTGTCTCTACCCTGCAGCGCCTGCGCGCATCGGAGTTTGATCCGGCCAAACCGTAGACTCCGCGGTATAGGTGCACATATATCCGCTATTTCGAATACGGTAAAACCAGGCCTCCAAATCACTCTGTTACAGTCTGTATACAGAATTTTCCGAATACTGGAATCGCTAACTGCAATCGTCGGGGGCTAAATCCTCTGTTCGAGCGTATAGTAGGAGGTTTCTACAGTATGTCGCTTCGGTGGAATCCAACTCCGATGCGCGTAGGCGCTGTAAAAAAAGCCCGCCGTAGGCGCAAAGAAAAGAAAAAGCCCTACGTAGTAGCCGCTAGATGCACCTACCTTACCTGCCTACCTACCTGCCTGCCTACCTACCTTGCCTAAAAATTTAGAAGAGAAGGACAAGGACAAGGACAGGGACAGGGACAGGGACAGGGAGGAGCAGGAGCAGGAGCAGGAGGAGGAGATGGAGATGGAGATGGAGATGGAGATGGAGATGGCAGATAGAGATGGAAATGGCAGATAGAGATGGAAATGGACAGAGATGGAGATAGAAATGCCAGGAAAGAAGAAGATAGAGAAAAGAAGATAGAGATGCCGTGGAAGACAGACAGAGATGCCAAGGACGAGATAGAGAACGGAAAACCGAAATTAGCACACATTCCATACTACCAACGGGCAGGCCCGTAGGACACACTACGTTCTAGCTAACAACAGCATCGGACAGTAGAAGGTCTACTAGAGATCTATAGATAGATCCCTATTCGAATTTTCGGCCGCTTGGTATTCGAGCTCTGGCAGGAATTTGAGGCATCATATACGTCAAAGTTTCTTGACGTCACATCAATCCAATTCATCTTCATTGGTCTAGTGGTCATGATTTCCGCTTGTCATTGTCTCAATCCAAGCGCGGGAGACCTGGGTTCGATTCCCAGATGGAGAGACGCCAACAGTCCCAACTTTTTTTGTTTTTTCGTTTTGTGACCTTCCCTCCCGCAATGCGCAGTATGAGAGGCAATCGGGACCAGAGTTTGAGAGGAGTCATGTCTTTCTTTTTCGTGGGATCCCCAGGCTGGCGTGAAGGAGCCCGAACTCAAGTGCCTATCACTTCACGATAGGCATAGGGCAAGCCATGACAAGGCCCAGCTCCACTGACACTTACTTGCACCGAACACCTTCACAACTTTGGTAAATTTTGCTTCAGGTCCACTAATATAAACATGACCATGACGCCGTCGAAGCCAGAACAGAGCATCTTGATCGTCGGAGCCGGCGTCTTTGGAGCCTCCACAGCATACCACCTCGCCTTACAATATGAAGATACATCTAAGATTACAGTCATTGATCGAACATTACCATCGCCCGAACCAGCAGCGAGCACGGACATCAACAAGATCATTCGAGCAGACTATAGCAGTGCTTTTTATGCTGAGCTTGCGTATGAAGCCATCGAAGCGTGGGCGAATTGGCCCGAATTGAAGGATTACTATCATCGTACGGGCTGGGTCATGTTGGACACCGAAGACAGTGATATGGTGGATCAGATTCGGCAAGTGTTCAAGAATAGAGGGTTTGATCCTACTGAAGATATTCCCTTGGACAAGCTCAATGACCACTGGAAGGGTATTTTAAAAGGCACAAACTTGCAAGGCTTCGACAAAGCATACTGGAACCCCGAAGCCGGATGGTGCGATGCTTCTGCTGCGACAGCGAGTATTATGAACGCTGCCATTTCCAAAGGTGTGAAATACGTCGTGGGAGAAGTTGATCAAATCCTTCTCGACGAGAGCAAAGTTACAGGGATCCGAACCACAGAGGGAGAAGACCTCACAGCCGACACCATCGTTCTCGCCACTGGTGCCTGGACGAGCAGTCTCCTCTCCCCGATCGAAGACATCCTCTCCATCGCCGAACCCGACCGCGTCGAAAGACAACTCACGGCCGCTGGCGTCAGCGTCGCACATTACAAAATGTCCTCTGAGGAAATGACACAACTCTCCGACATGCCTGTCGTAGTCTACGCAGAGCATGGCGAAGTCATCCCTCCACCACAAGAAACCCAGCTGTTGAAATTTACGAACGCGCATACGATTAAAAACACCATCGTCACCCCTTCCGGTTCTCACATTTCTGTCCCTCCCCCAAATCGAGACCAACATCTCGTCCCAGAAGTCTTGAAAAAAGAAGCGATAGAAATCATGAGCGCAAAAGTCATGCCCACATTCACAGCTTCGGGTGCCCGAGATGTCGCATATTGGCGTTTATGCTGGGATTCGTATACCCCGACGCAAGATTGGTTACTCTGTCGAGCGCCTCATGCACGATTGGGGAATTTGTTTCTAGCGACCGGGGGCTCGTTTCATAGTTATAAGTTTTTGCCGATTGTGGGGAAGTATATGGTGAATGTGTTGAGTGGGAAGGGGAATGGGGAGGTGAAGGATCGGGCGTGGGAGTGGAAGAAGAGGATGGATGGAGATGAGAAGACGAGGGGGGCGCATGAGAGTACGGCGCCGAGGAGGGAGTTGAGGGATTTGGAGTGAGAGGGATGGGGGATTGATGGAAGATGGAATGTAATGCTCAAGTCTTTTATCAAGGGAGTTTGGCCATCTCGGGTATCGATCCAGATGCCGCTCGTCAGTGAAATAGCTACGGCGCGAATGGACCTTACGTCGGATATCCCCACTGTTGAGTGATATGCGGATCAATTCTTTCCGACTCGAGAATCAAAGTTTTCCATCACTTCAGCAATTTTGGGGTTGGTGTCGTGCATCCAGGACAGCTCGGGTGCTTCAAAGTGTTCATGCTGTGGTAGACGTGCTATTTGGGGATGATGAGATGGAGTAATCGTCTAGAAGACCATATGTGAAGCCGTGATCTCGAGGAACGGAGGCACCAACAGGGGTTGGTGTCGCTCGTAGCTCTTCCGAGCAATTTACAGGGAAAACATGGGTCACCATTGCAGCGATTGGAAAGGCGTGTTGGAGACGTTGCTGTAGATGGAGCAGGAAGTTTCAAAGCAAAAGAGAAAGATGGTTTGCAGAAACAAAGACTTTTGCTCTCACCTACCGCTTCCGGCAGTCTGAAGTTCAACAAACATAATGGCTTCACCCGGCTCCATAGCGATTGTCATCATGACACGATCGGAAATACCTAGCGAACAATCTGCTGAGCGCCCACACTGGTCTTGAAGTGTGCAGGATGGTAGTGGTCTCGTGGTATACGCTGCACAAGATGCAGGCACCCATTCGGGCCACGACGCAGCAGTCTTGTTTTGTGCGAGGAGGTACAACGGGGAGGCCATGATATGCGGAGCGATGGCTATAGAACTATAGCAATGAGCAATGCCGACATGTCGCGTTAGTCTGGAAGTTAGAGCGGACTTCATGCTGAAGAGCTGTGCTGCCATGGCGACCAGTGGAGATGGGCACTGTCCTCCTGGTATTTCGTCGTGTATCCTGCCGATGTTCCTGTCGATGGCTGGCGCAGTCTTGTGTGTAATACGAGGATCGAGGAAAGTAGACAGAGTTCGACCCGGGATTGCTGGTGTATCAAAAGAGCAGCCATGCTTGACTTTATGAATCATGAGTGAATTCCTGAATCATGCAGCAGGTTGTTTGTGCTCACAGGCGGCAAAACAGTAAGTCTCGTGGGAGGCGGAGGAGGAGGATGGTGATGGTGATAGTGATGGTGTGACCGCGGCGAGCTGAGGATGGAGGATGAAGGAGGGGGAGGGGAGACATCCGAACAACCACAGGTCAGGTAGACTACAGTAGAATCATGTAGAATCATCCCTCGCAGCACAACCACACATGATGCTCTTCCGCCGCTCGCTTCCAGGCAGCACCTGGCCAGATATGCGCAGCTTGCATCATTCTGCAGCCCAACCAACGGAACTCTCGAAACCGTTCATTACATGAGGTGTATTATGCACCGCACCACAATAATAATAATACCAACTTAATAACCGACCTCACTAGGAGGTACTCCTACAGCTCTACGCGACCTTACCTACCTTACCTACTCGCCTACACCCACCGGTTCCACCTCAGATACATGTAGCACAGCTGCTGTACTCTGTCCTGCTCCTTCCCGTCCTCACTCATCGTTCTCGCCGCCGTCATTGTCACCACGACGCTAGCGTTATTATCACCGTCCAAAGTTCACCGACCTCCGCATGTCTGCTGCGCCATACCCAGACCCCTTCGGCGCGCCCGAGAACGACATCGGCTTCGACAGGCGGGGCCGCCGGCCAGACCACCACCACCACCACGCGGACCCACACTTGCCTGCTCCGCCTCTGGGGCCATCGCTCAAACCTGCTCTTAAGCGTGAAGGAAGTCGAAGTCGACTTTCACCTGACGACCGACCTCAATTTCCCGACGAAGCATCCTATCTTGGTGGCCGAGCCCCCGACGCTGAGGTTAAGAACGGCCCGCGCGAGAGATCCTTCCGAGATCAGAGAGACGGCTACGAGTCCGAAGAAGGCGAGAATCACAAGTCGTCCAAGTACACGCCTCGCACCAGAATGCCGCGATCCAACGACGATGATCTGGCTTACGATGACCGCAAGCGCCGTCCGAGGAGAAATACCAACAGCCATGTGCCTCCGCCAGAGAGCGCAATCTCGGGCGCATCGCGAGGCGGCTATGATGATGCTCCTCCCCCACGACGCCGAAGAGATCGCGACGACCGACGGGACTATGACTACGATGATGAATCACCACCATCGCGCAGGCGCGGACCCAGACCGCCGCCGGTAGAGTACGGTGCCGAGCCCATTCCTACCCGACAGAGGAGCGAACGACGGCCTCGGCCACGACGCGATTATGACGAGTACTCGGATGAGGAGGACTATCGTCCCCGGCGGCGTCGTGGAGCCAGCGCAGACGGCCACGGGAGACGTCCTCGTGACTACGACGATGGGCCATATTACTCCGACGAGCCCCGCAGACGCCGCAACGATGACTACGATCGTGCGCCGATGCGGAGGCGGGACAGCAGTAGGAGGAGGCGAGATGATTACTACGACGACTATGACAGATATGACGACCGAGATCGGGATCGACGACACGGCAGAGACAGTCGGCCGCCGCCCAAGGAGATCAGGATTGGCAAGTACGACATTGGACCGTGGATAGAGCAGGGCAAGAAGCATTGGACTACGGTGGCGCCCATCTTGACTCCAATTGTATTGGCGCAGATTCGCAAAATGGGCCAAGGAGGTAATGGAGGTGGCGGCGGCGGAGGACGGCGATAGGATCGTGGGTTAGATGAATACCATTCCAGATAGTAGCGCTGCAGTAAGACGGGCATGGGAATTGAGCTGAAGCGTTTGGTACTTATTACCCGAGAACAGAGGTTTGATTAGTTCTACTGTTTCCTGGCGAGCAAAAGAGGCCAGGCAGGCATATTGGGACGCATTTGGGCATTTTGGGGGCGCAGAAGTGAGACCCACGGTACCATTAGATAATGGAGGACATCTGCGAGGCGCGTATGATACCTACGACTATTAGCAACACCTTTCAATCTCAGCTCCAGCAGCGAGAAGGCGCAGGCGGTTTCCCCGGCTGACTAGATCGATATTTCTGCTCTATTACGAACTACGATAGTCCCGAATGAACGCGTGTATGGGCGTGTAGTGAGGGGTATTGCTCCTATCTGCACTTGTTACGAATCAACAGGTACGAATGGGGCAATCCCCGCGGAAAGGACGGCAACCGAGTAGGTGAATGTGGATCGGGAGCAGGTGTAGTATGCGATGGTATGACGAGAAACAGATATGAGTTTATCCCTACACAGCTGAGGGTGAAGCGTAGCGCAATCGTATGCTTCAGGATTGGGGTCCGGCATCGTTCATGCTGATGCCAATGCCAAGAAATGTTTCACGAGGAGGAGATGTGATTGGTGATGGTGGAGCAGATGGTGTTCTAAACGCGGCCTGATCCACGCCATGGGTCCACGAGGACGGCTCCCTCCAAGAGTCCAAGCCCTCCAAGCCTCGAGGCCTCGTCAGGCGCGAACAGCTGTAACGACTGCGCGCAGGGCAAGGTAGTAGTAGGAGGTAGTACCTCCTAGAGTGAGCGGATGGCTCAGGCACGAGGTGACCTCTACGTACTGTAGGTTGTTTCTTTTACCTTTACTACTACTACATCCTACCTACTTTCCCTACACTACACCCACCCTGCCTCACCCCCGTCTACACAGATGAAGGCGCCATCGCACGGTCGCCATGCTGGACGAGAATCTCCCGTGCTTCTACCTGAAGCAGGCTGCTGCTGACGGCATCAAACACCACCGCGACATCCACCACTCGCACAATGGCTCCAACCCCGCCCCCGCCTACTCCCTCCACAACGCCGATCCCGCGAGTCTCCAGCCCGCCTACAGGAACTGTTACGGCGCCGCCTTGTTCGATGCATACAACCCCGACGTGCTCTTTGGCGAAGTCGTCGTTCGACCCGATTGGACCCAGCCCACGCTGAATCAGGAAGAGATTCGACGGAATGGCGGCATTGCTCCTCCCCCTCAGCCCGTACTGCCGCACGACTTTGCCATACAGCTCTACAATCCCGACCAGCAGGTCAAGGTCGATGTCAAGGAGGGCAAATGGGGCGCCTCCGACTCGTACGAATTCAGCTTGCCCTCCGTCGCCTTTCGAACCCCCAGCGCGAGTCACTTGGACAGAGGGCAGTCAGATCCTGCCATGCTGCCCGTCACGCCCAAGATCAACTTTGTGTGGCGCAAAGAGAGCAAATTGAGCAAGGATCTCACCTGCTATATGACGGGAAAGAGCACGGATTTGGATTCGAAGAAGAAGAGCAAGAGGGATCCAGATATTGCCGTGGCATTGTGGAGAAGTCTGAGAGAATTGACCATATACGAGTCAAACCTGGACAGACTCGAGTTGGAAGATCCAAAAGGAGTCGAAGTGGTGCTTCTGCTCAGCGCCATCGCGATCAGAGACTTGTGGTTCGTGGCACACAAGGACGGACTGCGGGAAGCCTTCAATATCAGTGGTCTGCCCAATGAGAGGAAGTTGAGCGGAGGCGGTAAGAAGTTGTCGAGTTCATGTAGAGTGGTAAACGCATTGAGTATAGTCGGCGCTCCTGCATTGTCACATCATCCACCTTCCGTACATGCGGCACAAGGAGGACGGACCCCCAGTCAGCCTCAAAGCATGGCCAACAACCCTTCATCCAACCCCCATCCACCAACAACTGCATCTAATTCCAAACCACCTCCGCACGTAGACCCTCGATCTGCATGGGAACTCGACGCCGAAACCGCCCGCCTTAAAGCTCAAGCTGAGGCTGAAGCAAAAGCCGAACGTAGACGACAGAAGGAGAAGGCCAGAGCCGACGAAGCTGAACGTCAACGTCTACAGCGAATGGTTGCAGAAGAAGAGAGAGTTCGAAGAATACGGGAAGCGGAGGTTGAGAAGGAAACGGAGAGATTGAGGAAGATTTATGGTGTACCGCAACAACAGCAGCAGCAAGCGAACATTGCGAGACCACATACGAGCATGGCTATGGGACGTCCACAGAACCAGAGGGTCAATAACTCTGCTGCGGGTGCTCCTCCTCCGCAGCCTCCCAGACAGCCGAGCAGACCACAGCAAGGACAGGGCAGTAGCGGAATGTATCGACAACCTGGTGCGAATGCGAGTATGATGATGATGAGTGGTGCGAACGGTAACGCTAGTTCTTTGAATCTGGGACAACAGCAGGCGATGAAGAAGAAGAAGAGCTCCTTCTTTGGTTTGAGAGGGGGTTGTGGTACCGTCGATCAGAGTACCACTGCGCATGGCGGTGGCAGGCTAATGAAGAAGAATAGCGCCATGTGGTAGAAGGAAGCGGAAGTGAACCGAGTCGATTGTATGAATTTAGCGAGGAGTTTTGTTTGATATCCAAAAACCTTACACATCATCGTTGATGTATTGAGCTCATGATAATTTCTTGGATTCGAGAAGAGACCTCCTCCTCACAACTGATTTGGATTTTGAATTACATGATTCATGGGAAGAAGAACAAGAAGAATAAGGGGAAGAAGAAAAGTAGCCCAATGCCTGCCTGCCTGCTTCCTTTGCTCCATCATCACCTTGCCCCCCTCTCCTCCTCCTCCACCTCCACATGACTAACCACACTCCCTAACCTCCCCTTTCCCTCCAACGCCATCTTCTCCCTCATGACCCTCTCCTCCAAATCCCCCTTGCGGAACGAAGCCTCCTTGCCATGCATGGAAGGAACAAACAAGGGAGCGTTTGTAAACAAATAATTCATCTCTTCCAACGGCAACTTCTTCGTCTCGGGCAACACGCCCCAAAACCAAATCGCATTCGTAAAATTACACACGACAAACACGAGATAGAATTTCCATCCGATGCGTTCAATCGCAATCGGTGTGACCTGGCCAATCATTGTGTTGAAGGCGAACGATGTCATGGTTGCGATACTGACTCCTTTGGAGCGTGTGCGCGTGTCGAAAATTTCGGCCGGGATGATCCAGGATAGGGGGCCGTTAGTGGCGCTGAAGGAGAAGTTGTAGATCCACGTGATGACGATGAAGCCCCAGGAGGCGGCTTTGTTGTTGGATTCTCCCGGGGGGAATTTGGAGAGGAGGATGGAGGCGATGATGAAGGTGAGGCAATTTCCCTGGAGGAGGGGAAGAAAAAGGGGAGGATTAGTTGTATGTTTTTTTTTCCGAGATGTGGAAAGTGGAAAGGGAAAGGGAAAGGAAAAGGGAAAGGGAAAGGGAAAGGGAAAGGGAAAGGGAAAGGGAAAGGAAAGAAAGAAACTTACCAAATTTCCTCCTATCATCGCCCATCTTCGTCCGGTATAATCGATAAACAGGATACAGCAGAATTGAGCAATAATGGCAATAATCGACGAGATGCCTTGGTATTTGAGCGTCTCGCTCCCGGGGATTCCAATCTGCGCGAAAATCGTCGGAGAGTAGTATTGAATTGCAGAGACGCCAGTCATCTGCACGGAAGCTTGAATCGACACGGCGAGGAGCAATCGGCGGAAGGAGGATCGGTGAGTGAAGAGTTCGGTGTATGACTTGGCCTCGGTTTCTTTTTCAAATGTGATCATGTCCTGGATTTGTTCGAATTCGGCTCGGACTGTGTGTTACCAGGTTTTTGTCAGCGCCCATATGTTGCCAGCGTCTTTCGTCATATACGATGGGCAGAGCTCTTACCCCAAGGATCGTTCTCGTCGCCGTGAGCGTGCAGTTTTGCCAAGGTTTTGAGGCCGAGTTCGGGCTTTCCGTGATCGATGAGCCATCTGTTGTTGTGACATCGATGTTAGTGAGATGCGGTGGACTAGTGAAGTTGGAAGATTGACAGCAACATACCGCGGTGATTCTGGAAACAGCATGATCAAAGCCGCCAAGAATCCAGCAGGAATGACCTGTATGCCCAAGCTGATCCTCCACTGTTGGCTGCTGCTCGCAGGGATATATGTATACGTCGCATATGACACCCACGAGGCCACCAGCGCTCCGATTCCCAGCATGAATTGTTGCAATGCAGTCACTCTGCCTCGAATCGAAGGATGGGCGAGTTCTGCTTGGTAGAGAGGCACGATCATTACCAGGAAACCCACTCCCACGCCGGCAATTGCTCGTCCCGCATAGAGATATGACAACCCTTGAGCACCGGTTTGAAGGCCGCCTCCCAAAATGAAGATCAGAGCACCAATCAGGATGGTCTTCTTTCGTCCCAGGTAGTCGCCAGCAGGTCCTGCCAGGCCTGCTCCAAAGAAGGCTCCACCAGTGAAGACCGATACAACTGCTCCTGTCTCGGCCTTGGTAGGCTGGAACGTATTGACGAAGTTGTCCGATGCGACTGCGCCTGCGATGACTCCCAAGTCGTAGCCATACAGCACGGAGCCGAGAGAGGCGAAGACAGCCACGAGAAACTTGCATTCATGTTAGTGTCTGTTGTTGTGGAGGTGGTTGTTGTTTGCGCTGCTGGCTCCGATAGAAAGCCTCACCTGGTACCACTTCGGTGGCAACGCCATCGTGCAAAAATGAGCTTGTGAATGAATTGGAATGCTTGACCTTCCCTGCGTCGCGATGGGGTGATTCCCCATTATGTACTCTCCTATTAACCATGCTCATTGTTCGATACCCATGTCTGTCTGCTTTTAACCCGATGCCGAGCAGCTGGCGTTCCCATTGGTGGCGTTCTGGACCGATCCGGAAGGAATGTCTCCATATTCTTCAGGTAGGCTCTGATACGTCGTTGGAATGGTTCGTGCGCCCCGTGTTCAGTATCCGGACGCCGCCCATCATCACATCAACAACAATACAACCTCTCTCGGGGAAGTCTGGTGGGTCCCTGGCGCCATGGGCCATGGGGAACTCTAGTGCGAATGCGGAGAACAAACTCTATTGGCCTCGGTCGAGCTTGTGCCGTACTCTAAGTTAGCGACACGGATAATCATGCCTCCACCAGTGAGAGGTATGCTCTCGTCGCCATTGGCCTTGCGCCCGCATATATCATTATTGCATGTGGCCATGTGCAGACTGCAGACCGACTGGCTAAGATATTGACATGGGCGAACAGTCGGCCCATCCATGTAAGACAAAAATGCATAATGCCCTATCACTCGAGAAGACCCACTTGATTGTGAGCATCCTAGCATTGGCTAGCAGCAAGAACACGGGTGGGGGTAGTCATTATTAGAAGTGAACTGTGTTCTTCTCGCTGTGCTGTCGATTCTGTCAGTTTGGACTTGTGGTGCTGCTCTCGACAACAATGACGACCTTTACGAAGCTTGAGCCAGGCAGCCAACCTCTCATATCAGTGTATCCCAACCGCAAGCTCTCCAAGATCAATGACAATGTCTTCGGCGGCTTCACCGAGCACATGGGGCGCTGCATTTATGGAGGCTTGTACGATCCAGACAACCCGAATAAAGACTTGATCGACGAAAATGGGTTCCGCAAGGATGTCATAGAAGCTATGAGAGAGCTGAAAATACCAAACTGCCGGTATCCTGGCGGGAACTTCCTCGCTACCTACCACTGGATCGACGGTGTCGGCCCCCGGGAGAAGAGGCCCAGAAGGCCCGAGTTGGCATGGCTGGGGATCGAAAGCAACCAATTTGGTACAGACGAATTCATGAAGTGGTGTGAGACCGTGGGCACCGAGCCATATCTTGCTTTGAACTTCGGCACTGGGACGCTTGACGAGGCAATGGCCTGGCTGGAATATTGCAACTCTAGCCAGGACACCTATTACGCCAACTTGCGCCGGAGCCATGGCCGTGAAGAGCCATATAATGTCAAGTATTGGGCTCTCGGTAATGAATGTTGGGGTCCGTGGCAGGTGGAGCAGATGACCAAGGAAGATTATGCCAAAAAGGCATACCAGTGGGCAAAAGCTTTGAAGCTCATCGATCCCTCCATCACCCTGATCCTTTGTGGCGAGACTGGTCATTCCGAGTGGGACTTTCACGTCTTGAAAGAGTGTATACGATGGGACCAGCATGCTCTCGGAGCTGGAAATGTGACTGCGAGCTTGATCGACCTGCATAGCATCCACATTTACACTGCCAGCAGCGACCCAGTAAAGAACAGCGTAGCTCCCAAATCAGCGGAGAGAGCTATTGAGATCGCCGCAGGACTCATTGACTTGGCAAGGATCCAGAACGGGGTACCAGCTTCGGTCCCCAGACAGACCATCTGTTTCGATGAGTGGAATGTCTGGGACCCGCAAAGAGCTCCAGGAGACCTAGGCGCCGAGGAGAAGTACACCTTGTCGGACGCATTGGCGGTGGCAGTATGGCTGAATGTGTTCATCCGGCAAAGCAAGTACGTTGGCATGGCAAACATTGCTCAAAGTGTGAATGTGATCTCACCCTTGATGACGACCAAAGAGGGAATCCTCAAGCAGACCACTTGGTGGCCATATCTGCTCTTCTGTAAATATATGAGAGGGCACACTATCGCGACTCATGTCAGCAGTCCAGTGTATGATGGCGAAACGGAACCGAAATGGTTGCAGGCTGCTGCGGACATGCCCTGGTTGGATGTCTCTGCTGCGATTGATGATGATGGGTGGGCCAGCCTGGTTGTAGTCAATTTGCATCTAGAGGAGAATTTTGAGGTCGCTCTCGATGGAGTGTATACTACAGCGAAGGTGTATACCGTGACTGGGAAAAAGTGGGATGTCGTCAATACTGCTGGGGAGGAGAATGTCGTCGTCCAGGAGGGCGAATGGAAATGTGAGCCCAAGTACACATTTCCAAAGCAGAGCATGACCATGCTACGGTGGAAGGTATGATCGAACTGGCGCTTGGCTTGTACATAGGACAAGATGGTACATCACAATAGACATGGGAGGTACAGGTAGATTGCGTACAAATGTACTTTGGGGTACCTTAGTTGACTGGTGTGGATTTCTGCCTGAGGCTGAAAAGGAAATTGAAACTCAAACCTGCCAAGCCCACCGCCATTTTGCGGGAGGAGCCAAACCTCGAATTTCTTCCTCCGACCACAATCGCGTTCGACCAACACCGTCACTCACTAACCACAGGAGATATTTTGACGAGCACCAGTCAAGATGAAGCTCAACATCTCCTTCCCAGCCAATGGCTCTCAGAAGCTCATCGACATTGAAGATGAGCGCAAGCTCCGTGTCTTCATGGACCGCCGCATGGGTCAGGAAGTCCCAGGTGACAGCGTCGGCGACGAGTTCAAGGGCTACATCTTCAGAATCACCGGCGGCAACGACAAGCAGGGTTTCCCAATGAAGCAGGGTGTCATGCACCCTACTCGTGTCCGACTCCTCCTCTCCGATGGCCACAGCTGCTACCGCCCACGCCGCACTGGAGAGCGCAAGAGAAAGTCTGTTCGTGGATGCATCGTCGCCATGGACTTGTCGGTCCTCGCTCTGTCGATCGTCAAGCAGGGTGATGCAGACATTCCAGGTCTCACCGACACCGTACACCCCAAGCGCTTGGGTCCAAAGCGCGCGACCAAGATCCGCCGTTTCTTCGGTCTCAGCAAGGAAGACGATGTGAGTACCTCTCTGAGGCTCTATTTCCTCTTCGCCAGCCTCGCCTCTGCGCGTGTGCTGAGTCTGAGTTCTCTGCCTTGAGCATGAGCGAAGTTCTGCCCAGAGCACGAGCACGAACCACACCTCTGCCCAAGGCCGGAACTCGGAGCCTGAGACCGAACCACTGTTGCTAACGTACATGAATGTAATAGGTCCGCAAGTTTGTCATTCGTCGTGAGGTCCAGCCAAAGGAGGGCAAGGAGGGCGCCAAGGCATACACCAAAGCTCCACGCATCCAGCGTCTGGTCACTCCTCAGCGTCTCCAGCACAAGCGCCACAGGGTCGCACTCAAGCGCCGCCGCGCAGAGGCCTCCAAGGATGCCGCCGTAAGTCTTGGATACGCTTCATTTTCCGCCCAAACTATCACTAACATAACGGGCAGAACGAGTACGCCCAGGTTCTCCACAAGCGTGTCTCGGAGGAGAAGGCCAAGGTTGCCGACCTCAAGAAGCGTCGTGCATCCAGCATGCGCAAGTAAGCGTATTAAAAGTGTTAGACATGGCGCTATGGGACGGGTTATGCATTGTGCTCGAGCGAGGACCCTTTGACGACCTCGTGATGATTGAGATACCTGCTACATGCGCACCATCCAGCGTGGATGGGTGAGTTTCGCAATTGCAAGTAGCTGCAGATTCAGGACGCCGCACAGTGCGGCTAGGAATGAACAGCAAACAAATTGTTCTCACCCAGTTGCTTCATTCTCAATTGATTCTCTCCAATTTCGCCTACCCATTCCCTCTAGTATACCTAGGAACTGCCATTCGCGAGTCTTTCACTAGCGACTCTCTGGTTCTCTATGGCTCAGAAACTGTGCTCTTCTATGCAGGCCTCACCAGGGCGTCTAGTATATTCACTTGACACCTCGCGGAAGCACTGGAAGAAGCACCGCTTTTTATATGCTCGGCCCGGCCCCGTAGATACCTTGATCGCAAATGCGGGCACTAGACTTTCCTTCCCTTCCATGGAGACAAAACTCCCCACCACTCTTCTTCACCCACTTCCACTTCCACTATGACACCACACACTCTTCTCATTCAGCTGCACAGCTCATCACCCGAGTCGCGCAGACATGTCGACCACCAACAGCATCAAGTTGTTGACTGGTAACAGCCATGGCGGGCTGGCGAAGCTGGTTGCCGATCGGTACGCGAAAATCACAAAAAAAATCTCTCGACTGGGCGCATGGCAGCTTCCATGTTGGCGTATGCTGACCAACATGTGCGCAGACTGGGCATAGATCTTGCTAAGATCATGGTCTTACAGTACTCGAACAACGAGTCGAGCATCAGCATCGGAGAATCAGTTCGCGACGAAGATGGTAGGTCAGACTCGTCTCTTACTCCCTCGTCCTCGCCTTTGTTCGTTCTCGAGGGATGAAGGTAGCGGCGGCCTTAGCAGTGGCGGCCTTAGCAGCGAGATATGGCCAAAACAGCAGCGGACACACAGAAAAAACGGCGACGGTGACGGCGAGGGCCTAACTGACGGCTATAGTCTTCATCCTCCAGTCGACAGAGCCGGGCAACATCAACGATCATATCATGGAGCTGCTCATCTTGATCAATGCCTGCCGAACCGCCTCCGCGCGCCGAATCACCGCTGTCCTCCCCAATTTCCCATATGCGAGGCAGGACAAAAAGGATAAGAGTAGGGCTCCCATCACCGCCAAGCTCATGGCAAATATGCTGCAGACTGCAGGCTGCCAACATGTCATCACCATGGACTTGCATGCCTCACAGATCCAGGGCTTCTTCAACGTGCCCGTAGACAACCTCTACGCTGAGCCTAGTACTCTCAGGTGGATCAGGGAGAACCTGAAAGTGGACGACTGCGTCATCGTGTCACCAGATGCGGGAGGCGCGAAGCGTGCGACGAGCATAGCGGACTCTCTCGACCTGCAATTCGCCCTCATCCACAAAGAGAGAGCTAGACCGAATGAGGTCTCCCGGATGACTCTGGTCGGTGATGTGAGGGGCAAGATTGCAATCATCGTGGACGACATGGCAGACACTTGCGGCACACTGGTGAAAGCTGCTGATGTAGTGATGGAACACGGCGCAAAAGAAGCCATTGCCATCGTCACACATGGTATCTTGTCAGGAAATGCGATCGAGAAGCTCAATGGTGGCCAGCTGAAGAAGCTGGTTGTGACCAACACCGTTCCACACGAGGAGAAGAAGACCCTGTGTGATCGCATTCATACCATCGACATTGCCCCCACGTTGGCGGAAGCGATCCGGAGGACGCACAACGGAGAGTCCGTGTCGTTCCTGTTTAAGCATGCGCCTGCATAGCTGGTAAGCGTGTAGAAGGGCAGACAGATAGCAAACCGAGGAAGCAGCAACAAAACCTGGTTATGGCGATTACTGTGCAATCTTTCACTCTCCGCGGAAGGAGTTCTAGGATGGGCATGAGATGCGTAAGTAGCATGCGAGGGCGTTCGGAAGGAGTAGACTCGATGAGAGCGATGAATGGGAAGTCATGATAATTGCATGGGAGGGTCGGTTTTGTCTTGGGACAAACGTTTTTGGGATACATGTACTCACATACGCACCAATCCAATTTTTGGGGTCTATTATCCTGACATGTGTGCAATCTCCCCTATGTATCCCTCCGTCCCTCTCTGTGTACAAGGCGCACTATTGTCCTTCGGCCTTCTTCACCGTCCCAATGACACCTTTGGCCCAGGAGAAATGACCAGCTTTCGGCCCCAAACTCCCTTCGGCCAACTTGCCCGTCTGAGGATCATACCAACACCCATCATCCCGACTCGCAGCACCATACAAATGGGTATTCTGATTCCTCTCAATCCCTTCCTTCCACGCCCTACAAACCACCGCACTATCAATCAACACATTTACCTCTTGCGAATGAAACCAACTCTGCGTATCCTGATTCCCCGACCCTTGAATCGCCACACAATCATCCACAATCATAAGTTTAATATGACAAGACCTTTGCTTCCACACATTATGTATCGGACGAGTCTGATCTGCTGCGACATAATAATATACTTGTAACAAAGCCTTTTCTGCAGGAGTGGTTAATTGCGAGTATAAATAATTGGCATTCATTTCATTGGTGCCGCCTTGATGGGGGAGTAATTCTCCTCCGTCGTTGTAGCCCAGACAGACGTAGTATGTGACGCGGATTTGGCGGTGTTGGATCGCGGAGAGGAGGGCGGGTAAGAGGGGTTTGGCGTTGAGGTCGGGGGTTTGGATGAAGATGGATTTTTGGGCGTTGCGGATTAGAGAGAGGAAGGCTTCGTTTTGGGGTACGAAGAGGGAGTCGTTGGTGATGTTGGCGTAGGGTTTGCGGGAACACATGGCCATGGGGACGGGGGAGGTGTTTGGGATGGGGATGAAGGGGAAGAAGTTGAGCTTGTTATTGTTGTCTCGGTCGCTGGCGGTGGGTTTGAGGGAGAGGTTGGTGGGTTTGTTGAGGTGACGAGCTACGGCGTTGACGTGTGGCTCTGTGGGCTCGAGGGGTCGGAGCGTAGATCGCATGCGTTGGATCTCGTCATGCATGGTGTCGTCGTAGTGTGGTTTGCCGGGCATATGTTCGGGGAGATTTTGGTCGAAAGGCCTTTCGGGAAGGCGGAAAGATCCATCCTGCTCGAACAGTGATGTGAACGCCTCTAATTGGTATGTTGGTGGTGGTCGCGTTGTAGCAGGTGTCGCTCTGCAAGGTAACGCCGGCTCTAGCTTGTTGTGCCAACTGATCAAGAACGTCTCCCATATCTAAAGGTGATCCATTAGCGGACATGACTTCAATAACACCACCATGGGATGATACTCCTCACCGAGTCAACGATGGGACCTTCAATGTGGGTCATCATCTCCAGGTTATCGTTGTCTTGAATGTTGTTACTCGAGACGGTCGCGATCTGTCTATCCACAATCATGAACTTGGAATGAAACGTGCCCAGTGGAGGTCTGTGAAAGTTGACAATAGCAAGGTCTACATTGGGCATTTGTTCCGGTGGTGGCAGACCAACCCCAGCTGCTTGCCATCCTGTTGAGCTCACGTCTTGGTGGTTGTTCCACACCTGCTTCAGAGCACCTGGTCAGAAAAGGTCAGCACAGATAGCTATACGTGTATTACTGGACATCTCGTACCCCGATCAAACATGATCTTGACAACAACCCTCCCCCCACGAGCACCTGCCCGTTTGGAGAGTTCGATTAGTGCATCGTTGACAAAAGTGCTGGCGCCACTCTTCTTCCAGAAATTGGTCGCCAGTAAGACTTCATGCTGTGCGCGCACAATCAGATTCGACATATGTCGAAGTTGATCGTTCAGAGGCGCGATGATGGTCATGGGAACGTAGCCGGTCGAGCCAATCAGTGGCGGCGAGACGCAATCGGCAACAGGGTCGTTTTCCAGACATTGCAAGAGATCGTGGAAGGCATGCAGGAACAGCTCGCTTGGCTGAGTATCTCCGAACGTGCCACAACTCTGAGCCCACTGCAGGTCACTCTGCGAGGCGGATTCCTGCTGATCTGGTTTTGGTGTGACGATGTTGGTGAGATGCTGTTAGTTGGTCAGCAGCTCAATCTACATCTGTGATGGATGCTCTGTGGACAAGCGGCGACTGACATGGCTCCCATACAGCTTCTGAGCGATCTCGCCTGGCGTCTGTTCTGCATTCTTTGCATACTCGGCACTGACTGACACTTGTGCACGGCAGAGTTGCTCGATCTTGCTGCGGCTCCGAGGATCTTTGCCCATATTGGCAGAATGCCAAGCTTCTGCCAAGGTGCACTTGTTTGCTTGTATGTTGGTGTAAGTGAAGTGGATTGTCGGAACGATGGTGGCTGGCGTGTCTGAAGCAGATACCTCAGGTCCATTAACTCTTCTCCTCTCTCCCTATACATGTATGAATTGGAATAGAGTATCAAGGATGACGTATCGGACTACGTACGCAGCTGAGTCTGTTCTCTGGTTCAGAAGCGACAGGCCACAGACCTCACCTTTTAGCCGACGCGAGCTCGTCTCGAGTCCTGCAGCGTCACCGACGGTAGTGCATGTATACGAGCAGTCTGACACATTTCTTTCCGGAGACTTTGTGCCCATCAAGGCCAATGGGCTTCTCTATGCTGCTCTCGGCGCATACCAGCAGGTGCACCAGTCTCCCTAGGCACCTAAACTTTGATATCAATTGGCTGCTACACTCTCTTGATATGATTTCCATTGGATATTGTTCCTGAACCTGGAAGACGGAGGGCTGCGGAGACAGCATGGGCTTAGAGTAATCCAAGCATATAGGATGAAGCATTCCGGAAGAAGACCTTGTACGCACGATGCACAAAGACCGATTAGTAGAGTGCAAAGATTCCGCATCAAAGACTCTCCTCTGCGACCAAAACATATATACTATTATCCACCTCAGTCCTTGTCTCCTGTTTGGGCAGCTTCTACTAGACCTCACTGAGTGTACTCCCTTGGCCGCTCATTCGACTGCAACCCCTACGCCTCTCCTATGCCGACATTCGCGCTTGTAAGAAGAACAGGACGATATGGAAGAAGTAGCCGAGTCTTGGACAACCTTCGACAGTAGGGTAAGTTTAGCTTGCGATGTCGGCCAGCTACCGCGGGCCAGATATAATAGCAAAAAAACACGTGCAGATCTGGGGATAGTCGAAAAGTTGTCTTTGCACGATTAGGTCAGCTAGCTTCTGTCAAAAAGTACAGGCACTCAATTGGAGCATAGGTAGGTAGCAATACTGAGGTTTGTCCATCCCGAGATCTCTGCGAGAAGCTTGATAATACTATATGTATTAGGTAGTCTTGAAGTATCTAGGTAAGGTAGGTATCCATGGATGTAGCAATAGAAGAAAGAGAAAAACAAAAAGGTGCTCTCGGAAACGACCCCGTCGACGGGAAGTCCAATCACTGAGGTGACTAAGCATGGAGGTAGTACCAAATTCGACATCATGGGTAAGGTAACAAGCGCCCGTCAACGCCTACCTACTCCGAAATCTACACAAGACTAACAAGAGTTCATGTACCTACTCTCCGATGCGAGCCAATCTTCCCAAAAGGATACATAGGGTCTGACAGCAGGAGCAGCAACAGCAGCGACAACGACGTAATCACTTTGCTCTATAGGAAATGGATTGGGCTCTAGGCGAATCAAAGAAGTATACAGCACAGACCAGAGGGAGATAAAGAGTATAAGAGAGATATTGTTTCATTACGTCGTTCGCGCACCCACTTGTGAAAGAGAGAAGCGAATAGTAAAATAGAAAACTACTCAGTAGTAGTAGTAAAAAAAAAGAACAGCACAGCTTTGCACAGCTTATAGAGGGGAACTTGTTATAGAGGAGGGGGTGAGGGTGAGGGACACCATCATATACCGCTGCCGATCTTCCAGCGCCAGCCAATGTTCTGATTACATATCGTTTGATTATTACAACCGCCACAAAGGTACCACCGAAGAATCCAAGAGCGCAGCGTGTATGATGCTTCGTTTGTGCCTGAGCGTCGCGATCAGTGGCCAAGATGGAGACCGAGTGTCATCACATCGCTTAGAGGAAGAAAGCGAGGACGGCACCGAAACCAGCGAGGACGCCAGCGGCGTTGAGGGCGTTGGCAGCGCCGACGTATGGGGTGATTGGCTTGCTTGGCATTGGCATCGTTGGTGGCACACCGGAACCAGTTGGGTAGGCACCTGGTGGGCATGGGGCAGTGCCAGTTGGGTAGACTGGGACCATTCATTAGTATCTCAACACGATATTCGTGTTAAACGTAGAAGACATACCTGGGTGCTCCGATGGAGTCGATGGAGTCGGGTAGTATGGCTTTGGTGGCTGCTCTGGAGAGGAAGGAGGAGTCTCTGGCTTTCCAGGGGTCGTTGGTGGGTACTAAGCTATTGTCAGCTGGTGTCGATCGGGGCAAAGTATACAAAGACTTACAGCAGGTGGAGAAACTGGCGAGTTTGGAGGACCGTAGCCTGGTGGGCCCTCCTTTGGTGGAGTGACTGGGCTGCTTGGTGGAGTACCTGGTGGGCCGTAGGTTGGTGGGTGGCTCTCCTTTGGTGGGGTGACTGGGCTGCTTGGAGGAGTACCTGGGGTTCCCGGTGGTGGGCCGTAGGTCGGTGGGTGGCTCTCCTTTGGTGGGGTGACTGGGCTTCCCGGTGGTGGGCCGTAGGTCGGTGGGTGGACCGGGGAGTTTGGCGTCTGCAGTGGTTGTCAGCTACCCGTATTGCCATTTTTCGCACAAATTGCACGAAATCCAGAGTTCTAGCTCCTATGAATTCCCAAAGCAGCGCACGACGATTTACTTACTGGTCCGGTGGGGGTTGGGTGGACTGGCATGGTCGAGGTGATGGTGATGGTCGACTTGACCGGGGTCGAAGGGCACGGAGTGCTGGCCGAAGTAGACATCGACTTGGACATGGTCGGCATCGAAGTCGACATCGACTTGGACATGGAAGACGACATCGACTTGGACATGGAAGTCGACATCGACTTGGTCGGCATGGAAGTCGACATCGACATGGACGAAGACTTGGACATGGTTGGCATCGAAGAGGACATCGAAGTCGACATCGAAGAGGACATCGACTTAGACATGGTGGTCGCCATCGTCGTGGTCATCGTAGTTGGCATGGTGGTCGACATAGACATCGAAGACGACTTGGTTGGCATCACAGGGGAAACCGGAGTGGTGCTGCTCTCAGGAGGACCACCGTAGCCTTGTGGTGGTGGTGGAGCATAGCCTGGGAACTGTCAAATTCACGCCCATTGTCGCCGTTCGTGCTTTCCAGCTTTCCCAAAACACACCTGGGAGAGCCATGGCGCCAGCGACGAGCGCGGCGGCAGCGAAATGGTACTGCATTTTGAAAACTTGTTGGAGGCGGCGAGAAGGTGCTAAAACGACGATTAAGTGAATGAATGTATGGTTGCCGAAGCGGTTGCTGGTATGAACGAGAGGACGACCGAAGTCAAGATTGTTTGCTGCGACCAAGAAGAATGCGTGGACTTCAGGTTGACGAGAAGAAGAAAGGTCAAGCGCGCAACGACATGGCTTGCTTATAATGGTCTTCTCAATTCAGCTGATAGGAGGTCTGGGTGAGATGAGCTTGGCTGGCCTGACCTGGAACGTGAGGGTACATGGCATCGTACTGAGATTAGCATGTGCATGGGTCCCACCTGGGCACATACCTGTTCCTGAAAATCGTCTTGCTTGTCTTTGACAAGCATACAGTTCGCAACCCCGACCTGTACTGATGAGTTGCAATTTTGCGGCTTCCACCGGCCATTTTTCCCCCCTGGCCTCGCCATCATTCACTCGTCCATTGAGCCGCCGCACGCCCTCCCTGCCTGCCTCCCAATCACTCTGGCACCCGGACGACAATCTTGCAAGTCTGCACTAGTCATAGCTCTACAGTGTCGGGGACTCTTTTCCCTTTCCTCCGGGAATGTTCATCCTTTGCATCTCTCGTGCCGGCAAGCTCCAGTCTGGACATGTCTATATCGAAGGTGAGGCACAGCCGCACACTTTCATTTTAGTCATCGCTGTCGCTCCTGTACGGTCATGGTCAGGCAATCAATAGTGTGCGAGCAGGCCGACTCTGTCCGAATTAAGCGGCTGACAAGAGTAGCTTGTGGGATCCTGGACGGCTGGGCGCATGCCGGATGATATCTCGACTGGGAACTCGAACGTCTCTCATCGCGGGTGTAGGAGAGTCAGCCTCATCATTGGGAGCAAGGTCCAGGTATACACCGATTCAGGTACATGTTTGATGTATCGAGGCAAGACAATTTCATGCGGCACCGTGTACACTGTACACTCTATGGGGTACAGGCAATGTAGGTATGTATGATGATGGTAACCTTGGGTAGGTGGCTATGTAGGTGACCAGGTGCCTGGATGGCCTTGGAGTGTCACGTGCAGTGGATGAATCCATCAATGATCAATGAATATTTGATGAGCGGTGCTAGGGGAGTTTGGAGAGGTAGCGTGGTGCGGGGCAAAAGGGTTCACGGCGATACGAAGGAGACTAGTCGAGAGAGATTGAGCGGCGGCAAAAGTTCCTTGTCTAACTTGTCTTCCCCTGCTCTCAGCACTTCCCAGACAGGAGACGCCCGGGATGGTGGGATGCCCACGAGATTTGCTCGTATTGTGAAAGAGGTACATGTAACTGAAGGTGGCATGCCCAATTGAAGTTTATTCTGCAAGATTGAATACCTATTCTGTGACTTGTACTGTCTGCACACATATGACTACTGCACACACCATGCGAAAAGCACAGCTTGTTATATTATATATTCATTATACAGTAAATTCTGAACTGAAATTGAGCGAGCTTCTCCCAGATCCAGAGTTCCCCCAGAGCCCCCAGGATATTGTTTAATCATTGGTTGCTACAGACAGACAGACTATCACCGTCGATTCACCGATGCAGACCGCTCTCGCAACCATCCGACCACCAAGTCCATCACCTTTTCCGCGTCCAGATCTCTCATCAACTCATGATATCCCCCTTCTACCGCATAAAACTGCTTATCACTCGAAGAAATCTTCCCTACAAACTCCTCCGACGCCTCGAACTTGGTGAACTGATCCGCATTGCCATGAAACACCAACGTCGGCACTTCCCACGCCTTTGCTCCTCTCCATATCTTCGCACCACAATCCAACGACGTCGCAGCAAGCAACAGTCCAATTGCACCATGATAGTTCCGCTCATCGTCTTCGAAGAGTTTCACTTCTGCAGGTATACGCGATAAACCCGTGGGAGGTTTCGCTGGAATGGGCACAGGACCACTGGGCCAGAATTTCGCTCCCAAGCCCACAATTGCCCTCTCGACACCATTGACAGGCTGCGTCAGTTCTGGACTACTCAAGATGACACCTGCAATTCCCGTGGGATCGCTCGTGACACTGCCACTCGTGACCAGTCCGCCGAGAGAATGGCCCATGAGAAATATCGGGAGATTGTTGCTACTGCTACTGCTCTCTGCCACTACTTGTCGACGAAGTGCGACGTGGTCTTGTACTGCTTTTTCAATGTGTACGACACTGCGCGCTCCGGGAGAGTCTCCGTGACCCCACATGTCCATGGCCCAGATGTCGAAGCCGAGGGCTTGTAAGCGTGGTCCCAGAGGTAGTTTGCCATCCATGTATCGTAACGAGTATTCGGCAAAGCCATGCTGGAGGATCAAGATGGCGCGTGCATTGGGGATGGTCCACTTGTGATATGCTACTCCGGAAGGTAGGTTGTGCTTGGAGTATGATGCTTGGGGTGGGTTGGATGAGTTTGCTGCTGCCATGGCCGTTCTGATGAGAGATGTTGATACGAAAGGGAATGTCGATGAATGAGTAGGCGAGCATATACCTATGTACAGTAGGAGGTAGCTTTCACAGAAGTCTGGATCTGATCACACAAAGATGGTTACTCCCAAAATCTGTTGCCGAGGTGCTGCAAAGGCAAAAACTGCTCTCAAGCTGCTCTGCCTAGGCTTACCCATTCCACAGTAGGAGGTAGTAGCACCCAAAGAGGCGTGTTCAATGTAGGTAGCTTCTCGCCGACATGCTCCAATTGAGAGTCTTCAATAGCTTCCTATCTATTGTACATGTCGTGTGATCATAGAGCACAAATTTCCATCCAACAACGCTTCCCGCACGCCCTCGTAGCCTCGCATACAACTTCAATCAAGTCAACCACCAGTCAAGACAACAACAACTCTTCTGCATAATCCCAAGATGATGAAATTGGTGGGTGTGTGTGTGTGTGTGTGTGTGTGTGTATCAAACTGAATCCAACGTTAGAAAGTGAAAGACAAGAAAAGAGAAGAAACCAGCCTAGTCGTGCCGGGCACAGGATGGAGGGGGCATCTGCTACGTACCTAGGTATACCAATAGTCGTACATGACGATAAGGTGTGATGTTGTTCAATGACACACACAATATTGTTCCTTCTCGTTGCATTTCGCTTTGGTATTGTTCTTGCATTGGTTGTACGATTTACACTTGTCTGTACCACAAGCCTGATAGATCTGTTTTGTTCTTCCACATTAGACAGAAAAACCGAACTTCTTCACGTCTACAATAAAATACCAAAGATACGTAAGGTAAGGAAAGGAAGGTACATGTATACTTACAACGCAAACACACACTTTACCAAAATCAGGATCAACAATTCTTTGTGGTCGGTAACCATCCGGGCATCCATCTGGGATGCATGTGGCTCGTTTGTGCAGCTCGTTCATGCTTCCGTGTTCCTCCATCGGCTTGTACTCGAGAATGGCATCGCGGCGATAGGGAAAGTTATCCAGGGGATCGCTTCGTACACTTGCAGCAAGCGTCGCGACGAGCAAAAGTACGACTTGGAAAAGTTGTTGACGAGGCATTGTGGCTTGAGTTGACTTGACTTGACTTCCCAAGGCAATAATGGTTGTTTGTTCAATAGATGTTTGTGCAGGAATGGGAAAAAGACTTCTGCTCTGCGGAAGAGGAACAGTTTATGAGCGAAATGGGCACGATCCATCCCCTACGGGCAACCAACAACACAACTTATAATAAGAATAAAGTTCAATAAACCCTCTTGTCTCTCTAAATGCTTGCCTTGCCTTACCTTTCCTAGCCCCGCTCCCTCCCTGCCTACCTAGGTATTCCAGCAAAAAGAACGAAAATATGCCGAACGGAGAAAATATCTCATTTCGTAAGACTTGAATGAGAGAGACTCAGAGAGAGAGAGAGTTGGATTCCATACATGAACCCCCTATCCCCGGCGCTCCCAGGGGCTCTCGTCCAATCATCCTTCACTAGAAGATCCTGTATCTGTTGGAAAAGCCGCCCAAATCAGGAGAGAAGTTCGAGAACCAACCAACCGAATCAATAAAATATCTAATTTTGAGCTTAACCATGTCTCGTTGTATCGATTGTACATGGTTGTGTGAACTTCCCCATGTGATGGATCATAGTCCTCGTGAGAGTCGTGAGGGCGTGAACTTTGTGAAGGAAAACCCAACAACGAATACTAATAATAAACAACGAGTCGAGGTTGAGGTCAATGATGGCAGCAGCATCAAGTGCTGTCTACAGAATCCGGAGGAGAAAAGTAATGTGGGCTGTGGAATGGGACCAACGATATGAAGCTCCAAGGGCTTCGTCTGTGGCAGCAACTGGCGCCAGCCTGCAAGTCTTCTCCACTCTATCAGTCTCTATGATACACTACCTGGTTTCTTCTAGAACCACAGTAGAACCCAGACGCCTGCACTACCTCCGACCCATACCGCACACACCTCGTCCAAACACCAAACACCAATGAAATAATGTACAGTACACGCGCGCAAACATACTGCCTAGGCTTTGAGGTTTCACTTCGTCGGCAAATCCCTGAACACCTTCTTCATGATGTTCTTACTCTTAAACAAATTGACAAGCCTCAAGCGCTCATTGTCCAGATGTGCAGAATCACTGGCCTGCCCACAAGGAAAGTGCGCAGCAGGTGCACCAAACTCCTTTTCTAGGAACCGGATCGCCGGAATCGAGCCACCTTCACGTATATAGAGCGGCTTTCGTCGGGGACTCGGCTTCTCCTCTTGATGAGTAGCAATTTCTTCAAGTTTGTTGGTGATCTCCGTCATGGGCGTCATGGGGCTCAGCGGTTCCAGACTACCACTAGCCAGAGTCTTGGATGTCGTTGGAGACGGCTTCGTCAGATAGTGGCCGTCAAACTCCGGAGAGACTGGTGTGATCTTCAGAGGGTGGCCGGACGACTTTCTGCGGTGATGAGTTTGGTCGATAGGTCCCCACTCCTCCATGATGGCCTCTTCAAGTGTCTTGAAAATATCGTTGTTGAGATCACCTAGCCATGGCTCGGCTTTGTGGTCGATGGTCACAAGCAGGCGATTATTCGACTCGAGCTTCTCAAACTCTGCCTCGAGATATGATGTCAATGCTGCTGAGACCTCCGTCGCTTCTTGATTCGGCACGAGGCGCATCGACAGCGCTGCTTTCGCCATGCGCGGGATGATCGTGGCGTTGTCTGGCCCAGAAGTCTGGAAACGATGTATCGTGAGCGAGGCTTCGCGCCATCTCCGCATGAGCGACGTGGCAAGTGCTCGTTGATCGCCCAGGTCTGGGTTGCGCAAAACCAGAGCAGTAGTGATGTCCTCGTACAATTCAGCTTCTTCTTTGCTCATTTCCGGCACAGGATCGTAGAAGCCCGGAATCTTGACCTCGCCGTTCTTGCCCGTGAGCGTACTGAGCAGCATGACGAGATCCTTGAGCGACTCGTCCAGTTGTGCACTGCCATCAACACCGGAGTGCAGATCAGGATGACTGCTCTCAATTTGTACTGTAGCATGAATCACACCTCGGAGGCCATATGTCAGGCACGGTATACGATCATCGAGCCAGTAGCTGTTCGCCAGCAGGATCCAGTCCACGTCACCAATCTTGTCCTTGCTCGCCTTCACAGCTCGCTCAAACCCACGAGACCCGCATTCTTCTTCGCCTTCTATGAGGAAGATGATATCAGAGCCGAGCGCTTGCTCACTCATCAACTCGGCGCATGCAAATATGGCAGCCATGATGGGTCCTTTATTGTCAGATGTGCCACGGCCGTACAAGTATCCATCGATACCTTCCATCTGGAATGGGTCCACATGCCACTTTCCACTGTCGTTACTAGCCGCTACAACATCATAGTGACCATAGAACAGGATCTTCTTGCGCTGTGAAGCAGTAGCTGGGTTGCCGCGAAACCGTGCCAAGATGATAGGATTGCAGCCGTCTTCCGCCGGCAGCATCTCCGTGGTGGCCCCAAAGTTCTTAAAGACAGAGCGCAGGTATGAGGCACCTCTCCTGCAGTCCGCTTTCAGCCTCTGATCGGACGAGACAGTACGAAAGGAGACGAAGCGTCGAAGAGACTCGACCAGCTGCTCGTTGCTGGTCTTGCTGGGGATAATGCTGAGCCTGATGCAATCGCTAACATCCCAGATGGCAATACTGTTGTCGTTCGATCCTGTTGCATAGATGGGTCGAGAGTTGTTGTAGGAGAACGCGGACGCAAGAATCCGACCGTTGTGTGCTCTCCATCTCGTCTTCAGCTGGTACTGGCGATCAAACTTACGGATATAGCCAGTCACCGCCGCACTGAACAAGAATCCACCTCCCACGGCAATCGTGTGCACATCGTCCCGGTGTGCCTTGATGTTTCGTACGAGCTGTCGAGTCTCGAGGTCCCAAACATCGACCTCACCGCCGCTGCGACCGGAGTATAGGAATGAGCCGTCCATGGCAATCGATAGGATCGAGTGTCCCTCTTCTCTCCCGTCATCCAGCGTGTATAGCTCTTCGATGGCGCCTCCATTCTTCGCATCCAGTTTCCAGAGCTTGATCGTCCCATCTCCACCTGCAGTCACCAGTGTATCCTCACCAGATCGTTCTGGCACGCCATCTTTCGCCAACAACATGCAATACACATAACCGTAATGCGCAAAATGCCTCACATTATCCTTTCCAATCTCGATGACATCTCCGCCTCTCGCATGTCGCGGCACGTAATCCGAGCCCGCGGGTCTCGGAGTCTGCACACCTCCAGGACCTCTTGAGTCGAAGAATCGATCATCTCCTCGGAGTGGCGCAGGCACAGTTGCCGCACTCTGCTGCGATATTCTGCACCATTGTATTGTCGTGTTCTGTGCTCCCAAATAGGCAGTTTCTAAGCTCGTCGAGTATGCCACGCAAAAGACATCGCCCACGTCAAAGGAGCTGTACAAGCAGCAGATTCTCTTGAGCGTCTTGGTGCTCCAAACATTGACAATTCTGTCGCCAGCACTGGAGAAGAGGAGCGTTTGGTCTTGCGAGAGATGCAGGCCCAGCACACTTCCTCGATGTCCTTCGATGACGCCCTGCTTCGCATATGTGCTCAAGCTGTACACCAGAATCTCGCCCAGCTGTGTTCCAGCATAGATGTGGTCATCGGAAATGACGATGGCAAGGATGGAGCTGGTGTGTCGCAGCCGTTGGCTGAGCGTGGGGATGGCATTGGTGGGCTCGCCAACATCGCCCTGGCTGGGCTGTCTACTCAGCGCATATCGCGATTGCTGCTGCTGCTGTTGGCGTGACGGCTGGGGTGCGTCCAGATTCGCGTCGTCGGTCTCTGAGCCTGTCATTAGCGACGACATTCCATACCCGGGAGGCGCGCTGGTATCGGAGTCCGCCGATGCAGGAGGGAAGGTGGAGATGGAGTGCGGAGTGGAGGTTGCTGGAGTTCAAGTTGGTGGTGGTAGAGGGCATCGTTCACTCGTTCTTGCAACAAAGCAGTAGTACATGTAGTCGAGTGCAGAGATCATGAATTAATTGTGCATCATCATGTGCATGAACCGCGCGTGGCATGGATAGCAATCGGAAAGAGGAAAAAGCTCCCGTGATCCAGCAAGCATCAGGTAAGGCAGAAGTAAGGCAAGCCAGGTTGGTAGAAGAGGATGATAACAATAATTATGAGGGAGATGCTCACCGGGCAAGGTTGTTGCTTCCAAGCTGTTCATCAGACTCTCCTGCTGTTGCTGCTGTTGCTGGTGCTGTTGCGCAACCAGATCCCACTGCCAACTCCCTCTCCGGCCCCAGCCTTCGGAACAGTCTCTGCGGATAGCCAGATGCATTCTGCTGCTGCTGCTGCTTCTTCTTCCTCTCCCGCATCCATCACCGTCAAGAGAAGAAGACAACAAGAGAAGGGTGAGACGGGGGAGAACTATAGGGGACTGTATACCGTACGCACTGGGCCCTTGTTGTCCTCTGTGCACGCCGCACGCACGCCATAGCGCGGTCGGCTTGCTCAACCACGCGCGAAGTTTACTGCCACGAATCAATCACGTATGACTACCTTATGCAGCGTGGGTTTCACTTGGTTCCAGTTCAATGCGCCACCGTATGCGGACAGCGGACGTGGACACTCGGCTGTTTCGGTACCTATCACGAGTAGTATAGCACAGCTACACAAGTCGTATGGCACATGGCATGTGTTCACCGCATACCCGACGACCGCTGCTGTTTGCCAGGATCGCGGTCATCATATTGATTGAGTGGCGAGATACCGAGCTACTGCCGATCATTGTGATAGATCAATCCTGTTCTTCTGTACGACAGCTGTTCTCGCCGTGCTGTGCTGGGGCGGACATGCTCGCTCCCGCCACGAAGAGACGGGTTTTTTGCCTACTTTTGGTTTTGCTTCTGCTTTTACTCAGATCGATAACCTATGATACCTATCAACTTTGGTCACGCCTCAGATCACTACGCAAAAGCTGCTTCCAGGAAGCATACTTGTTCTTGCTGAAGCGTACAAGGCGTATGAAGCTGTACTGTAGAATAATGGGGTTCGTATCTCATTTCATAACTCATTGGCAATCACTCCTGCTGCTCTGCGGCACCAAGCCTACCATTTTACTATCCAAACATGTCCCTCTTTGTGCAGTAACCACTTGGTTCACAACTCACTCTTCTTCCCCTCGGTCACCGGATCATCCTTACCAAAGTTGATGCTCACACTGTTGACGCAATGTCTCTCATCCGTCGGCGTAGCATATCCCTCTCCTTTGAACACATGTCCCAAATGTCCTCCGCAATTTGAACACACAATCTCCGTCCTCTCCATACCGAACGCACGATCCACATGTCTCGTGACAGCCCCCGGAACCGCATCAAAGAATGCAGGCCATCCACATCCCGACTTGAACTTGTGGTTGGCTTGGTATAGAGGAGCATCACATCCCGCGCACGTGTAGACTCCCTCGGTAGGGGCGTGTTTATCATATTTTCCGGTAAAGGGAGCTTCAGTGCCCTTTTCGCGAAGGATACGGAATTGTTCTGGAAGCGCAAAAGAGGGGTTAGCTGGCTTTCTGATCTTGATGGCAAGGCTAATATTGGATCTATGTTATAAGGTACCTTTGCTCAGCTGTGCCTGCCATTCCTGGTCTGTCTTTTGCACGGGATACGACATCTTGCGAGTTTCGGCGGTCGAGAAGAGAGAGCCGATAAAGGGAATTGGCATAGACGCTCGCAATGCGGTTGGTCGGACGAGGGAATGGAATGGATTTGGTGGTGTGCGGAGGGTGGTGTTCGAAAAGGCGTAGAGTGTGCGTATGAAGGTGGGAATCGACGGGAAGCGCATTTAAACCCTGGAGGATGTTGGTGGCGAAGTTGCAGGTTGCTAATTGAAAGACCAAAGAGGAGGGATAGAGGCTCTTTGAATTAATACAATACATGTACATGTACATGACCCTCTCTGTAAGGTAGATACATTACATTACCTCAGCGTTGTTCGCCATTGCCGACGTGATGTCATCATCCACGCAGTCAGTCTACCTAAGCTCACACGTCCAGTCAGGGACAGCACCCTTCGACTTCATCTTTACCTGACTTCTACCTCCTACACCGAGTCTGATGAGAGGTACAAAAGAAAGTGGCACTAGGCGAACTCTACAAAGTGGCTCGTCAATAGCGAAGTGAGGGTCCTCGTACTGACGTACATATATGTAGCTCTCTGCAACAGTCGAGAACACTACGCATTCAGAAGCAGAGGCAGCAAGATATGCAGTAGCAGTATTTGATTCCATTATGCGTTTTTCAGAGATGGGTACTGATAGGGAACAATTCAATAATGGCCTCGTCGTTTTCAATAATCGTTATTCCCTAACGCAGTAGTATATGGTCATCATTCATTTATAAAGTGAACTGCTGATTATACCAAAACGGGAGAGCTTATAGTATACGTAAAACCAATTACGCCCTTCTTGACATCTCTCAACTGTCTTTGGCAGTAGCTCGGAGCCTTTCGAGTACATATTCCCCCGCTCGGATAGGCTTGTACTGCGAGGGATTTTCTGGCGTGATGCAACTTGGCAGAGTCTCTACCATCTGATCGTAATTGATCCTACATGAGCATCATAAGTTAGTACTAATAACTGTCTGGAGAGACTGATCGATTGTTCCATGTGATGCGACTGACGAGAAGAAGAATGGGACGCTATATCGCTCACTCGACGTGCGGTTGACGACACGATGCACGGTAGATTTGAAGACGCCGTTACTCCACCGCATCAAGAAGTCCGCGACATCTGCATTCGGGGTGTCAGTATCATTCTCTTCGTCTTCCTCTTCCTCTCTCTCTTTGCGCGATACATCATTCGCGTGTGAATCGCAAGGAACCTACTGATAATAAAGCTGCCTTCCACGAACGGTGCAGCAATCCACTGGTTCTCAGGACTGAGTATCTCCAGACCAGCAGCAGTAGATGTTAACAGGATAGTAAAGCACTCATAATCACTATGCGCCCCCAGTCCAATCTCCTTATCCTTTACCTTCGAATCCAGCGGCTTCGGATCTTTCGCGGGAGGATAATACAACAACCTCGCGATACCCCCGGGATGGGTCATCATATCATCGAAATAGTCCTCTTCCAACTCCAACGCCAACGCAAATAGTCGAAACAGATGTCTCGCAAGCTGCAGAATCGAGCCGTAGTATTCCTGCACAGCCGCATAAAACCCCGGTAGAATGTCTTCGTCGGGCCACACATTCGCGTTGATGGCAGCGCCATCGAGTTCACGATACTGTCCATCACCGCCCGTGGGGTCGAGACCGGCTTCATAGCCCCAGTTGAATCCCTCTTTCGTTTCGGGCGCGGCTTCGGCTGCGTTCCAATCGCCCGGATTGACGTACGTGAAATCGGCAGGTTCCCATCCTCGGAAGTATGGGGAATGTCTGACATGCAGGGCCTCCTTCTTCTCTCGCGGATAGTCTTTGGTAAAACGTTGGGCAGCCTTGAGGATCGTCTGGCGTTTCTCTTCGGCAATGCCGTGGCCTGTGATGTGGAAAAATCCGCTGTTCATGCAGGCATTGCGGATTTGAAGGGCTACTGCTTTGCGATCTTCGAGTTTGGAAGAGAATGATTTGGCGATGTTGATCTCTGGAACATCGAATGGCCGGGTTGACTTGTTGGTGGCACTATCTGCTAATCGTTGGTCGAGATAAGCTTGTGCTGTTTTACGAGCTTCATGTTGTGTGGTATTAGATGCAGCTACGGCTGCTGCCATCGTGATTAGTCTTGTCGTTTGAAAGGCGGAAGAACCACTGGAAGTTGTTATACCGCGATACCTAGCTACCTCGAGGCTCGAGGGAGGAGGAAAGAAGATACTGTATAACAGCCCGGGCAAGAAAAGCGGGTCCATTGCTTGGCATATCTGGTTCGGTCTTGCGTAACATGTGCAACGATCAATCCGAGTTTTGATCTTCTCGGAAATACCCCAAAAGACCATGGATGCGAGAGAGCACGAATTCAAAGCGTCAAGAAAGGCGTTCAGAATTGCAGCGAGCATACAGTGAGAGCTTCTCAACTCTGACAGGGTGGCGAACTACGAGAGCATACTTTACGGATCCAATAACTCTGCGCCCCTAAGGAACCGGATTCGCTCATAGGAAGCCATGTGAGCATGAGGTACTATGTAACTTAGGAATGTTGTAAACTATTAGGAGGTATCACTGAATTTTATCAGATCGCTTACTGCTGTTACAAGCCATACCGAAATGTCAATCGCTCATCGCCCTGCCGACCTTCTTCCAGGCCCGCTCTTCGCGCCAGCTTGAGCAGTCCACTGCTTTTCGCGACGCGCATACGATAGTCGTCGGGAGCAGGAACATCGCCCAGCGTGTCTTCGCGTTCTTTCTCCTCTGCACTCCAGCTCCGAAGCACATCATGTCGCCATCTGTTCTCACGTATGATCAAGACTCGGAAACTGGCGAATCCGACGAGGGATGCGAGGACACAGACTAGCAATATCGAAAATGATCTTACATAACCTGCAGCTTTGTCTTCCGGTCTGAAGAGGACTGATACAAAGACGCCCGCGAGATTTCCCCATCCATTGATGCCGAGAAGAATCGCGCGCTTTCCGGGTTCTGGAGTATTGTTGGCTAGCCATGCTACTGTCAGTGGCGAGGCTATGAAAGAGCCTGACAGCAGAACACAAAGTGAAAAGTACCGTAGCCAGTAATGTCCGATGGGCGCAACGACTGTCAATGTCAAGCCCAAGAGCAATATCAGCAGGCCCCAGAGGATAGGTGCAAGCCGCCTCTGTGCACGATCAGACCAGATTACGAAGACGAACAGTGCCATTGCACCAAACGCGAACGGAGGCGCTGAAAGCAGATTGGAGGCTGCTGGCGATAGATTCAAAGATGGCGATAGCTCCTTCACTAGGATTGGCAGTAGCACACCGAAGGCCGTTGCTGGGATTGCACTCAGCACGTTGCATACCAACAAGTGCCAGATCTTGTAGTTGAAGACGGCGGACACAACATCATGCGTGCTCAAGCCTGCATCCCGTGTGACGGAGGCAGCTGAGATTGTCGACTTTTGTCGCTGCTCTGGCGACAGCGGGTCCTCTTCGTCCAGAAGTCGTTCGTGTGATTCATCGCCTGCGTGGTCATAGCGATTGCTCAACACTCGTGCATCAGGATCGTAATCACTATGCAGCATACTGCTGTTCACATCATCGCTGTCGTGTTCAATCTTGACATCATTTTGATGCACATCCTCTCTCATGCGCGATTCGGCCCACGCCCTTTCTTCCGCATTCAAGAACCATGCGGAGTCTGCAGATCGTGGTAGCCATGGAAATCCTAGCAAAGCCACTGTCATCGTGAGACATCCCTCAATCAGGAAGAGGACTTCCCAACTCTTCCAGCCCGCAGTACCTTGCGCCCGGCGTGATGGAGGCCCCAGGTTGGGCGCATCGGGATTGTCGGTATGTCCTGGGAACTCTGAGAACACTGCCCAGCTCAGAATACCGCCGACCACTCCTGCTACAGCAGTCATGCCGTAGAAGAAACCCAGCCGCGTGGCGAACTCGAACTTGGTGTAGAAGAGGCTCATGTAGCTCACCGTGGTCGGGTAGAAGCCTGCCTCGAGCGTTGCAATCAAGACTCTCAACACAATCAAATGCCATCTCTTCCGCACAAAGATGTGAAGAATGGTCGTCAGGCCCCACAGACTCATGCAGATCGGCACATAGCGGCGCATACCAAATCGGCGACCCAAAGCTGCTCCCACAGGCTGCAGGAGAACAAACACGAAAAAGAAGATGCCCATGGAAGTGTGCACATCTTCTCGCGAAAGGCCCGTGTCTTGGGTGAAGCCTGCGGTTTCTGCATTGCCAATGTTGCTCTTGTCCAGGCTGTTCAGCAGAAAGAGCAGTGCCAGGAATGGCAGTAAAATGGTATCGAGCTTCCGCACTGTCCGTCGGTTGATATCCAGCTGTCGCTCTGTTCTTCCTGATGCTTTGGCGCTCAGCGGCTGTCTCTCGTGGTGGTGACGCTCACGGCGTGCAGATGGTATGCCGCTGCCGTCCATGTGGTCTTCCGACGGTCGTGTTTCCTCCACTTCTTCCTCTTGCTCATCCAGCGAGTCGCGGTGCAGTTTCTGGAGCTCATGGTCGGAGTTAGGGGAGTCGGGCATGCTCTACGGCGGTGAGCGCGCTCAAGGTCATTTGCGACATGGCTCTCGTGGACATTGTCGTCAGCGGTGGAACGTGGTTGTTCGTGCTGTAATCCTTGAAATCTTGAGACCCGGAGACCCGGAGCCCGGAGCTCGCTGGCCGAGGTTGTTGCCAAGGCGTTTGAACCGTGGTCCTCTAGCGTGAATGGGCTACTGTGTATATGAATCTTTCCATGATCAGGCAATGACCACAAGTGGTTACGGTCGGTCTGTAGAGACTAGGTAAGGCTCCGGTTTCGACAAACCTCCGGGCCACTCGGCAAGAAACCAACCACCCCGAGATCTCAGCCCACCTCGAAATCTTTATCGTTATCTCCTTCATCCTCAAGATCTTGGCCTCTAAGCTATAATTTGGCATTCTCGACCGTGTTGCCCTTATCTGAAACTTCACTGTTATAGCTATAATAATACTCCGAGTCTACGCTAGTTTGCTCAGTCTTATTACATATATGTATATAGTATAGAATATACCTATAAAGTATGTTCTCTTTAGAAACGGAAGAAAAGATAGGAATAAAAGACGAAAGGGTAGCCAACGAGAGCTTTGAAGACAAAATGTTGATAGGGCCGGTCTAGCTGCCCGATAAGGCATAGCAAATTGAGAGCTCTCTCTCTCGGGAGATAGGACTACTGAAGTAGAGAGAAAATACAGCATCGAAGGTATATCGCTATTGAAGCGAAGCGTTGGAATTGTTTTGGTCGGGAAAATTGATATTAATGAAGACTCAAGTTTTCATTAGCAGGAGTCTACATCCGAGCCCCCCTCGGATATAGGAGCTTGCAACTGTTGCATGAGCACGTCAGGCTTAGTCCAGTCCGGTATCTGCGCCACCCACGCGGCATCCTCTGCATGCGGATCACAGTCCGATTCAAGAACGTGCTTGAGAAGCGCGGCTTGAACGACGATTTCAGTGACGTTGTAGGGATTCAGTGGTCCGTTGCGCCCACAGTATGCACGGAATATCCTTTCAAAGACGAGAGCATCCCCCGCCCATGTCATGAGCCCCTCAACGAGCGCAGTTTGGCTCTGCCTCGGCCACACTTGCGACTTGATGCGGTTCACAAGGCCAGGTTGTGGTCCTACGCGTGGCCGGAACACCTCAACCCGGGTGAAACGTTCTCCGTTCTGATCTTGCTCGGGTTCAGCGCTAGGTTGACGAAGATGGCGTCGCTTGGCCAGTGGAATTATACACTCGTCAGCTAGCTTGCGCTCAACGTGAAGCCTGGACCACTTCTCTTGGATGGTTTGCCATCTGGCCCTTTCTGCTTTTGCGTGAGCGGCCTCCAATTCTGCGGCCTCTCTAGCTTGAGCGTGTCTGGCTTCCCTTTGTTCACGCTGCCGCTCCTCATCGTATTCGAACACCTCTCGCTGCAAGGCGTTGTGAACCTTTCTGAGTGGCACGAGAATCCCTCTTGTGACGTCTCGCACAACAACAATTTGAGGTCTGACATAACGTTTTGCTGAATCTCCCAGTTTGAGAATGGTACCTGTGAACCTCTTGATGTCCTTCACGTGCGTGATAGTCACAGACATGCCATCGGTGTCTTTCTGTAAGTCTAGCGCCTTGTAGCATCTGATCAAAGACCACAGAACTCGCACAAGCGCAGGAAATAGGCAGAAGTAAATGCTTTGACTCTGCAAGCGGTTTCTTTCTCTATCCGCGTTTTCCTCACAAAGTACCTCAACCTGGGACCGGACAGTCTCGAGGCCTCTCGGCAGCCCTGATAGTAGCTCTGCGTCATCTGGCGATTCTCGAAGCTGGCGAAGGTGTTGTCGGAATGACCTGCAGGCCAACCGCAATTCATCGATAGTTGCATCAAGTAGTTCACCATCGCCCATTGCCTCGACTTTGGGCACTACATTGGTGTAAATATTTTTGACCACGATGTATTGTTGCCCCAGAGAGTCCCCGTCGTCCTCCACGCCGCGTCCAGAGTCATCGTGGAGCTCTTCATCCGCTGCAAAGACCTTCGGCAGTGCAGTCGTACTTTTACGCTTCAACTTCGCGGCCTTAGTCCTCTTGGGCACTCGCTGGACTTTGCTCTTCTGAGACGCAGTGCTAGCCTGGGCTTCGTGGGTTTGCTCGACATCTTCGTCTTGTTCTTCATTCGCACGAGGATCACCATTAGGAGCACTTTCGTCTTTGCCACCAGAATTTACAGTCGTCGGTGTTTGTACAGGATAGCCCAACTCACTTAGACGGATTTTCGTTGGCTTCGCGCGCGTCGTATCCTGGTTCTCAATGAGAGGTCCTTTGCCTTTCGCTGACTTGTACGTTCGTCGTACAGGCTCGGCTTCCTCTGGCTCCCCATGACCTTCACCATACTCATGAGGAACATTTTTTGCCAGGCTAGCACTTTTCCGCGAAGCTTTACTGCCAACTTCCTTCGGTGAGCGCCCCCGTTTAAGAGGAGTTACAGGGGCCGCAGTGCTTACAACCACAGCGCCACCACGACGCGGACTGACGATGGGACTATCGGCGTTCTCGTCATTCTCTTTCGCCGGAACAGATGGCAATGCATGTCGTTTGGCGCCGCCCACGGATTTTTCAGCGGGCGTCAACTCACTCGTCGCCTGCGCTCGGAAGGATCGCCTTGGATGTGTTAGGTCGGCCGTGCTATGTAGCTCCTGGGCAGTTTCGTGATCTTCTACGGCGGCCTGATTCGCTAACGTATCCTGAGGCTGTACGGTAGACGCTGCTGGCTGCTGTTTCTGTCGTGGGCGCAAGGGTGAGAAATCAAGCGCTTGAGCGCGTGGCCGTCTCAACTTTGGTATTTTGAGCTGCTCAGGAGTGTCGGGGATATCATAGGTTTCTGCACGAGCAGCTCTTGGGAGCGCGTGCTGTTTGGCTGATCGTCGTCGATGACCAGAAGGAGCCTTCGCACGCAGCAGAGTGTCCCTGGATGGTCGAGGCAGAGGACCCATCGTGGCTATTTCTATGCTGCCTCAGGCGTGGATGATGTTTGCTCATTGCAATATTCGCGTTTGTTGGCGTGTAAAGCAAAGGCGCGTCAAGTGGAGGCGCGTCGGAGTTGCCATGGCCAACACCAACCATCTGTAGGAGGTGCCTAGTCTCACAGTCATCAGACCCCTCTTCGCCAACTTAGCCTATCATGCCGATGAAACGCGCCCGAACGAGGAATAGCGTGCTCAGGCCGGATGAGCACCCGCTGAGACCAACGCATCTAGCCTGGCCGTCTATGCGCCAAACTTGGCAATCCTTTCAACTACACCTACATATGTCCATCCACTACCTGCATTTACCTCTCGACCATGGCGGACACCATGAATGAAAAGAAACATCCAGAATTGGAACGCATCGCAGACCCTGCTGCATACGAATACCAGCTTCCTTCGAAGAGAATCAACGATGGCGACGATCTCACTTTCTTCTTCGCCTCGACTGCTTACAGGGACTTGCTGTCATGGCTGCTTCAGCTCACGCGAGCCATGTTTCCTGAGCAAACTGACGAGGGGAAGGTGTTGTCATGTACACTGGACAAGCCGCCGCACTATTCGAAGCAAGTCCTGGCGCTTCAATCTCTGCTACATGATCTCCTCGGCCTGATCGACCAAGCTCCGCCTGACACAGGAGCCCGGAGATTTGGCAACATATCTTTTCGCAAATGGTTCCAACTTGCCGAACAGAAGGCTCCCATCCTGTTACAATCATATCTGGGAACGTTCTTACCAACTCTATCCGGAACGAAGCCGGAACACACGAGTCTGCTGGACGAGCTGAAGGTGTATCTCCTCGGAAGCTTTGGCAGCTCGCAGCGACTCGATTATGGCACGGGACATGAATTGAGCTTTCTCGCATTCTTGGCCTGTCTCTGGAAAGTTAATGTCTTTGATGCAGGAGAGGAGCAGGCTATCGTCATCGGTATTGTCCAGCCATACCTAGCACTGATGCGCAAGCTCATATTGACCTACACACTGGAGCCGGCTGGATCGCATGGAGTATGGGGCCTCGATGATCATAGTTTTGTTCCATATATCTTTGGGTCTGCCCAGCTTGGCCCGCCTATCAAATGTAGCGACGTGGCCTCGCCCCTGCCAACAGAAGGCTCTCTCCCAGAAGCACCATCCCCAGCTTCCGTGGCCAATAAGGCTGTCGTAGCAGATTATCGAGACATCAACATGTACTTCTCCGCCATACAATTCATCTACGACGTCAAGACAGGGCCTTTCTGGGAGCACTCCCCGGTTCTCTACGACATTAGCGGTATCAAGGATGGCTGGGGCAAGATCAACAAAGGGATGCTCAAGATGTATGCTGCCGAAGTGCTGGGCAAATTTCCTGTGGTTCAGCATTTTCCTTTTGGTAGTCTGTTCTCATGGCAGAGGGATCCACGAGCAGCGGAGACCACGGCAACCTTTCACGCGCAGCAGCAGCCTCCGCAGAGCAAGGATGTACCGCCAGTGGCTTCAATTCCATCAGGTACTGCCGCGCCTTGGTCTCACATAGGCAACACAACCCTGCCCCAGATGCAAGCAAGCACTGGAATGCCAAGCACGAGAGCGCCGTGGGCATCAAACTCAGCTCTCGATAGACATATGTCAACGACAGCACCGCGCATGGCCGCACCGAGGATGATGGCTGTGGCATCTGCCCGAATGGGTGCTTCCAATAGTAGTTCGGATACTTCGGCATCTACGGCTGCTCCCTGGGCATCAAACGGCCAGCCTGGTATTAGCGGTGTGCGGGCCATGCCGTCAACAGCGGCACCATGGGCGAAGAAAGACTCTGGAAGCTGAGTTCATCATGAGCATGATATTCTTGTCATCTTGCGCGACTCGGTCCGACCTTGACCAGCAGAACACCGAGTCGGTGTCACAGGTGAGTGGAATCATTGCCTACACTCTCAGCAGGTCACATTTTGAAACACCATTGTGGGCGCACGTCGCGTTTCACTGACGATACTTGATGGCGTGTCACTGTGTCAGATCTGAGGCGACCCAGCATGATGATTCCTTGCCGACCAGTATGGTGGAGGAATACATAGGATGAAGCTGGGAGAACGAGACATGGAGTTGCCAGCCAGAAGGCGCCGTGCCTCTTCGTGGAGCAAAGGTCCTTCGATCATGCTGGCTCATTCACTCCAAACCGTCCTGCGTGGCAGCGCGTGGACGGTGAATGGTGAACGTGCTTTGGCATGTGTCTTTTCTTGGGGGTTCGGGGGATAGATAGCAAGGATAAACCTCCGTCGATCAACAGCGCATAATACAGACGACAGGCCAGCCTAGCTTAGCATCGTGTACGGACCACGCTATTTTAGTGTGCTCGTGGAATACACCTGAGCACACTTTTTGCTCAAAGCTGAAATAGCTGTCGACCTATCAGAAACGTCCGCGGCAAGGTCTGGCATCTCTGGCGGTATTGCTAGCGCCCCATATTCTAAAGTCTAAAACCGCTGTTCAAGATATTCCCGAGTGTCCCGAGAGATGGATGTCCCGAGAAATGATCCGTTTTTCGTGGGTCTTGTGCAGCTCAGATTGGATGGCGTGGGATCTCAGCGGGGAGGTGAGAATGAATTGATATTGATGAGGAAATACCTGATCTACAGTGCCTGCCAGGAGAGCAGCTCGGTGCATTGTCCCTGGTCCCCATGCCTGTACTGTAGATTACCCTTTCCTACGGATCCGCACACATAGGGAGGTAGGAGGTACGGAGGTAGGAGGTACCGCAGTACCTACTGTAGATAGAATCTGAGTCCTGGTCGGCATGTGATCGTCAGGTGCGCTCGGCGATCAGGGTTTGGCGCACTAATTCTAGTTCACCACAATTGAGTTGCATATGCGAGACTGAGGAACGCCACCGCGCAATACCAAGCCTACGTTCGAACGGCACGCGGTCAGTGGTCAGTGGTGTAGAGGGGACGGACGTACAGCTGCTTGGAGAGCACTCAGCTGACGGACCCGCTGCTGACCGTGGACATGCGAACTGCTCCTGCCAAAACCACCTGTCGTTCTCTCGAAGGAAGGAGGAGCCCACCCGCGCACCTCCCTTCACGGCGGATCGACATGGACATTCCGACATTGGATGACTGGACAGGTTCAGGCCACGAGCACGAGCACGCACACCCATCGCCAAGCCGAGACCTCGCAAGGCGCAAGCAAGCACCAGCTGGTCAACCATCGTCCGCACTGATATCCCATCGCGCCAGGGCATGGCGCTGCTGTGCTTGTGCGTCACCCGACCGGGCGACCTAGAGCGCTAGGTATCGCATTCGCAGGCTCGGCCTCACTACCTTATTGTAAGCGACATATAGTAAGTCCACTACATTCCCTTTGTTCTGCATTCATCATCATCATCATCTCGCGCCCTCTCTCTCTTCCCCCCCACTCTACGCCACCCGCCTTCGCGGTGTGAGTTCAGGTTGTACTGCAGGAACAGACACCATTGTGATATCGCCATTCGAGGCATCTATTCCTCTCGAGCATCATATATCCTCCCCTCCTTCAGACCTACTACCACCCAGACCACCGAGCCAGGAAAGGGCTGAGTCGCAGTCATGGCCACGGCCACGGTCACGCAGTTCGTCACCCAGACGGTGAACTCCACGGCAGCGACGGCCACGAGCACGCATCGAGCAACACCCCAAGGAGGTATCCTGGAGGGCGTGGATCCAACCCACTATGATCCCAAGGTTTGAATAATCACTTCCTCCCAACGGCCCGAGTCCATTGGAGCTGATCGAATTGGCACATGCAGAATCCCATCATCCTATTCATCATCCAAGCCGGCATCATCATCATCTTCTGCCGTCTCCTCCATTGGCCTTTGTCCAAGATCCGCCAGCCTCGTGTGATTGCAGAAGTCATTGGGGGCATCTTACTTGGTCCTTCCGTGATGGGACGCATCCCAGGCTTCACCGCCGCAGTCTTTCCCACCGCTTCGATACCGAATCTCAATAACGTTGCGAACCTCGGCCTCGTCCTATTTCTATTCCTCGTTGGGTTGGAAGTGGACCTGAGATTCTTCTTCAGCAATTGGAAAGTCGCATTGAGTGTGGGCGCTGTGGGAATGATACTACCCTTTGGATTTGGATGTGCAATAGCTTGGGGTTTACATCATCAGTTCCAGGGTGAGCCGAATATTGTGGACATCAGTTTTGGGACATTCATGTTGTTCATTGGTATAGCTATGGCTATTACTGTAAGAGCGCTTTCTGGTGGATGTGGAATGGGACACTGATTGCTCGCAGGCGTTCCCCGTGCTGTGTCGTATCTTGACGGAGCTGCAACTGCTCCAAACTTCTGTCGGCATCATCACGCTTTCAGCGGGAGTGACCAATGATGTCGTGGGATGGATTCTTCTCGCTCTCTGTGTTGCACTGGTCAATGCTGGAAGTGGTTTGGCTGCGCTCTGGGTCTTGCTGACCTGCATTGGCTACGGATTGTTCCTCTTCCTCGCTGTCCGGCCCGTCTTCATTTGGTACCTGCGACGAAGCCGAGCTCTGCAGGACGGACCATCCCAGGCCGTGATTGTGACTACGCTGTTGATCGCCCTGGCATCGGCTTTCTTTACCGGTGTTATTGGTGTCCACGCCATCTTTGGCGCGTTCATGGCTGGCCTGATTTGTCCTCACGAAGGTGGTTTCGCTATCAAGATCACGGAAAAGCTCGAGGACTTGGTCGGCGCCCTGTTCTTGCCGCTCTACTTTGCACTGTCTGGTCTATCCACCAACATCGGACTGCTCGATAATGCCATAACTTGGGCCTATGTCGTTGGCGTGATAGCAGTCGCCTTCATCGCAAAGTTCGTTGGAGGAACTATTGGAGCGAAGATCAATGGGCTCGTCTGGCGCGAGTCCTTTACCATTGGAGCCCTCATGTCGTGTAAAGGCCTGGTTGAGTTGATTGTACTCAACATTGGTCTGCAAGCCCGCATATTGAGCACGAGGACCTTTACTATTTTCGTAGTCATGGCATTGGTCACTACTTTCGCCACCACTCCCCTGGTGCAGCTGCTCTATCCTCCATGGTACCAGCGCAAGCTCGAAGCGTGGAAGCGTGGCGAAATCGACTGGGATACCGGCAGGCCGCCCAGCAGCTCGGAAAGTGACATTGTACCTCACGAGAACGAGGAGTTCTCCAAGGTGCGAAACCTTCTCGTCTACCTGCGTTTAGACAACATGCCCACCTTGCTGGCGTTTGTGTCTTTATTGGGCACGAAAGCCACGGAAATTGTAAACAAGGAGCATCCCATGAAGGGAGGTGAGAAGTTTGTGGAGGATTCTCAGGCGATTGAGAAGTCCCAGAGAGTCAACGTTCATGGCGTTCGCCTTCTGGAGCTCACGGAGCGAGGCTCTTCTGTCATGAAGGTGACAGAGGTGGACGAGTACTCCCTCCTTGACCCCATCATCAACGCCTTTAGAGTATTGGGGCAAATGTTTAATCTTTCTGTCTCGGGCGAGGTGAGTCACGTCATTCAGCCATCGAGGTCTCCATGCGCATACTAATCATTGTAGATTACCGTTGTCCCCGAAAGCAACTTCGCCGATACGCTTATTCAAAAGGCTGTGGAAGAAGTCTCCGACCTGCTCCTCATCCCGTGGAGTGAGACTGGAACGTTGAGTGAAAAGCAGGCCGTTTCGAACGACAGCATTCAAATCAAACTCGCGAGCGAATCGTACAGCACATTCGTGCAGGAAGCACTCAACACGCCGCAATGCAATACGGCCGTATTCATCAACCAAGGCTTCTCCGGATCGCTGAAGCCAAAGCAATGGTCTCTGCCTTGCTCGCTGAGCGCCATGAGTGTCCGAAGTCAACGAGGTCACAACACGACATTTCTCAACGTGGATCAGAGTCATCACATCTTCATGCCATATTTCGGCATGGGTGCAGACGACTTGGTAGCTTTGCGTATCGTGCTGCAACTTGCAGAGAACCCAGGGGTGACGGCTACCATCGTACACTACGAATCGGAAGAGAGTATCGAAACTTACGCCGAGGATGTCACTCCCACGAAACCATCAGAGTCGAAGAAAATGGAGATTCTCAGAGTTCTCTCATTGGGGACGAAGACTGAATCTACCACTGGAGGTCCCTCTGCACTCTTCACCACACTCCGAAAGTCCATGTCCGCAGACATGGCTCGGCGCGTGGTTTTCGACACGGTACGGCATAGCAAGGATCCGGTCCAGGATGCACTGGCCCAGGCGCAGCAAGAGGTTGGTCAGAATCCCAAGAATGGAGGCGATATTATTGTGGTTGGCAGAAATGTGAATCATTTCAAACAGAGCGGCAGCACCAGCAGCATCACATCTGACTGTCTCGGAACAGCTGCAGATACTTTTGCTGGCAGCGGCATCAAAGCGAGCTTACTCGTGGTACAGGCGAAAGACTCTGGATTGGCATCGTGATGCGATTTGGTGTGCATGGAATGGGAGTTTTAAGTCATGTTCATATCAGAGATACCTTACCTGTCCATGGTCTTTAGATTTACGAATTTACGATGTCAATAATGAGAGAAGTACATTTATTATCAATATCACATTCGCACTCTTTCGGCTCTCTGATGATGATGGTGGTGGCAACGACCGCATCCTTCGATGCATCAATTGGACGGTATTTTTCCAATGAGCTCGCGACATCCCACGTACATTGTATGTGCGAGTACCTACATACCTGTACATAGCATGTGCTCTATTGCTGATTTTCTGTGTCTCTTGTCATCTTCCTCTTCTTACCGGTACTTTAGGTACATACCTTACGTACTTACCTAAGAAAGTGAGGTGGCGGCCTTTTTTTTTTACATGTGACGTTGATGATGATGAAGCCACAGGACGGAAATAGTGGGGCAGGAGCTTGGTTGGAGTCGTTGGACTAGCAAATAATATGGTATAACAACGGCAGTTGTGCTGCCTATGCTTGGCTTGCAGACCAGACCTGCGCGGATTCGTGTAGAATGGGTGGAAACTAACTAAGGTAACTCCTCGTGTTGGCAAGGATATTACATTCACTACATCATCCGCATACGGGAACGGGCAGGCTAAAAGACTTTTTGAGTCAGGATATTTCAAGCGGTCAGGACGTCAGGTATAGTAGATGGATGTTTTGATGGAGTACACCGCATTTTGTAATAAAGTGAATAGTACGGTATAGACCGTACAGTAGTATAGTGGACGGTAGGTTATCTGCTAGGGCGCCTGTAGAAAGGGCGGTCTGGTTGTTTCGATCGAGATCGTTCTCTCTCTCGGTGATAGTCTACCTCCTAGTCTGGTCCACCGGCTATACTGTTGTAAGGCTGGAAGGAGGAGTAGGACAGTTTAGTAGGACGTAGTGTAGAACTAGCAACTCCCTTGAGAACTGCCGTCCGTTGCTACCTCCCAGGAGGCAGTAGGAGGTAGAACTACCTCGTTCTCAATGATGGCGTGGGTATAGCCACTCTTGCTGGACATTCATGAATTCGTGAATCATCTGCTCCAGCCTCCGTACGACCGGGAACGGAGGAGTTCCTGCAGGCATCTGTTTTGCAGATGCGTTGTACAGCATTGCAACGTGGCCAATGGGACTGCAGAGGCTCTTCCTCCCCGGTTTTTGTCGTGGACGATGGCATGCATGTGACAAAAGAGCACGGAGGCTGCGAGAGGGTGGTACCAACAAACGCTCGAGAGAGCGGTGGTTGTCAGAACGGACCGGCACGATTCATGTTGGATGATGGTAGGAGGTAGGAGGCAGGGAGCGGAGCGTAGGTCAGGGTCAGTTACCTGTAGATAGCCCAGAGGTGGGAGTGGGTGTGAGTGGGTGAGTCGTATGACGAGCAGCGTCATGTGTCTTAGTATTCACGTCCTATGCATCGCTTCCCGTTCCTGGCAGTGTCATCTGCTGCGCCCTTGCTACCTCCTGTGGAGACCCCAGATTGTTCCCTCCCACAACTCCAGTTCCAGCTCATACCTAGGAGGTAGTCGTGGAGAATATGTCTCATCTAGCTCCAATCTTCAATAACTCTTGTCGGCTGCAAAGGGACACGCGCCTGATCGCTTCCTGTTAGTTCTACCTCCTAGTGGTTGCATCGCTTCCGCCCGACGGACTGCTCAAAATGATCTGATGCGTGGCGCCTGTGACCATTTTCCATTCCCGCCGCCGAATGACAACAGTGCGATTGGTCCCAAATCATCTCGATTGCAACGTGACGTGGACTCTCGATCCGACTTCATCAATGCCACCGCCACCTACCGAGCATCCAGTGTCGTTCGCCGTACACTGCATATTCATCGAGCAGCCCAGACGAATGGCCAGTCCGCATGGCTTGGCTATTAGGCACCACTCTGCCGACATGCGGAAAGTACGGTGACCACAGTGAGCAGGAAGATGGTTCCCCGACAAAGTCTGGGAGCAAGACGGTACCCTCAAAGCCATCACAATGGCTGCCTTCTCTGCCAGGAGCTACATATGCTCCCTTCCAAATAGCAGAGGATCTGCTCGACACGGTCCGCTGGACGGGGCTGTTTGGACAACACACAAAGAGCAAGGCCGAGGCAGCGAAAGCTCTGCAAGAGTTGCGCATGCGAGCAGCAGAGAATGGGCAAGAATGGAGGGCATCTGCACAACAGTTGGACATGCTCGAGGGCAACGACTTCTGGCGACTGGAGGACGAGGAGGATGAAGACTACGATGTAGCCCTGCTCCGCAATCGACTGCGAGCTCTTAAGCAGGCCATCAATAATCGAGACATGGAGGCCATGTTGTACCACATTCGCAATCATCTCAAACGAGACTTGGGAGGAATGTGCAACCCCGAGCTCTACCGGCATTGTCGTGTAGGAACCAAGTTCTTGATTGATGAATACACCACCGTGGTGAGCTACACGATTGAGCAACTGATTGACTACTGCGAGAACGATCCCACGGCGGATGTGAAACGGTACAACGAGACGTTGAAACTGGCTCGCACTTCGTTTGGGAAGACTGCACTCATGTTGTCGGGAGGTGGTACCCTTGGCATGTGTCACATTGGAGTCGTGAAGAGCCTGATTGAAGAGGGTCTGTTGCCATCCATCGTCTGCGGTGCATCGGCGGGCAGTATTGTGGGCTCGGTTCTCTGCACACACAAACGCGATGTCATTCTGGCGAAGCTGGACGAACTGCAAAAAGGCGATCTCAAGGTGTTTCAGAGCGACGACGAAATGCCGGGCTGGATTGGAGCTACGGTCAACATATTGAAAGGCGAGCCTGCCTTCAATGTCGGCAATCTCTGTCGCGTGATGCGCAATCTCCTGGGAGACATCACGTTCAAAGAGGCGTACAACTTGACGAGAATGATCCTCAACATCCACGTGTCATGCAAGGACAAGCATAATGTGCCTCGTCTACTCAATTACATCTCGGCGCCGAATGTGGTCATCTGGTCGGCCGTCGCGTCTTCTTGTGCTGTTCCGTACGTGTTTGAGGCTCCAGGACTGAAATGCAAGAACGCAGCGACGGGCGAGATTGAGCTGTGGGGACACTTGGACCACAAGTATATTGATGGCAGCATCCAGGCAGACTTGCCATCGGCCACTCTCGAACGCATGTTCAACGTGAATAACTTCATTGCGTGTCAAGTGAATCCTCATGTTCAACATTTCCTGCAGAGCGAGCAGGTGTCGAACTCGACACTCCTGCAGAATGTGCTCTCGGTCAGCAAGTCCAATTTCATATTCGCCCTCGACAACTTTATGGAGTCGATATGGGACCCGTTTCTCCTGAAGATGCTCCATGCCGTGATCACGCAGAAGTATGATGGCGACATCACGATCTTGCCGGAGATCTCATGGGTTGGGATATTAAAGATTCTTGCCAATCCCACCCATGAGTTTATGGAACAAGCAACGCGGCATGGTGAACGGGCGACGTGGCCCAAAATCGACCGCATTCGCAATACTGTGGCCATTGAGCTGGACTTGGAACGCGCAGTGAACAGTACGACTGCCGCTTCCATCATGAAAAGTCAAAATCGAGGGAAAAGACACAAAAGAGCATCATCTACCAGGTCTGAGTTTGGTCTTTCACGCACACGATCACAGATTGGCTCTTTTGAAGATGCAATTGCCGTACCACGCCTCGTGCGGGGCCGGAGCAAATTGAGCCACAACCCCATCAGATCGATGATTGAAGGTTCGACACTTTCACCATTCCAACTTGCTAGTTTAAATGCTGGCGACACCGTACTGTCTTCTTCCGATGAGAAGTGTTCGGGTCACTCATCTCCCACGACTTCATACGAGGATGAGGATTTCGACGATGTCGCCAATCGTGGCGTGGCAGAACGTCCAGTAGGCGGCGGATTGGACATCAGAGATGCTGATCGTCGACTGACGGCTTTCCTTTCTCAGCCGGTGTCACCCAGCATGTCGTACAAGAACTTTTTTGCCACTGAGAGCCCATCACGGCCGACTTCGCCAGACCTCAGGCGAGCATTTAATGGCTTGCACATGTCGAGTATCGGCAGTCCGACCCCATCACCAGAACGAAAGAGGTCACAGCGCAAATCGACTTTAGCGCCGAAGGGACCGTGATTTGTCGCTCGTGAGATGTAGCAACGAGTAGCGCTTGCAAGAGTCGAATGAACACTAGCATGGTGCATGGGTGATGAAGCATGCTGATTGGAACGAGCTTTTTTTATACCCGTGGGAATGTGTCAAGGACGACACTATTACTCACAACAGATTTTCTTCGTCTGAATAAAATACTTAGATAGCACAGCAGGCTTCTCATCGGCCATATGGAATGTAAGCGCAAGCTTTCCTCACCTACAGTTACCTAGTCATCTTCTTCCTACTGTACATATTTCTCTCCAGAAGAGAAACACATGATCCTGTCTCTTTCTCTCGTTTCTTTTTCTTTTCTTTTTCTTTCTTTCCCAGTCCACTCTCATCATCACACTCACACACTACTCCCCCAACCCCCCTCCTCATCCAAATTCACCACGACAGGCTCCCTCCCACTCCTCACAATGGCCCACACGACCTCCTCATCCGTCTCATTCACCTCTTGATGTTCCGCCCAAGCAGGAATCAGAGCAAAATCCCCCGGCATCAAGACTTGTTTTTTCGTACCCCCTTCACTCACAATCGTCCCTTGACCACTGAATGCGAAGACGATGGTATTTTCTTCTCCGTGATGATGGATTGCGGATGCCGTGTGTGGTGCTGCTATCATGCGTGTTGCGCAGATGTTGGAAGAGACGTTTACGAGGGCGTTTTGGCGCGTCATGCCCTGTGTTTGGGCGCCGCTGCTGTTGGAGCCGAGGGTGGAGGAGGGGGTTACGAGGATGGGGTTTTGGGGGGGCATGGTTTTGGGATTGGGTTGTGGGAGTTGTGGGAGTTGTAGGTTGTGGGTTGTGGGTTTTTGTTGGTTTTTGTTTTGGTGAATTGCTGTTGCTTGCCACTTGGTAATTGGCTTGTTTTCCACCAGCGAGGAAGTTGGAGATACCTTGGCTACGGATTTTATTCTCTACGGAGGTCATGGTATGCGGACCAAAGAGAGTTCATCTACATCTTACCCTGTCCCTCACTGACGTAACACAGGCGTCTTGCCCAATATACCTTATGTACCTTACAGGTATAGGTACATAGGTCGCTTGTGTTGGCCCTTTCTGTCTCTGGTCATCGCAGCACTCATAAGAGGTCAAGAATGGCGGATGAAGGGGCTAAAGGGACAAGACATCGTATATGTAGGTACCTTATATACCGTATATGTGACCTGGTCTACTATAGGGTTCGCGTGGTTGTCGGAGAAGGCTTGAGTGGGTATCCTCAGATCGGGACCCGAGGAACAGAGGGCTACGGACAACATTTCGGGCGTTGCTCTTCCAATGATATCTATACCAATCCCTTGTTGTTCTTGTTCTTGTTCTTGTTGTTTAATTATTGTTATTGTTGTTGTTGGCTTTGCGGAGGTGGTGATCGTCCGGATCCGATCACATGCCGGGAAGCGTGGAGAGGCCGAGGCATGGATGATGGACCAATCACAGCACGAGAGTTGGGATGACATTGCGATCATTTGACTCTGCTGCTCTTCTCCGAGGCGTCCACTCCTGCTCCAGTGCTGTTAGGAGGTATGAGAAGACTAACTCAGAAGAGAAGAGGTACCTCCGAGTACAGCTCACTTTGGACCCGACTGCACGCTCGGCTTTGTCTCTCTTTCACATGAAAATCTCGTAAGCCTGCCTCTTCCTCCCTTCCCTTCCCCATCTTCCAGCTTCCTCATCTGACATTCCTCCGCCCTCCACCTCGTCTCGTGCTCGTGACAGTGACCTCTTCTCCCTCTCTTTCATAACCACCACCTCCTCCGCCTCCTCCTCCACCTCCTCTCTGGCATTGTCACCCTCCCACCGACTAATCATCCATCACCATGTCCCAGTCATTCTCCACCGCCGATGTGGCCAAGCACAACAAGCCCGACGACCTCTACATCGTCGTCGACGAGGATGTCTACGACCTGACCAAGTTCGCCGACGAGCATCCCGGCGGCAAGAAGAGTATGTCGAGCCTCGGACAATGAGTATGCTGCTGCGATGCACGACTGACGTTCCCGCCTAGTCCTCCAAAGAGTGGCCGGCAAGGATGCTAGCAAGCAGTTCTGGAAGTACCACAACGAATCGATACTGAAGAAATACCAACCCAAGTTGATGGTCGGCTCTCTCGACTCCAAGCCAAAGCCCGCCGCAAAGCAAGCGCCAACCCCTCCTCCCTCTCCGCCTGCACAGAAGAAAGAGGTGGTAGTCCCACAGGCAGAGTCTGGCACAGTCGCACCCGTCCCCGGTCCAGGTGCTGCAGAAGAGGCCGAGGCTCTCGACTCATTTGGCGACCTGGTTCCGTACGCCGACCCCAGCTGGTACCAGACTTACCACTCTCCATACTTCAACCAGACACACGCCGACTTGCGAGCCGAGATCCGACAATGGGTGGAAGACGAGATTATGCCGAACGTGACCGAGTGGGACGAGGCGAAGAAGGTACCAGACTCAATCTACAAGCAAATGGGCGAGCGAGGCTATCTCGCAGGAACACTCGGCTTGCATACATTCCCCACACATCTCACCAAGTACACTGTGAAGTCAGTCGCACCCGAGAAGTGGGACTTGTTCCACGAGATGCTGCTCACAGATGAGCTGTCACGAACGGGATCTGGTGGTTTTGTCTGGAACGTGCTGGGTGGATTCGGTATTGGATGTCCTCCTGTGGTAAAGGCTGGCAAGAAGGAGCTTGTGGAGAGGATTCTCCCCGGTATTCTTGCTGGTGACAAGCGTATCTGTCTTGCCATCACTGAGCCAGATGCTGGGTCTGATGTTGCCAACTTGACTTGCGAGGCGAAGCTGAGCGAGGATGGCAAGCACTACATTGTGAATGGTCAGTCATCCACTCTCCTCCTCCAGTGGCGTATTTGACTAACATTGTCTGCAGGCGAGAAGAAGTGGATCACAAACGGCATCTGGTGTGATTACTTTACGACCGCCGTCCGCACAGGAGGTGAAGGCATGAACGGAGTCTCCGTCCTCCTCATCGAGCGCGAATTCGAGGGTGTGTCAACTCGACGCATGGACTGTCAAGGAGTCTGGAGCTCTGGAACCACCTACATCACATTCGAGGACGTCAAAGTTCCCGTTGAGAACCTAATTGGCAAGGAGAACCAAGGCTTCAAGGTCATCATGACCAACTTCAACCACGAGCGTATCGGCATTATCATCCAGTGCATCCGCTTCAGTCGAGTCTGCTACGAGGAGAGCATGAAGTACGCACACAAGCGAAAGACGTTTGGCAAGAAACTTATCGACCACCCCGTCATTCGCCTGAAGCTGGCACACATGGCGAGACAAATTGAGGCTTCCGCCGCCTGGATGGACTCGCTCATCTTCCAGTGCCAGAAAATGAACGAAACCGAAGCCATGCTGAAGCTCGGTGGTGCCATTGCCGGTCTCAAGGCACAAGCCACCGTCACCTTTGAGTTCTGTGCGCGCGAGGCGTCTCAGATCTTTGGTGGACTGTCTTACAGCAGAGGCGGCCAAGGCGCAAAGGTGGAGAGATTGTACCGTGACGTTCGTGCCTATGCGATTCCGGGTGGTAGTGAGGAGATTATGCTGGATCTGAGCATTCGACAGGCTTTGCGTGTCCACCAGGTCTTGGGCATGAAGCTATGAGTGATCTAAGACGGAGGGCAAGACTCGATTGTATTTTTGGAAAATGGAACGTGATTCAGCACAGCTTGGGAGCTGCAGTACCTTTTTGACCTAGATTAGTATTGTGATGATGGCATTGGGAATACCTTTGCTGTAAAAAGGGCAAGAATATAGTATTATTCATGACGCTTCAGTGCAAATGTACATGTACCATCCATTTCCAACCCAGAATCATGTTTCCTTTCTTCGATGGGTGCGTGTACGCATGCATACTCCCGGCCTGACATGTAGTAGTAGTGTTCCCCCACGGCCGTTGCGACCGTTGCTTCATTGAAATGGTATCTCATCTAATCGACAGCAATGCCATGCCTGCACGCACATCTACAGCTTTTTCTCAGTATGTATACTTTTCATGTGCTTTCGCCCAGAAAAAAAAGAGAGGAGAAAGAGAGAGAGAAAATTCTTTATATCACACTACCTCTTCTCGGAAAATTGACCCCTTCGGTCGCCGCAGCATCGCAAAACCAGCTCACCCGCTCCGCAGCCTGCGCATTCACCAAGCCACATGGCAGACTCGCGCCTTGCTCGGTTTCAAAAATCTTCTTAATCACCTCCTTCTTGCCGGCCCCCGTGGCCACAAAGGCAATCTTGGACGCATGCACCACCACGGGCAAGCTGAGCGTGATGCGTTTCGGCGGCGGCTTGGGCGAGTCATTGATGGAGAGGATCCACGCATTCTTCTCGCGTAGCAGAGGATGGTCGGGAAAGAGCGAGCACGTGTGTCCGTCGGGTCCACAGCCGAGGAGGATGAGATCGAAGAGGGGCAGTTTGACGGAATCGCGTTGGGCGAAGATGGAAACGAGAGTTTGCTCGTATTGATCGGCGCATTCTTGCGCATCGTCGAGACATTGCTCGTCAATGGGGAAGACTTTGGGCCGGCCCAATGTCTCGGGGATGTGGTCGAGGAGATCTTCTTTCACGAGTCGGTGGTTGGAGTCTTCGTGGTCGAGAGGGACGACGCGTTCGTCGGCGTAGAAAATTTCCCACTTGGCAAAGTCGGGAGTGTCTTCGGGAGTGCCATTGGAAGGCGCGAGGAGGGCTTTGGCGAGGGTTTTGGGGAGAGAACCTCCGGAGACGGCTATGCGAAAGGCTCCGTTGTGACGGCTGAGGGCTTCGTTCTGGGCTTCGAGGATGTACTTTCGCAGGTTCGGAGCCAGGTCCTTGTCGACATTGGCGAAGGAGTAGAGACTCGGTGGGCGACCCATGGTGTTGGTGGGGACGATGTCGGTAAGCGTAAGGTGAGTGGGAGGCGAGCGAGTCGGGTTGGAAGTGAGGAAGAGGAGGAGGACGAGGAGGAGGATGAGGTGGTGGTGGTGGTGAGGTAGTGGTGAAGTGGCCTAAGAAAGTGTCTGCTGCACCGTTGGACCAGAAATAGAGCACTTCATGTGAGAGTCTCGGCAGAGAAGGCGGGCGGGCGGGAGTGGAGGAGTGAGGTGCACTTATCAGTTTCACAATCGCGACAGATGACGTAGGGCCAACAACAAAGGTGCAGATGGCCCCACTCATGTGGACTATGCTCCCTTCTGTATAGCCCCACGTTGAATGTATATATGTTTCGAATTGAGCCTATTCTCTATTGGCATATAGCCCCAGTAGAGGAAGCTGTTTTGGACGTCTCTATTACAGCAACTACTCTACGAAGATTCGAAGAATATCTCCTTTGAGAAAGAGTCACAAATACGATTTTCAACGTACCTACAGTTTGGACATTTGTGGAGCTTTTCGGTAGACGGGTATACCCGCTATATATTGCCAGCTTACCTCATACACCTGGGTTTCTTACTGTGCATGCTCCGATTAACTCGCTTTCCGGATCAGCTTGTAGAGCGTGTGAAAACGAGCACCTTTCGTATAGTATATATAATATGAATAGATCGTTGTTATATCGAAAATGATAGAATCTAGTATTCTTCACTTCGCGAATACTAGGTATAGTATTAGGACCTAGGTAACTTTACGATGCCTTTATTCTGACGCTGTAACTACCTATTCTTCCCTAGTACGCTCAAACCCGTTCGCTCATGTGCAATAACCCGTCTTTATCGCACTCAGAAGCAGCCGATGTTGGGTAGAGCCGCAGTGATGGCGTAGTATACCCCCTCGCTTACAGCCCCTCCTTGATATACAGACGAGGTAGAGTCGGATGGGGGCTATACTGTCCGTCTGAGTGTATACGGTAGTTGTAATCTTTGAGTGGGATGCATAATGCTCCTGGTCTAGCACCACCACGACCCACCTGCTCGCCAGTTTGTCTGCGGTGCTAAAATCTACATATAGCGCCCATCGACGATGTACTTCATCACATCGCCCTTTGCATCGACCTGCAGTCGACGACGACGATGATAATGATGATGGTGATGGTAGGTAGTGATGACCTCGGATCGACTGAAACAGGTCCGGCACATGCAATCTCTCTCTCTCTCCTCTCCATCCGCCAGACGTGCTGGCTTGACTAGGCAGGACTGCCTCTAGGTTACTGCTCAGTGCTGACATGACCCTTTCTTGGCGCTGCCGCCGCACTACAGGATTCTACAGTACCAGGCCCAGGTAGTTCTGAGTGGGGCCGGCGGCCGGATTTCTTCAAAGATTTGAGCGACACGCACAGGGAAGTGTGAATCTGCCAGTGTCAGCCATCGACACTGTCACACAGTATTGTCCCTTGTCAACTCACTCACTCCCCGCCTGGCAGTAGACGGGCAGTAGAGCCAGTGGGACCAGTAGTGACATCAGAACAGCAGCAACAATCACGATCAGAATGGGGTCCAAGCCCAAGCAGTTCACCAGGCCGGCGCCCAAAAAGAAGCCGGCAAAGGCGGCAGCACTGGTCACGGCAGATGACTATCAAGAAGCTGCCGATTTCGAAGAAGCCGCAGGTGGGAAGCACCGAGCCGGCGATGCTGTCAAGTCTGCCCGAGCGTTTGTGAGAGCACTGGAATTGTACGAGACGGGCGTGGCAAAGCATCCCAGGGACTTTGACCTCGCCTATAACAAAGCTCGTCTCGAACTCGAGATATCGCAGCAGCCAGCCATTCTGGAGCACGTGGGTCTGGACTTGCCCGAATGGCTGGAACGGACACGCGCCTCTCATCAACATGCATTACAACTGAATGAGGAGAATCCCGATGTGCTCTTCAATACTGCACAGGTGCTCACATCACTTGCCGAACAGCTGTGCGAGGATGATCGCGAAGACGAGGCCGTGCCGTTGCTCCAAAACGCGCTCGAGCACCTGTCGTCCTGTCTCTCTCGGCAGGAGATGATGTACGAGCAGCACAAGTTGGACTTTCCAGACACCGAAGATGGTGGCGTTGCTCTTGAACAGCCCGACTCGACGCAAGAGCAAGCCGTTCCCAGTCCGGCTGTGAACATGTCAGAACAACAATCTGCCGTCGTCGAGACACCTGTATCTCCCAGTGACTTACTGGACACGGTGTACGCCTCTCTGTCGGCGCTGACCACTCTCGCGCCCCTATCAGACGAGAAAGCTCTGCAGACGCTGGGTGACTTTGCACGACAATTGACCGAATCCAAAGCACCCAACTACATTAGCCTATTGCCCGTAGACGAGCAGGACCAAGCGCGCATCTCCACCGCCATCAGCCGTGCTTCTTTCATCGCCGCATACGCCAGCGCGCAATTCGAACACCAAATGATCGAACTCGAAACCTACATCGAGCGCCTCAGCGCCTTTGACATTCCCGGCAAAGACTCCAACGTCGAAGCTCTCGTCGCAGAAGCAGAAGCGCGTACAGAACTCGTCATGTCCACCATGGACCGTTTCGGCGAATCTCCCGATTTACCAGCAACCTTGTGTTGGAAAGAAGCCACCATCTCTCAAGACCTCTACACCAAAGCCACCAAACTCCCAACCTCATCAACAACAACAAAATCAGAAAGCAAAGCCCCAGAAACCAACAAAGCCCACCTCTACAAATCCAAAGGTGACCTCGAAATTCTCCGCCATCGTCTCACTCAAATCCCCCACACGGATTTAAGTCCGAGTACCCGCAACAGTGCAGAAACATTAATCCACAATGCCCAAACATACTACAAAGGTGCCATGAATCTTTCTCACGCAGCAGCAGCAGCGAGCGGTGGTGGTGGTGGTAGTGAGGAGGAAGATTGGGAGGCTGTGGAAGAAGAGGCAAAGCAGAGATGGGGAATTGCGAAGAAGATTGCTGGGCTTTTGTATCGAGGAGGTGATGATGGTAGTAATCATGATGGTGATGAAGAAGACGAAGAAGAAGACTTCATGGAAGCATTAGAGAGCTGTGTGGAAGAGGGTCTGATTGGACAAGAGTTGGCCGAGGCGATATTTGCTCGACAGGCGGGTTCTGCTGGTAGTAGTAAGTAGTACATTGGTAGCTAAGATTGTATTGTGAGAATGAAAAGGGATATATCACGCGTGCTCGGCCCCGAGTGCCCCATATAATAAGGTGTACAGACAGAGCTCTCTCCCGGCCGGGTATGATTGCACGTGGCGCCTCGCGTTGGGTCAATTGGCTTTCAAGCTCGCTGCAGGAGGGAGGTACGGAGAGGGAAAGAAAAATACAACCATTCATAATATGGTTTTGATACCAAGTTTAGGTTGAGTCTTTTTCTCTTCGGACTCATCCCTTTGTGACCCTTCACTGGGTACCTTAGTGTTCAAGAAAAAGGAAAGAAAATACCACTAAAAAGAAAGAAGCATGCCTCAACAGGAATTCGTGCCCCAGGCATACACTTTACTCAAGTCGACCCAACACTCGCTCCATCTACAGAGCAACGACACGTCCCAACCTTGCGACTTCACTTTCGAAGTCTTGAAGCCCACCCTTTTCCGAACCACTTTCACCTCCAAAACTCATCCACTCCCGCCGTATCCAAGTGCTCGCAAACCACCTCCTAGCAATGACGGCTCTTTCGCAGCTGTCTCCTCCTCATCTGGAGACCAAAGAACCAAATATGTATGTGGCGAAATCGAAGCCACTGTCGACTGGACCACAGTTCCACTCGTATCCATAGGTTTCGTAGACCAACCCCAACCTCTGCACGCCGATCTCCCATTCCGCTCCTACGCACTCGATGGCACCGGCATAAGCCACTACTCTCGCTATTTTCGCGGCAGCCTGCACGTGGGACTCGGCGAAAAGGCAGCACCCATGGATTTATCAAATCGCCATTTCACACTGTCGGCGACAGATTGTTTTGGCTATGATGTGCATCGGACGGATCCCATGTACAAACATATTCCATTGCTAATGCGAGCTGGACCGGAAGGTGTCGTGGCCACCTTTTCCACCAGTCATGCTCGAGGGTATTACTCTGTAGGGTCGGAAATGGATGGTATGTGGGGATTCTTCAAAGTCTACAGACAGGACTATGGGGGGTTAGAGCAATACACTCTGGTGGGGAAGACGCTGCAGGACGTTGTGACCATGTATGCTGAACTGGTCGGTTTCCCTCTCTTGGTGCCACGCTGGGCCTTTGGGTATCTGGGCGGCGGGATGAAGTATTCCATGCTCGACGAGCCGAGAGCGAGTGAGGCCTTGATGGAGTGGGCGGATACCGTGAAAAAGCACGATATTCCTTGTTCGGGATTCCAGATGAGCTCGGGCTATACTGTTGCGGAAACGGAGCCGAAGACAAGAAACGTGTTTACATGGAACAGACATCGCTTCCCGGACCCGAAAGGCTTCACAGATGCATTTCACGCACGAGGGATTCGCCTGATTGCGAATGTCAAACCATATGTCCTTGAAAGCCACCCAGAGTACCAAAACCTCGTTAAGGCTGGAGCGTTATTCAAGGATGTGGACACTGGTGGACCTGCTGTAGCTCGACTATGGAGTGCAGGCGGCGGCGAATCCGGGAAAGGCGGACATATCGATTTTAGCTCCAAGTCCGGCTATCACTTCTGGTACGAAGGAGTCAAGAAACTACGCTTGGAAGGTATGGACTGCATGTGGAACGACAACAATGAGTATGTGATCCCCAACGATGCGTGGCAATTGGCTACCGACAATCCACACGTACAAGGCAGCGAGGAACGACGAAGGGATATTGGACTGTGGGGACGTGCAATGCACACGGAACTGCATGCAAAGGCTTCACATGATGCACTTGTGGAGGCTGTGCCGCACGAACGTCCTTTTGTGCTGACTCGTAGTGGAACCGCTGGGACATTTCGCTATGCGTGTTCCACCTGGTCGGGCGACAATATCACATCGTGGGACGGTATGCGTGGCGCCAATGCTCTTTCACTAACTGCCGGCATGTGTCTGATGCAATGCTACGGACATGATATCGGGGGGTTTGAAGGTCCGCAACCTTCGCCCGAACTGCTTCTCCGATGGGTACAGCTCGGTTGCCACAGTCCTCGTTTCGCAATCAATTGCTTCAAGACGGGCAACGACAACTTAGTCGGAGACGTAATCGAACCATGGATGTATCCCGAAATCCTCCCCCAAGTCCGCAAAGCAATCAAGCGCCGTTACGAAATGCTTCCCTACATCTACAACCTTATGCTCCAAAGCCATTTCACCGCAGTCCCCGCTCAACGCTGGGTCGGCTGGGGCTACGAACAAGACCCCGAAGTCTGGACTAATCCCATCCTCAAAGCCGGCGAGCAACAATACTGGTTCGGCGACACGCTCCTCGTCGGCGGAGTCTACGAACCCGGAATCTCCCACGGAAGAATTTACACCCCGAAACGCACTCCCACCGACCCCGGTTTCCTCAACCTCAACCCTCCATACCAATACCTCCCCGCAGGAGCATGGCACACCATTTCCTCTCCCTGGAATGATAGTATTCCCCTCCTCGCCCGCATCGGCGGCGCCATACCTGTGGGGAAAAATTCACAAGTCCGCACTACCACACCGAGTGTTGTTGGCGACGATCCGTTCTCTCACAACGAAGCTCATCTTCCCGCCGATGACTGGCGTGGTGTCGAAATTTTCCCTCCTCCAGAAGAAGATGAAGAAAAAGACTCTTCTGACAGACAACACCACCACCCTCCAACAACAACAAAAGAATTCACAACAACCTGGTACGAAGACGACGGAATCTCTCCTTCTCCCACTCCCATCGCAAAGTTCACAATTAGTTACTCTGTGACTTCGCAGCAGCAGCAGGGGGTGAATTTTACATTTCGGCAGCATTGTGCTGCAGGATTTGTTCCATTATGGGTCAAGAATGGATTGACGGTGATTTTGCCCATGGGGGATCGGAGGAGGGTAGTTTGGGGTGGGGATGGTGCTTCTTCTTCTTCTTCTTCTTCTTCTTCTGCTGCTACGGAGGTTGAGGTTACGATTGAAGAGATGGAACCTGATGATATTGGTCGCAGGAGATATCAGCTTGTTTTTGATGGTGCTGATGCTGATGCTGATGATACTGCTTCACGAGGATAAGCTAGGCAGGCAGGTAGGTAGGTAGTAACGCTACCTGCGAGGTAAACCTTTTGCCGGATCTTCAAAGCTTACCTGGGACTATCACCAGCAATAGTAGAGGTAGAAGGTAAGGTATATTTTAGAAAAATTTAGGGATGACAATTTTGGAGCTCAGGCCCCTTTACAATAATACCCTTGCTACGTATCTGACCTACGTAGACTTGAGTACTTGAGTAAATTTTGGGGGGGCATTGTTGCATAATTACATTTAGGGTGCTTATGCTTCATTTCCTGAGAGAGAGAGGGCTGATTTCTATTTGTCTCTCTCTCTCATTCTCTCTCTCTCTCTCTCTCTCTCTCTCTCGACGAAGGAAAAGGCCAGCTCATATTGCGGCCTCCAATCCATCAGAGAGAGAGGGAGGCATGTTAAAGCTGACGTTTCGTGTCAACGTCTCGTGAGGTATGTTACCGGCCACTTTCGGTCTTTTCCCTTTCCATCTCATGCGGTCAGCTGATGCGAGATGAAGTCAGCGTGTTAGCTAGTTTTCTGGCTAGAGCTCGGGTCGGATTCAGCAGCATAAGCAGAGCTATTGCATCACGCGCATTCTGGATCCTTGACGTAGACCAATCGCGCTGGGGCTCAGTCCAAATCATTGGCAGCATCGTTTTCATCGTCTGCGTCGTCTTGATGTGCCGCTCCACTGAATGATGCAGAGGCTGCGTCTGTGTCTGGTCCTGATGCTGCTACATTGGCATTCGCAGCCTGCACATTGGTTGCGCCAGGAACTGCTTGCTCTTCTACTCCAGCCGTCGGTGGTACACCAGCGCCTTGGTGATTCGGAGTGTTCAGCATTGGGATAGTAAACTGCATGTGGCCATGTCCCGGCTGTCCACCACCAGTAAAAAGATGGTTGAGAGCTGCTGCGATAGTGATTCCACCTGCCTGCCCACCAGGACCATTTGCATTTGGTGGGGGGTTGTTAACGGGTGGTGCAGGCGGTGGCGGCTGCATCTGACCTGCTGGCGGAGGCGCTCCCATGGGAACTGGGAGCACGATACCGCCTGGACCTCCCACTGGTCCACCAAGCGCAGCTAACAGTCCGTTGAGCCCACCGAGTCCCGCTATCTCGTCCTCCATAATGTCCTGCCCGACATTGCACTCTTCAATGAATAAAGGCAGCTGCTTCTCAATCTCGTCACGCGAAGGTAAACAAATGAAGTATCCTCGCTCAGGCAGACGCTCTTGTCCGGGTGCCTTGTAGTCCTTGTCTTCATACATGGCGCACTTTTTGGTCGCTTCTGATTCTACACCTGAGGCAGACTGTTCTTCTGCAGACGCCATGTGGATCGAGTCCGGCAGGGAAGTCTCTTGTGGAATCAGATCAGGCAGCTCTTCATCGTCATCGCTGCCATAATCCTCACTCCAGTCGTCGTCGTCGTCATCTTCCATATCATCTGGCATGTCATCTGGCATTGGCTCCCAGGCCGACTCATTTGCAGACTGTTCCTCGTCCAGCTGCTTCAGGAAATAGACTTTCTGCCGTGACTGCTGCAGATAGACCAGGTGTAAATGCTGTAGGTGCGGCAGCTGCTTGAGGATCTTGAGCATGGTCACCCAATTTCCGGACGTGAGGTCGATTGCATGGAGTGTCAGCATCTCGACTGACGTCAAGCCCGCAAGTATGGTGCCGAGGACCTTGCCATCTATAGCGGTGCTGTCGAGCTTCATCTTTTTGAGCTTCGAGAGGTCCAATGCGCTCGTCAACGTTTTGCACATGCTGCTGTTCTGGTCTGCTAAATCAAAGCTTACGCTAAAGTCTGTGACGTGGGACAGAATAGGAGTAAACTCAGCAAGGCCTTTGCGTGCACGAGTCATCGAGCTGTTACCATCAGAACGATTCTTGCGCATGGCATAGCTCCGGAATTGAACGGAAAAGGTTTCGAGCTCAGCGAAGGCATCCTGGAGCTTGCCCATTGTGCTTGACTTGAATTTCAGGTCGTCTATGGGTGATATGCCGTGCAGGTGAGATCGCATCTTGGTCTCTACTTTCTTCAGTGTCTTGATACCACTCTCCGCAACAGCCACCATCAAACTTCTCCAGCAGTGTGACTGCCAATCAAAGTGCTCCAACAGCGCTGGCGGTGTAGCGGACTCTGGAGGAGCATAATGAGGAATGGTTCCCGTGGTGCGTTGAAACTTGCTAAGCCCGCGGACTTCGGCACTCAGCGGCACTTCTAGTGTATTGTCAACCAGGGAGAGTCCTGTCAGGCGTGGCAACTTGCTAAAGGCATCAACGAGAAAAGGTTTGGCAGCCTTGTTCTGCCTAAGAGCTTGCTGGTCGCGCAGATAAAGCGTGAAGGCCTCCTGCTGCCGCACATTGGGATGCCAGCAATGCCCGAGGCAGTGATGGGGACAGTGCTTTGGTCGCTCCTTGACGAGCGCAGTGATGAGATAGATGTGGCGGAGGTAGCCGCGGAGTTTCTCGCTGTTGGCGATGTTGACGAGCACTTTCAGCGACTCGGTGGTGTACATGAAGCACTGCGAGGAAGTCAGCTTGCATACCTTAGTCTTTCATCGTCTATTCCGTCTCCTGTACCCATGCCATCTATCGGGGTCGGCAAGCGCGCTAGATGAGAATCTCACACACCTTTTCGGTAAAGAACTCGTTTGCGAATTCGTGCAAGCTCTTGGTCTCGATGGCACGACATGTCTGGCGGAGGGCGAAGATGTCGTCGGACTGCAGCTTGATGCTGATGTTGATCAGCAGCTCCTCGGGCAACATGGCCAAGAGAGAGCCGGCATTAGGACTCAGGCTCCCCGTGGAGCCAGTATTCGAGTGCTCTGCTGCCGAGGGCATCGGAAGACGGGCGTCTGCCATGTTGCAATGGGCTGTGTGTGTGTGACTGCAGTGCGTGAAAGAAGTGAAGAAGTCAAGAAGTGAAGAAGTGCGTGAGTGAGTGAGTGGCACCGGATACGGTATGGGCAGGTGATAAACAAGGTCGACTGGAGAAGTGTTTGTTGTTGGGTGTTGGCGACCAAAATGTCGTGACTAGGGTCGGGTTGACGTGTCCTCGTTCAAACTTCAAAGTGTGTTCCGGGAATAGAATAGAACTGCCGGCCAGGGTCAGCCTCGTCGGCAAACACGAAGTGGACAGACGTCAATGGAGGATGAATAGCTAATGTAGTAGACATTCACCACTTCTACGCTACTGACGTGCACAATAACATTCAACATTCCCACCTCTGGGGTACATGTACATCAACCGGTTTTGCTACAGCCTTGGCCACAATAGGTAGGTTGCAGTACACAGTCGCACATGACGCTATTTTACATTCACTCACTACCTACATGTACCTTAATGGTAATACTCGTGGACTCCGTGCTGCGTCTTCCACCTCATGAACCAACACGCAATTGGAAAAACTGCAGTATTCACAGCACCCCAGGCAATCAGCACGCCAAAGTCCAAGCCAAGCTGGCTATGTAAATCGAACAATATCGTCCTACTGGCCTCGACGATGTAATGCAGAGGCCATGCATATCCCCAGCGGTAGAAGTCGGGCTCAATGTCAATGTTGTAGAATGCAGTCGAAACGTTAGTAATGACCCAGAAGATGAGCCACAGTGCAGTCCAGGGTTGGCCGACGAACATCGTCATGTTCTCGCAGGCGAGGCCCAACGCTATCATGCCGAAAACTGGTTCTCGTCGTCAGTACCACCGCATTTCCACTGTTTATAGCGACAGTGCTCTTACAGTTCAGCATCCAGTAGACGGGAAAGGTGCCATGTCCGAAAGCCGTCGGGTTCGAGTTGCCATCCACCGTTGACGTGACTTCGGTGTGCGAGGATACCGGGTTCCCGCCAGAGAAGTTGATCTGGAACGCCAGACTGATGAGGGAGTATGCGAGCGACAGCATAAAGTAGGCAGAGATGGTGGAAAACCATCGCCATATGATGAGCTGCCAGAACTTCAGAGGCGCGTGTCCTTCCGGCTTCAGAAACTGCGAGCATGTCAGCCAAGGCACGTGAGCTTGTGCACCCTCCAATGCTTACCTTCATATGGATCGGAAGGTAGAAAGAGAATGAGAAGAACGAGACGATGATTAAGTAAATAAGGCCAATCGAGACTGCCGGAATCGCGGTGAATGGATAGAACGGACGTAGATTGTACTGAGAGAAGCCAATGGCTGGACTGAGAGCCTGCGGCACATTCGCCAAATTCCGCACCAGGGTGTCATCATTCGTGGCATTCTGCATGACCATACTCGCCCACTGACGGCCGACCATCGAAGTAGCTTCGGTCATGAGCGGCGATATTTCAGGGTATATAAAGTCGAACCAGGCTGTGTCGTCTCTGGAATCCTGATATACCAGCTGACAGGCTCCCATTGGGTCGTACGAAACGTTTCCGTTCTGCACGGCCGAGTACAGCATCGCGGTGGCATTGGGGTTGATGATGATTGCCGCCCATGCCTCGTTGTCGTAGACTGCCTGTCGCACACCTATCGGATCGTAACCAAAGTTGGCCGCTGGCAGGCTTTCATACCCCAGATGGGGCATCCCACTGTTGACCTTCTGCTGAGCCAGCTGCACAATGGTTGGGCCCACAAAGGGCTGTAACCCATTCGTGTTGTAAGGCGCCGATTGGCCGTCAAAGTCGATCACATAGATGACCAGTTTCGACAGGTTCTGCTCTGCTTTGAACAAAGCGCCCCAATAGATCGACAGGATGCCGAGTATGAAAAACATCAGGGTAGCAGTTGTGAGGGTCCATTTCGCCATCGCTTCGCGTCGAACGTGCTTCAAGGAAGGGTGAAAGAAGCCAACGCTGGTCGCCATTAGCCAGCATGCCTTCAAAAAGCTCTACTGGACTCACGGCTTCGGAGTATCATTCGCATTCTCCTCATCTCTACCTCCACCATGCGGCCCATCGTCTCCCTGGTCCTCTTGCTCGTGTTCTTTCTTTGAGCTGGTGTACTCGTCTCTATTGCGCGACGATTCCCGAGAGCTTGCGTCTTTCTTCCGGTGGTCTTCATGACTGGCGCTCGTCGCGGTAGGCCAGTTAGTGCTGTCTTGGGTAGGCCGATCGCCAGCAATGCCGTCGGGCGCGGGGAGTCTGAACGAGTGAACCATTCTACCTGGCCGTAACGCGTGAAATGGAATGTTGAGCAGAAAACACCGGACCTACCTCGATACCCAAATGCGTCTAGACGGTTGACACTAGGCTGGCTGAAGCCATGCGGTAACGCGCTGACGGCATCTTTACAGTGCTGTAAAGATGTCGATGAATCATGGGGCAACGAGCCGTGCTGTAATGAAAGAAATGTGGTTGCTTCCGGCCTCCCGACTGCCTCGTTCCCGTCCCAATCGCGATGTTGGCGGCGGCGGTACCTCCGTCATGTATTGACATGTCCATATAGGTACCCATCTTTTCCCTTGCCTTTGCCTTGTCCTGCCATACAGGACACGATAGTCACGGCCATTGGAACATTCGGCAGCAACAAAATGTCTGCAGGTGTGGTATAGAGATGTGTGTGAAGTGCACACGCGCTCGGGCCTTCTTGGTGTGATAAGTCTTGGCCTGGACTGGAATCCTGGTTACCTGTTCTACCTATTCCCAGCGACAACAGATTACCATGTCTAACCCAGACATCATCATTATTCATATAGAATAGAGACATTGCTCGAATAGGACCTTCTACCTCTATATAGCCGCAATCGAACTTTCTGGAAGCCTGGATAAGCCACCACCGGTCAGCATAGCCCACGAGATCTAGAGAGGTCGTGGCGAAGGATTCGTTCCATGCATTCAATAATTCCTATAGGTAGCCTGCTATGCAAGCCAGATAACGGTTGCAACGCTTTGGCTCAAGAATGTGCATTATTATCGTGTAATTTGGTCATACCTATCCCAATAGCATCGCACTGCCAGCTTCAGGCGCCAAATCAATCGGTATCAGATCTATCATCGGTCTATAATTCCCGCAGAAAGCCATTATAATGTGACACCCGGTCTGCCATCGCTGTGTGCAATCTGTTCGTTAGCTAGATGCTACAGATCCTTCTTTTGCTCGCTTCCTTCCAGCATAGGAATGGCATCTACACTGTCATTTCTCTTATGAAGGCCAGATCCATCATCAAGCTCTGTCTTTGAACTATTGTAGCCCTGCGCGTCTGCAGGAGGCCCCAGGTCCAACGCACTCGAGACTCCTTCACCAGCCCCATCTTCAGCCTGGCTGGCACCTGTAGGGCCTGTAGGACTAGCGAGCGGACTGAATGTCAACCCGTCTTGGCCCGTGAGATCTGGTGACTTTGACATCCGGGCAACTTCTTTCCTGAGCTGATCTAGTTCTTTCTCCATCCTCTTGCCGAACACTTCGATGTAGTAATTAGCCCCGTTCCAGCTTGCCCAGCTGAAGACCAGCATCATGAAGCCTGCACTCGCCCAACGATACCAGAACCAGAAAGGACATGGCAGCATAGTCAAGAGAGCATAACTGTACTGGATGAACATGAAGATAGTCTCTTGGAAAGACTCTGGAAAGGAAAGTACGAATTTCCCGAGCACATTGCCGCGATAAGATCGACGGAGCCAGGTGAAGGAGGTGGGGCGGCCAGCAGCGATCTTCGCGCGTTTGCGGACTGTGATCAGGAAGTGGTAGGAGAGTTGCCAGATCGCGTAAGGGAGTGTAGCCCAAATGATCATGTCTTTGAGACTGTAGTGTTCGGGGGCGTCGGGAGTCGAGTATTTGATCGTGTGAACTGCTGGGAATTTTTCGAGTTGCATTTCCTTGGGGAGGCAGTGGACAAGAACATGGAGACATACACATGGCATGATGTGAATGAATAATCTAGAGTAATTGTTAGTTGATGCAGGGCGAGCAGAAGCGGGGACTTACGAAGTCACTTTGTCCAGACTGTGAAACACGAGGCTATTTCTCCACATGGCAATCGCTACAGCGTTGTTGCCAAAAGCAAGACAGAACGTACTAATGAAGAGGCGTTTCGACTGCGGAAAGAACCAGATTGAAAGCACCAAGAGCATGTTGACGAAATAGCAGAGATCCGCCAGGAAGTAATGAAAACCGATCTTGTGGTATTTGTACCATCGGATGGGCATGAAGTAGCTGTGCCACACCGTTAGAGCATAGCAGCTGGGTCGCACACATTGATCGACTTACAAAAGTTGTGCCGTGTACCAGTAGTGGAAATACTCCGGCATTGCGCCTATCAGGTATCCAGATATGAAAATGTTGAGCACAGCGGTGACGAAGGACACCTTCTCCAGCATGCTGACAGTCTTGTTGTCGTGCCATCTCTTGTTCAGCCGCTCGACAGACGCCTTCATACGCCTCCGATACCTGTCCAACTGGTCGTCTGACTTGGGTATTCTCTTTCGCCATTCGTCTACAACAACATTTTTGCTAGACAGTGCTCGCTGCGCAAGCTTCTGCCTCTGCCTGCGTAACTTCTCCGCATTGTCGTGAATGGCATTTTGCATGCGTTCCAATCGCTGAGGCAGCGCCAGATTCTCCAGGATATCGAACATACTTAGCCTATCGACGCTGGGAAACTCCTTGTCGAAATCGAAGCTGGCGTACACATTGTCTGAGCTGCTCGTGCGCGACAATCCAGGAGTACCCGGAGTGCTCGCGCCACTAGCCGAGCCACCTCCAGCAGTCAAATAGTCCTCCATCTGTGGACGCATCGAGTCGCTGCTTGACCGCCCGTGCGCCTCTTCGGTCGGAGGCCTGAGATCAGCCATCTTCGCCGCCGCCATCTCGTCCGTCTCTTGTGTCATGTCTGCGCTAGCCATATGGGTAGTATGTGTTGTGGTTCTTTTCGTAGCCGCGTCGATGTCCTCAAGCCGTGCGTATGCTTCCAGTTCGTCCTCTGGGATGATATCGAGATAGCTGCTCTTGTGTCCAGCGTAGTATGGTCTCCGCAGCTCCGAGTTATAGCTGATGGGCATTACCGATACGACATCGACGGCAGCACTGCACACCCACTACAGGCACCTCTGCCGGGGTGTTTGTTCTATTGGGGCCTTCTGGAAAGGAAGAAAAGGAATCGCAACACCTCTTCCCGTCGTGTTCCGTTTCCGTGTCTCGAGGGCCACACTGATCGCTACAAGCTGAGGTTGTAAGTGGCACCCGATGTACACGTATATACAGTATGCCAACCACAGAAACTGCGTGTGTGCGTGTGACGCGCAAAAAGAACAAATCGACGTCGCGTGTCGCTGCCCGTGCTCGAAGCTCTAGAACTCCCTCAGGTACCTTACCCTGACCATACGACGTCATGTTTGGAGCGACACGTGCACGGGTGCCAAGACACGAACTAGGGAGCTTTCTAGCGGTGGTACTGAGGCAGGTACGACGCGTGTATGGAAAGTCGCGTAAACCCCTCTACTCAGTGTCTCTGTCTCCGTTGCTGTTCTCGAGACACACTCATCCACCACCACACCCTCCCGGTATGCGCCCAAGGCGATAGCGAAACTGCTCGCTCCTGCCGATACCGCAACTCACCATATCATTGCCAATATCCCATAAACACGCGCCACGATGGGCAAACTCCTCGCGTTGGAGTTGTACAACTTCAAGTCATACCGTGGCCACCATGTCATGCAGTTCGGCGACAGCTACTTCACCTCCATCATCGGGCCCAATGGATCTGGCAAGTCGAACTCGATGGACGCGATCTCCTTCGTACTTGGCATCAAAACCTCACACCTGCGGTCAAACACCCTCAAAGACCTGGTGTACCGTGGTCGCGTGATGCAAAAGTCCAAGATCAATGCAGATGGGACCGTAATCGAGGAGGGTGCCGATGAGGCAGGCGGCGACGCGGACGTGGGCGCGTCGGACGCAGAGGAAGACGAGGAGGAGGAGGAGGAGGTCGAGCAGCCGCGGAGCCAACGCGACGACCCGCAGACAGGCTGGGTTATGGCAGTGTACGAGGACGATGCCGGTGAGGAGCAGCGATGGAAGCGCAGCATTACGACCACTGGAACGTCCGAGTATCGCATCAACAATCGTCCTGTGCCATACAAGCAGTATAATGAGGCACTCGAGGCTGAGAACATTCTCATCAAGGCGCGCAATTTTCTCGTGTTTCAAGGTGATGTAGAGACCATAGCGTCGCAGTCACCCAAGGATTTGACGAAGTTGATTGAGCAGATCAGTGGCTCGCTGGAGCACAAGCCGGAGTATGACAGATTGAAGGCAGAGAGAGCCCTTGCCGAGGACAATCAAACCAATAAGAGCGATGCTCGCCGCACAATAAACGGCGAGATCAAAGAGTATCAGAGGCAGAAGAACGAGCTGGACAAGTATGAGCAGACAAGAGACGAGAGAGATCAGGCAACTGTGACGCACGTTCTCTGGAAACTGTTCCACTTCCAGCGCACGATTGAAGACAGCACGGCAGAGATTCAAAAGCACCAAGCTGAGTTGAAAGAGTTCAAGCGTAACGTGCGAAAATTCCAAGACAAGCTCGAGGCTGCGAAGGCCGAACAGGCAAAGGTCGGTCGCGAGATCAGCAAGTTCGAGCGCGACATGAAGCACAAAGGCAAGGATGCCGAAGAGCAAGAGCAGAAGCTTGTGCCCATTGATGAAAAGCTTGCCATCCATAGCAATAATGTTCAGCGATACAAAGCTCGCGTAGACGAGATCACGCGAGAGCGAAACCAACAGCAAGCCGTCGCCGAGAAGATGCAGAAAGAGCTTGCCATGGTCCAGAAAGCTCAAAAGAGATGGGAAGACCAGTGGAACGCCGAGCAGCAGAAGGCTGGACGAGCGCTCAGCCAGCAGGACCTGCAAGAGCTAGAACGACTGAAAAAGGAAGTATATAAGCGCACTGGCAGTGATCAGAACAAGATAGAGAACATTACTCGTCAGCTCAAAACCGATGAGGAGACTGTCAATTCCCTCAAGTCCAAGCTGGAAAACACCGAGGCCCTCATCGCAAACTTGAGAGAAGACATTGCCGCCTTCCAACAACGCCGAGACGATACTCAACGAGTAGTCAAAGCAACAGGAAAAGCAATGGACGAAAAGAAACAAGCCATCAACAGGCTCGTCAGTGACCACGATCGCTCCGAACAAAGGAGGCGTGAGCTAGACGAGAAATTGCAGCAGGTACTCGTGGCATACGACGAGGCAAAGGGTCTCCAACGTGAAAACCGAAAGGAAGCGGAGCAGCGCATCATGGTCTCTGACCTTCGACGAATATATCCTGGTGTGAAAGGACAACTCGGCCTTTTGGTGCGGCCGAAGCAGAAAAAGTACGAGACCGCTGTCTCCACAGTCCTGGGTCGCCACTACGACGCCATTATTGTCGATACCGAGAAGACTGCCCAAGACTGCATTCAATTTCTCAAGGACGGGCAGAAGTATCAGGCCACATTCATCCCTCTGGATACAATCATCCACAAACAACCCAATGCCAATCTTCGAGGAATGCACCAAGGCATGAGGCTGGCGATCGACACTATCGACTTTGACACGAACCTGGAACGGGCAATGAGCTTTGCTTGCGGCAACGCCATCGTGACAGACACCATTGCCATCGCAAAGGAGCTCGTCTACAGGCGCGGTGTAGATGCGAAAGCTGTAGCTCTAGATGGCACAATCATCCACAAGGGTGGCAACATGACCGGAGGTAATGGTCCTGGCAGCACCAACCGTCGTTTCGACGATGCTGAAGTGGAAAAGCTCACCAAGCTCATCGAGAAGTTCCGAGGCGACATTGATGAACTGCCCAAGGGACACAAGAAGCAAGCTGAACAAGAGCAACTTCGATCTGAACTTTATGGTCTAGAGACAAAGCAGAAGTACGCGCAGGACGAACTTGCAACTCTTGATCGCAATATCCATAGCAAGTCCAAAGAGTTGCAGCATCTAGAGTCGCAGCTAGCTGAGCTGCGGCCAAAGTATGAGGAACAAGCTGAGGGCGTAGAGACGCTACGTGAAACTCTCGACGAACACCAAGCTACTGTCTCATCGATCGAGGACGAAGTCTTCGCAGCCTTTTGCCAACGCACTGGATACGAAAACATCCGCGAGTACGAGAAACAAAATGGCGCTCTGCAGGAAGAAGCTCGCGTGAAGGATTCCGAGTTCAAGCGCCAGACCTCCAGACTGGAAAACCAACTCGAATACGAGAATCAGAGGTTGCAGTCCACGGAAGGCCGACTAAAGGCCACGGAAGCAGCAGCGAAACGTGACCAGGACCAGTTAGTGCAACTGCAGGCCCAAAAGGACCAGATCGCTGCTGAGCTTGCCCAGATCAGTGAGGATATGGAAGAGATTCAAGCACAGATTGATGAGCTCAAGAAAGACTTCGAGGAACGTGGTGAAAAGGTCCAGGAAGCACGACGTGATCTCCAAAAACGCAGTAAAGGCCAAGAAAAGACGCTCAAGGAGATCTCCATCCTCGATGCAGAGGTGCAAAAGGCAGCCAGTGGTCGGTATAGTGTGCTGCGAGCCTGTAAAGTTGAGAATATCAACGTTCCACTCGAGGATAGCAGTCGCAAAATCGCTGCCCTTCCGCTCGAAGACGAGAGTCTTCAAGACGAGGACGCGATGGATGTTGACGAAGAAGAAGGCGCCACTACCTCTCGTTATAAGGACTACGGCATTCACATTGACTTCTCTGAGCTCGAAGAGGACCTGCAGCAAGACGGTAGCGAGGAGTGCGGAGCCCAGCTCTCGGAAAAGATCAGTACACTTTCCGCGGCTTTAGACAAGATGGCTCCCAACATGCGCTCGGCAGATCGTCTCGAAGCGACAAGTACACGTCTCAACGCTGTGCAGAAAGACTTCGATGACGCCAAAACCGCCTTCTCCAAGGTTGCCAAAGAGTTCGAGAAGGTTCGCAAAGCCCGCATGGATCTGTTCAACAAAGCATTTACACACATCTCGGAACAGATAGGTCCAGTCTATCGTGAGCTCACCAAGACTCCCTCCTTTCCTCTCGGTGGTTCTGCCTCTCTAGACGTGGAGGACGATGACGAGCCTTACCTGACTGGCGTCAAGTACCATGCCATGCCGCCACTGAAGCGCTTCAGAGACATGGAGCACTTGTCCGGTGGCGAGAAGACGATGGCTGCTCTTGCTTTGCTATTCGCGGTGCACACCTATGCTCCTTCTCCTTTCTTTGTTCTGGACGAGGTCGATGCGGCGTTAGATCATGCCAACACCACACAGCTTGCACAATATGTGCGCGAGCATGCTGGGCCTGGCATGCAGTTTGTGGTCATCTCGCTGAAGACGGGTCTTTTCCAGAACAGTGAGACGCTGGTGGGTATAATGAGAGACCAAGGTGTGAATAGCTCAAGAGCTTTGACGCTTGATGTAAGTGCTGCATTATATGTCTCATTCTCTGGAGTGGTCTGCTAACACTTTGATTTCAGCTTCGGAAGTATCAAGCGGCATAGAAAGCCCTTTCGGCACTACAGGAGGATCTCAGCCTACTTATAAGGCGCCAGAGGACACCAGCTCCCTTGCCTCCTAGCAAATGAGATGTGAGGCGAGCGCTGGCTGTCGCGTACATACCTTAGTCAAGCGTGAATGGACAATTCTGATGATGACAGGACGCGAAGAGAAGAATACATGAATTTTCTAATTGCAGCCACGATTATCACCCACATAGGTAACATTACTTTTCACCTCCTTTACTTTCAAATCTTTTCCTCGCCCCATCCATCCCCATACCTACACTTCAAATCATCTTGACTCACACTTTCACGATCTGTCAAAGTTGCTCTTATGTTCGAGTCGAGAGCCTGTCTACCTGTCTCAACATAGAGATATATGTCTCTCTGTCCGTCCGTCCGTCTCTCGGGTTATGTGCTTGTCTGAGGCCGGTAAATTCAATCGCAACAAACGATGGAGTTTGGCAGGCAGGGTGTTCGAGCCTGGAACAGACAAGTGTGACAATCTTGTTGTTCCTCCTGAGGTTAAAAAAAAGAGGGTCAAAAGCAAATATGGTCGTCTGTCTCATATTCTATACCTCCTACACGACTGCAGCTCTATGCTATGAGCCTATAAGGTACCTACCTGCACGAGCGTTGACTTCTCCGGAGTGCAGGGAAAAAACATTGACTACTTGACTCGTGCTGGAAAAGTCGGGTTCGTCGATCGGTCGATGCCGCTGCATGAACTAGCCATGCCACTTGATATGTAGAACATGGTGGTATATTGCATGTTGCCTCAACGTAGCAGGCAGAAAAGGCAGGGCTCGCTCGCGATATAAGGGAGGGGGTATCGAGAGTACGAGCACTACGGAACAATTTGTGCCGTAACATAGTCAGGATGCCTTCTTATCGTGCAAAGATGGGGCCGGGTGCGCGTGCCGTGCGTAGGAGGTAGGGTGTTTGCTGAAGCCATGCACTGTCACACAAAAACTCTCCCGAGGGTTGCTGGGCTGCAGGCACACGTCGTACGAGAACCGCCTCCACGCAGGTCGGAAATGACGAAGGATATCCCAGACAGTCCAGTTACGCTGCACCGCGCCACGAGGTGGGAAGTCGATATCTTCCAGGCACGTTACACAGTTGTATTGTCGTCACGGCCATCCCAAGCCGACCCGGGATGCCCTGCAAAGGAATGATGTTCGAAACCATTGACAGCGTTGATGCTTTTCACGATGGGCCCTGGTGATGGGATGGCAGAAGCTATCGCTGACATACAAAGCCTGTTCAAGAGAAACCACGTGTTTGATGAAGAAGTTGGTGCAACATGCCCAGCGTCCTGTTTGTTCGGGACAAACGGAGGTGTTTCGTTGTTGCAAGTGCGGTTGTACCGCATTCTTAGCGCTGTGAAAATTGGATGGATGCGTCAAAGGCTGAGATCGGGCCGTTCAAAGACCAGCATGATGGTGACATTGGATCGTGTGAATAGGGTGGATATGTGGATGGGTGACGAGAAGTCGGGATTCGATATATTGCGGCGGTGGATCTCTCGGGCGATGCGGCCCTTTCCATTATCTGACACGTCGACGGGGACCAGGATTGTGCAGGCGTGATGGAGTGTAGTGTGAGAAGCGTGTGATGACATCCCGATTGCGTGTGGCCCCAAAATTGCATTGCTTCTTCTGACCCTCAAGTCAGGTGGAGAGGAAGAAGAAGGGTTGGAGTGTGGAGACTGACTGACTCTTTGCCAAGCAATGATCCTGGGCAGTGGGCAGGTCGAGCGAGTGATGAGGCTTTGCCACCATCTTTCAAGTGGCTCAATGATACAATGAGAGGTGTGAAGTACATGCACCAGCACAACAGCTGCAGGTGAAAACTCCTCTTCTTCGCCGACACCTCGTACCTGCATGCCGTGTCTTCTGTGATCGTGAGCGCTGATGCGTGGGAATGGCCTACCTCCTACTGTATGCGACTTCTGCAGACAGACGCGGACGGCAGCCATGCGATCTCGCGGAGGCGGTACAGTCACAACCATCTCCTCCTGCTCGATGATACCTCCACCGCGGAAAGGGTATCAGCCATTCCGTAGGGTACATACCTCCTACATGCCTTCGCAGATGAAGTTGATGGAGCACCGAGCAAAGCCACAAATTGCCCGCGGCCCCTGTGTAACGCCCCGCCGAAACGAGTCCCACGTCACGAGAGGCTGTGAGTGATGGAGATTATTGGAGTTTGCAGGATTTGATTTTATTGGACGTGGTTTCATCTTTCAACGCACGTGAGAATTCGGAACATCCGGTGCTCAAGCCACAGGTGTGTGTGCGATTCGGCGATGCCGTTGGCGGACAGTGCACATCTCCAAACTCTGGTCCTTGGGGGTGGTGATATATGCTGAGGCATCATATACTTGCTGAATCGAGCTTCGTATCACTGGTGCGAAGGGGAAATGTGCTCCCATGCTGTTTGTCGCTACTGTATGCCAGGATAATGGTGGAGTCTCTCCGGTGCAGCACGCCGAATCCGGCAACATCATGTTGCAGAGTGGATGTGTTGTCGGGGATGGTATGCATCTTGTTGGTTGTCCTGTGGCTTCAATGTTTTAAGCGCAGCCCGGTCATCAACCTTGTCAGCGCAAGCGCCTCTGCAAAACAGCCTTTGCGCTTTCGGCTGACACGCCGACCTCATTCATGCATGCAATCAAGCCATCTCTTCGGCTCCGCCTGTTCTGGCGGGAGCATGGGCGGGCACCAGCCCAGCAGAGATGCAGGCACGAATCAGCCTTTCGTTATCTAGTTCTCTGGCGACTCGAGCTTCGCAGTACCTTGGTCTTCTAGTTTCACTGCTGCTCTGGCTGCTGTTCGGATGTCCTTTCGCAGTCCATCGTCAATACCGTTCGCATCTGGTCGGTTCTTCTCTTCGCTCCATCGACGCCGACAGTAGTCGCCCCCGCCTTGCTTCCTCGCGGTATCGTGTCGCTCGAGAATTGGTCGGCCTTGATGCGTGACTTGGGTTGAACTATGGACTCCGTGCAGGCCTCACAGGTAAGTAAGCATGTTGCCGTCGGATGAATACCATTGCCAGTCTATGTAGCTGTGATGAGGAGAATGAGAAGATGGCTGTTGAGAAGAAGAATTACCTTACTGATATGCTCTCTGTTCAGCGTGATCAGGCTCGCATGTCATTGCCACCCCAGCGACTGAGTGCTCTGTATCAATATCACAACGCACCTGAAGTGGCACCTGCACACGGTCTGGAGTACGACGACACAATATATCCCGTTTCCGACAAGTATCCCGTGATACGCGAATCACCACTTTACGATGGAAAATTCAGCGGGAACGGGCGGTATCATGGGGACGGCAACAATCGCCCACCGCGGATTATCTTTGGTATGAAGATTAAGACATTCTTGGTGGTGGCGCTTGCCATGTCATTGGTGGTTGTGGGCGCAGCAGTAGGAGGTGCGGTCGGTGGAAGGCAACTACGAGATGAACATCAAACACAACTGGCGTAAGTCCATATATATATCTTACCGCAGCATACTTCCAGCAACTGACTGACTGTCTTGCAGCGGTACCAACGTTACAAATACGGCACTACCAGCAACAGGAACCAAAATCACCGCGTCTCCAACCTCGACTTTTGCAGCACCAACACCGACCTACGAACCACTCAACGACTGCCCAGCATCGAATAACACAGATTACACATCCCAGTACGCATCCACAACCTCATCATCATCATCATCAGTCCCAGCCGGCCTCGCCTTCACCAAATTCTGCGACCTCGAAAACCCTCTTTCAATGAGCAACGACGACGACGACAACGACAACAACAACGACAACCAAGACATCATCGCCCAAGCCTTCGTCTACAGCTTCAGCGACTGCATCGAAATCTGCGCCGCATACAACTATGCTCATTCGGGAAGCAATTGCACCGTCGCAGTGTACGAACCTTCCGGCAGCAGACCAGGAAACTGCTGGATTGGAAATACGAGACAGAGACTTCAGCCGTCGAATTTGCGATCATCTACCGATGGGACGAATGTTGCCATTTTACAGCAATGAATGAAGAAACCTCATAATGAAAGAAAATCAAAAAAGAAATCCAAAATATTATTGACGACAGTGGGGAATGAAATTGTTCTCCCTTTTTTTTCCTATCGCTCTTTGTGCTTTTTCTTAATGTACTACCCCCTTTTATGTCTCTTTTTTTTCCATTTTCCTTATTTTTTTTATGATCTTGGGGGAACAAAAACGAATTGTCAAGGTTGGGAACGAAAGAAAGAGAAGCGCAAATTCGGAGTTGGGGCAATTTCACTTATACCCCTGCGGCCACTTTGGTGGCAGAGCAGGGCATGTACAGCATGGCGTTGGAGGCGATTCGAGAGTGAAGGAGTGAGTGTTTTTCTCACCCTTGTTCTATCTACCTATCTTGTTATGGATCTGTCGGATAGGGGCTTGGGCTTGGAGAAGTGGCCTGTAGATGTGGAAGGTGCGCGAGGCTAGCTAGGAGGTACAGGTAGCTATGGTGTGTGATGACTAGGGAGAGAAAGCACAAGGAGGAGGTCGAAATGAAATGGCAAATACTGTATGGTAAAGGTCAGACGCGAGATGATAGATACCATTTGGCATGTCATGATGTGAGATCAGTTGACTCTTCTCTCTCTCTCTCTCTCTCTCTCTCTCTCTCTCTCTCTCTCTCTCTCTTTCTCTCTCTCTTTCTCCCTTCATGCAAGTCGACAATACCTCTCCCCCTCTCCCCCTACACCTAACTACTGACCCATTCGTTCCCAATCAATCCTCCACAAATCCATCCCAACACCACAAACCAAAACCCTGTCCCGTCCCACAAGCTCCATCGAAGAAACATCCGCCACAGCAGTATGCACATTCTTCTTCAGTGCGATATCAACCCCTTCTACTCCTTCTCCATCCCCAAACTCAACTTTCCATAGTTTAATCCTCTGATCGATACTCCCACTCACGAACCACAAGCTTTCATTTCCCTCGTGACGCACAATTTGGAGTGCCGTCACGGCAGCGGCATGGGCTTGGGGGATGAGGAGAGTGTGTATTGTAGCTTCATTACTCCTCTCCTCAGATGTCTCGGAGCGAGGTTGAGATGATATGAGCGTCAAAGCGAGGGCATTGTCGTCGCCTCCTGTAATTAGTATGTGGCGATCTGGTGATAGATTATGCGAGGTCAAACTGAGAATCGCGTTCTGGTGCACTTTGTGTCTGGTGTGCCAGGTGAGAAGGCCTGGTTGTTGCGATGTACTGGGAGATGGTGAGCTCCAGGAAACGAGATGTCCGTCTGTGCTTGCTGTGTACAAAATTTCCTGCTGTGCGTCGAGTCGACCGTCATGAAAGCTCAGATGGAGGCATTGCGTTAGACAGGAAGTCAGATAGTCCCCATTCGCTAACAGTGTCCAGGTCTTATCTCGGTATTGCCACTTGGAAATGGCAGAGTTGGAGTATGCTATCGTTATATGGAACCCGCGTTCGACATTTCGGGCATCAAAGTTCATGATACGCAGATCAGAGGCCGTGCTGAAGGGATATATGGATTCGCAGAGCACGCCTATGCCCAATTCTAAGACATCATGGCTGATTCGCCAAACGTAGAGTTCTTCCACGCCTCCGCTTGAGAAGAGATACCTTCCATCCTCGGACCACTGGAGGTGTTGGATGCCTGTGATGTGCTTCTGAAGTGTGTGCACACATCGCCATCTGCCACTATCGAGCACATGTAGCTTGATGTTGGTATCCTCAGCCCCAGTTGCTACCAGGCTCGAGTTGATAGGGGACATGGCCGAGGCTTTGATCTCTCGGCCGTGACCACCACTGTCCAATAAGCAGTACGGGCGCTGGCTTTGATGTTGGTAGTGCAGTTCAGATGCTTTCGTCCAGACGAACGTGCCGCCATCAGTCCCTGCCTGGAATGCAAAACTGCGATGGGCACCACCACACTCTACGACCATGACTTCCTCTTGTGTACGAGTGTCCCAGATGACGAACTGTTTTCCTCGAAAGCCGCAGACCCAGATATTGCCGTCCGGAGCAATGATGAGTGTCTCTATATTGGGTCCTAGTGGCAGCGATAGCTGGTGTATCGGGCGCAGGCTGATAACACTTGCACAGGAGCTGTCTGAGTCGTCGGAACTCTGACCCGAAGATTCAATAATGTGCGCTGCGTATGTTCCATCACGACCAGTGGAAAAGAGGATATCAGAGGAGCACAACAGTGCGGTGACTGCTTCTTTGCCGTGTACACCAGGATATAGCATAAGATGCTGTACAGGTCTTGCGTTCTCGCTTCTGGATCGTAGATCGTAGATGGCTACGCATCCAGATCGTGAGCCGAGTGCCATCCATCTTCCCTCTCGCCACGCAAATTCAACAAAGCTCGTAACCACAAACCCATGTGGCAACTCCACATCGAAAGTATCCGTGATTGTGATGATCTCAGGTTCATCGTGTCTCTTACAGAGGTACCATGTTGCAGCCTTGGTTTTTACTGTAGTGACCAGGAGACTGCATTGTGCTGTTTCATACCGATCGTCTGCGATCTCTTGTGCGAACAATGACGCCACCTTCTCGCCTACATCCACAAGAACGTGATGTTGGGTGTCTCTCAGCGTGTAGTAGTAGACCTCACCTTTACCAGCAAAAAATGCTATACCCGGTATGGAAGCCATAGCAGAGTATCCGCGTAATTGAGGCACATGTGTACTAATCGGCTTGCTCGCCACGGTGCCTTCCATCAGCCTGAGGTTGAGAAGCTCCAAGCTTCCTAAATCTGTGATTGCCACGATCGTATGGGAAGAAATGAAGCCAAAAGCTCGGTAAGGCGTTGCGGAAGCCGGAGCTTGCGATTTGGAGCGATCGTAGCTGTCGACCTGAGCGACAGCAATAGCACCATCCGCGCCCCCCGTGACTATGCATCCACCGACAGGAGTGCTATCATCACTCGTACTGCTCATCCCAGGGCGGACTGCCACCGACCAAATGTTCTTACCATCATGGGCCTTTTGAACACGGACTTGCTTCATAGCCACGGAAGAGTCAGCCTCTACTTGTATTGTCCAGGACACACATGTTGCATCCTCCCCAAAGGACAGCAGATTGAGATTGTTGTCACCTCGGACAAATCGTATTTGCCAGATTCTGGAGATGTGACCCATTTGCTTGGCCAGGCAGGTGGGCATGTGATCATCTTTGCTTACAGTAGACCCGAAGCCAGTTTCTCGTTGCATACGATTGTCATCTTGTATGGAGAGATCGGAGATGTCCCATAGCCGCACCGTTCTATCGTCGCTGCAGCTAGCCAGCACCCTCTGCCGGCCGCCCAACATGTCCTTGTGCTCGGGCGACGATATCTGCACACCAAAGACTGATCCATCGTGAGCGGAGAACGAATAATGCGTCTGATGTTTCCATGAAAGGTCATCTTGTGAAAAGTGCAACGTCCACACTATGATATCGCCAAAAGCAGTTCCTGAAGCAATGAGACACGATGAATGACTTAGCCATGTTACTTGAGCGCAGTACAAGATGCAATTGGAGCCAGGTACTACCTCTTTCAGGTCTAGCTCCAGGGACTTTGGAAGTCCCGTCGCGATAGTCAACGAATTGTGGGCAGTGATGATGGCCGCCCTTCGAGGGTCTCCTGGAAAGACAGCAGCATCTAATATCCAGTCCCGGGCTGCTACAATTTCACTTGCTTCATAGCGGAAAGGAAGATGACGCAGCCCAGAGCTGAAGTGAAATTGTCGTAGGTACTGGCCTCCCCATACCAGGACATGACCGAGACGCTCGCTGTTCACGAGTATGCCATGAATGGTCTGTCCCTCGAAGACAGGTACAGATTGCAGTAGGATTTTGGTCTTGGCGTCATAGAGGCTCAGAGTGCTCCCCGATCCAGCGAGCAGAACATCGTAGTTCCAGAGGGCCAGTGCCGTGACCGGAACGCGATGATGTTCATGCTGCATCGGAGTTCCCGTCGTGTTGTGTGTAGAGGAGGTTGGGCTGGGAAAGATTCGAAACCTCACTTGAGAATAAGCGAGCCTTGGCGGCCCTGGCGTACAGCAGAGCAGCTAGCTACTGGGACCTTACCGTAGCTGACAATCAAAACCCCGATAGCGTCCAGGAGCAGACTGCAGAGAAACGTGTCGGTGTTGTCGATGCACACGAGTCTCTCTCTCTTGGTTGTTCGTCGACAACAATAATAAAATGCCCTTCCATTTGTCCCACCATCACCAGCCCAGCAGACACAGCATCGGAGAGGGCATAATCCAGGCGGCGGCGTCTAGTGGCTCTATAGGGTTGGGTAGTAACCTGCAGCGCATCGCGAGCGGGACCACGAGCGCCGGGACGGATTCCTTCGCGGACTCAGACAGCTCGCACAATGCCTATGCCTCTCTGAATCACAGCAGCAACAGCAACAGCAACAGCAACAGCAAAACCAACAACAACGACAGCGACAACAACAACAACAATGTCAGCATGCCGCAGAGTGGGAAAACAGCAGGCGGACTGCTAGGGCCGGGAGGAGGCCTCGTCGGGAACGACCACCAACTACCATCGGCTTCCTTGTCAGCGCCGGGGTCGACCATCCCGGGAGAGGCTCAACAATCTTATTACGGCGCCAGCCCGAGGAGAGCGGCGCACGAGCGCGTGCCGTCGCTGCAGAACTACCTGCCTCAACAGCCGCAGTACAAAGAATCGCCATATTCGGCCACCGCGACGCCATCATACAACGTCCAGAGCGTGATCCCTTCCAACGCCGGCCCATCTTCGTCTGGAGGCAGTGGGGGTGTAGGAGCAGCAGCAGCAGCAGCAGCAGGAGGAGGAGGAGGACTGCCTGGAGCACTTCAACCAGCGGGAGGCTCGCGACCACCAGTGTTCACAGCGTACACCGCCCCGACGACGATCCCCACCATGCAGTCTCAGCCGCTGCAGAACAATGCCTCGCAGTACGCGCCGCCCTCTCGAACAAATACCCTCCATAGTCACTCGCGAAGTAGCCCCAGCGTCGGGACGATAGAGGGCGCCTCCAAATATATACCTTTCAACCAGACGCCCGCTCAGACACCGACGACGTCCAATCCGAAAGCATACAACCTTTCCAATGCGCAGACACCCTCCCAAGGCGCCGGGCCTTCACACAGTCCTCTGAACCTCACAGACATTCGATCGCGGGCGATATCAGATGCGAACGAGGGACCCCAGGGCACAGCCTTTATCAGCTACTCTGAGCAGCCCACGAATTCCAATTACCTCGCGCCTTTCCCTACCTATGCCTTTGACTGGTGCAAATGGCCGGTGCAGGGCAGTGGAGCTGGCAAGATAGCCGTGGGCAGCTATTTGGAAGATCCGCACAATTTCATACAGATCCTGGACACCCACATCACTCCGCAGGACGTGAACGCTCCAGGACAAGCACCATATGGAATTGAGTACAGCAAAGCGGCCGAGGCCACATGCGCGTATCCAGTAACGAGGATACTCTGGGAGCCTCCCAGCTCGCAGAAGTCGAGCACGGATCTGTTAGCAACCAGTGGAGACCATCTGCGGTTATGGAGCTTACCAGCACCTTCTACACCACACTCATCACATATCAACAGAAGCGCTTCTGTCAATATCCGAGATCCCGCGCCGCAGAAGCTACAACCCTTGGCGCTGCTCTCGAATAGCAAAACGCCCGAGCATACGGCTCCTCTAACGTCGCTGGACTGGAATACACTCTCTCCCAAGCTGATCATAACCTCGTCCATTGATACTACATGTACAATATGGGATATACCAACCCTGACAGCGAAGACCCAGCTGATTGCGCACGATAAGGAAGTATTTGACGTGCGGTTTTGCGCAGGTTCAGTGGACGTCTTTGTATCATGCGGAGCAGACGGCAGCGTGCGCATGTTTGATTTGAGGAGCCTGGAGCATTCGACGATCATCTACGAGCCGGCTGAGAAAGCAGACAAGGGTCAGTTGTTCCCCTTCGTCCATGTAGATATGATACCAGTCACTGACATTATTTAGCATCATCACCCTCTGCTTCATCGCCTTCCAAATCACACATGCCAGCAGCCCCGCCTCTATTACGACTCGCCGCCTCCCCACACGATGCGCATCTCCTGGCAACCTTCGCCTCGGACAGCAACATAATCCGCATACTGGACGTTCGTCAGCCCGGCACTGCCCTCCTAGAACTTCGTGGTCATCAAGGAAATCTGAACACCATCGAATGGAACCCCAGCCGAAGAGGCATGTTGGCTTCTGGTGCAGACGACAGCACAGTGCTAATTTGGGATTTGTTGAATTCCCAGAATCAAGCTACTGTATCAACCATGAACGGCAATGGGACAGAGCAAGCTCCCTCTTCTGGGAAGGGACCCTTTGCGAGCTGGAAATGTGAATATGAGGTTGCAAATGTTTCTTGGGCGCCACAAAGTCAACTTACCAATCAAGGAGGCGATTGGTTGGGTGTTTGCGCAGGACGGGGCGTTTGGGGTGTAAAGATATGATTATTGCGTATGTCGTAAAACGGAAAGTGATGCGACTCTGCATGGTGGCGGTTCAGCGGGCTCTGATGAACGGATGTCATGACAGAAGAACAAAATATTATCAAAGGAAATCGAGCGAGCGAGTAAGCGAGCAAGCAAGCGTGGAGATGAGGTTCTTGCATGAGATACCATTATATCTCACTGCGTATTTCGAAATAGAAGAGAAAGAGAAGGAGAAGAAGAAGGAAAGAGAAGAGGATATATGTATCTTCTTTTAACTAAAACAAACCAAATCTGTTTGTAACTCAAGTGGGTGCTATCCATCCTCCTCCTCCTAATCTTCCTCCTCCTATTTCGCCACCCATTCACGAATATTCCCCTGCAACTCTCTCATCACACCTCCCTCTCGCCAAAAATGTCCCGCCCCGTCAATTTGTGTCCATTCTACCTTTGCATCAACTGGATGTGGAGCAGTAGCAGTAGTATTAGTAGTAGCAGGAGTGGCAAGAGCAGCAACAGCAGCAGAATCCTTTGCGAGTCGTTCTGCCCATTGACAAAGTTTCTTACTCGATGTAAAAGTATCAGATGATCCGAAGGCTATCAGTGTTGGATATTGGAGGGAGAAAACTCCTGCTGCAGTACTCTTCTCTTCTGTTTCGAGTGAAGTACTTCGTCCTCCTCCTGCTGCTGTTGCTGTTGCTGTTGCTGTTGTTGTTGCTGATATGAAAGGGATACCAGGCGGGACGAGAGTCGTGGAGAGTGGGATGAGGACTGGACTGATGAGGAGGTAGCGTATTGATATGGGCTGTCGTTGTTGTTGAAGTTGTTGTTGATGAAGTTGTTTTTGTGGCTCGCTTGAGACCGTATTGTGTTGTTGTTCCTGTTCGCGATCCGAAGACGTGCGAAGGTGAAATTGCCCACTGCGTGGTCGATGCATGTGTGATTTGATCGTACGAGGTAACTCGCGTATGGCTTCGAAACTTCCGCGCGAGTCGCCGCGGCTGTGTCGACGACGACTGGAGGCCAACTCGCTTTCTTCGCCTCCTAATATCACGTGAGATGGATTTCGCCAGTGTGCTGGTTTGGAAGGAGAGGTCGATGATGGTCGTCGTCCACGTTGGAGTCTTGTCGCGATGGTCTTTCGGTGCTGAATTGCTAGGGTGCGAGCTCGTAAGAAGATCTCTGTCGCTGCGGTGCCATTCTCAGCGCTCTTGAAGCGATTTAGTATGGTGAAGACTGCCGGCAGGCGACATAGAACCAGGGAAGCGAAAGAGTAGCCCGCGAGAAGGAGCTCCAGAGAAGCCTGACCTGTGGTATCAGCATCGGTTTGCAGCAGCGGACCATCGAAGCTGGACTGGTCAACTGAGGCCAAGATGTCGAATTGTACGGGTATCACCAGAGTGCTTAGGTAGTAATATAGCAGACCAATGATGGAACAGAAGTCGTCAATCTCCGGTCTGCCAGTCCAAGATGTCTTTCCGGCAGAGTGGCCTGCACCTCTAATTCAGACGTCAATTGTGTTAATTTTTACGAAGTTTCCAACATGAACAGTACGCACCTGAAGTTGAAAGTCGTTACAACATAGCCTTGATCGAGCAGACACTCGGTCACCGATAAGACAACGTGATCATCATATGAGCCTCCCAGAGGCGCATATGGATGCCCGACGATAGCGCCTCGAATCTTTTTGCTGTCTCCGGCGACCAGGTCGTGAAGACCTGGGGGATGATATATCCGACAGTCGAGAGGTGTGTCATCATGTAATGAAGGTATTGGGAACGAATAGGTTGGCTCGGTCATGGCTCGTCCGGTACAGGTACCTGAGCCTCTCAGTCACAGAATTCGTCAGACTTGGGAACATCATTTGCTCACGTCTGCACCATAGGACTGCGCTGACGGGACCCGAGAGTGCTATGTATGGCACGGAAGTAGTTTACTGTTAGCCACTCGGCTGTTGAGGTCGAAGGGTCGAGCTTTCAAGCTTATGTAAGCCCGCGCAGTCTTTCGTAGGTACATGTATGTACCTGACCTGTAGGATGTAGGAGACGGATCCATTTCTTCATTCAGTGTCTACATCATGAGCTTTGGAAAAGAGTAATTCAGGCGGCGGCTCTTCATCGTCGTCGTTCACGGCTCGAGATGCGGAGAAACTCTTGTCAAGCGCATCTATCTCTTCACTAGAGTTTGCCTTCTTGAGCTCATGCCCACCTGTTTCCGGGGACTTGCTACCGGCTGCGCTCAAAGCACTTGCGAGTATCTGTTTGCCTCGACTAAGCGCATCCAGCTCTGCTCCAAGCGCCGCTTGTAGCAGCTTCCAATTCCGCTCTTCGGCCTTCTGCAACTTCGCATGCAGCGACTCGGCCACGTTGTCTATCTTCTCGAGTATGTGTTGCATGCGATCGGCATGTTCATTATCTGAAATACTTGTGCTCGGAGGGTCGTCCCAAGCCGACTGCGAGTTCGGTGACGATGGCCGCAATGCAGACATCTCGGTCCTGAGCTGTTTTTCGAAGTCTGTCACCTCTGTCACTGCTTCGCGCCACATCCCAGCACCTTCAATTAGAGCGGACTTCTCGAACTTTGTGTCCTCAGCATGCTGTAGCGCTTGTTCGCGCTGCTCGTTCCAGTACGCTTTAGCTAGGTCAAGGTTTCTTCGTTGGGGAGGTAGTTGCCATACCGAGGCTTTGACCTCTGCAGATGATGCTGCCAGTGGTCTGGCATGAAGGCCGTCGGGGCTACGACGCAGGAATTTCTGGATGTCGTTCTCAAGTAGTCGCAGGCTTTCCGTATAGGATGCGATGCGGGCCTGTACGGAGTTCTCCATGGCAGCAGCCTGACTCACCAGTTTCCGATGTCTGGTCTTCATCTCCGTGAGGCTCAACTCCACTCGATTGATTTCAACTTGCAAAGCATCGGCTTCCTGCTTCAAACGTTGCACCCGTATCGTCTCCTCTTCAGAGTCAACGTTGCGAGAAGCTTCATGCAGGCCTTGTCGCTTCTTTTCCCACGCTTCTATCTGACCAAGAGTCGCGTCATGCTCGTGTACCTCTGCGTGAACGTTCTGAAGCTCTCCATTCTTGAGATTTGCTAAGGCAATAATGCTGCTGTATATGCCTTTCCGAGCACTTCGCAACCCTGGTTGCCGTCTTCGTGGAGGCCGCATCCGCCTCGGAGCAGGGCTGCGCGTCCCGTGAACCGTGGGCGTTGTACTGCCTGTGGAGCTACGGTCATCCACATTTCCACCCTCTAGTCCTTGAATCAGGCCTTCTGCCTGCGCATCTAGCAAGAACTGAAGATCGGCTTCGAGTTCTTGTTGCTTTTCCTCGACTTCGGTCGGCTTCTCTACGAATCGAGGTTGTGTGGTCGCTGGGTACTGTGGCGGCATATATTGGCTCTGGACGATGGGAGGAGGAATCATTGATGACGACGGAGAAGAACTGCGCCATCGCGGCAGCTCATGGTTGGAGGTTGATGGGACTCGGTTGGTGCTGGAGGATGTCTGTGCGAACCACGACTTGCTAGAAGACATGTTTTCCGGGGCTGTCAAGCAATTGGTACCTGGTAGTTGTACGGTCGCGACTGGACTGGCTGGACTGGCCGGTCAAAGCGACAAGCTGTGTTCTACTATGTTATCGATTAGGATATCCAAGTACTGTATGTGGTTGACATAGTCCGCAGGATCTGATATCGCAGCAGAAAGGACTCGTTCAACACATCACGCGGTCATGTATGGTGGTGAGGACACATCTGATGACTGAAAGAACCGAACGCGTCGATGCGATACCCTAAAGCCAACACCTGCTCGCGATAAAGCTTGGCGTTCAGCCTATATATGTAGCTCCTCGGCTTAGTGTCTCATTTCTGCGACAAACAATCACGAAAGCCTTGGAGCCTGCAGGTAGCAGCCGGGAGGCAAGCCTATCATTCAACAGTCTCAGTTGAAATCAGATAGTGGGCAGCACTCCATCAGGCACGACGACTGTCAAACGCTCGACACACATGGGACGAGAAGTACGCATCATCTAGCCACGATGGACCCTTCTGATGCCGGCGAGCCACCGCGCTTCTTGCTGTTGCTCCCGCCAGTATCGCCCGCGGACGGCCCTGCGCTCAAGGCTGCATACGAAGACACATTGAGCCAAGTCTTGAAAGAAGTTGAACTCCATTCATCCGAGCATACAAGAGCTGCCGTGCTGGAGATTGCCTTGGCCTGCCCACATCTCGTGGGCACTCAGAGAGCTCCCAGATCCAGTCTATACAATCAGACTCAGTCACTGATTGCAGGAGTGTACAAGCTCATCACCACCATAGCTACACAGAAGAGCATCAATGTTGAAGATGCCGATGGCGTTGATGCCAGGATCATATTAATCGCTTGGTCTGCGGAGCATTCAGGTCAGCAATATGCTCGCAATCCTTACGGGCCAGTAATCGACCTCGAAACTCTTGCGAACTCAGGTCGACAGTGGCAATTCGCTTTTGGCGTGGAGTCAGACGCGGGCGAGAGCTTGGTAAGGGCATTCGTCAACGCGAAGACTGGCAATATTGAGGCAAGCGAATCAACCGCAACAGTCGCAGATGACACCAGCTCCGCCGCCTCCAGTCAGTCAAAGCACTACGATGTCGCGGTGGGAGGTACATGGGATCACCTCCACATCGGCCACAAACTGCTTATTACCATGACGGTCTTCGCCGTCGACCTAAAAGATACTTCCGGAGATAGGTCCGCTACTATAGGAATCACCGGGGACAGGCTCCTGGTGAAGAAGAAACATGCAAACCTGGTGGAGAGTTGGGTAGATCGACAAAAAGCAGTTGCGACATTCTTCAATTCCATTGTCGACTTTTCGACGGAAGCGACCCGCGGACAACGGCACGCGAGTATACACGACGATCCCGAACCAAACGGCAAGTCCATTGATATCCATTACCCAAGCGGACTCATAGTCAAATGTGTCGAGATCCAGGATCCTTTTGGGCCCACCATCACCGAGGAGAGCATCTCGGCGCTCGTACTCAGCGCAGAGACTAGGGCTGGAGGTAAGGCGATCAACGACAAACGTCGAGAACTGGGCTGGAAGGAGCTCGATATCTTCGAGGTGGATGTACTGGATGCAGAGGAAGATGGGAACAGCAGCACGGCCCAGGGCGGATTCGAGAGCAAGATCAGCAGTACAGCGATACGAGAGAAGCTGGCAAGGAAAGGAAAGATGTAGTGCCGAAGATGACTGTGTACTATAGCTATATAGCTGTTTTTGCATTGGACCTTGAGGTGCAACGACCACTCGGAAAGGCATTACTGTGCTTCCAACGAATGTTCTGCTACCACGTCATGCAGATATGCGGCTATACTTGCATTGGTTCTAGACGAGTCGGAAGGTCAGGCATTGTTGTATCACTGGGTAGGTAGCGCGAGGTAGAGTTCACAACCCTGTCGGTGATCAGTTGATGAAGTGTCGAAGTCGAATGTCTCACAGACAAGCACAGACGATGCACAAGGTGCCGAGAGGAGGAGTGCCAGCCAGGCACGCGATCATCTCCTTTCTCTCTCCCACCACCACTGCACCAACCTCTTGACACCTCTTCCACGGTCCACCACCTCGCTCTTCCACAGACGTCAGGTGACCTACATGTATGCATCGCTTCGAACCTACCTGTATGCATCATCTTTTTTCCAGCAGCACTACTGGTCGCAAAGTATGTCTTGGCCCCGCTGCAGCACTTTATCTTAATCCACCTATCATCACGAGCCGGTAACGTGCAGCATTGGCATGGCGGCCATGGCCCACCACCTACTGCAGTCTGCACCTTGAGACCTCGCCAATACCTGATTTATTTGGGCCTCACCAAGAATACGCGAAGAAGGCAGCTAAGGTATACACGTACACGGCGCAGCTGCAGGCTGGCGCGACGGCGTCACTTGGGTTGTGCGAATGCCTCCCGGTTGCTCTGCGGACTGCAGGAGGTGTGCAGCAAAGACATCAGGTGTGCGTAGCGTCATGCAGCGATGCTGCTGGTATACGCCAATCCATATCCTGCCCCGATCGTGGAGACATGGAGACATGATGGAGACATGGACTTATTGGTCTGCGTCGCTGCGAGCAGCCTCGCGGCTCCGCGGCACCCTACTCCGGCTCTTCTCGCCCGAAAGTCTCGAGGCTCGAGCTAGACTTGCTTCGGCTGGAAGGTGTTCACGGGTCGGTGTACCATTGAATTGAGTTCAGGTGCGAGGGGCACGTTCCACTTCGCCAAGTCACCCTCGCTGCACCATACTTTGGCTTTGCGCTAGCATTTCACGTGACTGATGGTACACTATACTTATAAGCTCTAGAATCCACACTGGATTTCCTGTTTCCTCTTTTCTTAAACCACAACCACGACGAGGAAGCTACACTAGAAAGCAATTAATTCGCGAACCGATTCCTGAATTAAATCACCAATAAGCTAATCGAGAACGGAGCGAGAGAGGGCTAAGGAGAGCAATCAATTTGGGAAATAATTTACGAATCAATTCCCTCCTCGACCGTAAGTTACTAAACCTTTGTTATCTTAAGTACTAAGTAGAAGGCTAATTAATTCAGAAATCGATTCCGGCGCAATTCGTCTACCTTGATCGTTTACGGCCAATAGTGAGTAATTATTTCTTAAAAAGATTGCTAAATGATTTCGCGAAATATTTCATGGATTATTTCAGGAATTATTTTAGGT